CTGAAGAAGAGGTCGTATGGTTCAAGGTACACTTTCCATGAGAATAAGCTGTGGTGATCTCCCTGGACCCCCGCCGAGAATCCGTGCGCTAGCGGTGGAAATGAAGCTGGGTCCAAGGGCGAGACTGGTTTCGAAAGAAGCCAACTCGACGCACGGAATCTTCCTAGCATTTGGAAAAGAAGAGAAAAAGGGACAAAAGAAGAAAAGGAGACTAAAGGGGAAAAAAAAAAAAGGGTTATCGCGGACTGTATCTGCAAACTAGGTTTAGCATCCTCCTGTGCCCGCAACACCTTCGTAGTGTTCACTGTTAGCGTTCGTTTTCTTGGCCCAACTTGAACGAACCAAGAGCTGATGAAGGGAAACGCTGCCAAGAAGGCGGAGCCGGAAGAGGGGCAAAATTGGCTAATAAAACCACAAAACTGAACAAAGTTATCGCCCAAGGGTTTGGTGGGGACGCAGATCCGAGTTAAGGAATAACCTTGAAGTTTATGTGCGTTCGTAATATCGCGCTATCACTCCTAGTTTGACACAGAAGACGTCAAAAATACAAAGAAAGGACGCTAACGTTCGCCTTTTCCCCAAGGTTTCGCAGGTTTAGGAGAAAGATGCTCAGATTCAGCGGGTTGATTTCGTCTGTGGTCGGAACCGGTTCTCGGGAAGTGGATTTACGAACCTCTTCTTCCATGGCGTACTGCCCGCCGCCCTACAGGTCCACACCCTACATTATGTTGGTTCGCTCAGCTCATCTTGACTCATGGATTTGGTATGCTCTTCTCGAGTTTATCTAGTTCATCGCCCACTCCTCCGCCTTCACCCTTTTCCACCTTCCGTTTTGAGAGCAGCGCCACGTTCCTGACTCGCCAACACTGCACCTATTCTCGCACTCTCGCATCCGCACTCCTCCAGGAAAAGACTTCGAGAAAGAAAAAAAGAAAGCGATACAAGTGACACATCATTGCGCTGGACGGAACTGGCTGCCCATGCCTTTGTCAAAGCGATCTGTGATGTGATGCCCATCGCATAACTGCGTGAAAAAGTGGTGGAGGGCAACTCCAAGGAAGTTTGGCCAGCCTTGCCCGACGCCCCAGGGCCTCGGACACCGGAGCGCAGCCAACACCGACAGCGAATCTGCGCCGTTGGCGGCAACCTTATCACTAGACTTGTACGTGAGATAATGCCGTCAAGGCGTCAGAGCGCACTCGATACTTGTCATGCTGTCATGCTGTCCGCGAACCATCCCTGGCGACTTGATTTGGGCTATTATTGCCAACTGCCAGACTGGCACCTGCCGAGGTCAGAGCCGGAGTGTAATCATGACAATTGTAGTTTCAACGAGAGAAGCCTGATCCCGGTCACTTCTTCCCCTTCCAAAGACCCTACTGAAGCAATTATTACCAGGCTGGCTGGCCCAGGTACAGACCTCAGTAATGCTGCATCTTTCAGGGGTCGAAGACCCTTTTGATGTTGGAGACACGAGGGAGACCAGGGGGAAGGGGAGGGTCTCGATCTTGCACGTTGGCAAGCACAGGGCACAAGTCTTCCCCGTCTTTTGAGGCGCAGTCGTCCCATCGACTCGAGTAGTCCTTGTGTGCGCCTCTGGTAAGATGGTGCATGCCCCTCGATTCCCTCCGCTCCTCCTCCTTCTCTTTCTGGAACCAGCTGCTGGCTACAGGCTACAGAAGGTGATTGCTTCCCTGTTCGTCATTCGCGATATCCGCATTAAACCCCCTTTTTTTTTTTTTCTTGGGCGGATGAGGGTGGCGCCGCAGACGGGAGCGGGGATATGTGAGGGCCAGAGGCGGGTGTATGCATTGAACAGCGGAACAAAGGGGAAAAGGCACGCAGCGATGCACATGATATTCTTTCGCCTTTCATCAATTGAGCTTTTGGGCTTGCGTCCCTTTGCCTCAGGCGAATCTACTAGTACGTGATTTCGTGAATCTAGACGCTCGTACGCACCAACCAAGCGGAGGTATTCTTCCTTCTTTCGGAAGTCATAATCTTCCCACTTTCCCATCCTGGATACTCTATAGAGCGCCATTTTCTGGGGAATTTGATCTCGCGACCATGTGCTGGCGGCGGACGCCACTAACTAGTGGCGGTCGTAAACCCCCATCACGGCGGTGGGCAGCCATCGACAGAACATTTGAGGAAGCATTGGAAATGGTCTTGAATCCAACCGATTGGTTTCATCGTTCTCCGCCGTCAGGGACCGTCCGGGTTGTGATGAGACTCGCGTGTGTGAAGAGTTCGTGTGACCAGGAAAGCCACCACGGGAAGGGAGGGACGGAGTACTCGAACCTCTGTAGACCTGGCAAGCCGGCAATTTTTCAGTACATGCCCGCCAATTGTATATTGCACAGCGGCCATTCCCATGTTGCGCAAAAAGACGTGGTGGAGAGCGTTCCCACATTTATTAGTCTCCTGTGTTAGAGTTCCCAAACGAAAACTGTTGGAAAAGCGAGCAGAAGGTTGTCAGACGCGAAAAGAAAGGGCCTGCCAAAGGATCAAGAAGGATTCGCAAAAGCGGCGAGCAGGGCAGGGTGGCTAATTGGAAGGGGGTCCTTCGGTTTCCCGGGACGAGTGTGGGGTCATTGCCTGGGGAGGGGAGGGATCAATTTGATGGAGCGAATGAACTGGACCATCTGATCAGGGACAATGTGGACATGGGGACATGGGGGATGGACAGACATGGGCGGAAGGAATTTGAGATTCACACCGGTGGGGCCCCAATCGAACGCACACGTCTCCACCAGCGCTGTAAATATACATGTACATCCAGGATGGATTAGTGTCGTGCCACACCGTCGTCGATCATCTTTGCTTTTTACCTTCTTTCGTTCCATGGCAGGTGTATCTATCGAAGGCTAGTCGCGAGAAGAGGGCGAGAGACCGGGACCGGCGGAGGGGAGAAACTCTAGGGAACGAAAAGAAGCCAAGACTTGGTGGCGGGTGGAGGGAGAACAATAAAGAATGGCAAGAACAAAGAACAATGTCAACGAACAATGACAATGGACAATGACAATGAACAATGAACAAAGGGGAGATGATGACATCTGCTGGACGAGCAGACTGGATGCGGAAACACGGGCAGAAACAAAGAGGTGATCGTGACCACTTTTGCTGATTTATTTTTACAGATTTTCGCAGGTTTTGCAGTCGAAAATAAATCAAGAAGACGGCACGTTCTAGCATCCATAGATCCTGTCCTGTCCATGAGATCCCTCCCCAAAGTGGGCCGCGATGCGAGGTCAATTACTCTTCAATCTGGCCAAACATTTGTCTCCCCTCTCCAAATAGGAAAAGACCCCGCGTCACCCAACCCCTTCGATTGGAGCCCTACGCAAGAGGTGGGCAAGATTTTAGAGTGCATGTGCAACCATGATGTGTACGTGTGTGTATGCGTGTATGCGTAGAGGTGTTGCGTTGTGTGATGTTTGTTTGGTGTGGTGGTGGCCGGTGGAAAAGGCCCGCTTTGCGTACATGCTTGCGCTCAAACTTTGCTGAAAGAACTGTCGCATCGCTGCGGATTGCCACCACGGGCGGACGATCTCGAAGAGAACCGAACCAGGGGCGTCGCAACCCTCTTTTTGGAGATAGTGTAGCGCCCACGTAGCGTAGTGTACTTGCTTAGAGATTTGATCGTATCAGGCCTCTCGGGGCTGAACCCCTTCCAGGAATCGCGACAAGCGGCGGGTACTTCTACATGGATTGTTCCTCGGCGACGGATGTCATGCTTGACGTTCTTCGTCCATGGGCAAAGGCAAAGAAAATCTAATCTCAGGTCACAGAAACAGAACCTGGAAGGAAGAAAGAAAAAAAGAATGAATAAAGACCTAATTTGACCAGTGACATGTACCTCTACCTTTGTACCAACACAGGTTAGGATCAATTCGATGCTTGGCTCGACATTTCCCTCTCCGTCTCCTGCAGTTCGGCACGACACGAGACGACCCCTGACCCCTCCGACTCGACCACCTGCGACCCAGAACCGCAACCAGAACCAAGGTTCTGTCCCCTCGCACATTGAGATTCTCACCCAAGACTGACCTGAGCCCATACTAAGCACTCCTGCGGGCTTTGTTAATACCCTCCACCTTTATGATCCCCCTCAGAACCGTGGATTGGACAAAGAATTAGAGGGAGGGGAACAGTCTCCCATGGGCGACGACGAGATGAAGGAGGGGGCGGAAGAGAAGCGACCAACGACCAAGCTCCATCAAATGTTACGGGGGAAGAATAATAGGACGGCCGCCTCTTTGGGACTGAGAATCCAGCCCTGAAAGGCAGGCTCATTGTCTAATTTTCCTTGTTTTACGCTTCGCGCACAGGTCTTCTCCTGCTGGCTTTCAGCGAAGCCCGGATGCAGCAAAGCGTCGCAAGGCGAACGAGGTAGTCTAACTTGCTAGCTTCATCTGCCTTTCAGCCCAGCCCAGCCCAGCGAGCGAAGCGGCCGCGCCGGCCTCGAACGCAGAGGTCTTACCGTTCGGGATGGAGTCTGGCCGTGCCCCGGTGTACGAGAGGGAGGACGAAGAGCGAGGTGGTCGGAACTCTCGTTGGTTTCTCGCCATCCTGCGATGCGAGCGGTGGCGCTTTCGTGGCTCTCCATCCTCCCCTTCTATCCCCATCCTCTCTCTGGCGGGCAGTCTGCCCCAGAGCCTGGTCCTGGTATTTCTTGGGCTGTCTGAAATTCTCCAAAAACCTCCTTCCTCCCCCTCCCTTTGCGCCACTAGCGTTGCTGGCGCATTTCCTCCAGCGTGTTCGAGGCGCTAGTCCTGCCCCCGGCCTGGTGGTGTCTGTCCTTGGTCAATTGTTGGTTACTATCTATTCTTACTAGACAAGGTTATGGGAGGTACGAGCTGGGGATGGGGAAAAAGAAAAAAAGAAAACGAAAAAGAAAAAGAAAAAGAACGGGAAAAGAAGACTGCATCAGACAAGGTGCAGGGGGGTACCTGGACACAATGGGATGCATGGATGCATGTCGACACACATACGGACACATGCCAGACGAATGTCGGGGGAGCTTTCCACGTCTCCATCCCTCCCTCTTCACCCCCTGTCCTGGGTCGCTCAAGGGTACGTTCCTTTTCCTGCATTGGGGGAACCTATTTGAAGAATCGATGGATTTCATCAGCGCTCCGCACCTCAGATCCCGCGCCCAGTTTTCCGACGCCCGAGACGACGGCGAGCACGGCTAGGAAACCACACAGACTTTTTTTTCCCTTGTCCTTTTTTTTTGTCCCTTTCCCTCCCAAGAGGCGAGCCGGCGCTTGTATATATTCATCTCGTGCCGCTACCTTATTCTCCGTTGCATCTGGAGTTTGGTTCTCCTCTGTGCTTTTTTGGTGTCTTTTCACTGCTCCTTTCTTTTTCTTTCTTGTTTTCTCTTGTTGACTGCTTCCTACAAGCAAGGAGACCCCTCACCTTGCTTGCTCTCTTCCTTGAGAGTTAACCGACACACCCCAAAGGGATTCTTCTTCTTCGACAAACCGGCAGTCGGGGGACTCGACTGCCTCTTTGCGGAGAGAAGACGAAAACCACCCACCTTTTCTAACACACCACCCACCCACATCATCACCATGTCCTTCTCCTACCTCGTCCCGCGGGACGACCAGCTCGCGAGCCTCTTCCCCGGCAAGACAACTCGACAACAGAGGTCCCCGGCGCCGAAATCCCCACCACGCCCGCCCTCTTCACCCCCGAGGAGATCGCCGCCGCGCCGCATCCCAACTTCGCCCCCAGGCTCATCTCCTCCATGTGGACCCTCATCGGCCTCTCGGCCGCGTTTCTCGCCCTCCGCCTCTACTGCAAATTCTCCCGCCACCGCGGAACGTGGTGGGATGACTACCTCCTCATCGGCGCCTGGCTGTGCATCACCGCCGAGTCCAGCTGCCTCACCTACGCCACCACCCTCGGCTACGGAAAGTACTGGTACGACTGGTCGCCCATCTACGAGGAAGTCGTCACCATGGTCAAGCTCATCAACGCCGGCGGCTCCCTCTCCCTCACCGCCGCCATCTGGTCCAAGACGAGTTTCGCCCTCACCCTGCTCCGCCTCACCGAGGGCCGCATGAAGTGGGTAATTTGGTTCATCATCATCTCCATGAACATCGCCATGGGCCTCAGCGCCCTCTTCGTCTGGGTCCAGTGCACGCCTCTCCCCAGGATCTGGGATCCCACCGTGCCCGGAAAGTGCTGGGACCCCCATGTGCTCCCCAACTACAACATTTTCTCAGCTTGTAAGTGCTATATATCTCGTTTATGCTCTCCCGCGCAGAGGAATCCGTGTTGTTGCTAACCTTCTTCTGCCCGCCGATATAGCTTACTCCGCCGCCATGGACATCACCCTCGCCCTCCTCCCTGGCGACTCATCTGGGGCCTCCAGATGAAGATGAAGGAGAAGATCGGTGTCGCCGTCGCCATGAGCTGCGGTGTCTTCGCCGGCATCACCGCCATCATCAAGACCACCAAGATCCCCGCCATGGCCTCCCCGATCCCGGCCCGGGTGTCGACCTCTTCATCTGGGGTAACGCCGAGTCCTGCGTCACCATCATCGCCGCCTGCATCCCCATTCTCCGCGTCCTCGTCCGCGACGTCAAGTCCTCCGCCGGACGCTACTACGTCTCCCACCGCACCGGCAACATGCCCGGTACCTCGGCCGTCCAGTCCAAGGCCCGCGACCACAACACCGTCACCATCACTGGCGGTCGCAAGGGACAGGGCTTCAACACCCCGAAGACGAGCGCGAGCTCACCCGCGAGTCCAACGGCAAGATCATGCAGACCAAGGAGATCGCCATCGAATACCAGAGCGCCGACAACTGGACAGAGGAGCACGAGCTCGACGACATGCAGCGCCGTCCTCGCTCGTGAGCGCCGTGCGGAGCGCAGCCATGATTATGACTGAAATACAAAAAGATTATTATTATTATTACTATGGGGCTTTCTGTTTTTCTCTTTTTCTCCCCTCCCCTTTTCCTTTTCTCGCTTGCAAAGCAATATACCACAAAAACAGAGAGCAAAGGGGGTCTACATACCAAAACAAGGCATGCGCTACAACTGCCTGCGGTTTTGGATTGTTCGTTGCTTCCCCTCCCCAAAGACGGGATGGGATGAATGAACATGTGCTATTACTACTACTATTATTATTAAAAAATCAACCATTCAATGCCTACGAAGATCGATATGAAACATTTTTGTGTATATGCTACATAGTTGGGATGCGGCATCTGTTGTGATACCTCTTTCTTGAAATTTAATTCAAACTGTTATCTGATTCCCACGCTCTTTCTCGCCTAGCACCAAGTGACAAGTGAAGACGAGAACATGGAAAAGGGGTAGTCAACAAACGTCATTTTTCGATATGCCGACCCGTCCAAGGTAGCGCCCTTGATTAGCCCAATGCCATTTTTCAAGCTAACGACTCGTCTCGAGCCGGGAGTTCAACCCCTATCGCCCGCTCCGATCACAAGGCAGCGAGCCTACAAAATCGTTTCTCCTTTCTTTCTTTCCCGGGTTGTTGGCCGCGTAACTTTGCCTTGTTGCGGTGGTTACCCGTGATCCTTTGCCTTGAACCTTTGCCTCCACCGGGTTAAGTGTTCGAAACACGTTTTGGGTAAAATGGCGGAAGAGTTTAGCATCGACGGGGAAACAAGCCAAAGATTGGGATCTTCCCCGTCTCCCGTTGTTTCAGATCGGATCTGTCTAATGCTGCTCGTCATCACTTTGTCTGGCTCTGGCTGAGTGCTGCTATATTCCCCATTTTATTCCTTTTTTTCTTTTCTTTTTTTCTTCACTCTGTGAGTAGCCTTTCTGCATGTATCCTCTCTCATTGCTTCCAAGTCTCCCTTGCGGGCGCTGCAGTCTGTCGTCAAGAGGGGACGACATGCACCAGGATATTGGCGTCGCGACGACCCTTGGCAATTTTGCCGAACGGCAAAAACGCCCGCCGCTTGTCCCCCTCCCCACCATCTCAGACGAAAAGAAAGAGAAAAGAAGAAAAAAACAAGCTGCATCCTAGTCCCGTCCTGCGCAATATATTGGCAATACCCTGACCCCAGATTTTTCCACGCCACGTCAAAGGACGTTGGAGAGCTGTGGAATCCTTGCGTTCTTTGGACCAGATCCGGGGGAACGGCGAAAAAAGAGACGAAACTACCTATTTTCTGCAAGTGTTTGTGGCTTACGCCACTTGGAGACGGGAGAAAAGAGTGAGAAATGAGAGGGACGTCTCACCTGTCATTTTTCTTCTTCTTCTTCAGTTTGGCTTGTGATTCTTGATCATCCATGGATTTTAGCATTTGACAAAGGTTGAAGAATTGACAATACTACCGCGCATCAGCGGAATTTCGGACAGCGGAACCAAGAGAAAAAAACGCTGATCCGGGCTGGGTTGCCTGGGACGAAGCCCCTGAAACCAAGAGGTAATTTGCTGCAAGTCCGGACACCACATGGGCGACTTTGGGCAAGCGTTCGCCCATCTTGGCCTTTGCTCGATGATCCATGTCCGTCCCTCCTCCCCTGGCTAAGCGATGGTGCATGGGTTTTTGCGAGGAGGTGGGCGCACAAGGGGGGCATTGCTGTGAGGACGCTACATACACTATTACACTCAGACCCCCTGCTCGGCGAAGTTTGGGACGCGATGCGACGCCAAGACACCACTCGCGATATCTTCCCAACGGCTGGGTATGAAGCAGACGTGGGTTGTTCGGTCGCTATTATCATAACTAGCCAAAAACACGATCAAGACCTGTCATGTTCGTTCAAGCGTTGCCCTTCCTAGCCAATTTCCGGCGCCGTGGGTCCTGGAGACTGCCCTTCTTTTATCTTCAGGGTTTTTTTGTCTTTCTTTTCTTTCTTTTCTTTCTTGTCCTCTTTTCCAAACATGCTTAGTATCCTTGCTTAGTGTCAGACGGTTTTCCATCTTGCCTCATGTGGGTAGCTTTCCTATGCCCATAACCCTGCCTTGGCCGCGGATTCGACTCCGGCGAGGCGGTTGAGGCGGATGCCAGAAACCCCAACCCCTGGATGTCATCCACTTTTAGATCACCTTCAAAAGGGCCTCGGCATGAGGGGGAGAAAGCATGAGGATAGAACGGTCTTCTTATCAGCTTGATGTGCGTTTACTCGACTGTCTTGTTTATCGCAAAGTTCGCTCGAAGTCGCCCGCCCCCAATGCTGTAAACCTGTCAAGATGCGCCCTCTTGAACTGCCGCCTTGGTTCGACACGGCAGTAAACTGCCGTCTGCATGCGAAGCAGTCGGGCAATAAAAGTGACGACGAGAGAAATCTCTCCGGCGGGGACGTTGTCGAGCCAGCGGGCGTACCTCTATTTCCCCGTCTGCTCTCCCGTTGAAGAAATATGGTAATACACCTCAAGTGGTGCTCCTCCAGTCCTCCAGACATCTATTTCTCTTGCCCGCCCGCCCGCCCCCACTATTAAACAAGTCCTAACCCTAATAGGGCCTGGGTGGTCATGTTCCGAGAGACGAATTTCTGGTAATCGTCCACCTGCTCGGCGGAATCAACCCCTTTCCCGCCGTGGGGACACCCTTTCCCACCCCTCATCAAACACGATGGAAAAGGCCCAGAAAATAAGAGAGCCCCAAGAAAAAGGTTGTTGCTCCCTTCCGGGTCCCCGAGCGTCCGTTCCCTGTTGATTTTACTTCCAGTGGGGAGAAAATGGCCCCTTCTGCCACTTGGCAGGCCTCGGCCTCACTAGGGGCAGACGGAAAACCTCTCCGTGGACATTGAGAAAAGGTTTCGCACCAAGCTTGGCTAGCCACGACCTTTTTAAACAAACTATCCATGAATGTGTGCTAGCGGAGATGCCTTGCAAGAAAGCATAATTTGGTTTTGTCACACACGCATTAGCATTAGTTTCTTCGCTGCGCGAATGTTTCCTCATTCTCGTCTCTTACTATGAACGGTTAGTCACGGTTCCATTCAAAAATTGCGGCTAAGCCCTTTCAGGATGACGAAAACAGAACGACCTCGATATTTTCATGCTCCCGCCCTTTGATGACAAGGGGGGACAATCTTCCATGTAACGGGGCGGGCCACCCTTCACAACCCCGGGAAGGATTCCCCGAATAATACGCTCCCTTATCCCTTTTAGTCAAACCGAGATTGATAGCCAACGTGCATGGCATTTGCCCGACAGGACGCGATCGCAAGGGCTCGAACCTGAGTTCTTCTATTATCCTTGGTTCTAACGTAGTATCTAACTAAGCTGTCATGAGAAATTGACAAGATCTAGTCTTGGACGTCGTAAATGATGGGGGCTTCATTAATAGGGGAGAGAGGAAAAAGAAAGAGGCGGACAAGAAGCGGGAGAAACCGCTGTTCGCCGTCGCACCAGTAAGGAAAGCCCGCCATAATCGTTGCTCATTCATCAACGTTCCATTTGCCCCTCCTTTCATTTTCTTTCCTCTTTCGGGGCGGGTTTCGTTCCACATCCCACCAAAAGGTCCCTTTGGCCTTGATGTGCTCACTAAGCCTCCTCCACCTCCCCGGTGCACCCCTGGCCCGGCGCAGCAATGTCGTAGGCGTACACGTCAATGGCAAAATACTGTATCGCGTCGCTGTCGAGCGCCGACTTGGCCGGGTCCGTCTTGGCCAGCTCCAGCACCTCGGCGTAGTCTTCGGCAAAGTGCTCCACCGCGCCCTCGCTGATCTGGGGCACGTGGAGTAGCCGGTGGAGGAGGTCCGTAGCCCAAAAGGTGTTGAGCGGCGACCCGACGACGGTGTACCTGAGCCCGCACGTCGCGTCGAGCCAGCGCCGCTTCGCAAAGGAAAGATCGCAGATGACGGTCTCTTGCGTAGCGTTGCTCCCGCGCCAGTGGCCTGCCCAGCCTGTTCGTTGCCAAAATGGAAATGATTAGCGGTGAGATCTGACAAGGAGTTTTTTTCTTTCTTTCTTATTTTTCCCCTTCCACCCCTTACAACAATAGGGCTACTCAGGATTCCATGACGGATTCTTCCCCGTGTTTTTTACGCAGGGGCTGCACGTGTTTCCCTCCCCTTTCCGAGAAACCGATATATCCATGCCAGACATGCCAACAAGGGCACGATGAGGATCGGCAAAGAAAAAAAGAAAGGGGCCAAAAAGGTCTCCAGCCCTACAGAATAAAAAGAAGGGGGAAAAAATGACAAGGAAAATCATTGCTTGATGTGGAAGAAAAAGGTTAACATACCGTCCTGGGTCGCACAGTTCCTATCCGGATCGTCACAACGGAAGAGCATGGAGCCCCTGTCGGCCGATACAACGCGTTCATACCACCCGATCGGACCGGCCGTCGACCCGTTGCCAAAGTACTTTTGCACAAAGGCGACTCGCCGCCCCATCGCAGGATATGCTCCTTGGCGTGGGCGGCAAGCGTCACCGTCTCGTCCAGCGCGCGGGTGAGCTGTCGCTGGAGCGTGACGTTGCATGACTCGTGGATGGGGAAGGCGGGGTTGACGTCGACGGCCGCCGAGTACGTGACGTTGTGGGTGAAGGCGGTGTCGGAGCTCGCGTCCGCGCGGCCGGCGATGGGCGAAGCGACGGCGGCGCCGAGGCCGTGGGCCAGGACAGCGGCGGCAAAGATCTTGGGGAGCATGGCTGAGTAGTAAAGGGAAGATAGCCGATATCGCTTGTGGGTAAAAAGGGAAGAGGAATATATATATTTATTATATTATGTCTGTGAGGGAGTTGGTGGTGGCGTCCGGGAAGCGGTGAGAAGACCTGGTGATGATGCGGTTGACGGGGACGATCTGCTGCTGTCATGCAAACTAAAAGCAAAGATCTTCAAGAGGCGTCCTTGTCAGTATTTATATCCCATTCCACCGATGAAAACCAGACGATCGGGAGCTCGAGGGTCGTCCGGAGACCACCCCACGCTTGCTCGCCGATCCTGCTTCTGCCCAGCCCACGATGGACGCATCCACCTCCGAGTGGTCGCTCCCAATTTCCATCAAGTAAAAGAAGAGCTCCGCACGCGGTGGATTCGGTGAAGAAGCAAAAGAGAATTTTTCCTGCAGTTGACAGGATTCCCCGCCGCCGTGCGTGGAAGCCGGTGGCAGCTCCGCAGTGTCCATCCGGGTACTCGGGCCCAGCAAAGGGGTCATCAGGGTACTCGGAGCCCCACTCCGAACGCCATCCTCCAAGGCATCCGCGAGAATAAGAGGGCAACGAAGCACAGAAACCTGGAAAACACCATCGGCTTTTATCGATGTTTCTGTCGATAGCTTCTCTTGGCACAAAGAGGGGAAATCCACTAGCTCCCCGCGCGGTGCCCTTGTCCTTGGAGTGGCTGGGAGGACGAGTTCGGAGGGATTGAGTGGCGCCGGCATTGGGGTATTGTGCCAAACTACTTGCTTTGAATCTAGGGTGTCATTCGATCCTTTCGGCGTAGGCTTATCGAGATGAAAATTTTCCGTGATGAGGCTTTTCTTCTCCCCGACATGGTCGTCTTTAGGTCTTCGCCAGGGAGCCCCATACCGGCGCTGAGAAGCCCACTCTTCCATCAAGGTCTTCAAGAACATTTGCGTCGTATGATAATAACCCTCTCTCTCTTGGTAACTATGCGTGAGGAGATGGTTCGCCTATTTGACCGGCTTCGTACAGCGGCCTTGGGCCACGTGGGTTGGAGAGCTGCGTGGAGAAGGGCCAAAACTGGTATCCCCGACTGAATCTTTGGGAAATGGATATATCCGATGGGGGCATGTACGAGGGATGCAGTGTGGCTGCGACTCGTCATGTATTCCCTGGCCCAAGGTTGTGGTCCTCTTCCCGTTCTATGTATTCCGCTCATTGTTAAGTATGTAGGGGTTTGCGTGAAGTCTTTGCTCGCTAGTGACCGAGGCAAGGATGGTGCAGGCATCACGAGCAGGTGCACTCTCGAGAAGGAGCTGATATGCAGCTCTTGATAGCGGTCGACGCACATCAGTCAATGTTATTATGACTTGCAGCGTCTATGCTGGCCTTGGAATTGATGATCTAGCCACGCCCTCTTGGGATAGGGCCAGGTGCTATTTCGACCCGACCTGATAATATTCTTTCGACTTCTGGAGTTATAATACACGCGCAGATTTTGATGTGTCGATATAAAGTCATCTGCGACTACACAAGAAGAGAGGTCTTCGCAGAAGTCCTCCACTCATACCGCGGGCGCGACTTCGCAGCCCGTGCGGGTTTGCCAGAACCGCAGTTTCATATCTACGGATATCTGTTAGCATTGTCGGTGTGCAGTTGGAAGGCGGGTCTCCATTGCGATTATAGACTCTTTCCGCTTGTGGAATTCCAAGGCTCGAGCTGTTAAAAGCCTTTGTTGCTCGATCTCTTCGCTCGTTGCTAGAAAACTAGATGGCTTCCAGAACTCTCAGGGCCCCCACCTCCCACGTACATTACTAGGCATCGAGAATTAAGCGGCCATATGACTCATGAAAGTCAGCCGGCAGGGTCAAGTGGTGGGGTGTGCTTTATGGCGCCATGTCACGCGTGATAGGGCTTTGCAACTGAGTATTTCCCTCAGGTGGGTTCACTGTCTCATGTTTTCTTCCAAAGGAAACACAAGTCTTATCGCACAAGATGCCTAGCTGGGCAAGGAGATGAAGTGCGTGGACAAGGTGTATTTGAAAGAATAGAGGAGCCGGCATCAAAACCATTTAACCATGCCTACTTAGGATCCTTACTGCTATAATCTAAACCTGAGGCATTCCGTGAGGTGCCCGCACTGGTTCTCCATTCTAGAGTGTTACAGGTTAATGTTAATCGGGAGAGAGGAACGCAGGGCGTGCCTAATGCTATACTTTAATGGGGATATGACCTCCAAAACTTCCCCGCAAACTCTTGCAGCTCTTTGGTCCCGAACACGATATCGTGCTCACCTGGCCCCGGTCGCCGAAGGAACAGGTTCTCAAACTCTAGACATAGGAGACCTCTAGTCACCCTGTAGGAGTTTGGGAGGAACCGTCTAGGATCATGGTCGCCAACTGATGCGGCGCGGATAATGTCGACGGTTTGAACACACTCAGGACTGACCGAAGGGACTACCTGCGCTGCCATCGCTCGGGTAGTAGCTCTACTCGGACGTGTGCGGGGCTGCTCCATCGCCTTCCACTTCTCGATTCTGATTTGGGCTATGGATCGATCCATCTTCACCAGCAGCACTATTTTAACTGCGTAGTCAGATGCTTCGAACCACCAGCGGCCCTTGGCGCGGAGGGATGCCCATGATTGTGAGTAACCAGCCTCTATTACGAGAGTTGGGAAGTCCGTCCCGAGCGGGCGCTTGGTAAAGGGTTTCCGGCCCGAGTCCCCTTCTCCTTGCGCGATCAAGTTTCCATCATTGTCACGGTGCGTAAACTCACTCCCCCGACTGGTAGAAGCTCTGACTGTAGTCCCATCGTAACTGTCTGGCAGACAATTTGATCGTTCAAGTACAAGTGAAGGAATTCGTGTGGGAAGGTCGGAACAGTCACAATGAGTAACTTTGACCTTACCGAATATAAGGACAAGCGGACTTTGCGGCCCCTCTGCTCCCTGGCTCGGTGTATCTCTTCGAAATCGGCTTCGGTAACATCTCGAAAGGTGATGTTGTCGCCCGCGGAGGCGTCTATCTTGCCGAAGAAGGCATCGACTCCCTGGAATGAAAACTCTACAAGAGGTCAGCGTATCAAATCCAGCTAAATCGAGAGGGGCGAGCCCAATACCGGTCACTTCAGATGGTGGAGTAGAAGTAGCCATTACGGTTGATAACGACATCGAGGTTGCTCGCGGGGAATGCGGTCGCGACAAACTTTGAATTCGGTGAAGTTGGGGACATTCTGAACTAGCGCGTGACACCATTGAGAGTTCAAGTTGGTCCCTGGAACTTGATGGGGAGAGCGTTGTCGTTTGGCAGGCACTGCCCACAATTAAGCTTTGGCTTGGAAAGAGCATTGAACGATCGCGGGTGCCGTCAACTCCTTCCACTTCGCTGACCTTTCGCAAGAGCACCTAATCGGGGCCCAATAAGTCTTGTATGAATGCTGTAGCTAGTTGTGTTTCTTTATTATGGATCTTTACTATGCCTATGTGTATGGCACGCAAATAAGCCGGCCCTCCGCTACTGCCAACCTACCTTCATATGCTCCCAACAGGAACCTGAGGCCTATCGACAAGGCATAGATAACGGGAAAGAGTTTCCCCAAATGCTGGTATTCGATTATGAGGTCACCAGATCAGCAGGCCTTGGCTCAGCAGATATAAGAACCTAAAAATGGCCATCTTTCACAGTATATTGAAGAAATTGGATATATCAAGGCTAATTGGCTTGATATCTATGAGGAGAACCTTGTCAAGGCTTGGGAGACCTGAGGTTCGACTAGGATCCCAAGCTAAAGTGTGAACTGCGAGGTAACGTAAAGAATTCAACGAAAGCTATACTCTCCGTACTCTCTGCGAACACTCCGGTGAATCTATAATTATCTTATCCAAGCCCTTTCTTTCGGTTATCCTCTACACTCTACAGGTACCGTCTTATACCGGATGGTGGTGTAGGAGGCCCTAAACTTGGGTCGCGAACTCTTTTTATACTTTGCGGATATTACAATTCTAGCTAGGGTGGCCTAAATCAGTGTCCTCCGTCGCTCACTCCTGCTCAGTTGCAACGAAGGAAATAGAAATGTCTGACGACCATACTGGGAACGTGTTCTGACTGCATCGTGGATGTCTCGTGTGAATTAAAAAGAAAGGCGGACTGCAGCGTGACAATTCGGTTGAACCGCCGGATGGCACGTCAACAGCTGGCGAGCATCCCCCTTTTTCAACCTCTTTGGTTGACGCCCCGAATGTCCAGAGTGGCAGGATGGGAATGCGATGACCCGTTGTCAGATCCGCAAACCGTCTGGTCGTGCGTAATCTACCCCCAACCCAACCGCACACCTTGGTCCCTGGACGAGTTTGGGTTTGGGGGAGGGAAAAGTCGGGGAAGCCTCCCTTGCCAATTGCTTTGCAATCAGGGTAGAAGAATCCAATATATTAACGCAGGAAAGCCGCAGAGAAAAAAGCCTGTCATGCACCAGCCCGGGGTGCATTTTGTGTGCCCCTCTCCCAAGCTGCCCACCAAGCATCGACGTCCGCCTCCGCTTTCTCGTCAACGGGCATGGATCTGTGGGTAACTCTAAATTTAGCCACAGGCTCGCGGCCGAGTTTGTAGTTGAGTACGAGAGCCCCCGGGTGGCTCTTGGTCGGAGGAGAAAGGGGGAGGGAGGCTTTACTGCGAGAGGGGAGGTGTGGCTAATAATCGAAGGGAGAGAGAAGAGTCGGACTCCAAAAAAGGTGGAGGGGCTTTTCATTAAAACCGACTGCAACCCTAATAATTTGGATATATACTCTTCTGTCCCACTGGCCGGGAAATGTCGACAAGCTCCGTTTTTCTTTTTTTTTCTCTCTCTCTCTCTCTCTCTCCCTTCCTTGGCTCTTTTTTCAATCTTTTTCTTTTTCTTTGGTCTACCCTCTGACTCCTCATTCCATCAGCTTGCTCCCTCCCTCACTAGGGGCGTGTGGCGAGACGAAGAAGACGAGTTGTGCCGTCCCCATGCCCATGTGTCCCAGTGTGGACACCAACCTGTCGAACCACCCCCAACTTCCTCGCCTGTTGTTGAGAGCCTCTCCCCCAAACCTTCTTTTCCTTCTTTTTTTTTTCTTTTTATTTTCTTGTTGTTGCCCCATTTCTAGCCTAGTTTCCCTTCCCCTCTTTCGACCGGCTGGCCCGTTCGACGTCAGACCCCGCCACGAAAGCCCGGTTTCTCTCGTGATGATAGTAGAAGGTTGGAGGGGAGTGGAGACCGTCGCTCGGTCGTGCGTAGGATCATACTCCTCGTCGAGTGCGTGGTACCTGTCGATCCCGTCTGGTCCGTGTAATTGCCAGAGAAGACATAAAGGGGTGGTCAGAACCGTTTTGCGCGAGAAGTCGTAGCCCAAAAAAGGCGGCCTCGTCACGGTGCGCCCTTCATGGTCGGGGAAGAATAGTACTGCATCCTCCGTTCTCACGGATTTATAACCAAGCTCTCTACTCTACATAGCGCATGCATACACAGTCATCTTTGTTGACATGGAACTGAAGAATACATTGTAAGCATCAGAGGGCAGGGAACAGGAGAGGCCATGTCAGCCCCGACGCCTCAGCTTCCCCGATGCGTCGCTTGGGCAACCCCCACCGCGTGCTTGAGGGGTCACTTGGAGATACCGCCATCAGGCGAACGAAGCCAAGGCTTGGTAGATGGTGTCAAGTTTCGAGGGTGACTCGCCGGCGTTCGTGCCTGATGACCATATTCGCGTAGTCTCCTCGGTGCTATCGGTATTGTGCAGCCCATCCAGTGGCCGCCACACGGTAGTGTTGCCCGGGCCTGCTCAGCCGTGTGTGGCAAGAGCGAACCGGAAAACCTCAAAGACAGGAACAAGGCACAGGACGGAAAAGAAAAAGAAATAAAAAGGGGAGCCAGGTTGGAGTAGATACTAGAGAATCAAGAACACTCCCAAAAGGCTTAGGGCAACGAAGCGGTACGAAGAAAAGAAGCTAAGACCGAGAGGGAGTTGGATTAAACAAGGCCTTCTATTTTTACTCGGTTTCCTTGGGTCTAGGAGCTTTCCCCGGAATCCCGGATTTTCCTCCTGGGAAAAAAGGGGGGCGGGTTTTTGTTCTGTGGCGCATTTGCGTCCGTCACGTTGTACTCGGGCTTCGGGATACCACGGTTTGGCGGTGCAAGTGCGGTGCAAGTGCGGTGCCACTTGGGATCGACGTCACGCATGGCTCAAGGCGAGGGTAGGAATACAACGTTGACGCCGACCTCGACCGGCCTTCGACCAGCAACGCGAGGATGCGATTTGTCGCCCGCCTCCGTCGCCTAACAAAGAGCTCAATATGGGATGACCGAACATCACGGGGCGGCAAAGAAGAATGAAAGGGAAAAAAGAAAAAAAGGGACTTTGGCGGAGAGAGCGAGAGAGAGATCGGCGCAGGCAGGCCAGAAGATTAGCCCACCTCGGGCGGACTAGGGGTCGAACTCGAATGACCAACCAGCTCAGCCCGTCGATGGCGATTCCGACAACCACTCCTCCTGGTAGTGGGTAGTGGAGGTGGAACGGGCCAACAGGTCCTGCCTTTTTGCTGGCGACGCATTCGTCTAGGTCTCGCGGCCGGCCCCGGGTCTGGACGACAATCTAATCGTCGTATGTCAATAGCACGGCGGCGATATAGGTCGTCAGGAACCTCTGGCGTCGGTGGCATATGCAAGAGGTGCGTCATGTGTGTGTGTGCGGCGAACGAGCTAGGGCTCGAAGCTTCCATTTGTCTCCTCTGCTATTTCTTTTTGGACTTTAATGTTCTTTTGGGAGGTTCGCCATGTCCTGCTTGACCATTTACCCTTGCCCATCGGTCTGGTACACAGAGATTGGTGTTCAAGATGGGGTGGAACCTTTGCCTGTGAACGATGAACCTGCTCGAACAAACGGACCTGGTGGCTGTTATTCGGGTAACTCCGTGGGTGGCAAGACGCCAAATGATAGGAGAAGCCTTTAATACCCGAGATGAAGCCGGCTTCGACGATTAGTGCTCAGTCTCAACCATGGGAAGCTAACGGAACTGTTTTATCCAATGAGTTGTGAGATTCAATGTCGCTAGTCCTCGATATTCCTCATGCTGACGCTCGCTGCTTGGCGTCACTGTTCTTCTCTTCTACTTTCGCCCTCTCGTTCCCCATCCGCTTTCAGCTTGGGGGTTTCCCTTCCTTAGTCTCTCCTCACTTTTCACTTTTTCCCTTTCTTCTTCTTCTTCTCCGTTCTTGACTATGCTGCCTACTAATCTTCCCCACACAGCATGCCGATTCGTTTTCAGCCTGTCCGGAATCTCGGGTGTTGCTCGGCTCAGTGCGCACCCCTGCGAGGAAAGGAATACAAAATTGCCAAGGAGTCCCGTCCAGAGATAGGGCCACCGAAAAGTGGTTTAGCAGAACCCCCAAAAACAAAAGGGTTCGCAAAAAGAGAAGAAAATAAAATAGAATCAAAGAAGATGAAAGGCTTGGCATGATGCGCTTATAGGCAGACTACTCTTTGGCCCGCGGGGGGACGCGGACTGAAAACGGCCGAGTTCGAAGCTGGCATGGATGGGAGAAGTGCGAGTTTGCTCAACCGCGAAATCATCCAGCGCGGCGCGGTGGGAAATAAAGGAAGAATACAGCACAATCCACTGTTATGCTCCCGCCTTCTTGTCCCTTCTCATGCCTGTTCCCCAACGAAGGCTAAAAAAAAAAATTAGATAAAAGAAATCACACCCCTGATACATGCCCTGGAGGCTGCATTCTCGTCTGAGCGGTCCTAGCAAAGGACTTGATTTCTCAAGAGGTCTTTAGCAACGCTTGGCGTGCCTGCTCCCCAGCCAAGACGGCCGGCCGGCGATGAGGTCTCTCGCCACGCCAGGCGGCGGTCTGTCGTGGTCTCCCTTTGATAATATCCACACCCTCCCGCCGAGTCCCTCGATAGAGTTCTATTCCTGGACTTGGGGCACGCATAGAGGGTGTTCGAGCGAGAACAAAGGCTTCAACGTTTTGATTAGGAAAAGTTGAAATTATAGCTAATCATTTACATGTACGCATCGCATCGTAGGGCTGCGTCGTTTCAATGTTGCGAGCGAGCGAATAATATCACGAACTAGAAGAAAGACGAAAGACAAAGAAAAAAATTTAAGTAACATGAAATGAAGTAAAAAGAAAAGGAACCGAAAGAGATCCAATGATGACAGGATTAAAAAATAATAGCGTGAGAATATGAATAGCAACGGGGAGGGAGGATTGGCGTGAAGATGGGTGTGCGGTAACGTGTTGGCCTAGGAAAAACTTGGAGAATGTCCCTCATTCTCATCCACGATGCTCGAAGAATGGAATCACCACGGTCTTGGTCGACTCGAGGCGGGTTGTTGGGCAATAAAGAAGTAATATCGAGTCGCTGCGAAAATTAATTGCACCTAAACGGATCAGGCGCGACCTCCGTTCGCTTTGGCGAGCGAGTCAGAAGCGAAGTTTGGTAACGAGCCCCCAATTCTGCCACACAGCGACAGAGATACACGGCATGCATGTCTTTTCTCTCTCTCTCTATTCAATTCTGCCATCCTCTCTTTCTTGTATTTTACACTTCTTTTCAGCGACATAGGCAGCCTCAAAAGGAGGAGGGAGAATCGGGTGGAAGGGGGCGGAACAGGAAGGGGCACCAAGGTGGAAAGGGAGGGATGATCGACTGGATTCTGGGTGAGCGATGGAGGTCTTGAACCTTCAGGCTAAAATCAGCTGGGGAGATGATGCACACTCTGGCGCACTGGATCCTCCGTCATGAGTGGTGGCCAGATAAAATACACAAGCCTCTACAAAGTGTTCCCCCTGGAGACGAAGGAGCAGAGCCAAAATTCGGTCGATCGAGGGGATGAGATGGGGGAGGAGGGAAAATCGCGGTACGCAAGACGACGCTGGGCCAAGAATGCTGAACGAGACGGGCACAAAAAAAACCCCCAGCGGAGAGAGGCAACAAAGGCAATGAAGCAAGGAGAGAAGGGGAAAAACAACAAAAAGATTGCAGTCTGCCACGGAGAGCCCGCGGCGGGACTGGGCGATCTATTAAAAGAACAAAGCACTATAAGAGTCTCCAGTTGTATGCCGTTCAACATCTATGGGAATAAATTGCACGGGATATCAGCTGCCTCTTTTCTCACGCTCAATTCGCAGTCTAAATAGATTAGCCCACTCGACTTTTTGGGTAGTAGTCTCCCCATGCGAGTGGCCATTTCTTCACCACCAGAAGCCTGCACAGTCCCTGTGGCCCCCCTCCCCCTTCGCTCACTCTGTCTCTCCCGAGGCTCAAGTTGACCCAGGGCTTGGCAACCCAACCTGGTTTCCTCGGAGGGAGGGAGGGAGGGGGAGGGTTGGCCAGGCACGAAGTCTCCTTTGTGCGGCCTGCTCTCCCCGCCGGTACGTGGCTCTTCCGCTTCCGGCCGTGGCATGAAGGACCCGGCCGTCTCCATTCGCTGCCGCTGTCCTTTCTCTTGTCTTTCGTTGTTTTTTCTTTCTTTTTCTTTTTTTCCTCCCCTTTTTCTTTGTTAGGTCCACACACCACACACCACACGCCACACACACACCACCACTCACATTCTACAAGCCGTGTCGTGTCGTCCAGGGCCGGGCTCGTGCACATACGATTCTCCCTTTGCCCCAGTTCGGCGTCCGCGCCGGCACCCTGACCCTTTCGACTGGGCTTGCCCAGCCAGCCAGGGGAGCTCGGTTCCGCCTCACCAGAGTTGGCCCGCGCAACGACACCACACACACACACACACACCCAAGTCTTTGCACTCTATCCACACTCTATCTATTATGGGTGTAAGTTGGGGATAAGTCAAGCCCGTTAGATGCAGATTGGAGAACAGCAACCGATGCACGCCCCCTTCCCGGTTCGTACGTTCTAATGTTAGCACCACGAGCTTGTTTAGAATTTTTTAGATTGATCTTGTTCTTCCTCCATGACGGGTAACGAAGGCAAAATGAAAGGGGAAAAAACAGGAGATGTCCTTAAATCATTGCGTGTATTTAATGCCCCGTTCCCCGCCCTCTACCGACATCTATAGCTCTAGAATTTCAACATCACTAGCTTCACATTCGAACCAAACAACATCTACTCTCTCTCTCTCTCTACAAACACTCCTCTCCCTCTCTCTACCCAACTCAACTACCTTACTTCCCTCCTTTCTCCAACCAACCCAACAACAATCAATATGCGTTTCTTCGCCGGCCTTCTTGCTCTGCCCGCCGTGGCCCTCGCTGCCGCCCCCTGCCGAACAGATCACCATCAGCTCTGTAACGCACTCCGGCAATGGCTGCCCCCAGGGATCCGTCTCTAGCATCATGAACAACGAGAAGACGGTAAGTTGATTAGTCTCCGGGGCGGAAATACAATTCCCGACCGACTTGGAATATCAAGCGGAAGGAACGGCAGTATTACCAGCAGCACGGTGGTGATGTGATGGCGGGTTGCGCGCAAATTGGCTAACACGGAACTTTCTTTTTCTATAGATCATCACCCTTGGTTTCGATCGATTCCAGACCTACATCGGACCCGGCACCTCGATCCAGGACCGCTCCAAGAACTGCCAGATCCACGTGAACCTCAAGTACCCCTCTGGCTTCAGCTTCGCCATCGTCGACAGCGTCTACCACGGTTTCGCCCTCCTCGAGTCCGGCGTCACCGGCGACTTCCTCTCCACCTACTACTTCTCCAACGACGCCGCCAACACCTGCACCACCCGCACCAGCATCGTCGGCGGCGGCATCTGGGCCGACGGCCAGGTCTACACCCAGCAGGACACCGTCCCCGCCACCAACGTCATCCGATCTCCCTGCAGCGGATCCGATGCCATCCTCAACATCAACAACCGCATCAACCTCTCCTCCACCAAGTCTTCCGCCTCCGGCATGATCTCCAACGACGATGCCACCCTCGCTCTTACCCAACAGATCAACATCAAGTGGTACTCTTGCTAAGCGCCGCAACTGTCAACCAAACGATGGAGCGGGTCTGATCTCGCGGTGACATAGAGTGAGCCGGCGGGGGCCTGGCGTGGGGCTATTTGGGACGGGGCAAAGAGAGGAGGCCACTTTTTCTTTTGGTCTCTGTCTTTCTGCTCTGTGGGAGTCTTTCAACCATTTTTCTTTTCTCTTTTTATTTATTTTTATCTTGCTCTATGCATCTTGTGCCGGTCTGGTATTTATTTATTCATGTTCATATTTTTGAAAGTTCCCGGTTCGGGCCCGGTGGGCATGGATGGATCCCAAGATATCAGACGCCTTTTTACGCCACGCGGTGGGAAGGTTACGGGGGACTGTTGTGTTTACGGCAAACTTGACGGAGGAAATGCGCAAAAGGGCTTACTCTTCCTGCGCGTTTTCTCGTCAACGGAGGGTGGGGGTTGGGTTTTCATCTTCTTTTTCCTTCGTTTTCTCCAACTATTCATATGTCGCCAGCATTTTTTATGTCTTCTATCCAAACACTGGCTCCTCAACTTAACAGCATACCTTTCACCACCAACCTCATGAGCTATTCGCGCGTTTTGCTAAAGATCCATTCATGTGACGTGACATCTCCGACCTGCCATTCACCTTGTAGTAACCCTCTAATGGCACATGGTGCCGAAGTGCCCGTGTGACGTTGAGATATGTTATGAGAAACGGGCCTGTAGCCTGCCAATATTTTCAGTTCCAGTGGCATGCACCCACCCGGTGTAGTTTACCAGCGAAAGGATACAAGGTGCACGCAGCCATCTTGCAAATCTATGACAAAGCTAGCGAGAAGTTGAGATGCTGGCGGTGCAGACTTGAGAAGGGTTCAGTGGGCTATATATGCAACTGGTGGCATGCCCCTCAATATAACTTGGCCTGCTAGGTTCCCGAGTTCAAACGTTATTAGAGTAGGCGCGTAGCCCGGCAAGTAAGGAGCATTTGGGCCGGGGCAACCTCTGCATACTTTGAAACTTACTTACCCCGGCCCCGGCATCGTGGCCGCATATGTCTACCCCAAGATTTCATCTGAGGATATGAGGGTGGGCGGCATGAGGAAGAGCGAAGGGGGACAAAGGGGTCGGGGAGATGATGTTGTGGTTGCTAATATCGTGCCACTTATTAGCCAGACCGTTGTTCTTTCATCCCAAGGGTTGAGGCGGGAGCTGTCATGTAACTTGTTGGGCGCTTGCGCAACTGCGGCAAATGGGCATTAAAGTCTTTCGAGGTCTTCCTGTTGTCGCTGCAGTTGGACCTCCAAACCGTAGGTGGTACGGAAGTAAACAAAGCACGGCACTACTACTGAGGTAGATATATACATCTATCCAGGATGTAGTATTGGGACAAACTAGAACCAAATGCGACAGAGTTTACTGAAGACTCCGAAAGCCAGGCTACCTGTATTGCATCAATGTGTGATAAGCCTAGAGCAGAGAAATCATCCTTCCTTATCAAACAATAACGGTCGCGAAGAGAGTTTATAGAGGTATGTAGAAAACTTGCGCCACATTCTATCCAATGCAGTTGTGCAGTTACAGTGTCTCTTACACCACCGTTTTCTCATTGATGCCTGATACATGGATGTTGAGGCGGACTTGCTGTGCGCCTAACCTGTCACACCTGCAGACGGCGCGGAGCTGAGTGCATTTCTGTCTACATGTACATGTAGTCTTGTTCGAATTTTCCACTTTGCTCTTTGCAGCCTTATCGGACCCCGCATCTTGGGGATGACTTTTCGCCTCGCCAATTTTGGAGCATACTCCTCAAACAACTTATCTTCTTCGTTCTCACCGATGAGTCTTGACTATTGGATTTTGCGGATCTCTTATCTGGGCCTTAAGACCCAGACCTCTCACCAGTCGCAATGCCACAGCAATCCACGCCGGTTCCACCCACTTCCTTGATCATGAATCCGCCGACCAACCAGGCCCGATCCGAGATCGAGACGGCAATACGCGAGTTCAAGGCCGCACTAAGTAACAATGAGTTGTACAACAAGATATTGGAGACGAAGACAGTAGACCAAGTCTATGACGCACTAGAAGATCTGCAAGAGAAACAGGCGGCGAATAACGCGTTGGGTCATCTGGCAAAAGTTAGCCCATACCTAGATCGGCTCCGCGAGTATAGCGGGGTTCTAGACACCTTCGCTCAAGTAGAACCAGATATACTATGCCTACTTTGGGGACCTATAAAGCTGCTTCTACAATTCGCCTCCGTGCTAAAGCAGTCATTCGACGATATCGTGAACACGATTGAGGAAATTGGAGAACCGTTATCAGAGCTTCATGTTTTCGTCAAGCTTTTTCCTGACAAAGAGTGCATCCCCGGATCCTAGCGCTCATATTTCAGGACTTGCTCGACTTTTATTCTATCGCACTCGAGTTCTTCAAAGGCTCTCGTAAGGAACATAACCTGAGTAGTATATCCCCAGATGGAGTAGGGTTCCTAATGCTTGGGCAGACTGGAAACTCATGTACGAAGCCTTATGGCCGAAGAAGCGAGCGAAAATAAGAGTTGCCGTCTCAAATCTCGAACGCCACTGCTCACAACTGCGGAATCGAGTTCAATTAGAACATCTCCACGACGAGGCAAACGCCCGGACTCGGGCTTTCGAGCACTTTGAGAAATCTGAGAAAGCCAATCAAAGGGCAGAGTACAGGAGAATCAGAGAATCTTTCTCCCCGAAGGAATACTACGCAGACCTAGAAAGACTTGGCAGTTTGGTATGTAAGGGTACTGATCACTGGCTTGAGAAAGACGAAGACTTCCTCGGATGGCTCCAACCATCACAGACGACAGGCCAGATTATATGGCTCCAAGGAATCCCAGGTGCAGGTATGTCAAACTGCTATAAAGATGTCTATACCCCGTCTTAACTCTAATATTCCATCGAGGGAAAACATTCCTCAGTAGTATGGTGGTCCGTAGAGCGTTGAGCGTGGCCCCGACTCTTTTCGCTTTCCTCAGCCACAAGCTTTCTACCAGCACTACAGCACGATCAATCACCCACTCATTACTATTTCAGCTTTGCGATAACATTGAGGACTTGCAAGAAATCTTATGTGAGGAAGAAACTCAGAAGTTGAAGCTTGACCTAACAGCGATAGTATCTGTGTTCGGAAAGCTGCTCCGTATCTCCGGCCCGTCTTCGTTGTGATCGACGGTTTGGACGAAATTGATGGCATAGAGCGCACTAGACTGCTAAGATGCTTGCTGGAGATTTCAGCCGATTGTGAGGCTATGAGACTACTCATCAGTTCTAGGATAGAAGCCGATATAGGAGGAATTTTGAAAGCTCGAAGCACTCCGATTCGGGTGGATAACCGAAACCTTGGAGGTATACAATCATATGTCTCTAACCACTTAAATGTATGGTTCGACGACCGGAATTTCATCCCTACGGCCCAAGCTGAGATCACAAAGCTGCTCGATCCACTAGCATACAAAGCTAGCGGTATGTTTTCGCTGCATTCCGGCCTCGAGTTCGACTCAACTAACCTTAAAAGGAATGTTTATGTACGCGAGGGTCGTCCTTAGCACAGTGGAGGATATTGATGATATAGAGTCGATACGGGAATCCCTGCAGGTGTTGCCAGAAGATCTTGATGATGCGTATGAATCCGACTCACGTAAATACAGGCAACCCTTGGTACTAATACTTCATGTTAGGTACAATCGAATTCGGAAACGCATCGACCTTCTCAAGCCAAAAACGCGAGTAGATAAAGCACGCAGGCTGTTGGGGTGGGTTGGATGCTCTCCTGCCCTATGACGAAGCAAGAACTTGAAGCCGCCCTCACAATACGCGCGGGTGATTTCGATGGCTGCAAGGGAGTTATAGCCGAGACAACAGCAATCAGAGACTGCGGGCCTCTTATTGAGGTTGTTGATGACTATGTCCAGTTTGCACATTTTACAGTCAAGGAGTGAGCATGCTCTCATCTTCACAACATTGCCCGGCTGACCAAATGCTAATATGCTGATATAGGTATATTTTCAGCTCCCACATTCCGAATAATCCTGTCAGCCTCGTGGAATCTAGCTTTCTTCTCACCAATTGCTGTATTCAGTACCTCTGCCAGCGCCACCATGACGAAACCCTGTCTGATGACGAATTCGGGAATCTCTTGCAGTTAGGTGTATTCCGGCTCCATGATTACGCCTCCCTCATGTGGTTGAAGCTTGTCGAGCAATGCTGTCGGTTCTCTGATGCAGTACCTAGAAGCGATCAGAGCGAGCTCCTTCAACGGCTACAAGCAACGAGGAGCAATCAACACTTTCGCCAACAAAAGGAGTCTAGTACTTCGGTCATTCTAATGTTCAACCCCTTCAAGCCCGACACAGACGTCTACAACTTACTCAACAGAGCAGCGGCTTTTGAGAGAAAGTGTTCCGAGGAGAGTTTGACAGACGCAAAGGTAAGATATGACGTACTTGCTAGTTACCACTTTTGCTAAGAGTATTAGCGGCTCCTTGGATTGGGCTTGATCCTTGACAATGACGACCACTTCGACCAGACTCATACCGGCCGTCGATCAGCTGCTATGCGGAACTGTATCTCATCGAAAGGGCTGCCGATGTAGTGAGGTCCAGTGGCACTTTGGTCCGCGGCCCTTCAAGTGTAACTTTTTCGGATGCTTCTACACCCGCCACGGATTCGGGAAGAAGGGCCTTCGCAACTCCCACCAGAATTATCACGACCGACCTTGGAACTGTACAGAAGCCGCCTGCCAGTTTTCGCAGGGCTTTCTGTCCCGCAAAATGCGAGATCAACATTGGGAGCTTTGCCATCGCGAATGCATTATACCACCTGAAATCCCGGCAAATATTCCCGGCGACGAGAGGGTCCCTCTTTTGACGGATCTAATCAGGGCGAACAATGCCGAGTTATTTTCATTGGTTGCTCTTCAAGACTTAGACGACGATGAATTGCGCCAAATTTCCAAGATGGTTGGGCGATTTGGCTCAATTCCCGTTGCTCAGGTGTATCTCGCCCATTTTAAACAGATCAAAAGACGAGAATGACCGATACGGACTTGATGATCCGTGCGGCAATTAACGCCGGCAATATCGATATATTTCACTATTGTATGTTTGACAGTACATGTGGGATCATGATTGCGTTTTCTGATGTCCTAGGAAGCATATTCAAATCTTCCGTGGAGGCATTTCGGGATAACTGGGAACAGTTAGTGGATGAAGAGTCTCAACGTCGTGCAGCGGGGCAGCTCACGCAAGGCATACAACTTATACCGTTCGGACATCGATTCACCGCGCTAGATATTCTTGGAGCTTCCACTGCAAGGCCGGAAAATGTTGTGCTTTTGCGTCAAATTTGGGATAGGATTGACCTTGCAGGAACCATGACTACAGCCTATCTTGGAAAGGGCCTTCTTAACATTGCTGCAACATGCTGCTCTGTTGAACTAGCGACGTACTTCCTGGATGCAGGGGTACCTGTTGACTACCGAAAAGGCGACACGTTTCTCACTCCTCTTCATCATGCGACGAGACATGATACAGCCGTCGCAGCCAATTTCATTAGGTTTCTTTTGGAGCAAGGAGCCGACCCATATGCCTTTTCCGGGTCAGATACATCAAGTATTAGGCGGATCAATGATGAAAAGGGGGCTCAGAATATCTCAAACTGGCTTGGAATGACGTGGGACGAGCTTGTAGAAGCAACAAAGGCTATCCGGGAAGGTAAAAGAGTAGTCTAGCCCTCTAGCACACGAATTGCGTTTTCAATCCGACTAAGCCGTGCTCTAAAATGGGACAATCTAGGGCCCTTGTAGCGTTCTTGGGAGCTCATGGACGCGGATAGGTTGCGGATCGCAAGGCTTTTCATTAATGTTTCTACGTGTTTTCTATCCCGAGTCATAGTCCGTCATGCTCCCTGATAGAACCTTTTGGAGTTTCTGGAGATGTTATGAGTTAGTGCGACGTTCCAAGGGAGTACAATTAGTTGCATGGCCAAATAGCCGGAACCGCTTCTCACCATCCTTCTCTCCTCCTCAATCTCGTGATGAGATATTTTAGCCGAATCAAATGACCGGCTAACTAGCCTCAATTTGTCACGCTGAACCCATTGGATATACTAACAACATGTGAGCCGTGAGGTACCCAAAGACAAGAGGTAGACAATAATTTACATTCTCAATAGTGTCTTTGACAATGTATCGCCGCACAGTGACCTCTCGCTCTTGGCCTATGCGGTGAACCCTATTCAACGCCTGGGCTTCCGCCATCGGGTTCCAGTGAGGTTCGAGAAGGTGGACGTGGTTTCCGGTGACGAGGCTCAATCTAGAAAGGAAACGGTTAGGACAGCAGCGAACATGGGGATAGTAAAAAAACAGCATGCACTAAAATATGTGGATTGGGGATTGGGGGTTAGGGTGGACATGGTGGAGGGTTTGGTGTCTCACCCTTCTCCCGCACTTCCGATACTAGCCAACATCACTCTGCATCCTGAGTTTTGATTGAATATTTTGATTGCACTCTCTCTTTGCAGAAGTGTACTTTGACCGTCCAATCTCTGGAATGAGAGGCCTTCTTTTTGGAGGGCTTCTCCTACAAGGTCAAGCATCGTGGTCCAGATACTGAAGACAATGCTGTCAACGGGGGTTGATATCAACTCATTAGCCTCACGTTAGGGGCGCACTCGAAGCAAAGGTGATCGACAAACCTCTTCCCTTGAATTGGCTGCCCATCGACATGGGCTTGTTCGTTGCGTAGATTCTGAAGGAGCGCTCTTAACTTGGAAGAGGGACTAATAGAGCTGGCACGTTCGAGGGCGATATGAGTTCTCGACACGCGTTCTGAACGATTCGACCTACGCTTCAACCTAGCCTCGGTAGAAGGTTCATTTGGAAAACCGGTCATCTGAGAGCTCTGTTCGCAGGCTTCACTACCATCGTCGAACCGCGTTAGCATGTCCCAGTCCACGTTGTCGTTCTTTTCCTTCCAACTTTGTAATGCGGGGTCCGGTAACATCTCTTCTCCGTGATCGCATATTCTTCGGAGGAAATTAATCAAAGTCACGATGTTCCCTCCTCTCGAACCATCCGAGCTCCGTTTCCTCTGCCTCATCTCGCCCTCATCTGAAAGTCCGGCGGCAAGTTTTGCGGCCCTATCCCTGAAGAAGTTATAAAGGAGTCGTTCATTCGGGTCTAGGTCTATCTCATCTACTACTTCCGTCTTCTGGGGAGATGCAGTGAGAGTCCACATGACTCTTTCGTTCGGCGGATGCATGTCGCGCGGATAAGATGACCGATGGAGTCGAAGCATGATGGCTTTTTTGTTTTGATAGGGGAGTGAACCCACTGCTCGAACTGGGATTTCACACAGAGCTGGGGTACCCGAATGAATGATATGAGAGAAAAGAAGTCGGTGAGGGAGTTTCGAATTGGCGTCCCTGTGACGCACCACCGTGACATTGCGTTTAGACGTGTGGCAGCCTGGAAGGTGATGGAAGATTGGTCGGATAAATGGTGGGCTGCCAATTTCATTAGATCAAGATCAGAAAAGCCGCATTCTAAGTGAACGATGACACAATGCTCACCCTCATCTAAAACCACGCGGCGCCATTTTCGCAAGAAGAGGGCATTTCCATTCTTCTCCTTTTCGGATCGCATTGTTTCGTATGTTGTTAGAACGACATCAGCTTCAATAAAGTAGCTACTCTGACTTGAGCGACCTGGTCCGTGGTAAACTGCCAACCGAAGCTGTCTGGGACGAATATGCCTAGAAGGTCACACATCAGATCTATCCGTGCTTCAGGGAATCTTCAGGGCATGTAGTTCTTACGTTGATATTTGCCTCTTCCACTCTGGGATTACTGGTGAAATCTTCGTGAGTTGACCTTCAATATGGAGTAGAAATGGGGGACTCACTCGACTTTGGAGTGACTATCAATGTTGCGTGAGCGTCTTGAGGCGACTTGACGCTGCTTGCGTCGAGCGAAGCGCATATCAGAGCCAGAACTGTCAACGTCTTTCCAAGGCCCATATCCTTTCGCGTATCTAACTTAGTCCAAGAACTGAGATGCAGTGACAATGGCTCGCTTACATCCGCAAGTATACCTCCGCTAACGGGAGGTGGACTGACTTCAACAGATCCCGTAATTTTATGGCGGTATCTATTACATTTGGTTAATTCGCGGAGGTAGTTAATACAGACCTACTTAGAGGCAAACATAGAAGGTACCTCGAAGTTCCGCTGGAATCAGGAATCCTGTTCCATAGGGATGGAAACCCGGTAGTTTCCAGTATCCCGGACTCTTTTTCAACCATCAGAGAGAGGGCGGCGAGTTGATGACTGTAGCACCAACCTGGTCAGCAGACACGTTCTATTTCGCATGTAACCGAGGCTAGGCACTAGTCCCAGCTTGAAACAGAGCGAATGAACTTCAACTGACGATTTCAAGGTGGATTTAAGCCTAGAGCTTGGATTTGTAGCCGTGGATTCACTCGGGTTTCCAGCGGAGTCAAAAGTCTCATCAATCGGGCCATCTGCACTTCGTCGAACAGCCCATCCCGGTTCATATCTTCCTCCTTAGAATCTTTGAGATGTGACAGAAGTATCGGCTTAGGCATAACACCTCCTGGTCGAACAAAGTAGTGGGGATTCCAATATTCAATACCCCAGCGACATTCAGAGGTGTAAGGATGCTGGAAGTGAAACCCTGCATCTGACAGGGCCTTGCTTACTCCTTGCATCTGGGACTTGCAACCATGTACTGTGATTCTTAGAGTGCAGGCGCTACCAGAACTCACCTGTTTTGTGGACTTTTGTTTCCCCTTCTTAACCTTGGATCTGTCGCCATCCCCGGGCGAGGCTGGTGCCACCAGATTGCCGGAGTATTCGATATTGAATCTATCCCGAAGCTTGGGAAATACTTGGTTGTTGAGAATGCCAGCATATGCCTTAGAGTCTTCGAAGACGATTTTCGTTTGACCACCCCAAGATATCAAAGCCACAGGTGCTGTCCTGACCCCGCTCTTACCCTCCCACCTGCTGTTGATTTCAACCGTTACCTTTTAGGGTGTTAGCAATATACGGCACTAGAAAGAGGGGAGGGTATCGAGTGACCTTACCACTCCAAAACAAACGTCAATCTCGGGGTCATTGCGATACCTGGCTCAGAGGAGTTGGTAGAAGCAATTTCAACAGACGCTGGCACTACGGTTAGCTGTTAGGCTTCAACAAATGAGTAGTATTCCCTCTATAATCCTACCTTGTGAAATATTATCCCGGTCCAGGGTTCCGTCCATAGAGGCCTCGTTGGGCGTCCAAGTTACCGGCTCGGTTATGGCGACTCCAACCGAAACCTCTCGGATCGCCGAGGATATAGTACACATCTCACCGCGTGGATATGGTGAAGTACCCGTAGCCACGGCAGTTGGGTGCAGTTCCCTTCCTTCGAAATCATATGCCGTTACCAAGGCTTTTGAGGATCTTCCGGTATGTCGAGACCCCAAGAATATTGATCCACCACATCTACCATGGCCGAGTCCAGATTTTCTTGCTCATGGAAACAAAAACTGGACGCGCATGGCTCAATGCTGTTCATATCCGCGTACCAGTCCGTCCCCGGAGCCCCGATCGCGCCCTGCGCCCAATCCCATGACGACCTGGTGCTGGCTAGCGCTTGGCTGGCAACAAATTCGGTACAGATCCGTTTCGCCGGGTTAGACCCTTGGCGATCATCTAGCGGCGCTTGGGGTCGTTTCTCTCGTTCTGGAAGCCTATTGTCGCGGGTAATCGATTGATTATCCATGACTCTTTGTGTGGGGGAAGTTGACGATGGGTGAGAAAAATTGAATGAACATGGCATTGAACGTAAAAAGGATCACAGCCTATATGTATGTAGTTTGCAGGCAGTATGTGCTCTTTTGCCTCAGCCACAACCTATCCTGCACGCCCTACTCGCCAGCCAGTGTGAGCTGTACAAAAGCCTCAAAACGAAGCGCATGAGTGTTCTCCCCAAGCCACCGAAAGGCGTTTTCCCATTTACTTGGCCCCCGCCACTGCAAGTCAAGTGATCCGAGATGTGAGAGCCTTGTTTTCAAGCTAAGTACCACAGTAGGAGAGGTCGAAGTCGTGGCTGAGGGGTTGGTAGAGTAAGCGCCAGGACGAGTGTTGGTGCCCAATGGAAAAACAAGGCTTTGGCCGTTCCGGAAGATGAATGCATATACTGGGGTGTCCAAATGCCTCTCCAGTGGCTGAAAATTGAATGTTCGATGCAAGCCTCCATGTATGCTGTAAAAGCCTGATTTGCAATACGGCGACGCAAACGGACTTATCAAGGTTGTCGGATTTGGCAGCACGCAGTCGTTTTAAACTCATTCCTTGCATCTTTGGGGCACCATAATATACCACTACCTTGTACCCAGGACCAACGGGACCATCACAGAGGAAAACCATAAAAACGGCCTCAAGAATCAATTCACTGCTCCTTTCTAGCTAGAGCAATACAGCTAAATCGCAGATCCTCCGCCCCTTCACTCTCATTCAGCTTGATAATACGCTTCAACCCCGCCTCCAGCGCCCGGGGACTCAGCACATCCTCATCCTCGCCAAGCGCCCCCTATCCAGCGGACCCGCCCTCGACCCTTCCAACTCCCACAACCTCCCGTCCACCTTGACAAACGCGACAAAGTGCTGCCCCGCGTGTCCCTCCTCCGCGGGGCCCGCGACCGTATCCCCGCGCTGCTCGACGGATTTGTGGGCGGCCTCGAACCCGTCGTCGTCGTGGAGCATGGCGGCGCGCTCCGCCACGCGCAGCGGCACCGCGCGCGCGCAAGCTCGCAAGGTCGGAGCCCGGACGGATGAAGTCGGCGGCGGGGCCGTTGACGGCGCAGTGGAGGAGGCCGATGGACCCGCAGGCGTTGCCGATGGTCTGCCGGAACCAGACGACGGGTTCGGCGGGGCCGACGCCGGGGTAGTCGGGTGCGTCGGCGTCCTCGGCTTGGCGGTGGCGGTCCCAGGCGGGGGTGAGGGGAATGATGACCAAGAGGGCGAGGGCGGGGCGGGGATGTGCGCGAGGAGTGCGGGGTCGTCGAGGGAGTAGACGTCGTAGAATTGTAGGTCGGGGAGAGGCCGAGTTTCGTTGCGAGCTGGGTCATGACCTCGGGATTATTCTCTATGCGTTTCCGGGATAATTAGCCCTCATTTGATTTTTGCCGTAGCGCCCGAAACGAGGTAGGTTGGTGTGAAGGGGCGTCGGAGGAGTGGACTGCTACAAGTGTGGCGCTTACCCAGCATCACCCACATCTTTTTCTTCTTATCCGCATCCATGGTCGCGTCGGTTGACTATTTCTCGTTGTTTGATGAAGAAGAAATGGCGGACGGGGTAAAGGTTGTGCCAGACGAGAATGATACCGGGGTTGTTTGCTACTTGCACGACCCATCGCCGCGTGTGCAGGCAACTGCCTAGTCTAGGCTACGGATTTTAGGGCCTCAAATCGGACATATCACAGTTGGCTGGCAACTGGGAGAGGGTACATAATTGATTGGCGTTCCTAACGCGACTGCCACTCACCCACGAGTTGGAGTAGAATGGATCTATCCGAGGACAATTCGAATCTACGAATAGGTCTTGCCTGCCAATGGCTACAGGACTAGGCATCTTTCTCTTTAGAAACTATGAAATCAAGGCGCTTCTCAGATTGTCGTAGCAGAACCTCACGGAGAGGCTGACTTACTGCCAGGCAGGTGGCAAAAGCCTAATGAATCGCGTTTGTACTTGTCGAGGACTGGTACGGTATTCACCCTCGGTCTCGATATCCCATCTAAGCTCGTTGAGCTATGTGTACGCTACGAGTCAATTTGACGACTCTCTTGCTCCTCCGGCTCCCTAAAGTCAAAGGCAACGTAGTCCCCCTCTCGCTCGACCCACCAAACGGTAAAGTCCTCATCGCAGGCAAGACCTATCTCGATTTCCCGGTCCCAACTGTCGTCCCAGACCTTGTTACTAAAGTTGAGGGGATACAAGTCATCGCGCTTCTCTAGCGCCCTTCGCGTTCTCTCCCAGCCACCGGCCTCAACATCGACGTCGCGGGTGGTGATGACGGGCCTCGAATCCACCGCCTCGTAATTATCGTAGTAGACCCGGAGAAACTGCTGGTTCCTGAACACGGACGCTCGGGGGCTCCACTCGCCCTGCTCGTCCCCCACCATATCATCGCCGTCGTTAATAAAGACCCTCCGAACCCCCATTTCTTGGTCGTGGTACTGAACGTGATTGAGACCTGGTGGTGGAACCCCATTCCCACTCGCCAGGCTTTTCTGGAAGAGTACTCTCATGAGCCCTGAAGACGAATCGAAAAATCTCGTACACACCCTCGTCGCTGCTGTAGATCCCGGGCCAGATATCATTATCCCACCACTGCGTCGACTCTCCTCTTATCCTCGCTTTAGCTTGTGCCAGCTCCGACTCGAAAAACTCGTTGTCCCGGCCAAGGACGGATTCCATCACCGAGCGCATGGTATCTAAGACGGGGAACTGGAACGTCGCGATGTGCGTTGTGCCGCTAAACTCACGGACCAGCAAGACGTCGTTGCCAAACTCAGAAATTGAGCCGCCAAACGCAATGAACACGCCGTCTGGATCGTGCGGGTGGGGAAGGAAGTTGGGGAGGTATTGCTTTAGAGGCGGTGGGTCGAACTTAGGTATCTTGAGGAACGAGGGTTTTGGAGGTGGTTCACGACCGGTGCACATGAAGGTGCGCAGGCTTGGGGGCAAATCTCCTAGCAGGTCAATAACGTGGGTGACGGACAAGTTAACCCCGTCATGTGAAAACACGTGGATTTTCGATAGGTTGGAGGCTACAAAGACTCTGTCACCCCAGGTACGGACACTTTGGGCCTGTTGTAGAGATGACGCCTTTGAGTCTGGGAGCCTATACTTGACCTCAACGTCGGTTACGAGGTGATAGAAAGCTCTACATGCATGCGTGAGTAGAGTATCCGACCGTGAGCAGGAAGAATGAAACGAGAAGTCGACTTACATTTCCTCTGTTGTAACTGACCTAAATTGCGTCGCCACAACCAGTAACGATTTACCTATAGCGTACATGCGCGGGCCATGGAAGAATACCCAGTCTTCCTTTAGTAGAATCTTTCGCCTCCGGGTGTACAAGTTATCGACGAAGACATGAGAACGACCATCATGCCAGAGGACATGCCCCCGCCATAGGCCACGACGCCGGGGCGATCTCCAAGCTGATCACGGGACCAAGGCTGCTCACGGTACGCCGAGAGATCGAATTCGAAGGGACAGGGTTTCTGCGCCTCCCAATCCTGCCACGAGACGTCGATCACGGCGGTGTGCTTTCCGTGTCGCCGGCGGAAAAACGTGCGGCACGCCCGCCGGAAGGAGGATAACGTGTGCGGGTGCGGCAGCGTGGGGAAGAATCGGCGGCAGAGGGCCGCGGTGGTGGACGGTTGCGTCCACGCGGCGTGCCAGCCGCGAGAGACTTGGGCGCAGGCGAGGAAGTCTTCGAGGACGAGGTGGGAGGCGATTTCGGGCAGGAGTGAGGCGGGAAGGCGCCCGAACCCGACGGGTGCCGGATCCTGCCCGCGGTCGGGATTGGTGGGGGTGCTGCCCATATTTGGTGGACCTCGAGTGGGTGACAGCGCACTACACGTGCGGGAAGGGTTTGAGGAATCCAGGCTACGTCAAGCTATGATGGTCAAGAGGGAGGGAAAGCTACACTCGAGACAAACCTTGGAGACTAAGCTGCCGTCACCGACGCCTTTTGGAGAAGCAGTGTTTGGCATCGAAAGTAGACTCAACGAAAAATGTTGGTTGAGGGTGTTGGTGCACCTCTCGGAGAACCAACTGCGCAGAAGCTGATTACATAACGCCGTCAAACACATCCTCGTCGCTGGCAGCTGGAGGTTCAGGGATCACGATATCGCCAATCAAGCTCATTCGCCAAAGTCGGCGCATTACTTGTGCCCAAGTTGAAAATGCCTCTTCGTTTCCTCTGGGGTGCTCCGACAAATATACGGCGAGGAGAAAGACCCCCGTACTCTCGAGAAAAATGGGTTGTTTTTAAATGAGAACGCAAACGAACTTGACCCGCTCACGAACATCATCTTCGTCGACAGCGAGCCTGGTCCAAAGAAATGAGAGCTATTAATCAAGAAGGAAGCTAAGAAAGCCACGCAAGACTAAGGAGACGCTCGACCCACTCGCTTAAATCCTTCTTCGGCGAACCTGAAGCACCGATACACCAAAGTCGAGAATGTCGGTGAATTAAGGTTAACAGTACCTTGACGCCGTTCGCATTTCTCGTCGGTGGCGGCAGGTAGGATTTTGGACTGCAAGGGAGGAGAGCAGCACGAGAACAGGAAAGGATGGCCGTGCCCAAAGCCATGGCTCTGGGCTGGCCGACCAGAATAGACTGGTCTACATGTATACATGGATGCGGTGTTGATCGTACATAGATCCATGGATGTATATTGCTGGACCTTGCCTCCCCTCTTGCGCTGATTTCTCCCTCTTTTCTGCTCCCCTCTCAAACTTGAAGACTCAGAACGGGCGTCTCCTCCCCTCGGAGAATGTAACCTCATTCAGCCCCCAAGTGGGTTGCTTGACCCGAGCCGAATAGAGTGTCTGGAGCGAAAAACGGCAGCTCTTTGTCGACGTAAATGGAAGATGACAAGAAGCAAACTCTAAATCAAAATAAGCCGCCAAAGTTACGAAGTTATTTCGTACCAGAGAAACCGCCGTTTTTCCAAGCCATAAAGAGCCCGAGAAACCAAATTTGGGGAACGCGCAAGTAACAAGTAACCACAGATGTGGCGGCGTGCTCGAAATGACCGGGCTGGCAATCCTCTCCCAGTTTGCCCTCCAATCCCCGCTAGCTTCCCCCTTTCCCCATGTTTCATTTTCTCTCGCCGGGGTCTAGGACTTTATTACGCGACCCCTCTCACTTGCAGCAATCCCAAGATCGAATGAGGCCATCCCCTCCCCCTTTGCGCAACTCTTGTTGATTGCTGGCCCGCCCCCTTCCCAAGAAACGCAACTGGACTGGCTCTTGGCTGGCTCGATGCACACGAACGACACCACCACCAGGTCGTCGGAAACCCTGGACGTCGCTTCAACGCCCCGCCTTTCCTCAATCGGGAGCTTCTTCCCAACCTGGCTTAGAATCGAATATGTGTTGTGTCCTATAGGATAGGGCTTAGCACGCGACGGGGAAGGGAGACGAGGAGAGCTGATCCCTTTCCCCTTCTTAACCCAGTCCCCTCACCAGACCCTTCTTTCCCTCTCCAAAAACCCTCCTTATCTCGACCTCCCCTCGAACTTCTCCACTCCTCTTAATTTTCTAGGAAAAATAAAACAACGAAAATCCCCAGGACTAGTGAATTCGCTTTGCTTCAAGTTCCTTTCCTCACCGGCCCCTCTCGCTGTCAATCCCAGCCCTACGCTAACCCGGCTTTTCGGAGCGTCACGTCACGCCAACGACAAAAAGCTTGGGAATCCCGGGGAAAAAAAAAGTTGAGTTGGACCCGGTGCTCTGGAACAAACCACCCACACCCACAGGCACATCCCGCCAACCGTGCAAACAAAACCCGCCACACAATCTCACCATTTCCCCGCCCCCTCCGCCCTTGGCCTTGGCTTTCCCGACAACTCAGGATATACTGCGTCATCCTCGGTTTTCCCACCTGCCAGAGCGCGCGCCCGCCCGCCGAGGAATGAGCCGCCCAAAGACGCCCGACAGAGAACATGAAGAGTTGGCGACGGGATCTCCCGGCGCAACCTCCCCATCTGGGAAAATGAATTGAGGACAGGGCCTATTGAGGTGGTAGGGACTCCCCGCTTATAATGCGATTTCTTTTTGCTTTGCTTCCCTGTTTTATTTTTCTTTGTCGCTCTCGGGGTTGAGACAAGGGGGAATTGGGGCGAATTTCGACCTCGCTGTTTCTTAGTTGTGATTCTTATCCTGCCGTTCCTGTCATCTAGGACGGAGTCTCCAGTGATGATACATCCAAGGATGCGCCATGGTAAGTTAAGGAAAGGGGTAAGCTTGCGGGCTTCGATCAGGTCGATCGCCTTGGCGACAAACTATTGAACTCTTGCTAATCACAGAATTATCACACGTAATAGGGCCGTGACCGATACCATGTCACTTCGGTCATCTATTCTCAACTATAAATGGGAGTATGGACGGCGATATCATGCTTTTCAATCGGGCACCTATTGGTTCGTAACTTCATACTCACAAGCGTGCGCCAACCCCGTCAGTGCTCGCGCATAGTCTAACAGCGAGGTGTAGGGCCCCTAATGACGAGAGGCAACAGGAAGCGGAGGATCTGGTGTGAGTTCCATTCTCTTGTCATCCATCTTTTGCAAATACATGAAAAGAGCCCCATTGTTCTTACTTCTGCGTGTATTCTCTGACGATTTTGCAAGGCATGAGATGTATCGTCTTGTCCTCGGCGGTAGACTTACCTCGGTACCATTGGACAATGTCGAGGTAGGTCTCGCTTAGTACTGAACCTTTCATGCCCTTTCCTCGTGACCTAATCTTGGTTGGTTGGTACAGAATGTCCTCGATGTAGGCTGTGGAAATGGGGTTTGGGCTATGTGAGTACCTACCGCTGCTTCATCTATCGCTTCCCCTTTACCCTTCCCACAAGTGAGGGGCTGTTCTGGCAACTGACTCCGCGACACCAGTGAGTTTGCCGAGGAGAACCCCTCCACTCAAGTGATGGGGGTAGACCTGTCACCAATCCAGCCATCCTTAGTTCCACCCAACTGCAAGTTTGAAATTGACAATGTCAATGACGACTGGATCTACTCCGAGCCGTTCGATCTGATACATGTCCGGGCTATGACTGGGTGCGTACCAGATTGGGTAGAGTTTTATAGAAAGGCACTTAGGTGTGTTGCCTCCCCTTCTCCGAGATCAAAATAAGCTCCCCCACTCTGGCATCTAACATTTTCCATCTCTCTCTAGCCATCTTAAGCCGGGCGCATGGATAGAGCAGATTGAGCTGTCCAGTTTCGCTCAATCCGACGACAATTCCCTACCCGAAGACTCGGCCCAAAAACGGTGGGGAGGTTGTTTCGAGACATCGGCGAACGCATCGGTCAGCCATTCGATATAGCCGAGACAGCGGCCAGCCTAGCCCAGGAAGCCGGATTTACGAATATCCAAGAACGCCGGCTCAAGATACCCATTGGATCGTGGCCCAAGGATGCCACATTGAAGCACTGGGGTGCCTGGAATAGGCAGTTCCTGCTGCAGGGGCTTGAGGGGTTTTCTCTCAAGGGTTTGACTGATACCCTCGAGGTAAGTCTTCAAAAAGAGGCGCCTCCTTATACGTCTCGTCCTATGCCATACGGTATGCGCTAACCAGGCACGGGCGACTGTGATAGTGGAAATATGAAGATGCCCAGTTATATCTCGCGGGCCTTCGCAAAGAGCTAATGGACGTCAAGCTCCACTCTTATATCGAGCTGTAAGTTTTGAAAGCTTTTCATCGACTGTCCAACCAACTAACAGACGTATCCAGGCTTGTCCTAACCGCGCAAAAACCAATCTGATACGGGGGATAGGCCGGAAGCGAAGGCGTTCGGATCCCATTGCTTAGGGCTGTCATATAGTCTATCCAATAATCTCATTCCAGATACCTGCTTTGCTGAAATCAGCATGATCCATCCACACCGACCAACCGCGGTATACATCAATGCAGCCTTTCGTGCGCAATACCTTCAAGTTACTAAATCATAAATGAGGCAAAGACTTGATCGTGAGAGGAAAACCCAAACGTACAGCGCCCATCTCGCCACGTCATGTGCTATGAGGCGGACAAGCAACAGTGTCGGGGCTGTGGTCCGAATAAGCATACAGCTAGTCTGTGTAACGGGACTAGTGCAAAGACGCCTCTTTATTTCCGTTTTCCACTCTCTTTTACGAGGCCACATGATTCAGTAGAAGAGACAACGCATCTATGGATCTTTACTTTACAAAAGTCCTCGGCTGACATGTATTTCATGAGAATTCGGTGTTATTCTAAAAGTATATGCCTCTCTTTTTCTTCGTCCCATTCCTATCCCCCAAGTACTTTCGTATGCTTAGGTTGAGTTGATATCCCCATGACATGGGGCATGGACACTCATACGGTGAAGAGTTGATGGATTCACGCTCGAGGCCGAAGTGTACAGGGGTGTGGTTGATCTTCGCTGAAAAGGGACCAGTCGGCCATTGGCATCGTCCTCTTCGCAAAATTTCCCTATCATAGAGGATCAATGTAACCTATGCTAGCCGACCTCCTCTCCTCTAACTGATCTAACATTCGCTCTGTCATCGCTATAAATGCCGGCTTGAATCCTCAGAATTGGTTCAGGGGCGCAGAAAGGATGAAAAAGCAAAGAAATCGGCCCAATACCCTACATCAGGAATACACTATGCACAGGCTATTCAACCATCTTTCAATCTGTACCCGAGCTCCAGCGCATAAAAGCTCCAGATACATCGAGGAACAGCCCCTATAACATACCCAGCATCACGAATCCTTCAGATCAGTCTCGAGACGTCATCCTTCGGGCATAGGGCTTGAACGATAAATTCATCTCGGTCATAACCATCAGTGTCTGGCGACAAAGAGCCGCAATATGGGCCGCAGCGTTGTGGTGCAGGCCATCCCTGCAGCTTATCTAGTAGCTAGAGGTATGTCCCAGGCTTCAGCCAGTACGATATGACACCTGCATGGCACGCGAGGATCGTAGCAGTCCTGGTGACGTTGCCGTTTGCCGAGGCGGCAACTAATTCTCCAAGCTCGTATTTCGACATTTCCACGGGCGAGGATGACTACTACACATCCTCTCCAGCCATGAGTGGAAGCCGGAACGGTGCCGGATATCTTTCGGCTTATAAGCGGGCGGGCGCACTTTGGCGAAGCCTACAGAAGCTTTGTTGACCTATTCGGCTAAAGTTTTCGTAAATTCAATCAGGATTTCGAAACTGAGCCCTTCCGGCTAGATTGTTGACCGGCGGGAGTTTTCCATATGGATTCATGGACGGATCCATGGATGTTTACGCCAGTCACCCACCCCCTGAGTGCCTGTTACTATGACCGTCGGATGACGAGAGAAAGTGGGGCTCCAGTGAGAAGAGTCGTAAGGATCGGGTAAGGTCAATTCAGTAGGATTCTCCGAGGGCGCGCCGCTACTCCAATATTTATCAGAAGGCGTGGTGCCGGGGGAGGTAAACGTCAAATCCGGCGATGGTAAGGTTGATAGGTTGGTATGTGGAGCGAGATAGTGTAAACCGCGGAAGAAGGTCCGGAAGGATCTCGCCTCTGGTGTATGTATTAGCAGTCGTGGGAGAAGATAAAAGTGCGCTACGCCTAGAAGTCCGTCTAGGAAGGGATGACCTACCCTGAAGGGACTCAAATTGCATGCGGATGACTCCATGGGAGGAGTGGAGGCTAGCCTTGATAATAATGGTATCTGTCTCAAGCGGCTTTCTGAGGGGATATCGCGCAGAAGAGATGTAGAACTCGGCTTCTCTGTCGTATCTTGATAGGTCCAGCTCCATGTGTCTCTTGTTTAGATCCGTCCTGACGGACGACGCGAGAAACGTTGCAGTTAGTGTGTGACCCCGTTCGGGAGGTCCCTGCACCAGAATCGGATAACCTGGCGCCGGGCGAGCACGACGCCATTAGATTTCAAGTTGACAAAGTCAAAGGCACCGAGATGGCGCCTTTCCCTCAAGGTCTCCTGGAACCGGTGAGAAGCGTCGAGATCGCGAAAGTGGTACTTGGGGTCGGTGTCGTAGATGTGATACCCGTTCTTGTCTATGACGGTGACGACGCTGGGGTGGAGGAAGGATACGCGGGTCGAGGTTCGGGAGGACGTCCACGGTATACATCCGAACTGGACTTTGCATACGTGTTAGGCCGCCATGTGCATGTTACAAAGTAGGCAGGGCGCGTGACTTGGGTTCTAGGATTTGCCTCTTACCAATCTGCGTTACTTGGATTGATCCATCTCGGCTCTGGTAGAGGAGGATCCTAGATTCACTATCCCGCGCCATGACGTGGACGCGCTCTAGCTCGATCCTTCGATGTCCGCTCGCCTTCTCTGCCGCTTCAATCTTCCTATGTTATCAAGCCCGCCATCGTGGTGTCAGAAAATCCTTCGCTGCGCAAAGGGTGTAATTGGGGGACTGCTTACAGCGTTGCGGGTGCCATCTCGAAAGCGACCGTCGAGTTCCGACGAAGCTCTATTCCATATGCCTTGGTTAAAATCGAGGTGGAGCATCGGCCCATTCGGCCACCTTTGGGAGGAGATACGAACCTTGATAACCTGCAATCTCGGAAAGCTGATTGACGTCGAGACCCATGTCGGCCCAACATTCGCGAAGAGCCTGGTACAGCTGATCTGTGTTGCTTTCGACGTCGCCTCGTTCTTGCTCTGATTGCAGCTGCTCGATTGCGCGGGAGAGCTCTTCAAGATGTTGGGGTGATACAAACGGACGCGTGCTTTGGGGAGATTCCTCCCTTTCTTTACCTTTGATCTCAGGAGTTACGGGTTCGAGATGTTGTGCTGGACCGAGGCGATATGTACTGCACGAGCGAGGACTTAGAAATTTGCCCACTATTCCATCTGCCCCCCACTTCTTTTGTCATTTACCCCTCCTGGACTTTGATGTTTCTTACCTAGTCTCAAGCCACAGCGGGAGCACGATCTGCGTAAAGAGCCGATCGACACGGGCCTGGCAAAGCCCAACTTGCGCGCTATGCTGCGTACCCCACGCGACCTGATGCACGGAGCTCCGCGCCCTCGCCACATCATAGCCGTCGAAAAGCGCCTTGCACTCCCTAAGCGTCCGGTGCACGTCGCCGGCGTCGTCGGCGTGGATGTGCGCGCGCCCGGCGGCTCTCAGCATGTCAAAGTGCCGGGAGAGGCGCAGGAGGGAGGCCCGGAGCTGGCCGAGCTCGGTCGGAGCATTCTGGGCCTTTTCGAAGACGGCGATGACTTTGTCGGTGGCGGAGACGACTTGTAAGACCAAGGAGGTGATGGCTAATATACCTTCGAGTCCGGACATTTCTGAGGCAAATCATGGGGAAACTGATCTGCTACTGGGAAAGAAGGGATGAGGTAACTTTCATCCTTGGGTCTGTTTACGGGTGGACGGTTCCTTTTTCCTTCTAAAGGCTTCACCGACGATGCTAGGGTTTTAAGGGTTGCCTGTATAGGTTTTATTCTCCCCGACGAATAGCTATCTGGAGGACTATGACCACGTCGTGCTTGCGTCGTTTGCCTCACAAGACCCAAAAAGGACGGGCAATCTTTGTTGGGAAAGCTCCCGTCACTCATCCAGGCACTGCACGAGTATCGTGAGACCACAGCCTGAGCCGGGCTGTATGTGGGTGGGCCTGATACCACATGTGCAAGCGACTCAAGCGCAGCGCCTCCTTCCACCCTCCCAATCGCACGTCGTACCCAGGGGCACGCGCTCAACTGATTGGATACCAGCGTCCCGACAGCCCTACCACGAACCCACCCTTCCCGAACATGCTGGTGACACCAAACAAAATCCAAAAGAGGCTTATCGTCAATGTTTCTGTCCCGTGCTCAATGACAGCGACTAAAAAGGCAGGGCGATGCAGACCATTCGCCGGGGAACCGTTTAGCTCAAAGAGCGACAGGGGTCCCGATGGGGGAGGGAGGAGGGAGGAACCGTGCATCTCCAATTCCACCCCCAATTGAACGTGGCCCTCCCAAGATTGCGTCGGCTGCGGGCGCCGTGTGGGACGAGCGAAGTCCTGGATACAGGAAGTGGATCTGGGGACCGCGAACCCGGGGCGCCCGATGCGGGTTTCTGGGGGTCTCGCTTAGCGAGGATGACAGCCTGGGGGGGATGGGCTTGGGCGGGAGTGTGATCAAAGTTCCTGGGATGGCTTTTGCTTTTTCTTTGTTCCTTTTTTCCAACTACTGCTATCCACCGCCTTCAAAACGGATTGGCCTGGCTGTTCCCGGGGTCGATCCTCTTTTTCGGTGATCCGACTCGGTGATCCGGCTTGTATATCTCTTATAACTCAACGGTGTTCTTGAACAACGGTGTTCTTGAAAGATGGATGAACCACAGCCGATGCCGCTGCGGCAGGACAGCGAAACTGCTACACGTCGTAGGTATCGCTGGCAATGGTGGAATCGAGATGTCCACGATGAAGTTAGCTACCTCACCACCGTCAACTATGTGAGTCGCGTCTTCACCTTGTTACACAGATTCCCCACCACACGCTAACGAATGACGGAACCCTAGAGCGTGAAAGAAAGAGAATCCCAGATCCTGCGCCTCGTAGACGACAACGGATTCAACGTCAAAGTCTTCCTCGTCGCCGCCTCCGGCTTCCTCGCGTCGTCCTACGGTCTCTTCGCCACCAACGTCGTAACCCCAGCCATTAACTACATCTACCCCGCATGCGGCCGCCTCGGCAGCGACTCCGGCTCCGTCATCGACTTGCTTACCCTCGTAGGCACGACGCTCGGCATGCTCGTGGTGGGACACCTCGCCGACCGCGCGGGGCGCAAGAGGCTGTACGGGTTCGAGCTCTCCGTCCTCATGGTGGCGACGGTGGGGATGGTGCAGACGGGGAAGGCTTCATGTACCAGCTTGAGGATGGGGTCGAATACCAAGGCTCGATGAATATGTATGCGTGGATCGCGTGGTGGCGCACCATCCTCGGCTTCGGCATCGGCGCGGAGGTTTGTACACAATTTCCCTCGTCTTCACCGGGAGTGGCATGGAAGGAAGGGGATGTGTCATGACTAACGTTCCGCGGTGGCACCGCACCTTTCAGTACCCAATTTCGGCAATTATTACGGCAGAATGGGCTTCGACCGAGTCTCGAGGCACAATGCTTGCAGCGGTCAAATCCATGCAATCCCTGGCTCGCATCCTAGCAGCCTCCGTTGGCCTTGGGTTCCTACGACAAATGACCAGTTCGAGGAACATTGCGTTTGACCAAGCCCTCACGACCCTCTCGAGATTAACAAATCTAAAATCGTCATAGATACGGTATGGAGATGGGTGATAGGCATCGCTTTGCTCCCCGCCGCCATCGCCATCCTCGCGCGACTGACCATACCGGAGACGCCCCGGTACTACGTCGACATCATGAAGGATTTGCGCAAGGCCGTCAGGAATGCCCTCCAGGTGTACAAAACGAGAAGAGTTCAAGAAACGAACCCGCCCCTCGCTGCCCCGCGACGGAGCAATAGCGACACAAACGACCACTGGTACCGCGGCGCCTGGGCGTACCTCAACCGCGACTCGAGGAAGATTCTCCGTAGGTTGGTCGCCATCACCGTGCTATGGGGGTCATGGATGTGGGCTTCTATGGCCTTTCCCTGGATAGCCTGAATGTCATGTCCAGTCTCGTGAATACGCCGCGGAAAAACGACTCAAGTCTGCTAGAAGAGAGCGCTTCATGCCCAGATGCGACGAACTGGAGAGCGACCTCGGAGCCCCCAGATACCACCATCTACCGCATGCTGGAACTCAACTCACAGAGATCTTTGGAAGTAGTATCCATAGCGTCAATCCTGGGCAACATCGTCGCCATCCTGTTGATTAACCGCTTTGAGAGAAGAAGAATGTTGGCCGCCACATTTGCCACCTCGGCACTGCTCTTCATCGTCACGGGTGCGACGCTGCTCGAGGCAGATCGGCAGGGAAAAAAGCCTACCGTCTCCCTGGTCTTCTACGCCCTCACTCACTTTGTGTATAACCTGGGACCCAACACCCTCATTTTTGTCATTGCAGCAGAGATTTTCCCCACGGTGTATCGCAGCACGTTTTACGGCATCGCCGCGGCTGGGGGAAGATTGGCGCCATCATCATATGCGCGACCATATGGGCCAAGGGAACTCGCCGAGAGCGCTCGGGATCCGGCTGCTGGTATGCTTCCCGCTCATGGTCCTCGCCGCCGTGATATCATGGTACCTGCCGGCAGTACAGCATAGCCCAGGGCGAGCGGATGTCGAGAGCATTCCGGCGAGCGACGACCCGCCAGCGTCGCATGAAAAGTCGCGGCCGGTACAAACTGCCGAGCTGAGCTCACCACCACTTGAGCCAGTTGAACCTATAAATAGCTCGGTTCAAGGAGGGGAACCATCGAATGGATCTGGTGCCCACGACTCGGACACGGCATCGACTGTCAGTGCCGATAGTGGACCACGGAGAAGAGAGAGCAGACAAAGGACGGGAAACAGGTTTCTTCCGAGGTTGCAGAACATGACTCTCGAGGAGATCGCCCCCAACCCCAATATGCGGGACACAAAGGAAAAGAGGGCCGAGGCCAGTAGCGGCGAGATTCTGCCTCGAGCAATTAACATAGACGGACCTTCCTTTCAAGTATCTGGAGCACTCAATGTATAGTATAGGCAAGATTTTAGATTAGAGAAAGGCGCTAGTGAGCGGATGCCGGTTTAGGGTCCGATGCTGTATCGATAAAGACACACCAGCTAGTTCTCCTGTCCATTAGGGACTCCAATACAACGTGTAAGTGGCCACGATCAAATGCCAAGCACTTGGAGTGTAGTTCGTGTTGAGTAAAGTCTGGCCCAATCGGGGCAAGCGAAGTGGGTCGGTCATCGGTATCGTTTTGGGTGGCTTTTTTCCCCGAATTTTTCAGCAAATTTTTTGGTTTGGGGCTTGGCTCGCTCCTCTCTCAAAAACCATAACCCTACCTCACAAAATCCTTCCCTTCAAACATGATGAATTATTCATTGTAGAGCAATGAGATAATACATTGTAGAGCTATGAGATAATACATGTATATATAGCAAGAAAAAAAAACCAAGCAATGCCAACACTTGAAGCCGACGGGGATAGGAGTCCTATCCCCTCCCAGCATAATACGCTTCATGCCCTCGCCAGTCTCTGTCTCGACGCGAAAGAAGTTTGTCTGAAGAAGCAAGATGGATTGCCCTACAAGGACCCCTGGACCTACTATACGGAGACCCGCCCCGCCCCGCTAGCAGGCTTAGGCGTCTTCGCCGTCAGGGACATCCCCAAGGGCACCAGGCTCACGTCCGAAGCGCCGCTGCTCTCCGTGCCCGCCGTGCCCAACGACAAGCTCTACGCCGCCGTGTGCGAGGCCCTGCAGACCGCGCCCGCCGAGAACCTAGCCTCCTGGACGAGCACAGCTGCGAAGACTTCACCCTCAAAGTCATCCACGCCAGCGAGATCCGCAGAAACATCATCCAGTGGTACCTGGACCTCCCTTCCCCAATCCGCCCCTACGCCAACGTCACCGAGCTCGACGCCCTCGTCCGCCAAACGTGCCGCCGCTACGCCATCTTCCTCACCAACAACCTCGACATGGGGCCCGGCGCCGGCGCCGGCGTCTTCCCGCGCTTCAGCCGCATGAACCACTCGTGCACCCCCAACATCTTCGACGCCTACAACCCGGCCTCGGGCCGCCTCACCGTGCACGCCGCGCGCTTCGTCGCCGCCGGCGAGCAGCTGCACTCGGCCTACGTGGAGCCCCTGTGGCCGCGGTCGCGCAGGGTACGGAAACTGCGCGCGTGGGGGTTCGAGTGCGCGTGCGCGGCGTGCTCGGACGAGAGCCTCGGGGCCGCGCGCGAGGAGGCGTTCGCGCTGGACGACGAGCTAGCCGAGTACGTCGAGTGGTTGGAGGAGCCGCCCGAGGGCGAGGTGAGCGATGAGGAGATGCCGTACTTGGCGTCGAGCGAGGATGCTTGGCGGGCTGCGCAGAGGATGTTGGCGATTTTGCGGGAGCAGGGGCTCAGCGGGGATGCTTTGTTCAGCGCGTACGTCCGTTCACAGAACTTTCCCACTTGAATGTCTGAGAGGGGAGAGTCTTTTCTTTGAAATGATTAGATTGATGTGCTGACCATGGTGTTAGGTACCGGTATTGTTCGCGCATCAAGTACGAACAAGGCGACCTCGCCGCGGCGCTCCAATTCGGGCGCAAAGCCCGAGAGCATGAGATTTGCTGTGTGGGCATAGATGGCCCATCTCGGGCGCATTCAGGCTGGGACTCGACCCAAGACTTAATCGCCAGGCTTGAGAAGGAGATACAGCAAACCCGCTGAAGTCACCATGATAGAATAGTCTTCTCTCTATGCCGCACGCATCGCCCGTCAACGTGTTTGATTGCACACATGCAATGGATAAAATTAAGCCTGAGGCAAGGCACACTGGTGTCACGCCTTGCCCTTAGTTGGTAGGAAGGGTAAACGGCGACGTGGCATTGGGTCTATTTCCTCTGTCTTCCCCATGCGGTTGAGCGGCGCAGCACTAAATGCCCTCTACATCCCCCGACCCCACCACCCCTTCCCCTTGGGCCACCAAGATTGGCATCCTCTTGATGGAGTCGCGGTGGCTACAGGTCTACGGTTGTCCCCTACCACACATCCATTGATCCATCCACAGCCGCCAGCATTCCCTCCATATCACTGCGCCTAGCGCTGATAGGGTTTGCGCCACCATCAGCCTCCATAAGCGTTGCGTGGGCGAAGGTGAGTGCTCATCGAGACAAGGGATAAAGCGCCCGTACAGACTTGACGTAATTCAGCGCTTAGGAGAGTGATCTTAGGCTTCATGCTTATCCACTAGTATTTCGCGCTGAGAGTTTACGTCTTGGTGCGAAGCGCGACCCTCCCGAGCTTGGGCAGCACAAATGGATAGGGGATATTAGGGGCTTCCTCACCGTTGTTCAGATTACCTGTGCTTGAAATCACAAGGCGGAAGCTCAAATTACCTGTACTTAGGGTCCCAAGGCGGAAAATAGCATGCTGCCCTAGGATTTGTGCGGCGAATCCCTAAGTTCGCGTCGAACAAAGCCGCAAGCCCACCCTCTTTAGCTTTGCCTCACACCAGCATATATACTGAGGGCGGCACAGAGGGCCATCCCAAATAGGCCGCGCCTTCTCGGTCGCTCCTCTAGGAGTAGTATATCACTATAAAACCAGCTTCTTCTTTTTACATGTAATCCAGTAATCGCAACGTGAACGTATCATGAACAAGTGATCATCGATCCTAGCGTCGACATCTCCAACGCCATACTTGACTCGCAAATATGTCGCGCGGTTTACCGTCCCACGACTTTTTGGCCCGGCTATTACTACGGCTGGCGTCACTAGCCAGTCTTGCCGTCGCTTGTGGCTTCATTGTTTATGGTGCGACACAGTTCAAGGACGAGTACTGGCTGTACCTTTTGATTGTAGGCCCAGCCCACAACATTGTGAATCGATCACAAGTCTGAATCCTAATTGCTCCAAACTCCTGTGCATAGATTGTCATTGCTATGATCTTCGATTTTATACAGATTTCGCTTCTTTTCCGCTGGAGGACTTGGCCACGCCCGTTTCGCGTCAACGTGGAAATCGCTATGTCCACCTTTGTCGGTCTCCTCTTGACTATCGGCTTAGCTGGTCTTTCCATGGTTCTCTTGAGGGCTCGTCTGGATGATATCTACTGCCATGGGAACAGTTACTGCCCTCTTTCCGCGGATCGCATTCGCAAGATTGTCTTCTATACCTTGACGATTGCTGCGTGAGTCGCCCCTTTCATAGTACCAAAAGGATCGAGCGGTTCTAACCTGACCTAATGTATTCTTTAGGGCGATTCAATCGATGTCGACTGCCATAAATGCTGTCATGATGTGCGTCGAAAGGCGGCCCTATGTGGTTGATGCAGACCAGAACTTTCATAATCAAGAGAGATCACCACAAGTTCAGGGCCGACTTATGCAGGTCTTCATCCCAGCGGCTGCCTACCATGGAGCACCTAGTGACGAGGACGCATGTGATTACGGATAGACTTATTTTGGAATCTGATCGGAAATCGCCCACCTAGCGCAATCGAGACACATTTGAAAACACATTTTCCTATAATATCATTATTTTGCAAAGAGCTGAACTGATTGATAGGTAATAGAATGAGATCAAGGGGTTCTTGATACATAGTTGTCCCCTAACGCCTTGGTAATCAATCAACACCTGCTATTATTACTTATGGATGGCATGCACGAACGCTACTTGATGTACTCCCCAAATGATATCCAAAAAAAAAAAAAAGATTGGGGACCTAGAACAAGACAACAAACCAAAGAAAGGGGTCGAAGAACAGACGCGAACAGAAGTGTCAACCAGTCGTAGCGACTTTCGGTACATGCAGAGGTGCTGCATACTCATTCCACCCCCGAATCACCACCACCCCATTGTTGCGACCAACAACAATATCACCATCACTTTGAATGACAGTACTTGTAAACCCTCGAACGCCGGAAAACCAGTCATGCGGTAAAAGAAGTGCCGGATATAGTCAGGTAGTTCTGACCGAAGCGACGGATCGGCGTCGTCGGTGATCCTTGTGGAACAGACCCATGAGTCGCTGTTTATGTAAAGAAGTTCACCTTGCTCGGTCCCGCCGAGCACTCGGGAAATCTTCTTTACGGGGATACTGAGGCTAATCATATGGTTCCCCTCGTTAGCAGAGATGCCGCCGTCTACCACGGCATCTTCTGCCACGCGGACCGGTTGAAACTTTAGCGCTACTAGGCCCCTGAGGGTACGAGCACCGTTCTGGTCAGAGAGCTGTAATAACGTCCTCGGACCTTGCGGTGTCAATAGATGGACCAAAACTCCCGGCTCGCAACCCTGAAGGCCATGCCCGGGAAGGAGTAGAGCTGTACAGGAGACTTCGGACCAGTTATCCTGGCGGTACACTCGAACCTCCGCAGTATCTATCCGCACAATGTGGGAGTTTGACAACGGATGGCTCATCCACCTACGTACGGTCGACACACCATCAACACGAGATTCCAGTAGCTCACCGCTTGCGTTCAAAGATGATCTGATTCGCGTGTCGAGGTGATGAATCTGCCAGAGCCATCCTCAATCACAAATAGCTCAACTATGGCTAACGTCTGGTCAAGCTTTGACTTGACGACCCTCTCTCCGATATGCTCAAGACCTGAAGCCGCAAACCGGTAGCCTATGATATTATTCCACGAGTCCACAGTCAAAAGGATCTCGTTGCTAGCAGACCAGACCATTCGGGTGACCGGTGCAGTGTGGTTGTACAAACCTTGGACAAATTCTGCCGACTCGCGGTTGTAAAGAGACACCGAGCCATCATCTTTCCCACAGAATAGGTGGTCTCCAGGGGCGTGGCCTGCGATCGATACCACCGAGATCACGGATCCCGTAGAGACGTGCTCGACTGGGGCCAAATAGCCTGTGCCGCTGCCATCGTCTCCGGCGTAATCGCGCATCAACGGGGTTCCCAAATCGCGCACTGTGACGCCCGTAAGTCGGCAAGGTAGCGGCCGTCTGATGAAAGGGCGAGCTGTTTGACGGAAGTTCCAGGCGACCGCGCTCTGTAAAGTGGCCGCAATGCTTCACGATAAAACTCGTAAATGTTCACAGTCCCTTCCTCGGCTCCAGCAGCGGCGAGGAACCGACCGTCTAGACTAACTGAAAGAGTCCTGAAGTTGGCACGGAAGCAGAGGAGCTCTGTGTTTAGCAAGGGGTTCAGCAGGGCCAGATCGCCGTCAAGATATGCGACAACCAGAAGACAGGGATCCGGATTTGAATTGAAGACGAGATCAACCACCACGTGAGTGCTAGTTTTCCCGTTGGTAAGCGTCTTTCCACAAGTGCCATAGTAGGCGTTTGCACGTAAATCCCAGAGAACGATGGAGGATCCATGGTACGCCACTGCTAGTAGCTCCTGGCTTGGTGATAACTTGAGAGAGCACACCGAACGCTGTAGTGGTGTGACTGCGGGGGCAGAGGAGTCGTTCCAGAATAAATCAGGACCTTGGATGGCATTGTCTGCGAGGACCCAAGAGGAAATATAATTTCCCGCCGTTGCTACAAGTAGCTTATCTCCATCAAAAGCGGCATCAAGTGCCTTGTGACGAGTTGTAAAGGTATGGTTCAGTGTCCCGCCGCTAATGTTCCATACCTTGGTCATTCTGGAGCCGCAGGAGACGATGATACCTCGTTTCGGTTGAAACCTCACAAATTTTACGGATTCACCGTGGTTGAAGGTTCTATACTCCTGGTAGGCCATCATACTGTAGACGATGAGCGCGCCGCTAGTGAAACCTATCGCCATAAGCCCGTCTCCAAAGCGAACAGTCGTTGCCTGTCCTTGGGCGACCCCAATGCAAGCGAGCTTATCGTCCCATTCCTCGCCAATAGCTCCTTTAGCAGGTAGTCCGCGCACCTTTTTCCGGCTTTGCGAATCATTGATGTTGCAGGGCAGAGAGGTGCTACAATCGAATATATGGAAGCGGGAAAAGTTATTAGCGCGTGGTGAAACTTGGCTGTTAGTCGCATGAGATCGAAGGACCACCCAATCAATGGTTCCACCTCATTATTCTGTGAAGACCTCCTTGAGCTGAAAGCGCTCGCGTAGGTGTTTAAATGCTTGGACGCTTGGGCTAGCAGCGTGAGGTCACCAGATTCAGCGACGAGACGGATCCAGGAAAGGATATTCGCGTCCAAAAACCTTTGAGGAGGCTGAACAGTTGCTCTGATTCGGGATCAGCTCTCGCAAGATGGTGAGAGAAACAATCGATTGCGTATCGGCTAAAATGCGTTTTGTCAACTGACATGCTGATGACCGACCCTTTACGAGCGCTTCGCCATAGACTGAGATCGTCTCCTACGAGGTACATGAGGCATCTCTCGGCGATAAGGGTATGGGCCTTGAGCGGAGATACCGCAAATTCGGACTTCAAGCCTGGATCGGTGAGGAATTCACGAGCTGTTTCGTGGATCATGCGGACCTTGTCTTTTTATCGATAGTGAGCAGCTGGCCACATTCGGATTCTATTACGTTGTCAATGTTTACCACATCTTCGTTGATCGCTAATTTTATGGCGCCGAGGACTGCGGAAGTTGTCATGGGTCGCATGGAACACGCCGCCCAGGTTAGGAGTTCGTGGATAAGACTCTTCCTGCGCCCGGACCTGGCGAGTGTGTCGAGTGTACGCTGATAGAGCGGCCTCATCTCGTTGGGCACTTCCTTCAGGGCCTGATCAATCTCGCTTTTCCTGTGGGTTTTCTGCAGTTCTTCCAACACTAGTCTCGTCCAAAGGAAGGAGCCACACGACTTCTCAAGTATCAGTTGAACCAACGGCTCACTCTCTTCCTCACTGACTGCAATGAGGGACGAGGCGATCTTTTTAACCATTGATTCAAGATCTGAGAATGTGTCTGAAGTTGAGATAGACATGCGGCGAATTTGATTGACAGACTGGGAGTTTATAGGATTGGGGTTTGGGGCGTCGCGGCCAGTGATAAGCAGCTTCAGGGGTATGGAACTGTCCAGCTTGACTAATATAACCTCTTGAAGAAAATATTCGTCTACACATTCATCAATTCCATCTAGAATCCAGTAGTGCTGTACCATCTGCGTTTTAAATATCGTATCAACGAATACGGTTCTCCAGATGCTGCGAGCGTCATCGTAACTGAATGTGGTATGGTTATCCATCATCTCGGCCAGGGCGTCTCTCACCCGTTCGCTTCCAACAGCCATTTGAAAAGCTAGCGCACAGAGACAAGAGGCGAAGCGAGACCGCGAATTTTCTGATGCTTTGAAAAAGTAATAGCTGCATGGAACATTGTCGCGTTGGAAGGAGCTAACGATGAAACTAGACAAGGTGGATTTTCCGGTTCCGGGCTTAGCGTCGATCCATAACGTTCGGTCAAGAGGTTCTCTAGAGCTTCTCCACTCGCGGAACTCCTCTTTTGTAGGACCCAGTGGCAGGAATTTTGGAAGCGACCTTCTTGGGCAACCTCCAGGTCGTTGTAGAAGGTCTGGTCGACTTTCAGGTATTCAACAATCTTCTGCTCAAGATCTTTCTTTCCAGAACGCGTGCGCTTATCCGCCAGTTCTGAAATATTCCGCGTCGTTGTCGCCAAAGCATTGCGAATGGCTCGGTAGTTCGCGTCTGAGGTATCTTTGAATTTGCAAATGGAACGGTGGTCCGCCTGTAGGGGTCTCTGCAGTTCATTTGGAAGACCCAGGACCGCGAAGCTGGGATCAACAATCAGGGAATGAGTGATATCTGTAGCCTTTGTTTCGTAGAATGACCAAAGTTCTATATGGTTAGGGACGTGTCGAAACTGGTCATTGATGCTCCGGATGGCCGGTGAATCCGGCACGAGATCCCGTATGTATTTGTGATCGCGGCTAATAAAGGGGATGCTGTCGAGTATCTTCGCGGAATCGGAGCCTTTCTGTGGAACAGCTAGGAAGTAAAAGGCGGCAAATCTGTTTGTTATAGTCTTGTACGAGCTGTCTTGCTTGGCGATGAGCCATGCCGTTTTGATGACAAGACCACCCATGCTATGACCTATGGCCACAATCGGGGTCTTGGAAGTAGATATCCCCGGAACGGTGCTGATCTCACCCAGTAGAGACTTGCCAAATTCATTAAGATTGTTGTAATCCCGGTCGGTCTTCCAATATTTAGCGTCGTAGCCGAACGAATATATCCGAACATTATGAAAATCCGGATCCTTTGGGAGCCAGTCTGCTGGCCAGAAGTTGCCGACAACCTCTGGCCTTCTGCTCCAGGTTTTCCTTGACCCACCCCCAAGGCCGTGAACAAAAATGAAGTCGACTTTTGGCTCAGGAGGGGAGTAGAGGAGGGAAAGTCCCATTGGTCCCGTTGGGTCGTCTATCGAGGTTTCGGCTGGGGCCTGGGAGAAGATCGATACGGAGGAGAACCTCCTCAAGGATAGGGAACTAGCCATCTTAGTCGACTCGGCTTGGTCCGGCGGTTCAGTGACGATGGAATCGTTGCCGACGGGCCCAGTCTGGCCCGGTTTGGTCGTAACCCGGCGAAACAGTTTGAGAGGCCCCATTCCCACAACCTCAAGAGGAGCGCCACCCAAGCGGGAGCAAGAAATGTTTGCCTCGGTCTTTTCTTCTTTTTCCCCTTTTTTCTTTTGTTTTTTTGGGCTGGCTGGCTGGCTGGCTGGCTGGTTTATTCTATTCGTGTTTTGCTTTCGAAGACTCGTTCGGCTCGAGTAAGACTCATTAGGGCGCTAGCTTAGATCAAAGCGCGAATTGCGTCTTCACCACGGGGAGATCTGACCAGCGTGTAATCGAGACCATGGTTGTGTCAGAAAACCTCCTTTGTTTTGCAAATATTGATAGGGATCTGTTGGTTGGGGCTGACCATATAGAAGCCCCTTATCACTGCCTCGACCAACACTCCTGCACGTTGGCTGTTGGTTCGAGGTACCGCCGTACTAACGGCCCGCTCCCGTCCTTTCAAGTGTCCCGATAATTAAACAATGGGATCAAACCCGCAGCATTCGCCAATCATTCGAGTCGGTTAACCGCTGTGCTCGACCACCAACCAATGAGGGCTAATTTTAGGTAGTTGCCGACTGGGGCCGTCTTCGCCAGTGTGAGCCAAGAGAAGCTCGTGAGAAATATCGCGCGATGTGCGGAGTAGCACGGGAATTTAGGTCTTCAAAATTCCAGTCTTTGACCTCCAACCAGCCTTACGCTGCTTGCCGCCATCTCACCATCCATCGATATCGCCTGCGAAGCCATCACCCCTCCTCGCTAGACCAACCATGACATCCAAGGAAACGTATCCTAGACTGCCGGCGGGTTACCACCAAGCCTTCATGGAGTACGCCCTTGCAGTGGCTCAAAATCGCCACCCGCCGCAAACAAGTTCTGCGTTGGCGCAATCCTGGTCGACGAGGATACCGGTCAAATCCTCTCCAGCGGCTACTCTCTCGAATACCCGCGCGACTACAAGGGCGACCGGGGCACGACGCACGCGGAGCAGTGCTGCCTAATCAAGATCTCTGACGAATATGGCCTGCCAGAGGAGAGGCTAGGCGAAGTACTCCCGCCAAACACCGTCCTTTACACGACAATGGAACCTTGCAACGATAGGCTCAGCGGCAATAAGACGTGCGCGGCCCGTATCGTTGGGTTAAAGGGCGCCATCAAGAAGGTATACGTGGGCATTCGGGAGCCATCGACATTTATCGCCAACAATGACGGGCAGGAGAGAATCGAGCAAGCGGGTGTCAAAGTGGTGTACCCAGTGGACCATATTCGAGATAGGATTGTGCAAGTTTCGCTGGCAGGACACTGATAATGCGGTTGCAGGAGGCAAACCTCGGACTTCGACTGCCCGAGGGGCCGTCTTCCCTCCCATTTTCTACCAGCTAGGAGCCTAGATCTCTCTGAGAATATAGTGTGAAAGATTGAATCCTCATTTTAGAAACGTAGCATATATACAATACTGAAAGATGAACAAGTACAATAGCCACAAAGAATTGGCAGCACCCCAGCGTGGCATTATTCAAAGGCGAAAGGCCCCTTGTAATACAGATCTACTCACAAAGCAAGGCAACGAGTTGACCGAGACCCCAACACTTCGAAAGTGATAGAGCCGTCGACTAGGCACGGAATGACAAGGTCCTCGAAGTCCTGACCTACGCCGTGAGAAGACCAACAGCCGGGCCTTCGAGGAGCGGCCAGGTACGATACCGAAAACTTGGGTCCAGAGTAATCCCAAAATAGGTTAGCGCTGGGAAGGGCCCGAGGACAAGGCCAAGTTGCCGCGCGGTTCCGGGAGAGCCCGCACTGACCCCTGAATCTTGCGATCATAAAAGTCGACGTTGATCCGGTCCATCACCCATAACTTCAACTCTCCTTTTCGTATTCATTCCACATTCTACTCCTTTATATATAAGCAGATACGTAGTATAATTTATACTCCAGCACTGCTATCATATCTCTTTTTTCTTGTTTTTCTTTTCTTTTTTTCCCGAAGCCCTCTACGTTCATATATCCTCCTCCCGCTTCTCCGCCCGTCCCCGCACCCCAACGTTGTCATGACCCAGCCAGACTCTACCGAGTACCTTCGTTTTGGTACAACCAATCTCGATCCCGCAGTGTTAAAACGTAAGCTGAATTGTTTTCGATTCATATCCGCGCTCTACTGTGTAATATCTGATCATATCGCTCACCATTCCCCTCCAGACCTGCCACCAAAATGCAAGGTGGTGTCGACAGAAGCGCATGGCGTCAGCTTTTGGGCTACAACAGGCAGGATCAATGTTGAACTGCAGGACGGTTCCCCAAAGTCCTTTTTCATGAAGATCCTCGCCAGAGAGGATGGCGAGAGCATGGCCCGCGGCGAGTTTATCTCCATGAGTAAAATCGCCGAGGTGACCCCGAATTTGTGCCCAAGCCCATCGCATGGGGCAAGTTTGAGTCCGTTGTGGACACCGCCTTCTTTCTATGCGAGTTTCGCGAGATGACAGACGACATGCCTGAACCGGAAAAGTTTGCCGCCTCTCTTTCCAAGCTCCACCAGAAGAGTGTCTCGCCCAACGGCAAGTTTGGATTCGAGGTGCCAACGTATGCGGGAAATCTGCCGCAGTACGTCTCTTGGGAGGACAGCTGGGAGGTCTTCTTTACCAAGAGCCTCAAGAACGCCCTGGATCTCTTCAAAAGAACAAGGTTCCTCCAAGCGAATTAAAGTCCCTCGAGCCCGTGCTTTTCCGCGACGTCATACCCCGACTTCTCCGTCCCCTCGAGACGGGCGGCCGCACTATCAAGCCATCCCTTGTTCATGGGGACCTTTGGTATGCCAATTCGGGGACAAGCATTCCGGGTGGAGAACCTCTTGTTTTTGATGCCTGCTGCTTTTATGCGCATCACGAATGTAAGTCACTTTTAACCCCCCCAAACAGCCTTCACTACGATAGCACACCATGATCGAAACTAAGACCTAGGAAATTGGTAGACGAGTTTGGGCAATGGATGCCAGCCTGCAACAGATTCGACACAAACTATATCGAGAAATACAATTCATTTGTTCCCGTCTCAGCTCCCGAAGTAGACTTCCAAGGACGTCTAAATCTTTATCGACTGTAAGTGACGATCAACATCACGGCGACAACTTTCTGATTTTCCCAATTCTAACACCCTCAAAGGAGGTTCGATACACATGTTGCCGCGTTATTCCATGAAAACGAGACGCTGAGACAGCAGTAAGTGCCAACCAATCGCTAGTCAAGTTGGCGTTCGTGATATACGTTCTAACATGCCTCCTAGGGTTGTTGATGTAATGCGAAAGCTAGTCGACGAATACGGAAAGGCAAACTAATATTAATGATCCCAGGCTGGCCTGGCGCGATTATACTTGTACAAATACGCGATATGCTACGGATCTGTGATTTAGGTGTCATTTTCTGGTTATGCTTGAGGATTGAGATTTCGTATATTAGGACCAATGTCAATCTACATTATGCCCTCAACTCAACTACTGCGGCGACATTACCGAATTAACACCAGCAGGAATGCACTCCTATCTGTCGAAGATACACTATACATGTAGAAATTGCTCATAGATGCAGATTTCGGTTTGGGAGCACAATGCCTCTTTGAATCATGGTGAAGAAAACCCAGCTTATCTCACAGCCTTCGGCATATACTCGTGCACCGCACAAGCATCACCCTCACACGCATATGGAATGAGCCAAACTTTTCCGTATCCCGAGTTCTCAATGCCATGAATCGTTTTGTTTATTACAACGGCATTCCTATAGAGCTATTCCCGCTCACAATACCGGCCCATACACGTCCCCAATACGGTCATCAAACATATCCATTTCCTTCTTTGGAACTGGGCAGCTCCGAGCGAACCTGAGTAGGTGTGAGCAGGGTGCGCGAGGGCTCCGTAACATAGTTTTTCCACCTCCCACATGATCAGTACTCATACAGCGGAAGCCCGCTGGATCTGACAGTGCCCATATGTTAAAAGAAGCGACGGGATCAGGTGGGTGACAAAAGAAGATTGAGGCACCACGAGATGCCCTCGTCCACTCGCATGTGCGCCTCGCCACCTAACTTTCCCTATACTTTTACCCCCAATGCCCACTGCACCCTTGATCACAGTGGGCGGTAATTGTTTGGTGGTACCTGTGCTTTTGTAACCTACTTGGGGATAATACTTTCTCCGGGTACCTCTTCCACGTAAGTATTTGTCTATGCAGAGGTACGTCTCACGCCTCTCATATCCCTCCATGACTAAACCGTTCACCCACCAACCTCACATTGATATATCTTGGAGGGCCACATCCTAATCAAACTTTTACCTCCACATCCATAAACACAACACACAACGCGTCCCCATCAAACTTACCCACCTCCATATCCATCGCAGCACATCCTTAGTCGAACTTGCCCGCTTCTATACCCATCGAACCGATTGTTGACAAAGACCCCGCCATCCCACTTAGCCTTTGGTTCCAGCGGGCATCACCATAGTCCTCGGCCCGCCCCAGACCATGGCGACAACGAGCCAAAGCCAAGAACAAGATGAGGACTACCCGCGCTACATGGTAGCCGGCACCTTGAGCATGGCATCACAATATGTTCAGAGCCACTACCCACGCCTCTCCGCCAACCTCCCCGACCAACCATGCACCATTGCGGCCGTCCTCCACGAGTGCGCCAAAGCGGTCGAAGGAGCCACCATTCCTTTCGCTATGCCCGCGAACCCCAGTCCCCGTATTCGAGCTGCCTTGCGAAAGACAGCGCTCGAGGACAGGGCCCGCGAGGAACGGAACATCGCCCAAGGAAAGCGACCTATAGACCTCCCCTTGGCCTCCCCATCGTTTCCCACGGCCTCATCAAAGACCGCCTCCCCAAACCCATCTCCCAAGAACGCCTGCACGCCATCCAGGACAAGGTCCTCAAAGAGACTGCGAACCAAGACCAGTTGCCACACGTGCTTCTCCCCGTCGGCTCCAAGAGCAATCTTCCCACCGTCACGTGCTCCTTCATTCTCAAGGCCCTCAACTGGGAACTGGGCATGGCCCAGGAGAACTTCCATAACGTGCCGGCGCTGTGGGATAGTGGCGCGGGGGTCGTCTGCGTCACGGACGACGTTCTCAGCCGTGGCTTCAAGGCCCACCTCCAGGACGACAAGCACGACGCCTCTCGGGTCACTGCTAGCAAGGGGCCGAGGATCCAGATTTCGTGCCTCGTCGAGTTTTCCAACCTCACGATGGTCCAGTTCGACACGGCCGCGCTCGTCATCCCCGCGGGCTCAGCCCCCAACGGCTGGTCGGGGTGATTCTCGGCCAGGCGGGTCTCATCGACTCTGTCTCCTACGAGCACAAGCCACGAAGCGTGCTTGAGGCCATGGGCGTCGAGGTGCCCGAGGGCCATTGGGGCGTATTTAACCTCCAGCGATGGGTCGACGCTATGGGGGTTGTTCATGAATTGTAATGGTATCGGAATGACGGGAAATCGTGGTGGTGTACAGTATTTTTAATGGTATCGAAATGATGGAACTTGTGTGAAGGAGTGATATCCCTTGTTGTCTGAATCCGACAAGCGTGTTGAACTGGATCAGGACTATAAAAGCGTTGAATTATCCCATAGAAACAGGTCCTAAAGAAGGATCTAAGCAGCGAATACAAACAGCATATTTAATACCCCCAAATCATATCAGTTCAATAATTTCATCATTGTATATACTGCTTTCTATAGTATCGGAATGACAGCAATCCACAGCTGTAGTCTAATATTTTCATGTATTATTGATTTATCTGTGATTTCACGTGCTGTCCTTTGGTGATTCTCGTAGACTCCCGCTTGAACCTTAGTGATATGCAGCTTATAAAGGATGCAGGTTGTATTGCACTTCACGAATTGCAGACCTTCCTTCGCCCCCTTCCCCTTACATGCGTCACTCCGTCCGATCCCGATCAGGGTATTGACGGCGCTGGCAGCTTCCTTCGTGAGACTTCCTCTGTGGTCCAAGTCTTTCAGGGAAAGGCAGTCCTCTACAGTTGATCTATCTAGGAACCTCGTGCATTCCATTCTGAGAACGCCTCGAATCACACTTGTTTCCTCAAAGATTATTCCTCTCCCATGCACTCTAGTTGAGAAGGCCTCGAACCATAATCCGAAATGTAGACTAGCCGTGCCCGTCTTAGCCCGTAATAGGATACCTCTTCCGTCGTGCCCGCCCTACCCTCCGGTAAGTGCGCCCCACAAGCCCGTGATGTCCGTCTTGGTAGCGATGATTTCCCGCGTACCGAACGAGGCAGCCAGATGTGTTTTATATCCATCAGTGACACGTGAAAGATCCTACAAGGTTGTAGCAACTCTAGTCAAAAGCCTCCCGGTCTAGGATGGGGCTTGGACTTCCTGCAAGCCTTGCTGGCTGTGAATGAATTAAAATAAAATACAATAAAATCATGCCCTAGCAATTTGCAAGCAGGTGTCATGACTTCTTACTTGTTATAGCTCCCTTGATAAACTAGGATGATTTTGAGGGCCCCAGTTAAAGCGGGCAAGATCGAACAAGATGCTAGAGTCGATTTGGCAGAACCTGGGCCAGGCCTGATCTGCTCAAGGGACAAACCGGCCGAAAACCAGCCCAATCCCACCGCATTACCAGCCTCACCGAGAACTCGTGCTGCATTTCCGAGTCTTAATGCGTAAATTTTACTTGTGTCTTTACCGCACAGCCCGGTGGATAAGGCAAAGAGACCTCGTTCAACCTTAGATGACGCCATGTTTCGGCCCTGTTCACAGTCGCATGCATATCTCTCGCCAAGCCAACTGCCTACGAGACCGACGACGATCCTATTATTCCGCATCAACCCATTCCACCTATGAGCCCCATATCATCCGGGGTGCCTGGATGCCGCCCGATCCCATTCCGGCGCGGCGCAATCTGTGCCGTTGACGGGGTGTAACGGACACATCCCGGGCGGAGACACGATTCCTCTTGGAAAACCCCATCAAAAAACAAACTGCCACTATTAAGAGCAAGCCCCCTGCAACCGCGGCCACCGATAATGGAACTTTGAGGCACGAATCAAGAGAAAGAAATCAGTAACTGTCCTTCAGTGACGCGGAACGCGGAAATAACGCACCTTTACGGCGACGGGCGTTCATGCTCCGTGTTCACCCCGCCGGGTGCTGCTTAGTAAGGTGACTTTTGACGCGCCAATGGGGCAACAGTCGACGGGATGACGGGGCGGACCTGCATCGCCGAGCCTTCGGGATGTCATTGCAAGTGGGACCGAATAATCAAAGTTGAGAGAGAGAGGTGTGGAGGTTTGAAGAGAGGGCGTGGACAGCCGACCTGAACTCGAGGGGCAATTTGATACTTATGTTGCGCCAGTCTCTATCTTTAGACCCCGTCCCAGAGAGCATAGTTTTTCTCGCACCAAGGCAATAGACAAGGAGCTATAGTGCGCCGGTAGACTTCGCGATGGGTAACACGAAGAACTTGAGCCCTCTGGGGTTATTATCCTTAGCCACCACCGGTGCCGCGCTAGTGAGCTCCAAAGGCTCGGCCGGAAGGCTGCCCGCTCTGGGCTGGAGCTCCTGGAACGAGTACGGCTGCGACATCAACGAGACGGTATTTCTCGATACCGCGCACCTGCTCATCGACCTCGGCCTCAAGGACTTGGGCTACGAGTACATCAACATCGATGACTGCTGGAGCGACAAGGAGAAGCGGAGAGATCCTGTCACGAACGAGATTGTGGTGGATGCCGAAAAGTTCCCCAACGGTATCGACACTCTGGCAGACAGGCTGCACAATCTGGGATTAAAGATTGGCATCTACAGCAATGCTGGTAAGTGATAGAGCGCACTTGATCGGCGGTTCTAGCCTTAACTATAAAATCCGAGTTGGATAACTGACTGGTCGGTGGTAGGCACATCCACCTGCGGCGGTTTCGAGGCTTCGCTCGGCAACGAGGAAACCGATGCTGCCACTTTTGCCAAGTGGGGGATTGACTGTAAGTAGACCCTTCTGTACCCCCTATACCTCCTTTCTCTACTCCGTTGAGGAAGAGCCTCACGTCCGCCAATCACTAAGACAAGAACAAACCGAAATAGACCTCAAGTACGACAACTGCGCCGTCCCCGAAGAGTGGTACGACGACTGGAAATACGTCCCCGAGAACTGGTTCGGCGGCGGCGCCAACGAGAACCAAGACGACGGCGAACCCGTCAACTCCAAAACAGACCAACCCGCGCCCTCAGGCTACGACTGGGCCACCTCCAACTCGGCCGAGCGATTCCGCCGGATGCGGGACGCGCTAGCGGCGCAGGAGCGCGAGGTGCAGTTCTCGCTGTGCGCGTGGGGCCACGCGCACGTGGAGCGCTGGGGCAACGAGACGGGCCACAGCTGGCGCATGTGGGGGACATTTACCCCGTGTGGTCGGGCAAGCACCAGTGGTCGTGGGGGTCACGCCCATCGTCAACCACGCCAGCTTCTTCTGGGACGCGACGGATTTCTGGGGCCACAGCGACTGGGACATGCTGGAGGTGGGCAACGGCGACCTCACGCTCGAGGAGAGCCGTAGCCATTTCGCGCTCTGGGCGGCGCTCAAGAGCCCCCTCGTCATCGGGACGCGGCTCGTGGACATCAAGCCCGAGATCTTGGCCATCCTCGCCAACGAGGAACTTGTTGCGTTTAACCAGGATCCCGTGTTTGGGCGGTCGGCGGCGCCGTACAAGTGGGGGTGAACCCGGATAACACGTGGAATCAGACGCACCCGGCCGAGTACTGGTCGGGCGAGTCGGTTAGGGGTACGCACGTGTTTGTGCTCAACACGCTCGAGGTCGCGGCGAAGAAGGAGGTGGCCTTTGGCGAGGTGCCGGGGCTGGATGCGCGCAGGCGCTACGTGGTGCACGACATGTGGACGGGCAAAGACCTCGGCTACTTCAAGGGCTCGTTCGAGATCGACGTCAAGGCCCACGATACGGCGGCTTTGAGGATTAACGAGGTGGGCAAGTGCGGTGGGAAGCATCACTAGCCTGGAGATCGATCACCAAGCACATGTACAATACAGTCTATCTCTGTGTGGAAGCTAGCTGGCACCCTATCTGAGGGGAACTTTTCGCCTAAGGCGCGTTGCCCGCGAGAAAATGTTGTTCTTCTTGTTGCTCCCTTCTCCTAATTCATACGTCTAGTTAATTTGAGACTCTCGCGTTGCTTACCTTAAGAAGCGTTGCATGAGCCCGTCCTAACAAGAGTCTTGTATTCCATCTCTCTCCACCGCGCCAAGCTTCCATTTTAAACCGGTAGAGGTATGGTGCATGACAAGGACAAGATGTGAGGCTTGTCGCTGACTCTGCCGATGTGAAGGATCGTGGGACTCCAACTATGCATCTTCATTTCAAGAGGGGTTTCCATTTTCATTACCAACAACAAAGGTCCATTGGCATCTTGGCATCAAGGGCTCCCCATGTCCACCGTCCAGGAAGACATCGATGGATAGAATGTCGAGTAATTCTGCAAGCAGTGACACACCCCCTTCTCGGCTCATCGCGCCATGCCCCGTGATTAACATGCAGCGTTGTCTCTCTCTCTCTCACTCACTCACTGTATTTCTTTTCTCTTTCTCATTTTCATTACTTGAAAGGGAGCACAGATAAGCATCCGGGACAGGGCCTCAAAAAGGAGGAAATGCCCCCCTTCCCCCGCCCGCGATGCGCGGGTCCGTGCATCACTCGACACTAAGAAAAAAAAAAGGCCTAGAACATACATCGCTAGCGGCCGAATAAGCACAGGGTATTCTTCGTCCTCTTTTCTTTATCATCTTCAGAAGCGGGGTGGTTCTTGGCGCACCCTAGATCGAGTGGCGGGCATGAACGGGCGTTGGAAGATGGAGGGAAAAGGATGAATGGGTGCTTCGACTGCGGAAGGACGTTGAATTTCGAGCGTTGGGAAGTGCATCGAGGTGCGTCGGAAACCGAAACAAACAAAAAGAGGGGCTTACAAGACAACACTTGAAGCGTAAGGCAACACACAATGCAATCAATTCATGTACGGTTATTGACTCCGCCGGCATCCAGGTTCGAGTCAGAGTCAGACACCCACTCTTCAACCTGCGGTCGTGGACCATAATCCGGCCATTCAACGAGACGGGGGCCTCCGTTATCAATGAAGCGAACAACAAGAAAAAAAAAAAAAAAAAAGAAAAAAATTCACATGAATTTCAGCTTAGAATTTTACATCAATGTATGCTCTGGCCATCGTGTCGTCCAGCGCATACCGGAGAGTGATGACGAGTGGGAGGCGGGAGATCGGATTAAGCTACTCTGGGCATTTCTGGGCGCACGCATCTCCCGCCAGCCCAAAATGTCTGGGCGTTCTGGGCATTTCTGGGCAAATTCTCGGCGTTGCGGGAGCCAAGAAAACAGAGGATGGGTGGCGCGAAAGCACGGAGCAGCTTGGGGGCCTTGGGAAACTTGGATAATGGACAGTGGTCAAGGGGGAAAAAGGGAGGAGGTACGAGCGGAGGAGCAAGGCGGGGGAAACCACAAAGCACCGGCAGCAGCAACACAGAAAGTGGGAGAGAGAGAGAGAGAGAGAGAGACGAGAAAAATCCGCGAGGGAAAGTGATCACGCGAGCTCCTGCCAGAACTGACAAAAATCCCACCAAATCGTTCCTGCCAAGTCATGCCAAGGCGCTTCTCATGCAAGAGGCGATGCGGGAGAGCGACGACGGACAAGGATGCGTCTGTGCTTGGGGGCGCGGTGGACGACGACACGTCCGGTTGATATCAAAAAAAAAGAATGAAGAACAAAAAGTTCCCCTCCCCGTTTTTTTCGATATCCGAAGAGGCCGGCAACGCCAAGTCGCCTTCTCAACGATCGCCGCAAGGGAGAAGAGCTCTTAGGACCGGAGTTTACCAAAGCCCCCGTCCAAAAAAGCGATGAACGAATGCTCGACGTCGTGTGCGCGCGTGCTTGGATGCAGACTTCTTATTGGTTTAATTGGCTTTTTTGTTTCAAGATGAAAAGTGGGTGAGGCTCTGATCTTGAACCGTTTTGAGCCAAGGTTGGGAAACTGCGGGGGAGGGCGAACTCGGGGTTTCTTTTTAGTGCTGTGTGGTGGCTGACGGAGGGCGCCGAAACAGCACAGTACTCGATACATTTGAGAGTGTGTGGTCCCAGGGCAAGAGCAAGAGTTGAGGCGGGGGGGACGCACAGGATTTACCGGCGGATTTGGCTAGAGTCGTTGGGAAAAACGAAAACCGGCCGTGGAGAGTTTTCGGATTTTTTTCTCTTCCTAGCTTCGTTGGAGAAAGTGGGGGCAGAGACACGAGAGGAGACGAAGAGGAGGCGCTATCCGAGTAGCGTGCCGAGGACACACTGAATCGGGTAAAGAAAAGGGCAAGATGGGTATCGATTGATCAATTGATCCAAATCTTTTCCTTGTCGGGCGTGTTTTGGTTTGGTGACCCAGGCCCAGGGCAGAGCTATACGATGACACGGGAAAACGGAATCATAGATCAATATGTTAGGCTGCCCGCCGTTTACAGAGTTCTTAGTGAGAATTGACGACTGCCATCACGCGGGGCGAGGCCAACAGACGGCATCCAAGGCATCGCGTCAGCTCGCCAAGTTTGCCCAGTCCGCCTGACGAAGAAAGAGCCGTGTTCGTGCTTGGCTTCGTACACGTCGAAGTGGACATGCGACACATCGATTGAGCTCTTTTTAACATATTAAGCTTGAGAGCGTGTTTACCGGCAATGTCCGTTACCGTTTCCATTTCCCTACTCGGCCATTCTGACATTCTGTGTCTGTGACTTCAACGTTCCCCACGCCATCCGCAACGCACACCAGACGAACTTTACTCCTACACTCCCTGCACACACTCACACTCACACACTCACACTCACACTCACACACTCACACTCACACACTCACACTCACACACGCACGCATGCAGACACTTCAAATGGCATACACATACACACACACCCGCGCCCACCCATAACCCACCCTTGTCCACCCTTGTCCACCCCACCACCCACCAACCCAGCACCAGCGCCCAAGGATGCATCCACATCCGTCTAGATCTGCATCCACAAGCTTCTGGTCCCTGGAGGCTTAAACGATCCTAGTCCTCTCATTCACACACGTGTGTTCATCCTGTTTTCTCATTGGTTCCCTCTCTCGGGGTCGCCACATGCATGCTTCGTCCTTCTTTTTGTTCCCTTGCCCTCCCAAATTGTTTCCTTCCGGAAGTTCCTGTCCACCCACCGTGTGTGCTTGCGTGCCACCCCGCAAATCAATTGATTTGTCTGCACGATAAAGACACTGTGCATCGTACGTCGTGTGCACGTACGGGCCACAATTCGATCAACATTGCCAGCCAACTTCGCTATGTACAAGTAGCCAATGCCACTCTCGCCTTGAGCCAACTGTTTTGTCTGGGCGACTGGGGGACCCTGGCCACTGCTTTGGGTGGCGGGAACCAGGTCCAACGTCATGTTCAGTAATTCTCCTTGTTCGTGCGTGCCGAATTAACCCCCTTGGTCGTCCGCCGGATCAAATTGACATCAACTCCAAGATCTGCCCTTCTCTCAAAGCGACATCAATTCCCTGTCAGACCGTCGCAAGCCCGCAAGGAATCCATCGTCATCACCCACTCATCAATTGGAACAATGGGGTGCGCTCCCGCCACGTACCCTTTTGTTTCAATCCTGCCTTTGATTGATAGCTACCACGCAGCCGGGTGAAGTCACCTGCTCTCCTGCCCCAACAGGAAGAACAAAAAAAAGTGACACCCTCCCTGCGTACATGTCGTGTGTGCGTGCATGTATCTCCGCATGCGTGTCTCCCTCTCGTCGAACAGGTAAGCCAAGATCCGGCATCCCTGGCGCATGCCTGTACGCTTCGGGGTTCGGCAAAAGTGGGATGCCAAGTGGGACCGTCCCCACGGAAGGCGACCTTGCGCTGGACATGGATAACCCACGACGCTGGCAAGCTGGCTGACGACCACACTCAACCCACTCGGCTCTTTTCGTTCGTTTTATTCCTTTTTTCTTGTAATATTGTTTCCGCTTTTGGATGGCCACAGCCCTAGGGAGGAACACTACCGGTGCAGCGAGAGAACCTCGTTCGCATACAACACCCATTGCCGCCCGCGGGCTGCTCGATGCCCCGAGTGCCTGCCACCGATCAGCATTCTCCGCCCCGGTCTCTTCAGTCTTCTCTTTTCCCCGTTGCTGCTCCCCTTCCCCCACCCCGGGGTGTCTCACACGACATCAGGGCACAGTAAAAATGGACTCACCCCTCTATATTTCGTTCCGTTTTTCTTCCTTTTTGCGGTGATTTCTTCTTTGCGCTTCCAGGTCCAGTCTGTCCGACGCCGACAATCTGTAAAACTGAATCGTGAAGCGGCAAAGGCAAGATAAGAGAGAAAAAGAGAAAAAAAAAGAGAAAAGAAAAGGAGGGTCAAATAAGAGAACGGAAGTAGGCCATCTTGCTGTTCTCACACCTACAAAGTTCCTTGGCCCCTTTCTTATTCCTTCCTCCGTTCACCAAGACTGCACCCGCCGACGGCCAAACGGGCAAAACGGAATCTTTCAACCACCTTAAACTTAGTCTGCCCGCTAGCCGCGCTCCGGACCTCCCAACCTACACACCCCCTCCCCTCCCCTACCCCCGTCTTCCCTCTTCAAGCTAGGGACGGATAAGAGAAGAACCAAGAGAAACAAAAAAAAAGATTGATATAATCATTGCTTCTCGATCCCTTCCCACATCTTTGCTCCCCAATCCTCTCCTCCCTTCTTCCTCCAACGAAGTTTCACATCTCTTCCCCCTTCAAGGCAGATTCCCCTCTGACGCCTCAAACAGTGCCTCATCCACTGTCTGCCGGGCTCCCTCCCTCTTTCTCCCTCCGGCCTGCCAGAAACTTTGCAGGTCTCGGGTCTCAAACTCTATTCTCGGCCCCGCCGCCTTTTTGTGTGGCTTGTTTCCGATCTGACTTTTTCCTTCCTTTTTCTTTCTCTCTTCGCTCTCCTGTTCTTTTCCAGGCCTTCCTTCGTCTGAGCCACCACAAGACGTTTGTGGCCAACCCAAAACGCCGGGTCCTGAAGACAACCCAAGACATATTTCATCTCCCCTTCCCTCCCTCCCTTTATTCGTGTCCCCCGTCCCGCGAAACCTTTCTCCGCCCGCATCGCATCGCACCAAAACAACACACCTGCTCCCCTCCTAATCCGTTAGGATGGCGCACCTCCTCAAACACCACCGGCCACACGATCCGCCCATGGGCGTCATCCCCGTCCCCACGGCCCGGAAACGGGCACCGAGCACGAGCACTACCCTACCGACGGCGCCCCCGCCCACGCCACCGCCGAGGAGCGCCAAATCTTCAGCTACCTCACCCACCCGGACGACTCCTACACCCCCGAGGGCACCTACTGGGCCGACCTCCCCGTGCGCCAGCGCGTCTCCTTCGTGCACAAGGTCCAGAGCGCCGAGGCCAAGAGCGAGGCCAAGTCCGTGTGGCGCATGATGCGCGAGGACCCCCTCAGCCCCCTCGGCTGGTACGTCCGCAACGCCGTCCTGCCCGGCGCGGGGCTCGGTCTCGAGGGCTACGTGCTCTTCTCTATCGGGAACCTCGAGCCCCTCTTCAAGGCGACGTGGCCCGAGTGCTGGGGCAAGGACCCTACCGTGTGCAGCCCCAACTGGATCGCCAGCGTCACCTACCTCGAGGTCATCGGGATCATGGTGGGCCAGATTGGCGTGGGTTTCATCGGTGACTGGATCGGTCGCCGCTGGGGTCTTATCCAGGATGCCGTCATCATGTTTGTCGGTCTTCTCATGCTCACCGCGAGCTGGGGCCTGACGTTGCAAGGCTGGGTCATCTGCTACGCTTGGTCTCTCTTCTTCTACGGTACGTTTCCTTTCAAACAGACTACAGCGCAGTCTTTGTTGTTCTTAAACCTAATCATTCTTATATCAAAACAGGTTTCGGTGTCGGCGGCGAATACCCCATCACCGCCACCTCCTCCATGGAAAACGCCGTCAGCGCCGGCAAGCTCTCCACCCGCGAAGACCGCCTCCACCGCGGCCGCAAAGTCACCATGGCCTTCCTCATGCAAGGCTGGGGCCAGCTCGTCAACCAAGGCCTCCTCATGATCCTACTCCTCTGCTTCCACCACGGCAGCGGCAACCCCCTTACAGCGCCGTCGCCACCCAGTGGACCTTTCGCGTCTCCTTCGCCCTCCCCGCCCTCGGCACCCTCTGGCTCGTCTACTACCGCACCTACAAGATGCCCCACGCCAGCCGCCAGCTCGAGATGGCCAAGCGCCGCAGCAACGTGACGGGCTACGACGTCGCCTCCTCAAGATCGCCTGCCGCCATTTCGGCGGCCGCCTGCTCGCCACCGCGGGTACCTGGTTCTGCAACGACGTCTTCTTCTACGGCAACAAGCTGTTCCAGGGCCAGTTCATCGGCGTCATCTCCCCGGCAGCACCAGCGTCATGACCATTTGGGTGTGGAACATGATCAACGTCATCGTCTCCCTCGTCGGCTACTACTGCGCCTCCCTCCTCATCGACCACAAGCTCTACGGCCGCAAGATGATGCAGCAGGTCGGCTTCCTCATGTGCTTCGTCATGTTCGTCATCCCCGCTTTCCACTACCACTACTACACCCAGCCCATGAACATCCACGCCTTCCAGGCCATGTACTTCCTCAGCAGCTTCTTCAACCAGTTCGGCCCCAACAGCGTCACCTTCCTCGTCGCCGGCGAGGTCTTCCCCACCCCGATCCGCGCCACCGCCCACGGTATCTCCGCCTGCATCGGCAAGGCCGGCGCCCTCCTCGCCAGCGTCCTCTACAACTACATCGACACCCAGACCAAATTCTACGTCGTTCCCTGGTTCGGCCTCCTCGGCATGGTCCTCACCTTCTTCTTCCTCCCCGACACCACCGGCCTCGACCTCAAGGAGCAGGAGCGCCGCTGGGTCTGCATCCGCGACGGCCGCGAGTCCGAGTACCACGGCGTCGCCGTCCACCCCACCCACCTCAGCTGGTGGGAGCGCTTCCGCGGCGTCCACAAGACCTACGACCCCGCCCAGGACATGAAGGACAAGATTGAGGATATCCGCCGCGAGTGGGAGGTCAAGGAGCAGGAAAAGGCCGAGCTCGAGGTCAACGGCAACCCCGCCGCCCTCTCCGACCTCGACGACGACGACGTGTTTACCGATCGCGTGCACGGCTACTTCAAGGCTACGTCTCCCCAAGGACGACGAAAAGGCTAAGAAGGGTGGGCCTGCTAGCGGAGGCATCTTTTCTTCCAACAATGTGAATGAAAAGACGGGCGACGTCCATAACGAATCGGGAAATGAGACTGTCAACGGCAGCGATAGCAGTGCCAAGTCGTAAAAACAATCGACTTCGCTGCATCGTGGTTTTCCTTTCATTCTTCTTTTCCGTTTTCTTCCATCATCTCATTTTGTTTCCTTTTCCTTTTGGATGGCATGGCGATTTCACTTTTTTTTAAGCAGCTAAGGATTTAGGCGTTGGGGTATCTAGACTTGGGCATAACAATTTTGGCGTTCCGATGATGACCAAAGATATTTTGAGACGTATTAGCTTGTTCCTTTTGCATACATGATAAACATACCATACACTACATATGTTTAGCAAGCTCACCTCACGAAACTTCATCTCCATTTCAGTGACACATTTATTTTGGCAATCATAATTCCAACTGTGATGCATAATCGCGTACATGTAACCTTCGCGTCAATTCCCCAGACATTCCAAAGTCGCTTTGGTCCGCACCAACGCCCTTGGCGTTGGCCAACTTAAATCGCTCACAACCGCCAAGAACGAACAAAGCCTCTCACTAACTTTGGACTCTGTCGCTCCCTCGCCGTCATAGGTCATCTACATGCTGGAGATAACCGTCCGGAGTTTATAAACCGCCGCTCGGTGCGGCAGACCCCGCTGCAGGGTGCATATGGCATCATCCCGCAAAGCCACCCGGTACATCGGCACCGTATGGCCGGCCAAGCATTCATTGGACCCCAGCGCGACCCGGACACCCTCCATTCTCCAATTCACCATTTCTCCGCATATGGTGAATGGCGTTCGCCGCGCTGATCATCTGTAGACGTCCGTACCTTGACAACGCGAGCATTAGAAATCAACATTGCTCTCGTGGAACAGGTTCTAATCCGACTCGAACGATTGGTGCCAGTGTGCACCCCTTAGGTAGTCCCTTGCAGAAATTCAATTGTTTGCTGGATCTCGAAAAGGGTCGGGGAGCTCCGACCTGCGGAGGCTCTCCTCACCTTCTCTTAAACTGTTATGATGTGATATTCAACACATATGAGATGATGGCGGCGCGGGTGTGCAGGGTAAATTGTGCGCAAGAAGCCTGGAGATTCTTCAAGATTGAATATCTTATATGTTGAGTCTGCACGAGCCTCTGGATATCCAGGAGCTTGTCTACACCCCAACTTTCTACAACACCAGATATACAACGATAGCTTTCACCATGTCATCCACAACTGTTCTCACCGAGACGGCTCCCGTTAAGCTTGCCTTGGCGTTCGACACCAAGATCCACGAACAGGTAAGCCAGCCAGACCGAATCTTTTCCAAGCATCTCACCCGTGGCCGCTAATCACCCGACTTCCCCAAAAGTATCAATACTCGGACTATCTCCCAGTCTACGACGAAGAAACCCGCTTCCCCGCTCCAGCCATTCGAGTTCAACGACCGCGGCCTCGTCGCCGATAAGAAGAAGACCAACCTCTTCTCCGCATCCAATGCAGACCTCCAGGTGACCAAGCTCACCCCGGCATCGGCACCGAGATCCGCGGATTGCAGCTATCCCAGCTGGACGACCGTCAACGCGACGAGCTCGCGCTGCTCATCGCCGAGCGCGGCGTCGTAATCTTCCGCGGACAAGACTTCAAGGACATTGGCGTGCAGAAGCAAAAGGATTTTGCAAACTACTTTGGCCCGCTCCACGTCCATGTATGTTTCCGATTGGTTTTCCCCTAGTGTCCATGCTGGCTTCGTGATTGTTGACTAACCAACCCCACACTAGCCTGTCGGTGCCCACGTCAAGGGCCACCTCGAATACCACAACATCTACCTTGGGCCGGATAACGAGTACCGAAGCAGGCTCCGCGATAATAGGCTTACCACTACCGGATACCACTCAGATGTGTCATACGAACACCAACCGCCCGGAATCACCATCTTGACGCTGTTGTCCGTCCCTCGACCGGCGGCGATACCGCGTGGGCGTCTCACACCGCCGCGTATTCTCGGCTGTCACAACCCATAAAGACCCTCCTAGAGGGACTCCGCGCAGAACACAGTGGGTTCCCGCAAGCTGAGAATGCCCGACGCGACGGAAAGTTCGTGCGAAGGGAGCCGATAAAGTCGGAGCACCCCATCGTCCGCGTTCATCCCGTGAGTATTTACCTGCTTCCCTACGAAAAGTACACTTCTTTCCGCGACTGGCGACAGCACTCTAATGCTGTAGCAATAGGCTACTGGCCAAAAAGCCCTCTTTGTCAATCCTGGATTCACGAAGCGCATCATCGGTCTCAAAAATGAGGAGTCCGATGCGCTCCTCAAGCTGCTTTTCAAGGTAAGAGATTGTCCCGATATAACGTGAGGGTGTCATGTATATACCACGGGATAAACTTTCTAACCTTGTAATCTTCAGCATATCACGTTTGGACAGGACTTCCAGGTCCGCATCAAGTGGGAGGAGGGGACCGTGGCATTGTGGGATAACCGCGTGACTTCCCATACTGCCATCTCCGACTACAACGTGCACAACCCTCAGGAGGGATTGAGGCACGGTATACGGCTCACGACATTGGCGGATAAGCCAACGGGTGTCAACGGTCTAGAGTCTACTTGGGAGTAAAAGGATAGAAACGCGCAAGACGCGGTCTAGTACAACCTAGCTATAATTTCTTTTAGCTATGTAGATCTTATCCGATCAGATAAATACATCGCCTTCATAAGCTTTTCTTACAAGATTACCCTGCCCCACTGCAACCACGATGTGCCATTTTTTTCTCATGAGTAATTATCAATACATGTAAACCATTACCGCCTCAAAAACTCCCGAGTCCAGATCCTTGGTCGCGATGTCGTCAATGCAGGATCAAGCATCCATGACCGAGGGCCCGGAAATCTGCTGTAATCATTTCCATAGCCCGTGCTCCAGCTACCAGTGTCGCTCAAGCGTTCATGAGGTTATCTTGCGAACGAATGCGTGCGACGTGCGTTGCTCCAAAATTCAGCATCTCCTCGGGCACCGAGTATAATCTATCACATCCCCATCACATCCCCCATTTGCAGAGAGCCAAGCTGACCAATCTGTATTTTACCCTGAGTGCTTGGCTCCTCTTTTGTCGAGATCAGCGTGGTCCGCAAACATGGGGCATGTGCGCCATCGAGACAAAATATTCCACCATGCAGTTCTCCCGACCCCCGGCCCGCGACCCAGCCAACAGCCAAGCCCCGTTCCCCACTCCAAAACGGCCGGCTACGCGGGCTCGCGCCAACCACGCATGCACGCCCAGCCAATGGGAGGGCTCCCGAAGATAATACATCCCAAGCTCTACCGATGCCTGCGTGGAAAACAACCCGGTGCCACACCCACGTTCATCTGGGTTGCATACGTCAAGCAATCACTTTTCGTCGTCTCGCCCTCTCAAATTAGTTTTTGGCTATCGCTCGGCATGGGGGCATCAAAGTCCTGTAGGCTTCGTATCATTGCGTTACATTTGTGGTAGGGATGAGAGCATCATGCCCATATAGTCCGAATGTCGGAGCTTGACGTGGGAGCTAATATAGGATCCTAGTTAGTACACTGGAGTCTGGCCCAAGTCTAGTCGGGGACACATGGTCAGGGATTCCAGTGGAGATCGTGTGAGAGACTCCTTGTCGTAGATGGGATGGGCCGGCCTAGAGAGAGGGGTTTGAGCGGGGGAGGAAGCCTTGGCGACAGTCGATTTATGGCACAACACATTGGCATTCTAGCATCATCCTGCTCTACACTTTGGGAACGAGGCCTCTCCACTGGTACGTATATAATGAAGGGCGTTATAAACCTCCCTTGTACTTGATAATGCACTGCCTCAAATCGCCAGACCGCAGCTAAGCGAGCACTCCATCGCCAGTCACTTATAGGAGAAAACAGGCAAAGGCTCTGCCAACCACCACCCACAATGACCAAGGACGCAGAGAAAGAAAAGGATCGGCCACCCTCCGTCTCCCTCGGCACGACCGCAGATCTCCACCCCGCCGACTCCAAAGCCGTCAGCGGGCAAACGACCGACACCGATAGCGCCGAGGAGGTCCGCGAGCGCGTCTTCCAGCAGAGGGTCGCGGCCAACGCCTCGAGCCGGGGCGACACCAACTTGTCCAGCCTCTGGCGCCGCGCAAAGGAGCGCCACAAGCCGGACGACATCGCCACACAGCCCTCCGTCTTCGACGACCCGGAGCTGGCCAAGTACTTCCAGCCTTCGGACAAGTACGAGAATCGCCACCGCTTTGATCCTTCTTTCCGCTGGACGTGGGCCGAGGAGATACCCCTCGTTCGCAGGATTGACTGGAAGGTGACCCTCTGGTCGTGCCTTGCCTTCTTCGCCCTCGACCTTGATCGCAGCAACATCAGCCAGGCCAACACGGATAACTTCCTCGATGATCTGGGCCTAGACACAAACGATTATAACCTAGGGCAGACTGTCTTTCGTTTATCGTTTTTGCTTGCAGAACTCCCAAGTCAGCTCGTGAGTAAGAAAATAGGGCCGTAAGTTAAACCCCTCGATAGCATATCTCTATCATAAAATTTCTTTTGGGGCTAATCTCATCATGATCCGTGGTAGTGATCGATGGATTCCTGCTCAGATGGTCTTATGGAGCGTCGTTAGCGGTAGCCAGTTTTGGCTCAAGGGGAGAACATCGTTCCTCGCGACCAGAGCCCTCATCGGTCTCTTACAGGGTGGCTTCATTCCCGACGTGATTCTTGTTCGTCTCTAGCCCTCTCCATTCGCCATCTTCACAATAGCCGTTTGGGCCACGAATCCTAACTGTTTTTACAGTATATGTCCTATTTCTTCAAGGGAACTGAATTGCCGTTCCGGCTTGCCTTGTTCTGGATGGCAAACCGCTTAACAGACGTGGTCGCTCCTCTGCTGGCTTATGGGCTTCTTCGTCTTAGGGGCTACCATGGGTACGAAGGTTGGCGATGGTGAGCAAATGAGCCTACGTTTCAATCACGGAACATGTTTGCTAATTGGACTGCTAGGCTCTTCCTTCTCGAAGGCATTTTAACCCTCGTCATCGGCGTCTGGTCCATCTTCGCCATGGCCCCCTCTCCCACCCAGACCAAGGCACCTTGGCGCCCAAAAGGATGGTTCACCGAGCGAGAGGAGAAAATCATGGTCAACCGCATCCTCCGCGACGATCCCTCCAAGAGCGACATGCACAATCGCCAGGCCATCACTTTCAAGCTCTTGTGGGAGTCGCTCTGCGACTATGATATCTGGCCCATCTATATCATCGGCCTGACCTTTTCGATGCCTGCGGGCCCCCGGACCAATATCTCACGCTGACCCTTCGTCAGCTGGGGTTCGACACGTTCCAGTCTAACCTTCTAAGTATACCATGTCAAATTGCCACAACGATCAATGTACGTTTGCCCCGTTCCACTAAATCACACGCGTGGCGTGAACGCGACGGCATCAGCGTTATAGTCTAGCTAACCGTTGTCCAAGATGTTGATCCTCACCTTCCTCTCCGAACGAATCAACCAGCGAGCGCTCATGGGCATTTTCGTACAAGTCTGGTTCCTTCCTTGCATTATAGCTCTAGCCGTGCTACCGTCTGATGTCAGCAGATGGGCCTCTTACGCAGTTGTGACGGTCCTCCTCTCTTATCCGACGCCACATCCCATGCAGGTCGGTTGGTGTAGCCGAAATTCCAACACTGTCCGCACTCGAACCGTCTCCGCTGCCGTGTACAACATGGTTGTGCAGGTGCAGTCCATCATCAGCTCCAACATTTACCGTAAGGATGATAGGCCCGAATACCGCCGGGGAATCGTGTTTTGATTGGAATCACTTGTCTCAATCTCGTCGTCTACTCGACCGTCAAGCTGTATTACCACTGGCGGAATAAGTCGCGGGACAAGGTCTGGGATGGGATGTCTACCGAAGACAGGCAGAAATACCTTGATACGACGACGGACAAGGGAAGCAAGAGGCTCGATTTCAGATTCGCAAGCTAATTTGAAGCGTGTTGGGAGATGGCCTTGGCTACACAAGGAGACGGTTGTATAAGGACCTACAGGTGTATCCTGTGTCATGTACAAGAAAAAGCTGCATACATGGTCGTCAAAAGGCAAACTATTTGGGCCACGTTTTATAAGTATGACCGCTTCTCGTCAGTATAAACACGATCGAAATATCCCACTGAAGGTCCCATTATAATTGAAAGTTTGATTCAGAAAAGTATTCAGAAAAGTAGCCTCATTCAAAGGTGAAGTTCATACTTCTGGAAAAGGCCTGCCAGTTAGCGTCTGTGGCCTGCGCGCAAGGCCAATCAGCGTATAGCTTGAGCGTCTCATCTACTAATTGGCGATTAAGCTCTCAGCAAGCTGATCGGGCGATCTAGTGGGGCGGCTAGTGAGGCGGCAAGGCGTTTAGGCTATGGCCTCGAGTGGCTTTGTAGCGACGTTCCTGAGGGAATCAGGATAGATACAAACTACGTGGCAATGTAAAGGAATACATCCCATTCCTTTACTAAGATTCATAAATAGGCAAAGGTATTGAACAGGGGGAAAACGTGTTCGTATTCGCTGCTTGGATCCTTCTAATAGATCCGTTTCTACAGGGGAATCCCTGCCCCTTTTATGGATGATATTCTGGGATATCTACATGATCCGTCCTTACTTGCCGTACCGGAAGTAATCGGCTGGATATCGGCTGGATATAAAGGTAAACGCCATCCGGATATAGATTTGGCACGAAACGCTACCCGAATTCGGTTATGTTCCGGTAATGCTCGGATATCCCATCCTTCCACCCTTCAACAAAAGGAAGTTCAAATTGATTAAAGACTGGCAGCTTAAAGCGATTTCTCAGGTGAATCTACTACATAAAGTCCAGCGTTTCTAAAACGCCCTTCAGCACTTCCTTATCAGCCTCCTACTACCTTCACACAGCACTTAACATAGGTCTCAAAATTCCTTTATATAAGCCTACTATAGTTTTTGCGCTGCGATTTCACATATGTCTTAACTTCTCTAAAGAACCTCTCGATCGCATCAGTCCTAGGAGTATACGGCGGGGTGAAGTCCAGCTTTACATGAGCCTCTGTACATATTTGTTGGACTCTTTCTAAGTAGTGGAATCTGATATTATTTATAATAAGTAGAGTCTATGGCTCCGGCCATTTGCTGTAGTTGTAAAGGAACTGTTCGATGAAATCTTCGAAAAGAGGCTTATCTATTATCCTGTGAAAGTTAGTATAGCTTGACACCCTTATGTATATGTAGCGATGAATTGCACTCTAGCCCTACGTTCGAACCTTACCTTTTGCACTAGAGTAGTCCCCTTTGGAGACTACCCTTTATACTGCAACATACTAGGCCTACTGATACTAGACTTATCAATAAATACCATATGATATGATTGAAATCCTAGCATTTTAAGCCTAGAATAGTAAAAATGCTGTAAATCAGGGATCTGCTGCTAGGCTACACGAGTTATCACTGTATACGACATTTTGCGTCGGCTCAAGGCTTGTGTAACTGCAGTGATAGATACTTCTTCAGTAGAACTCTTCTCTTATATAATCAGTTATCTCACGTTGGTTCATATTAGGATCTCTAGCTAATCGGCGGCAAAGTGTATCTTCTATAGTAGGAGTAAGCTTAGGATTAGGCCTAGTAGGATTCGCAGGTATGGTTGTGGTCCTGAACTGTGTGAATGTTGATCGAATAGTATGAAGGGATCGGATAGTGTAAGGTACTACCTTAATTATAGTTCGGTCTGAGAAGCCTTAAAGCATCATATGTAAGATTTGAGCATGCTGTGACGATGTCGGTTGGGGAGCTATGGTTGATGGTCTAAACGCCTCTTAGCTAGTTATGAAGTTCAATGAAAGAAGATAAGGAAATTGAATCACTAGTGTGCGAAGGTACACTGATTTTGTCTCTCAGCGCTAGCAGGAACTAGTTTTACCGCCGCAAAGTATATAAGGCTGGCCCCTGCTTATCAGTTTCCTTTGGAGTGGGCTCGTAAACGGTATACTATTGTTATGGGGTCACTAGAGGAAGCCCAGTTGGCGGTCTGTAGTGTCTTAACCTCGAATGATGAACAAGGAAGATCTAAGTGAGAATACTATGTATGCGCCGTAAGTTTTTATGCCGAACCGCACTTGCCCTAGTGGCCCCGCTCCTATAGATTCGGTGGGCTGAGGGCCCACGTAGTAGCGCGCTTCTCGATGCGGTCAGTCCGCTCCGACGCGTGCGTTCCGGTCTGGCTTCCAGCTAGACCCTTACAACTATCTAAGAAACATATCTCCAGACCCCTTCTTCTATAAAGATACTGGAAATAATAGAGTTATATAGATAATCCGAGAGTATTCGTGCGACATCCCAATGCTAGTCTGAGAGGGATATTCAGGGTATATTAGAAAGTGAGCAAGGTAATTAGGGAGTAACTAAAGGTTATATTAAATATTCCAGCTAATAGAATATAAACATATATATATACAAGACCGGATCATACAAAATATATAGTCACCTAATCGCTAAGTTAAAGCCAAATCCAAATACAACTATTAGATAACATAACAACCGGGATCGTAGCGCCGAAGATTATCCCTAGTATAAAGTGTCTCAGGGGCTTCAGGTCCAAGCACTTTTACCCGTAGCTGTAGGGTCTGCCGGTGGAGATCCTCAGCCTCCTTATGCTTCCTCTGACTCTCTAGCAAACTTGCAAGGTTGTTCATGCTAGTGAGCGTATCGGGAGCTTCAGGTCCAAGCACTTTTTCGATAGTTGTAGGGTCTGCCGGTAGAGATCTTCAGCCTCCTTATACTTCCTCTGACTCTCTAGTGAACTTGCAAGGTTATTCATGCTAGTGAGCGTCTCGGGAGCTTCAGGTCCAAGCACTTTTTCGATAGCTGTAGGGTCTGCCAGTGGAGATCTTCAGCCTCCTTATACTTCCCCTGGCTCCATAGCGAATTCGCAAGGCCATCCATGCTTGTGAGCGTATCGGGAGCTTCAGGTCCAAGCACTTTTTCCGTAGCTGTAGGGTCTGCCAGTGGAGATCTTCAGCCTCTTTATACTTCCCTAGGAGATAGCTACTCCGTCCGAGCTTATATAGAAGCATCGACTTCGCTGCATCGTCATCTCCAACATGTTGCCCATCTAGTACTACTAGAATATGTGGCCGGTATTTCACCCAGTCAATCCTGTTCTTATGCGTTGGGTAGGGTAGCACTTTGCTAAGTTGTTGAATTACCAGAGTACTGAAGCTCTCTACTTCACCTCTCTGCTTCAGCCAATTTCGCATCACTAGTCGAACAAGCCTATGCGTGTGGTATAACCCCTGACGGTCCTCGCTGATGAATGCGTACCCCTTCAGGGTCCCAATGGCTTCGCTCATCTTCAACCTATCCTCCCTGGGCGATAGGATGCTTTCTGGAATGTCCTTTTCGGCTAGGAAAGACATGAACTCGAGGTATTGTGCAGCTAGTGGGTCGTTGTGAACAATATGCTCGAAGGAAATAAGCAATGATGTCGCAATTGGTTTTCCGGGACCGTAGCTGCCTTGATCTTCAAAGCCCTCGCTTAGAAGCTTGACAAGGTTTTCATCATTCGACTGGCATAAGCTTAGGTACTCTCCCACAGTCATGCTATTTCGGTGGATATAGGCGCCAGCTTGTCGAATAGCAAGTGGTAGATCACATAGGAAGTCTAAGAGGCGCGTGGTGTTTTCAGGATCATTTTCCCGCACCGGACCTATGTTATTCCGCAGTAATATATGCGATTCACTCCTGTTCATTTCTCTTACTTCGATGATATATCCTGGCCCCATAGCAAGTTTCACAGCAGCTTTATGGTTCCTCGTCGTATATAGGATAGAGCCTTTGTAGCCAGCGCTTTCACGGGTGAAAGGGAGATACTTTTCCAGAGATGTAGACTGGCCAAAGAATAGATCCGTATCGTCAACGTTGTCTATAACTAGAAGCCAGTCTGACGGGTATCGACTTAATGCAGTCTTAACAAGCGACTTCAAGTCCACTTCTTCGGCGTTAATACCCTGTATGTTTAATTTTTGACCTATCTCGCGGTAGCCATTCTCAAAAGTCGCCGCATCAACAGCAGAAACCCAGAAGACGCAGTAGTTGTGATCCTCTTTGTAGACACGAGAAGCGACTTCGAGCGCGATTTGAGTCTTACCGACCCCTCCAAGGCCCTTGATAGCGGTTCTTTGGCATCGACCATTGGCTTCTCTTGGTCGAACTTTTTCTAGAACTTGTTCAATGATATGGCCACGTCCGACAAAGTCCGTTGGCCCATTTCTCAGGGATGGCTCGTGGAATGGACCGACCCACTTTTGGACACACGCTCCGCTCGAAGGTAGTTTGACTAATAGAAGTGATAGTCAGTATAGGCATAACTAAAATTGATTTTCTATCAAAGCTACCTACTCATGGCCTCAAAGTCTTCCACCACAAGGTTGGATTCAGATAGAGTTTTAAGGGGCTGCCAGCTCAGCATCCCCGATGACTGAGGACCGGAGATTGGTATGAGAGCAGGCAAAGAATCCTGACCCGACCTTGCTTTAGATGCTAATAGTGCCACGACTGTCTTCTCGATATTTGATGATATCTCCTCTTGTTCTAAGTATCCAGTTGTATATGTGCGGATATCGCCGAGGTGCTGCCACTCTTCCAGGTTAATATCGTCAAGGCCGCGATCGACATTAAAACAGAAGTACATATCTTTCATATCCCGGAACTGTCGCTGTGCTCTTTCTGCTGTCGTATCTGACTCTGTTGCCATATCTTTAAGCGCATTGACCAAATTCAGAGGGCTGGTCTTTGGCGAGTCGGGGAATTTGATAGTATAAGCTATACCTATTCTGATACTAATAACATAAGCAAATTTTTATCTAGGGAAGTTATGGCGCACCTCCTCAAGGACCTACTTAATAGGGTTATTATTCCTAAGACCGCTATCTATAAACTCCTCCTTCTCTCCCTCGTCGCTAATTGAAATTAGGTCAAAGTAGGTAGGTGCTGCAGAAGTCGCACAACTCGCTTCCCATATTATGCAGTTATATGTCCGATTCTTGCGTACCTCGTAAGTTCAGAATAGCCTAGGGCCCCTGTGGGCTCAAACGTCTTTTTATAGCACAGCGTAAACAAACCTAGATAAGGAGAGAGATTAATAGGCTAATAGCTATAGCGATCAAAGGTAACGTACGTTTTACAGGGGTGGTCGAAGGGTCGAGTAGTCTTTCCTCGGCGTGACTCTCCCCGAGGCGGTCCCGAAGGAGCGATTTTACCACTTCTTCGAGCTTATGTCTATCAAAATTACTTTGATTCAGGTATCTTTTGATAGAGAAGACTTCCTTCGCAATCTTGACATACTCCTTCTAGGCTTCAGGTACTGACAAACGTAGGCGTCCTAGGAGGAGGGCAATCAAACTATCATAGAGGCTAGACTTAGTTCCTTTCGTGAATACTAGCAAGCTAAATAATTTGCGGTTGGCTTACCCTCTAGTAGATGTCCCGCCTATAAGGTCAAAGAAGTCGGCGGGTAGAGGGTCGTCGACTAAATTCAAGTCATATTTGATCCTGTTCATTATCTCCTCAAGAATCAGGAGCTCAGAGAGGCCACGGATACCCCCACCATCTATCCCAGAGTCAGAGCATGATTGCGAAATTTCAAATGCGGAATTGTAAAATAGGTTCATTGTGCTTACCCAAAGCTAGAAGACATAATGGTTTACATGTATCGTCCATTATATCTAAGTATTCAGAGGGATTGTTTGTATTGATGGATATTGAACGCAGTGCTCTGCTTGAAGCGTAAGAAGTGGGGAATGGGTGGGGTGGAGAGCGTTAGTCTCCTTGATATACCCGTAATTTAGCGCTGCGGCTGACGCAACCCCTCCCCTGTGTGACGTGAGTTTGTCGATGCCTCAGCTAGGATTGGCCATTAGCGTGCCAACTCACACCCATCCTGCAGGTAAAGGCGCCAGCCTGATCCAAGAGCAACAGTAGGGGCCGGTCCAGCGACACCTAAATACCCTTGGAAAACTGGATTAATTAGAGCGTCTCCTTTCAGTCTGCACCAACCGTACATGTACGAGTATTATGAAACATGTCCCAATCCAGTGCCCGTCGGCAATAGCCAGTCGAGCTACGATAGCCTTAATGAACCTTACCGATTGGGCGCTTGAGTCGTAACAATTGTTAGACCAAAAACGGACAGCGGAACGCTCCCTGTACATTAGAGGTCTTTTAGAGGCGTACATCCCGTCAACAACAATATCGCCTAAACGGGCTCTATTCCTTCTCACGTTAGGTCATATCAGGAGTCTTCAGTCAACCGGCGGCAAAGTTCATCTCCCGGGTAATGTTAGGATTAGGGCCGGTACGGTTTGCGGGTACGGTCGTGGTTCCGAATCGCGGAAACGTTGATCGAATTGTACGGACAGGTCGGAGAGTACAACGCACTACTTCAATAATAGCATGGATCGTTCGGGAACCCCTAGAGGTATGGAATCTGGTCATCTTGGGATGGTATCAATCGGGGAGCCATGTCGAGAGATTGCACACGCGTCTTTGGCCTGTCAATCAAGAGACTTGAGGATGAGGAAGCTGAACAAGACGGGAGATGCGGGAGCCCTGGCGTCTCGGGGCATTAGCGTCAGATCATCGCGACGAGTCATACTTGGTAACCCTAAAACTGTGAGAAGGTATTAACACGGATTTGGAAGGGGAAAGAAAAAGAACAAAAAGAACATACAACACCGGGGATTCGCTGGTCGTCACCGACCCAACTACTAGTCCGGCGCTTCGCAGCTTGTGTACAGGGGAGCGGACGGGACCCTCAATATTCTACGAGCTATGGTCGTATGTACCTATCATTATCTGAAAGTTACTTATAAGGGAAAGATTATCTTAGTCATACCCTCTCCCTCCGCAGCTAGCTTCGAGCACGCTTCAAACGGGAAGCTTCCCAGCCCAACCAAACGACTGTACCGAGGTATGCCGATGACCACATATACCCTCGACATACCACAAAAAGCAAAGGAAAGGAAGACAAAAAGGCCACCAAAAATAAAATCAGGATATAATTTTCAAAAAGAAATATCAAAAAACATACAACACCAGGGATTCGCTGGTCGTCACCGACCCAACTACTAGTCCGGCGCTTCGCAGCTTGTGTATAGGGGAGCGGACGGGACCCTCAATTGTCTGCGAGCTATGGTCGTATGTACTGGTCTTTCTCATAGAATGCACTTATGAGGGAAAGGCTACCTTAGTCACACCGCATGTGTTCTTTCCTAGCTCCGGGCATGCTTCGCCCTAGAAGGTTTCCATCCTAACCTAACAACTAAACATGCTCGTGGCCGCACGCCCAACACCCTAGCAGGGAGCAAGGGAAGGGAAGACAAAAGGAAAAAAGACCCAACCAGCCACAAGTATAATCAAAAAAGAAGAAAAAAACATACAACACCGGGGATTCGCTGGTCGTCACCGACCCAACTACTGATCCGGCGCTTCGCAGCTTATGTACAGGGGAGCGGACGGGACCCTCAGTATTCTACGAGCTATGGTCGTATGTACTGATTCTCATCGTGGAATACCTCTATAAGGGAAGGGTTACTACAGTCATCTACCTGTTGCCTTGTTCGCTGGCTCGCAGCGTGTTTCACTTTGGATACGAGATGGTTTGATTTGCGTCCATGTTAACAACCAGAGTATATCGAAACGTGAAATAAAGCCGGCCCAGACCATCATGTGATCCATTGACTAAACTATTCCCACACGGCCGGACCCGGAGCGGTGTAACTCGTCCTCGGCGGAGAATAAGGCCAGAGCAGACCCGGATCGTTCGCCGTATAAGCCCCAGGGAAGGCCACCAACGGCCCGGGGTCCCGTCTCCGCCTCCCGTAATTTCGACTTGGCCGCAGCTAATGTAAAACTGCGCGCCGCCGGGATTCTGCGCGAGATGCAGCGCGATGCTCTCCACGCGTACGAGGTATTTTCCGCTCGGGACGTTCTTCGGGACGACGAAGCTGACGTCGTTCTTGTCTAGGATTCAGGAAATACAAACGTGCGTTAGACTACCGGTTGCGTCTCTTTTGTTTAGCGCGGGGTCTATTTTTATTCTTACGATACGCGGGCCACGTCTTTTCATCTCCGCCCAGCGGGCCGTTGCCCTCCACCGCGCTGATACTCCCCGCCTTGAACCAGACCGCGCCGTCGGCCTCCCACGTATTGATGTCCGCGCCGTCGGGGACCCTCGCCATATAGAACTGGCAGGGGCCAAAGTGCATGATGCCCGAGGATGCGACGAAGCCCAAGGTATCCCCGGCCGCCAACGTCGTGGTCGCCGTGCCGGGGCTGCCGCCGAAGCAGCGGAAATCGGCGCTGTTGACGTCGGAGACGGCGCCGTTATCGCGGGAGTTTTGGACCTTGGTGCGCCGGACCGACAGCCAGTCGGCGGCTTCGGGCTGCCCGTTGACGATGAGCCTCGGGAACTTGTCTGATAGTGGTGTTAGCCTCTCCTACTATCGGGCTTGGTTCCACCCCGCAGTGTATTGGAAAGCATACAGTGGGCGTGGGCTGCCGCCGCGAGAAGCAGCATAGAAGCGATCAACTTCATGATGGCCACCGGTATATTGGGTTCTTCTGGCCTGTTGAATGAAAGAGAGCGGTGTCTTTTTCCCTTGCGGGGCCACCCACTGATGTCGAGCAGCACGGCCATACTTATAACAGACACCTAGCTCCGGGTTTCCAGGCGCCGGCGTAGGCCCCGTCGCCATATGCCGGCAACGGACAACGCCCGTGGGATATATTCACGCGAGGGTTGTGCAGTGGACTGGGCCAATGAAGCTGACGATGGTATTACCCGGGCTGGTTTATCCACGCAGTAGCGACGCCATCTGGGGTGCAGAGCAATCAGATTAGAGTGTCTTCCATGCCCCCTTACCACCCACTTCCGGCAAATTACCAGGTGGAAAATTCGCAGAAGTTTCCTTTTCCCCGGGCCCAGAGGCAGATCAAGATTGGAGCTGGAAGACTTGACGTTCTCTCACCCCACTGAGGCTCAATACCGGGAAAAGAAAACTACCGGCATGGCCCGAGATCTCTTCGTCACGCTTTTGTTTTTACTCGCTTGGGGTGGATCCGAAGACGAAGAATGTGGTAGAACTATTCATCTTTGCGCTTCCGAGCAGTGCTTTTCGAGGAATTATCATGGGAGCCGAGAGAAGGAGAGAATATACGCGTGGATGTGAAGAAAAGACTGCGGGCTAGTTCTCTCGTTCTTGGCAAAGGTCTTCACAGGTCATACACGACACGCTGCTCCTCCATACCCTGTAATTTGGTTATACTCACATTAGCTCCCTCAACTACTGTAATGAACCAGATTACCGCGTGTGAAGAGAGCATCATGTTTGGGCCGAAGCTGCCATTGCTCCGGAAACGCAGACCAATGCAGCCATCGTGTTTGGATTTGTTTCCGTCCTCGAGTCTGCAAACTGTAGCTTCTCGTTGAGGGCACGGTTTGGGGGACTTGGCAAGATCAACGGAGCTGACTCTGCCTTGCAAGGTACGCCAATGCCTCTGATGGCTAGGACTGTCCTTTCTTGATGAGTGCATCACCGGCGGGTCATCTCCAGGATCGACTAGTGCTAAGAATCCATCTACGTTGCCGACCAGTTCCTACTCAGGCACTGACCCGGGCATTCTTCTGAGAGGCCAGCTTCAAGTTGTCTCGACTTCAGTTTCCCATCTGAATCTGCGAGCCAAACGTCAAGTCAGCCCCACCTGTGCAGAAGCTTGTGTAACAGCCAAGTCCCTTACGGGTCTTGGCCGCCTGATTGAGGAAGAAGCGAACGGCCTTGAATGCAACGCATTAAAATTGTACAACGATCGCGAGAGGACTTTTGCTCTCGCTGTGCGAAAAGAAGGGGAAAACAGTAGGTCATGGCAACTTCAAAAAATGGGTATCACGGATCCAAAGGATCAGGGGCCAAGACCTAGGCAGAATGCGCCTCCACTTTCTGAAGCAGGCAACACGGAGGTTGCTTGAAGGTGAAGGAGCGTGGAACGAAACACGAGGGAAGGATGGGGACGTGGTTCGCGCCAGTGGGTGGCTGAGTGGAGGTTGGCTGTGCAGTGCACCCCAGTCGGGAGCATGATTGATTCTTGCCGAAGCTCACTGAGTGCGGGGGAAGGGAAGGGGTTTGCCAGCACTAGACTCGGCCGAGGGCAGCAAATTGGTCGCTAGCGCTGGTGGCGCGAATGCACGCAGGGGGACAAAGCGACTTGCTTGGGGAGAAGAAAAAAATCTCATCGAGCTTCATTCTCGCACGGATTGATCAGCGCGAAGTGGTTCTCCTGTCGGCTAGCACTGGACGATTGCCTCGGTCTTGAGCTGACATGGAGGCCATGATGAGATGTCACATGTAGATCTAAGAGATTGATTCCCATGATGAGTAATTAGACTGTGCCTCCTGATTCTGACTAGCAGCTTCGGAAGGAGGGCACGGGAAAAGGGGATGGAGGGGGACAGAGTGTGGGAAACACAAAAGAGAGGAAGAAAAAAATACATTCTTGTGAGTGAGAAGCTATGGGAGGGGAGACAAATCAAAGAAGCAGAAGCTTGAAAAAGAAAAAATGCCTACCGACTGGCCTGGCCCCTTGGCAAACAATTGAGGACCGCCCTGCCGGAAGGAGCATGGCCTGATGCCTGCTGCTGCTGTGCGGAAGGAAATTGGGTCTGACAGCTTGGAGGACTCGAAGGGGGATTAATTGGGGATGGGGAAGGAATGCAACGCAACAGTGGTGGCCAGGGGGAAAGAAACAGCCAACAAGGTGCTTGTACAAGATACTTCCTAGAAGCAGTTGCCATCAAGCGATGGAATGCACAAAGACATGTACCGCGTACAAGGGCGTTGGCTCACGTTCACAAAACAATCACCAGCGACGGGCCCGCCGTGGCGCAGCCTTATAAACTTGGCTTGAGGAATCTCTTGGGGTCTCCCCAGCCAATGGCAGCCAATGCTACTGTCGCTGCAAGCTGGGGCTGGGGGATCAATTGATCAGATGGAGGGAAGGGGGAACCTGGGTCAATTTCATCACCCAGCATTTGATCGCGAGAGCTTGGTTCGTGGTCGATCTCGCTCTCTGCCTTGCATGGTTTGGTTTCGAGTATTATCGCGCCTCTCTTGTTTTTCTGTTTGTTTGCACGACCTAGCTGACGTGTGAGGAAAGGACGAGGGACCAATGGTTTGACTCAATAAGCATAGAGGAATCCAGCTATCGGTGCAGCACGTACAAAGTCTGAAGAGAGACGAAAGGACCCCGTTTCCGCTGCGCGTTTCGTCAATTGACTTTGCCGCACTCGCCCCTTCCCCAACTTGCTGTGCTCTTTGTAGCTTCCGCCCCGGTCAGCACTGCACGTGGATCGGATTGGACGCCGCACGTCTTTGCCCCAAACGAAAGGATTTCCAGACGCCGCCGCTTTACCCCTTTCCCGCCTTTTGGAAAGTTTTTGGTTCCCTTCTTTTTTTCTTTTCTTACCTGTGCTTCCCTGGTCCAATCTCATCTCCTAATCGTCCTTTTCTCTTTTCTTGTTTTTTGTCCTTCCCTTTCGACCTGAGCTGCATTCTGGGTTTCTTTCATCATCGGACCCTCTTTTTCCCTTTTGATGGAAGCTGTAACAGGGAGACGATAACAGCGTGATTGGGTTGTAGCTGCGATTGAGTGGTTTGCCAAGCAAAGTTCCCCCCGCGGACCGTTAAGCCTTTTGATCTTATCTGGCTTTTGTCTTGGTTTTTTTTTTTTCGTGCCCCCACCGCCAAGATGAAGGCGCGCCAGCGGAATTTGATCGCCGCCTGCATCTTCACCATCACGGCCTTCTTTTTCCTCTTTCCCCGCGCGACGGCCTCTCGTACGACCTGCGCAGCGCGCCAGCCCCGCAAAAACCGAAAGAGCAACCCGAATCGCCGCCCAAGCAACAGCAGCAGCAGCAGCAGCAAGCCGACAGCAGCTCTCGCCATGGCGGCCCCGTCGCGGGCTTCGTCGACTTCTCCGTCACCGACCGACCCCTGATGCCCGCGCAAGACCCCTATGCGAGCAGATGCCCGGCCAAAACAGTAGCATCGTGCTCATCGTCAAGACGGGCGCCACCGAGGCGTTTAGCAAAATCCCGACCCAGCTGCAGACGATCCTGCGGTGCGCGCCCGACGTCCTCGTCTTCTCCGACATGGAGCAGACCATTGCGGGGTGCACGTGCGCGACTCGCTCGATACCGTGCAGGACAAGATCAAGGCCGGCGACGACTTCAACCTGTACCGCGCGCAAAAGGAGTGCCTGGTCGCCCAGGCCGACTGCACCCGCCACCGCGACAAGAACAAGGAGGGCTGGAACATGGACAAGTACAAGAACATCCACATCGCCGAAAAGGCCTACAACCTGCGGCCCGGCAGGGACTGGTACGTCGTCATCGACGCCGACACCTACCTCTTCTGGACCACCCTTGTCGCCTTCCTCGAGCGCCTCGACCCGACGCGCAAGCTCCTGCTCGGCAGCATCGCGCACTACCTCGATTTTCCCTTTGCCCACGGCGGTAGCGGCTACATCATGTCGCGCGGCGCCATGGACGATTTCGTGGGCGGCCATCCGGGCATCGGCAACACGTACGATAAGAGGGCGTCCGAGGTGTGCTGTGGCGATTGGATGTTTTCCAAGGCCATGAAGGAAACGTCGGACATTCCCGTGACGCAAGCGGTATGATTGAAATATTTCCTCTATCCACCTTGCTCCCTTTGCCGTCTCATGCTAACGTTGTTGATGCTTCTCGCTAGTTCCCCACCATCAACGGAGACAAGATCTGGAGCATGTCCTTTGGCCCCACGCACTGGTGCCAGCCCCTAGCCACCATGCACCACGTCGACAGCGAAGAAATGTCCCTCTTCTGGGAATATGAGATGAAGTTCTACCTCAAAAACACCCTCCCCGGCGGACCGGGCCCCCGACCCATCCTCCTCCGCGACATGTACCAAGAGTACTACGTCCCCAAGTCCACCGAGACCCGCGAGAACTGGAACAACATCAGCGACGACTGGATCTACCTCGACCGCGCACCCCACAACGACGACGAAAAATCCCGCCGCGTCATGACCTTTGGCCAGTCCGCCACCGAAAAGGCCGCGGCCAAGTCCCTCGAAAACTGCCGCGCCGCCTGCGAGAAGAGGCCGGAATGCTTCCAGTACTCGTACTTTGGCGACGGCAAGTGCGGCTTGGCCAAGTCCTTCAAGATTGGCTACCCCACCAACCGCGAGGAGGATCCCGCCAAGAGGCAGACGTCGGGCTGGCTCGGGGAGAGGATCAAGGCGTGGGTGGATGAGCAGGGCGAGTGCGCCGCGCCCGTGTGGCCCGTCGTGAAGAAGGGCCTCTTTGGCATGGGGACGTCGTAACGCGCCATATCTTCTAATCTCTCCTTCCTCTTGTCCTCACCCTCATCCTCGCCCCCCTTCACTCTTCTTCCTCGGAGCGCTACCAACACTTCTTTTTCAAACGGGTTCAATGGGTTCAGTTACGCCGTGCAAATCATCCACATATAACTTTAGCGCAGCATCTGCTTTTTTCTTCTCTTTTCCTTTGCTCTTGTTCTTCAATCTCACCACGTCCTCTTATCCTTTTTTCTTCCTCTTGTTTTTTCTTCTTCCTCTATTTCTTCTTAATTTTGAAACGAAACGATACGAAAAAGGAAGAAAAATGTGGCGTGGATGGTATGGCATGTTTCTGGGTTTTCAAAGGCGGCGGAGGGCCACGTTTAAACAAAAAAATGAGAGAAGAAAAAAACTAGCCATAGACATGTTAATGCGTCCAGGAGTTAGTCCTGGATTCGAAATGTACGATAGATTCCTAAGAAAAAAGGAAGAGAACCAAAGAAATACAACGCATGTCTTCACTGCACGTCCCATCAAACGGGCTCTTCGCCGAATTCGCGTGTTGATCTCCATCTCTCGTGGTTCAATCTGACCAGTTTCGCTCGACAGGGCACCTTTCTTTCGATTTTACCCCTCCCCTCTTTTGCGTCCGATCTTGAGTCTTTTTTAGCTTCATTGGAACAGTGTCGCGTGCGAGAGAGACATTTTGGTCCAGCCCTCGCCATGACTGGTGCCAGTGCTTGAGACATTGGACGAGCCATACCGCATCCGCCGCGACAGAGGGACACAAGAACGAAAATTCGAATGTAGCAGAACACTGCGCTAGTCACTGACGTCACGGGCGAAAACGATTGATCAATGGGATGTTCAGGGTGGATCCAGGATTCCTTCCCCATTGACCTTCCCAGGAGAAGATGCTCCAAGATTGTGAGTGGCAACCTTCTCCACACTTGTTCGTCCCGACAATTCAATGTTGTCGATCCTCGAGCAGGATTGGTGATATTCGAGATGCAATGCGCATTCCCAGTTCCCATTTCCCCTCATCCAGGGCAAAGGAGCCATGAAATAAATCTTGAGAAACGAACATTGAAAACAACGAAGAAAAAATGACGAGGGAAAAAAAGCGATAATCAGGGGAAAAAAACATACAACACCGGGGATTCGCTGGTCGTCACCGACCCAACTACTAGTCCGGCGCTTCGCAGCTTATGTACAGGGGAGCGGACGGGACCCTCAGTATTCTACGAGCTATGGTCGTATGTGCTAGTCTTTGCAAGTTGGGACGGTTATAAGGCCAATTGCTCCATCCAGTGTCGTTGAGACCATTGAAGCACATCATCCTCCGAACATCGTGGACGAGCAGTAGTTCGCGATGCAAAAAGAAAAACGAACCACGTGCTGAGCCGAACTCCCGGGGTCGACGATGACGATTCCAAGTAAGCCTGGAGCAATGCTCCCCATTTCCCCCATTTTCCCTCTCGCCTCCACAACGGAGCCTACGTCAATGGATAAAAAAGAAACAGCTTGGGAGGAGAAGGGTAATTGCGCCGGAGCTAATGCGGTCCATTTCCGTCCGCACCAGAGACCGTGTATCATTTTCCCCGCTTGGCAGGTGCATCTTGCCTCTCTCCCAAGCTTTTTCTGCCCTTGTGCTTGAAGATCGCCGAGACCCTGGCCCGTAATCATTGCTCCTCTCAGGGCTTCATGATAGCCCGATTGGCCGATTGGTGGTGGGGCGGGCGGGCTCTTCCTGGCTTGAACGCGAGGGAGGAGTTTCCGTCCGATCTCAATGGCACCTTGGTTTGCGTTTTTTGGCATTCGCTGTTGTGATTTTGTTTTTCTTCCATTCTTTTCATTCTTCCGCCCTTAATCTGAGCAATTACTGTTCGTGTCTTGGCTATCTTTTTTTCCTTTTTCTGCGTTCGTTTATTTATAACTGTGCCGATCCCCGCAAGAGGCAATCGCGTCAATCTAAGGTGCATGTAAACCGTGCAGTCGCTTGCGTCCTCGGCACCAGGTTCTTGGTTTTTTTCCCCGTCGAATTTCTATTAAAGGTTCTTCAATCTCGACGTTGCGGTTTGATTGCTTGAACAAAAAAGGTTGTGTTGATCAGCGGAATTGTCCCCGTCTCCAAGGTTGATTTACACTTGATCAACGACGCGCTTTTCGCCTTGCTTCTCTTTCCCTTCTCTCTTCTCTTTTCGAAGCCGGCGACTTCTTCATAAGGGATCTCAAAAGGCCCCCTTCGACCACACTCTCCTAGTGATTAGAGGCATCCCTCCCTCCCAACCAAAAAAAAAAAACAACACTAGGTGTCCTCACTTCCCCACCCTCGCTCGCCATGCGCCTCAACCTCCTCGCCACGGCCGCCCTATGGCTCACCTCCCAGGCGCGCGCCGACGACGACTTTAGCGCCCGCGTCGCCGAGATCCTCTCACGGCCCACCTTTGCCGACGCCACCGTCGGCATCAAGGTCACAGACCTCGGGTGCGGCAACGTCGTCTACAGCACCGGCTCCGACGCGCCCCTGATCCCCGCCTCCAACCAGAAGCTCCTCACCTCCACCGTCGCCCTCGCGAAACTCGGCCTCGACTTCACCTACGACACCAAGATCTTTGGCAGCTGTCCCATCAGCAAGAAGGGTGGCGTGCTGGACGGGGACCTGTGGATCGTCGGGTCCGGCGACCCTCGCTCAACTCGGAGAGGTTGGCGGCCATTGCCGCCGACCTGTCCGCCCGGGGCCTCAAGAAGATTACCGGCAAGGTGTACGCCGACGGATCCGTCTTCGATTCCAAGTTCCTCGGCGACGGCTGGGACCCCGACGACGAGCCCTACTACTACTCTGCCCAGGTGGCGGGCCTCAACACCGACCTCAACGTCGTCAAGGTCAACGTGGCGCCCGGCACCGTGATCGGCGGCCCTCCCGTGATCAAGATTAGCGGCGTCGCCGAAGCGGATGAAAAGTACGTCAAGATCCAGTCGACCGTCAAGACGACTGCGTCAGGTGGCCAGGAGAGCCTCGTCTTTGACCGAGTCCGTGGGACCAACACTATTATTCTGGGCGGCTCCATCCCCCAGGCCGCGGGCTCCGTGACTTTTACCATCACCATCGACAACCCCAACGCCTTCACGGCCTATCGCTTGGCCGTCGCCCTGAACAACGCGGGGATCAGCGTCTCCAGGAATCCCACCACGCCTGGGAAGAAGCCCAAGGGCGCCGTCGAGCTCGCTTCCTCCACCTCGGAGCCCCTCTCCGCGCTGCTCCGTCTCTTCCTCAAGCCGAGCGATAACATGTACGGCGAGGCTCTCCTCAAGAAAGTCGGACGCGAGGCGGACCCGCGCAAGCCCGGTAGTGCCGCTACCGGCACACCCGTTTTTGCCAACTACCTCGAGGGAGAGGGCATTGACACCGCCGGTGTCGAGATCGTAGATGGCTCCGGCCTCTCAGATCTCAACACAGTGACCGCCCGCTTCCTAATTGACCTCCTTGTCCACAATAAGGAGACTTTTACGGCTGAGGAGTGGGACGCCTGGTACAACGCCCTCCCTATTGCTGGTGTCGATGGCACCTTGAGGGCCGCCTCGTGGGCACCCCGGCCGCGGGCCATGTTCATGCCAAGACGGGCTCGTTGAGTGGCGTATCGTCGCTCTCTGGATACTTGGACGCGGCAGACGGGACCGAATACGCGTTTTCGATACTGATGAATGGGTTCACGAGCACAAACGAGGCGAGAAATGCGCAGGATGACATTGCCCTCGCCTTGTATGAGCGCTCAAACTGAATGACTGCATGATTGGAACCGGTTGCTAGATAGATAGAGATTGTTGGATATACCCAGTGAATAAGGTATTAAAGAAGTTGACGCACCAGAGCCCACTTTTTTGTGATTATTACGTTAGTATTAGCTCCGGAAGCCATTCATCAATGGCTTGGTAGTATGCAAGACCGATGTTGTCCGATGTCCATTTCAGCCCTCCTCTAGGGCGGGCCGGGTTATGAACCCACAAACTATTGCCTGGCTTGACGAGTTTAAGAACAGTGACAGAAGAAAAAGAATAGAAAAAAATGGACAAAAAACATACAACACCAGGGATTCGCTGGTCGTCACCGACCCAACTACTAGTCTGGCGCTTCGCAGCTTGTGTACAGGGGAGCGGACGGGACCCTCAATATTCTACGAGCTATGGTCGTATGTGCTTGTTCTAGCAACTGAACACACTTATAATTGCTCGGGAGAGGGTCCATGTAGTGAGAGGTGCTTCACGTTGGCTCGCGACCCGGCCGAGTGGTTGATGTGGAACTATGCCGTCTCCAAATATCAAATTCATTAGTCAGTTCGTCGCACATCTCTAAATGCGACCGACACCACGGTTGGCGTTAAGTGCGAATTCTCATGAACTTTCACGAGAATACATATTTTTTGTTTCTTATTTTTTCCGACTAGATTTAATTATTCTCTTAGAATCACCTCGATCCTCGTTTCTTTTTCTCCCGTCATGGCTGACGAGGGGCGTGATAGCCGGCGGATGGTTGGGCTGCACGTTTTGTTCTCCCTTGCAGCACGAAACCGGTGACGACGTCATTGACGGTCATCCGTCCTTGGCCCTCTCGTTCCCAACCACATCATGGTCAGACACGGCGTCGCACCCATCCCGGGACTCACCAACACGTCGACACGTTAAGGAATTGCCACCTAATCCCTACTCTTCCCACCCCGCCATTTATTATCAATCCCAAAGAGTAACGGGAAGCAAAAAAATAGATTCACCCTTGAATCGACTAATTCCGGGGATCATCGCGGAGGCCAAATCAATCAGCCGGAAGCGCTAAAAGCAACATAAACAAAAATGTTGTCGTGGGGTCGCCAGTCTCGCGATGCCGAGCGGGAGCCGCTCCTGCCCCGGCACAACCAAGACACGGACCTTCAAGCGAGCGCCAGCCGCAAGCTGCACACGTACCAAAAGCTCCGCGCCGTTTCCCAGGGTATATGCCCTCCAACGACCAGCTCGTCTCGGGCATCCACCAGCTCCTCGCCTCGGACCTCTTCCGAGACTCCACCGCGCAGGACCTCAGTCCGTCGGGCCGGTCCCTGCTGGTCACGCTCGAGCGTTCGCTGAAGCACGTGGCCGAGTTCCTCGAGCGCAAGAATGAGTCGGACCAGATTCAGGATTTCATCTGGTATCTCTCCAAGTCGAGGCTCTCGGTGGACACCAAGGACCTCGGACGGCGGGCGACGAAAGCAAAGGCCAAGGCGGATTTGACCGGAGGTAAGTTCACACAGAAACCGCTCCCCCGCCCCCTCGACGGACCGCAGGCGTGTATATGAGGAACCCCTTTGACTAAACGAGAGGACAAACGCAGCATTCCAGAGTCTTCGGACAATATCTTCCCTGTTGATGACCAACTCGGAATTCAGGGGCCTGCTCTCCGACCTCGGCACCGTAGGCCGTGAAGTATTCAAAGATACCGCCTTCGCCCTCTCCGACGTCTCCAGGAAGTCGGGCAAAAGATTGCCCCTTCAGAAACCGAAGCCAACGCCGTCAAGGACCCCACCGTCGACTCTGCCGCTCCACCCACCACCGACGATCTAAAAGCCGAAGTCAAGGACGTCACCGACGTCGTCGCCAACGGTGCCGCCAAGATCGCCAACGAAGCCGGCTCCAGCCTCTCGGAACACGTCTCCGGACCCGAGCGAGACGCCTTCCTCAAGCGTCTCAAAGCCGCGGTGGGCCAACTACGCCAGAAGCCCGACTACACGGAATCCGTCTCCGTCATCACCCTCCTGCTCCGCCGCTTGCTCCACGTGTACTCGCGCGCGCTCGCGGAAACTGCGCAGGCCGTCGGGGACGACGTGCAGGAGAATCCCGAGACAGACCGCGCGCTGGCGAACCTCTGGGGTTCGTCGCCTCGTTTGGCGACAAGGCGCAGTGGGATGCGCTGCGCGGGGCGTTCGCCAAGGTCATGGAGCACGCGCAAAACGACCCCGAGTTCGAGCGGCACGCCGACGAGATCGGGGACCAGGTGCAAAAGATGCTCACGGATCCCACCTTTTTCGACGACCCCGACGCGCGGTTTGCTCAGCTGCGCGACGAGTGCCGCGGGTTAACGTTTGAATCGTCTCTCGGGGACGACCTCGATGCCCTGCTGGCCAAGGCGAAGGAGGTGCTGTATTCTATCCCGTCGGACCCGGACATCAAGAACCTCGAACACGACTCCAAGAGGATCATCGACATCCTCTCCCCCGGAAATCAAAATGTGAACAAAGACCTCGTGACCGACTCCATCAACGTCATCGTTCCCGCCCTTATTCAGGCCGTCCAGTATATACCCATCCCCCGCCTCGAAGTATCCAGCCCCCACCTCGACCTCCTCCTCGAAAACCTCATCCTGGAACCGGGCAAGACTATCAACAACTCATCGTTCCTCCCCTATCGCTTCAAGTTTAGCGCGCAAAACGACATCGAGATCCGCAAGGGCCGCGTCCGGACGACTTCCAACCTCGACACCTACGTCCGTCTTTCCTTCTCGGGGATTTCGGTGGCCGCGAGCGACATTGGATATTGGCTCCGCTGCCACTCCGGGCTCCTCCGATTTACCACTGAGGGTATTTCATCGTTTCACATCGACGAGCAGGGCATCGACGTCGTCGTCGACTTGCAGATCAACAAGGACCGCATCGACGAGCTCGTTAGTCTCCGCCAAGTTCGCGTGCTCATCCATCATTTCGACTACACTCTCGACCAGAGCAAGCTCTCCTTCTTCGCGTGGATCGTCAAACCTTTCCTCCGACCGCTCATCCGCATGGCCATCGAAGCCACCATCGCCATCGCCATCAAGGATGCCTGTCTCAAGCTCAACCGCGAACTCCTCTTCGCGAGGGAGAGGCTCCGCGCCACGCGCATCGCTGCTCCCGATGACCTGTGGACCTTTATCCGCGCCGTGGCTGCGCGCTTGACGCCCAGGGCGGACCCCAACATGTATTCTCGCGTGGGAATCGACGCTCCTGGACAGGGCGTGTTCAAGGGAAGGTATGCGCCGGGCAGCTTGGCCAAGCTGTGGCATGAGGAGGCGGAGATGACTACGCAGAGGGTGGACGACTTTAGGCAGGACGGGTGGAGAAACCAAATATTTGATATCTGAAGGGCAAGGGAGAATGAGATTTCGGCGGACTTGTACCATAATGTTTACTTTATCAACACGATTTTAAATGCACGTACACTCTTACTCTCGCGCACCACCGTAGGTGTACCGTCTTCCAAATGTTTAAGCTTATCCTACCACGATGCGCATCCGTGCCTAGTCAAAAATGCGTTAAAACTACATCGCTCCCCTCGAGACCGCTAACCGTCGGTCTCCTAAATATCCGAGACTCCCATTTGCCACTACACCCAAACACAATGGGGACAGCCAACATGCAGCTAACATGGTCTCAACCTTCTTTTTCTTGCCTTGCTCAACGTCGTGACCCCAGACCCACCGCCATCCCTGCGTGGCAGGATACACGTCGGAAATAAAGGAGCGCCCCGGAGTCTAGTTGCCCGAAAGAACGAGGAGGAGCATTCGAGATCGACACCCCCAAGATTAGTTTCCCCTCTCTCCCCCATCATTCGGACATCAAGTCATTCCACGCCCGAATGCACTTCAAGGATTGACAAAGTACATTTCGACCAACACAAATTGCGGCCCAAGAATTTCTCTCTCTCTTTTTCTTTTTTTTTTCGGTGTTGATACCGAGATGAGCGAGAAGATCGCATGTTAATGGTCGTCTTAGTCGTCGTGAAGACGACCACCTTGAATCGCTCCCCCTGTTAGACTCGTCATTGCGCAACATCATTCGCGGAAAATCTCACGGAAGATATTTCTCCGCCCCGTCATCAGACGGTCAAGAGGAAAACCGCCACGACAAGTCAGAAACGGCCATGCACCAAACCCAGGTCTGAATTTCCACGCTAGGGTGCTGTTCTCCACTCCGCTCGTTGCAGGTCAAAATGGATTGCAAAGGATCCGTTTTGGCCGCGGGGCCACCGGGGGAGGATGGGGAATTCCTTCTTGCTAGCCCCCCTCGCCTCTCCCCCAGATCTTACCCCGGATTACTAGCTCGGACGCTTATTCGGCAGGCTAACTGGGTCAACTACGAGCTCCCCGCATGCGCCGCCCGTGCTATCAGTGAGAAAGGGGTTGGCGAGCTCTGTGATAGGAAAATGGTCCTCTATTTTTGTGGAGAATGGGGAGCGTTCCCTCCATGGGGGAGGCATGTCTGAGCTGCGAACGTGACAAAAGCTTATTCGATAAGGATCAAGTACAGATGTATAGCTTGCTGGCCTGGCGTCTAGAGGTGGTAGTAGGATTCTCGAGACATTTTGTCCAACACACCTGGTCGTGTCGTTGAAAATAAATCTCGCCTTTCCTGCCCTCCCTGCGGACCGGTTCGCTCCCTTCCCACTCGCCCTTTCTACACTTCCTCGGCCAAGGAGTTCTTTCCTCTCTCTTGTCCTCCCTCCTTGTTCATCTGTTGAACTTATCCTTCTTCTTTGGCATATTTCGGCGTACCATACAGATCCCCTATCATTCTTCCCCTGCCGCCGAGCGTGTTCGCCCGCCATGGCGTTGCTTGTCAAGATCTTGCGTGCCGTCATTCGCAATGAGGCGATGAAGGAGGACCCAGACCAGATCTACAACTGGCGTGTCTTTGCTCTTGTTTTCTCTTCGTGCTTTGGCGGTATGCTCTTTGGCTGGGACACCGGCGCCATCAGCGGTGTCCTGGCTATGGACGGCACCAAGAAGAAGTTTGGCTACTTTGACAAATCCAAGGCCGAGACTTCCCTCATGGAGCAGAACATCGTCTCTACCCTCCAGGCCGGGTGCTTCTTCGCCTGCTTCCTCACCGGTTGGCTCACAGAGAAGTACGGCCGCCGCTGGATGCTGATCGGCACGGGTGCCTTCACTACCGTCGGTGTAATCTTCCAGACAGCCTCCGCCATCCACGGCGATATTGCTGTCATGTATGTTGGCCGCTTCCTTGCAGGCATGGGAGTGGGTGCTGCTTCCACTTTGACGCCACTCTACGTTTCTGAATGTGCTCCTCGCGCTATTCGGGGTGCTCTGACGAGTAAGTGTTACGGATCCTTTTCGTCCCTCTTTTCCGTCAGGTGAACGAAGTGGCTAACGATCATGGACAACACTAGCATTCTACCAGCTCTTCATCGTAACGGGAATCATGATCTCCTATTGGGTCAATTACGGTTGCCTTCTGCACGTATCGGCTCCTGCCATCTACATGGTACCGCTCGCGCTCCAGGCCACTCCGGCAATGTAAGTCGCAATCTACCTCAGTCTGCGAAGACGAGAGCTAATCTTGCTACTATATTAGTCTTCTCGTGATGGGCATGTTTTCTCGCCGGAGAGCCCTCGTTGGTGTGCTAGGAAGGATGACTGGGAGCGTGCCACGTCCATCATCAGCCGCCTGCGCAAGTACGTAGAACAGTCCCTCTTGGCCTCCCCGCACCCTTCTTACATGCACTAACCTATCTATCCTTTAACCCAGTCTTCCGGCCGACCACGACTACGTTCGTACAGAGCTTCAGGACATGGCGCAACAATTGGAGCACGAACGACAACTCACTGGTGACGCGACGGCCAAGACCCTGATGAAGGAAATGATCCAGATCCCCGGTAACAGGAAGCGAGCCCTCATCACCGTCGCGCTCATGGTATGCCAGCAAATGACCGGAACCAATGCCATTGTAAGCCTCTTCTCCCCACAACCTTCGCCAAGCAACTCATGTCAAACAAAGAGCGTGCTGACACTGAGTCCATAGAACTACTACGCACCCCAAATCTTTAAGAACCTTGGTATGACTGGCACAGACACGGGACTTTTCGCTACCGGTGTGTACGGCATTGTCAAGTTCACAGGATGCTTCCTATTCCTTGTCTTTGTGGTCGATTCGCTCGGCCGACGTAGGAGCTTGCTGTGGACGAGCATTGCTCAAGGTCTTGTCATGTACCTGATTGGCATCTACGGCCGAACCCAGCCCCCGTTGAGGGACAACCCGTAAGTGAGGCAACATATATTAACTCAAGATCCAGGCTCATATCTCTCTAGGTCACCGCTTTCGGCTATGTCGCTATTGCGTGTATTTATCTGTGGGCAGCGTAAGTAGCCATGACATTAGCGCCGCGCTGCTTTCCTTAGCATTCGATTGTTGCTAACTCCTACCAGGTTCTTCCAATTCGGATGGGGCCCCGTTTGCTGGATCCTTGTTTCGGAAATCCCAACCGCCCGTCTTAGGGCCTTGAACGTTGCCCTTGGAGCGGCTACCCAGTGGCTCTTCAACTTCATAATCGCGAGGAGTAAGATTGAACCCGATGGGATGTGGATGGAGACCACGAGAACATGATTCGGATTGCTAACGACTTCTCCAGCTGTGCTTACCATGCAAAACACCATGGGCAAGGCAGGCTTCGGCATGTTCTTCATGTTCGGCTCCTTTGACCTCCTCATGTTCATCTTTGTCTGGTTCTTCATCCCCGAGACCAAGGGAATCAGCCTGGAGAAGATGGACGAGTTGTTTGGTGTTGTCGAGGCCAATCGAAAGATGGCCGACGAGGACGCCGAGGCACGGCCCGCCAGTATCCACAACGCGCCCGAGAAGAAATAGACCGGGTGTCAAGGGCAGGATTGCGATGCGGGACACACTCTCCACGAAGAAAGAAAAAGGTTGGGGAGCTATGGTACACGCGCGCTTGAGAATGTTTACAGAGTTGTGACATGTGGCAATGCTTATTTTCTTTTTCTCAATCCCCTCGCTTCACTAAGATGACGGAGGAATAAGAGGGCTCATGTACGGGATTCCATCATACCTCATATACAAAAATTTTACCCATAACGGGGCTGGGCTGTTGTTCAGTCTCCGCATTCATCGAAACCTCGCGTTCTTCACCAACTGGTTGAGCACATCCACCGCAAAGGCCGCCCTCTTCCTCATCAAGGGCTCTACGCGCGTTCGAAACTGCTCATCACGTCCGTATAGCGACGCCGCAAGGGTAGACACTATGTCCTCTAGCGCCGCGTCTACCGGGTCCGGGTCGCTGTATAGCTCGTCTACAGCTTCAGTGAAGGCGTCACTCGTCTTGTAAGAAGATTCCGCAGCACGGTAGAAGCGGTCGCGAGCCAATAGCTGTAGGCAGGGTACTTGGTAGCTGCGAGCCATTCTATATACGCGTAGATGCAGTTGCAAAGCTCCATAATCCGTGGCTGGTTCCGTGGCTTTTCCGTTGACTGTCGTTTCCTGAGACTTTGGCATTGATCGCATTCCTCCCTTCTCGGGGTTCATGTGTTGAGTTGACCCGGCCCCTTTCACTTCGGGTTGGCGGATGGGAGTGCGACCCCGTCACAATCTACTCCATTGCGGTGAGAATCGGAGACTTGTTCGCCGTGGTCTTCGGAAGCTAAAAAGTCGCAATCTGGTAGCGACCTTAGCTTCTCTCGCGCCTCTTCCGTCGTTAACAACGTGGTGGCCGACGGTGCATCACAGTCTTGAATGGCTCCATCGTGATAGTTTCCGCTGTACAAGAACTGGAGGAAGAGCCGAACGGTTTGCGGATCAATCTCCGAGAGGTCCACCGGAGCATCAAGTCCGAACTGTTGACCTTATTAGCTCTCATCAGGGTCAGAAAGGGGTCTATCTTGCGTAGTCTTGTCCATACATGGGGGCGGCTAGCAAAAATTTGGTTGAATACTGGCGACTGGGAGCACACAATGACTCGATGTGCTGGAAAGGTGTCACCACGGCAGGCGATTCTCATGTCAGAGAATTTCTCCGACAGATACAGGGTCGAGAGTGCGCTGAAGACTGACGAGGTGTAAACCTCGTCGCCATCAAGCGTGAGGTCCGAGATAGTCTCGGCGACTGGCGACATCGTACATTAGGCAGAGAGGTGCGTCAATTGGGTTAGGTTTAGGGATCGGACCGAGGAAGAAGATATTTCGCGATTTGGAATAGTCTTGCAATTTGTTTTCGTCACAAAAGATGAGGACGCCATAGCTCAAAGGGGCTGAATTAGCTGAGTCGCGTGTTTTTGGTGGGCGCGTCTAGGAGACAGTCAAGGGTCTCGGATTGGACAACAAAATCGTACAGGGGTTCTATAAGACTATCGAGCTAAAAATTGATGGGATGGTTTCGCCAAGCACTGGACTCCTTGTGCATTTTCCATCCTCCGACTGGTAGCCACATGTAATTTTCCAAACTTCATTCATCGTCAAGCCCTCCCCACGACTCGGCCCAACACTTTCTATCTCCGGAGCATGCGTTTGACCCTCGGCCTGGTGGATTAGAACCGCTTCAAGCCACCCAACTACCACATCTGAGAAAAACCTCCGTGTGGATCCTCACTTGGACGAGACCCCTTCCCTAAGGACTTGCAAGGCATTCATTTGACGGCCTTTGAAGTCACAAAAAATACCAAAGTTTCCGCCACAGTCGTGGTAGATGCTCTCGTTACAGTCGTTTCTATGACTCGTCCCTGCCGGTCGGTGTAGTAGAACTTTCCCTCTCGTTTAGGGAGCTCTTCGTAGGCCTTGACCACTGGTGGCGTGAGCAGATTCTTGAGTTTGGCCAAGGTTGAATTGGGGTCGGCGTCGGTCTTGAGCTTGGGCATCTTGCGGACGATTTTCTCTTCGTAGTAGAAATACTCGGTCACTGTGGACCGAGGGATTTCGCTGACAGGATATCCTTCCTCACCGAGAATCAAAGTGCCCGGGGCGGGGAACGTGATGGGATCGCCCATCATATGTGTGTAATGGTAAAAGGAGTATATAGTAGAGCGTGATTTGACGCAACACTGTCCGTCAAGTTCAGTCTTTCAGTGGGACTGGCCGTAGATGCTGGGGCTGCATGGATATCTCGATGGGGAGGTGAGAGATGTGAGGGCGCCAAGGCTCAGTTTTGTACCACCGCACGCGGCACATTTCAGGACACCTACGTGTACATGTATGCTTGTTTGAATGAGATAACATTGAATGATCAAAAATGAAGAGGCAGCGTAGCTCATTACATTGTGCATTCAGAACAACCCGGCGGTGCTGAGATGGCGCTAAACGTTCAGCACAGCCCCCAAAGGGTCACTTGCTTGACTAGCCTGATGCGAACCAACATTTGAGGTCGTACGAGCCTCCCCTCGCTGAGAGTAACCGGCGGCTGTGTTTGTGCTGGCAGGGGAGGTAATAAGATGATAGTAGTTTTTCTACTTCTTCAGCCAACAACAAATGAAATATTCTATTTCTTCAACCAGCAACCAAAAAAGTCGAGACCAACTATATCACTTGCCCCTTCGCGCCGCCTGTGCCGCCTGCGCCGCAGCACACGTCACGCTTCTGGGGTGGAACCGCTCCCCACCAATACGGCACAGCAAAGATAATGGCAGAATCATACCTCGGGACGAGGCGGCGTATCCAGGGCAGGTGTTAAGAAAACGAGCCATCAAGTTCTGCGAGCATGGCACTCCAGCTCTCCTCATCCAAGCCAACGCCCTCCTCCCAGCCATGGGCGACGTCGTCAAAATACGCAGCGAGATCGAGTGCCATGCACCCAGATAGATCTCCGTCCAGAGCCATGTCATCGGCGCCCGGAATGGCGCTGTGAAGGGCCGAGAATGGGCTAGCAGGTTGGGCATAAGCAGCTGTTTCAAAATCTCCATTCGTCTCCATAATGCCTTCGTGTTGGCGCATCTGGCTCGAGTCCGCCCCAGCGAAATACTCAGGCGCCTCTTGGTGATGCGAGCCCTCATCATTCGGCAACTCTGCTTCCGGCACAGCCATCTTGTTTCGGCGTAGGATATCCATCATCGACCGCAAAAGCGTCAAAGCCAATTCCGACCTGGACGCCGCGCTTTCCAGCATCCGTATGGCCTCGCCAAGATCCGCGCACCGTATCCTGCGAGCCGAGGCCGTCCTGCTTTGATGCACGTCCATCGCGAGCGCGATCCCCGCGATGAAGACGCCGTACAGGCCCTCCATGAGGTTTAACCGTGTTTTGTTGAAGGCAGAGCATTGCGTTTCAAAGAACATTTCTGCGTGGATCACGGCACGCGCTGCCTCGGTACACGCTACCCTAGAATGTTGGTATCGCGGGTCGGTGGCCCCGTGCCGTAGATAGGACAGATGCAGTCGACACCGCTGAGTCTGGGAAATGGCGTTTACAAAATAGGCCTGGATCATGATATTGGGCGGCGTGCCCGAAGTGTACGGTTCGCCAGAGATACGGAAAAATGGTGGGAGGTTGCCAATGAACTCAACAAGGTCCCGATCGGCCGCATAAATCGCCTCGTACTGATGGGTGCCCGTGGCGGTGCCGACTGATAATCGATCTAGCAGACGCTTCGAAATTTCTGCTAGCCGCACCCGCTGGAGGAAATAAGACATAACGGTAGGCTGCCCCAGAGGTCTCTCTATGAAAGGAGGCGCAAAATTGTCATCATCGATGTGAAGGGGCTTTTTGACCACCACTAAGCTCGGGCTCATCTGGTACGTTGCCTCGTTTGGCTCGTTATATCGGCCCGGCATAAGCCTTGACAACATACAAGTTAGTCACCCATGTTCACCCTGTCGCCCAGCAAAGGGTCGAACCTACCAGTTTGTTGCTATGAGATACCACCAGGCTCGTCGGCCGAGCTCGGCGTGAGATGGATCTGTCTTTCCTGCTCGGCTGGGGTGGTCGATGAGGTGAAGACCGAGCTCTCTACCTATCATCAACGCTTGATTATGCAGGGACCGGAACCTGTAGGAGAAACTGCTCGTGTTTCCAATCACGAAGCTCATGATGATCATTCCCTGTACCATCTCCAGCGAAAGGCACGCGTTCTTGTGGCAGATCTCGACCATGTCTTGCGCGGCCTGCAGCCAAAGAGATGACCTCTCTCCAGTCTCTCTCGCCAAAGCGAGGGTCCTGCTCCACTGGTCTGTTCCAGGTCCAAAGTGCATGGTGCTGGCCAAAATGCTGAGGAATAGGACAATGTGCCCTTGAGGGGCCTCGGGCCCTCCATGCACACTCGCGTAGATACCCGTGACCATGTCCCGAAGGACAGATCCTGGAATCAAGTAGCAGAAGCAGCTGAGGTCATCTATATACCTTTCCACAAGTTCTGTTGCCTCTGAAAATCGGGGTACGCGAACGGATACCCAAGGCCTCGTATACGGGCTCTCATGAACAAGTACGACCGAGGAGGTTATTTCATGAATCGGTCGCTCCTTGACCGTCATCGAGATATTCTAGTAAGAATTTTGAATAAGCAAGACCACTTTCTTATACTCGGAAAAAGGGGCGCATGGAAGTTTACCATGGTTGGGGTTTCTGAAGAAATCCTATCCGTGGAGGGTATCGAGCTTCCTCGAAGTGGTCTTCCCTGATCTAGCGCCTCCGCGGTCTCGTATTCTCTACTATCTGTCATCGCAGAATCGAATAGCCCCGGATGTCTAGCGACAAGGCTGTCCCATCGTGCGCATTGCACCGCGACAAGCCGCTCTAAAGCCACAACTCGGTCCCGGAGTTGCTGCATCTCGTTGATACCACCGGGCGGACCCCACACGGCACGTTCTTCGTGCTTTCGCATGCTGGCGATGCTGACCTACCGGCCGCGGTATTCTCCACCGCCTCGCCGCCAGGGTGAGAGGGATTCTCGCAAGGAATATTCCTGGCCAGGCAATTGGAGCACGGCTGGCCGCGGTTGCATCGCAGTTTGCGAGCGCGGCAAAAGTGGCAGGAGACTGGTGGTTGCTGACGGGAAGTGCGAACACGCTGAGTCCCTACTCGAGGGGCACTGTTTAGCTTGCGCGCCGAATTTCCGGCATGATTTTGATAGTCTCCAGCATGGTACGCCGGGTTCGCCTCTCCAGCTGACCTGCTCTCCATGTTCAGTGTTGGGTGACGCTGAAGAGCAAATAGATAGAATATCGGTGACCGAGAAGAAGTATCTGAGACGGCGACCCTTTGTTATTTAGTTTCTTAAAAAGAGTCTTATAATTGATGGCACAGCGAAACAATAAGGTCCGCTCGTGTTGACGGAAGCTGTCCGCTGCCTTCCATCTAAGCTAAAGAGTGTGCGGTGATGAGTGAGTTTTTGTCCGCGGAGTCTCCGCTCAACCTGCATTTTAGGTTCCATTCCTTTCAATCCCAAAGTGGAGATCTCGGCCCCGACCACCCAGCTAGCGTGAGCTTATGTCCGATCGGCCACGCCTGTCCTCGAATGACCGATAGCCTAAACCCTAGCCCCCCTTATTGAAGACTCTAGAACAACTACAGTACGATTTACAATTGCAGCTGAAATCGTTTGCTCTCACGGAAACGCTGGCCGTATTTCAAAAAGATGATCGGCACCGGCAAGAAAGCGACGGCGATAAAGCCCAAGACTGACGTTCCCCATCCAATTCCAAGCTTCTCGTACATTGCGTCTCCGGCAAGCGGTAAGAGCGCGCCGAGAAGGGCGCGCGACATGGTGGTAGCGGCCGTGGCTGATGCAGCATAGGTTGAGTAGGTATCCACGAGATACGTGGAAGTTCCCATCTAAGAAAAACCTCAAGAATTAGTAAAATGGAGGACTTGGTGGGAAAAAGAAAGAGGAAAAAGATGGGTAGGGGCCCTCATACATGCGCGATCACTATGCCTGCACCCAGGAAACCTGTACCAACGATCGGGATCATCCAGTGCTTCTTGGTCTCCGCCGTCCAGCCGTACAGAAAGATCCCCACCGGGATAATGATTGCTCCCAGAATCATGGTAGGCAGTCGGTATTCCGGTTTCGGCTTTCCAGAGTTTCTCTTCTCCGCCAACGACTTTGCAATTCGATCCGAGGTTCCGCCGCAGATGAAAAGGCCAACGAACGAGCCCACGCCAATTCCCAAATATACCAGCCCCAGGCTCTCAGAGGAGAAGGAATACTGCCCCACGAATATCCTAGGGAACGTTGTAAATAGCAGGTAAAGGTAAGCGTAAGTAATCGCGCCGTACAAGGAAAGCAGCAGAACCATGGGAGAGAAGATGAACAGCTTGAGGGGCCGGATCAGCGCGGACGAGAAAACCTGCTTGGATGTCTGGCCGCTTTCCAGGGCGGACCGGAGGTTAGGATTTCCCGTCTGCTTACGGAGGGCTATGGTCTTCCGCTTGAGTAGGGTATATGCGTAGGATTCGTGCAGCATCACAAACGATAGTACCATGACGAACCCGCCCTAGCGTAGCGTCATTAGCATGGATTTTACGCCAACGGGGCAGAGCTGCTGGTATTCAGCGGAGACTTACCAGTATAGCCAAGACCCAAAAGTTCCATCGCCAACCTTTGGACGCGGATAAGTAGCTCCCAATGATGGGGCCGAGTGACGGTCCAAAGAGAGGTCCGAGAACCCAAGTTGCCATGGCCAACCCGCGCCGGTCGTGAGGGATGATGTCGGCGATGGACCCGGCACCGATTGTGATTGGGCAACATGCGGCCATGCCACTGATGAAGCGAAAGGCAATCAGGCTGCCCATATTGTTCGCCAGAGCGCCGGCAATGTTGAATATGAAGAAGAAGAAGTTGCACGTGTGGTAGGCTACGTTTCTCCCGTAGAGCTCGGAGGCTGGGGCAATCACGAGAGGCCCTACCGCGTAGCCGAGAATGTAGACGGTTGTGACAAACGCCCCAAGGGATTCGTTGGTCGTGCCGAACTCTTCCATGAAGTAGCTGCTGCTAGGTGCCACCATGGTCGATGCTAGAGGACTGCGGAATGAGTTAGCTTTCGTGGACGTGGACAATAACGGTGTGTCAAGACGTACGAGAGAAACGTGATAAAGGACACCATCCCGATAGTCATGCATTTCTTCCCCGTGGACCAATTCATAGGATTTGCGACGTCGTCTGGTCCATCCCAGTCTACGATGTTGGGATCAGATAGCGTTGCGTCTTCCGGAGCTTGACTGTCTCGCTCGATATCGGACTTGCGCTCCATGACGTTTGATGTTTGGGGGTGGCGTAAGTTCGAGGCTAGCTTGACACTATCCAAAAGGGAAGGAAAAAGGAAGGAAAATATATAAAAGGAGAGGCGAGTCCTATAGAAATTACTCAGGAATCAAGATGGACATAAAGGATAGTGATGGTCAACTCGTTGTCGTGGGAAAAACAGTACATGAGTCGGGGTCAAGGCCAGGCCACCGAGCACGAATATATAGATAATGTTGCATATCCAAAGGGGCTATTCGGGCCCGATTCGTTCGGAGATCAATAAACCTGCATCCTCGTACTGGTGATCCATCCCGCGGAAACTCCATAATGTTTTGGTCGTTGTTCACCGCGGGCACTCTAACATGTTGAGCGGAGTGTCCGCGGACAGTCCGCTCTTACATCCATGTCTACAAGTCTCTTCCTCAACCCTGCCACAGGCGAGGGTAGCTAATTAGTTGTCCATAAATGTTAATCTAATAAAAGTCCTTCCATCAAGAATCCATCAAAGGCTGTATTGATGGGAGTTGGGATAGAGATCAAATCTAAGGCGACGCACCCATCGCCCAGACCGTACACCAGTATGGCTTGAGTGGGGGCAATCCAGGAACTGTACAGCTTGGGAAACATCGAATAGCTGAAAGGATTCCCCGAAGGGTATTGCATAATGCACTTAATTCCGCCATTGGCTCTTGCTTCCGGCCCGTACTGTTGGGTGACTTGACCCGCTCCAGAACGTGGTCTGGGTTAGGCACAAGTTCCGCGAGCATTGCGGCTGCACTAATGTTTACGAAGAGGCTAGAAGCGACCTCGACGAATGAGGCGAATCAAATTTAACCTTGTAATGGATGCAGAAGAATAGCCGTAGCCAAGCTGCTCCGAGTATCTCAATCTAGAAACTCCATGGCGAACCTGAATCATGCGGGTGCTCTTGGGGCAACAACGATTCCTTAAACTGATACGGCACAGGAGCGAGAACCCTCATCTTCAGGACTACTACCGAGAATGGTTCGATGGTTATGGTAGTTGGAGGAAGCATCGTACCATTCTCTGAGGCAGGCCGAGGTGCACAACGCAGGTGTCGACGCGGAGATATCTCGAGGAGAAGAACCGAGTCCAGCACCCGGAGTATCTTCACGATCCGAGAGTCGACAGTGACCCAACGCGCTGTGACACCAACCAAGTTCTGCAAGGGTGGGCTTATCTAATTCTGGTAATAGCAAAAAGGCAAGAAATGTCGGGGAGTTAATGGGCGGCTTCTTCGGGGAGTTAAAAACGCCCTAATGGGGAGTTAAGCCGGTCTTGCACTACCGTGTGGGGTAAAGCAAAGGGGAAATTCTTGAAAGTGGTGGCAAACCTCTGTCACGCGAAGCCGAGATGCAAGAATTTATCGAGCCCTTTGCGACGACTTTGTGTAAGTTTATTTGTTACGGAGAGTGTAATGATCGAATTCTAGAAGCGATTCCAACAGTCATTTCATCTCAGCGAGATTTTGATATCCTGAAGAGATCTCTGCGGAAAAGAGGCCAAGCACAGCTGTTCCGTCGAAGTCTTCTGCTTCAGCCGAACGCCAACTTTTACCCCCTGGCGGGTAGTGTGTGGGCTGATGGTGGGCGCGCACTAACAGAATCCGGGTTAGACCACGCGGATGGCGTGGAGATAGCGCCTGCAAACCAATCACCAGGGAACCCTCCTGGCACCTCGGTAGCGGGAGCAGTTCCGAATCTTCTCCAACATGAAGCTTTCAGGGACCCTTTCACTTTACCGGCCGCGGGGCAACTGTCACTCGGAGGCTACCTACTCTTCTCTACCACGGCTCAACTTTTTTTTGGTCCGTCTTGTTCTCTGAAACCACGAATTGCGAACTTTCCCCGGCATCTACCCCCGGCACGACATCCTGCAGCACTCTTTGAGCTTTATTATAGTTTAAGATCTCTAGCTTTCCCACTTCCCGAATCTATCTTGGTCTTGCCCAGCACCAGCACTTCCAATCCTGAGCTGTCTTCATCTCCTCGAGCTCACTCTCCCACACACGCTCTCTCTCTGACGACCGACCGTTTCTCGCCCTCACCACACCTTATCCCCTTTCACTCAACCGAAGAAAAGACACCGTAACACACAGCTCCATCATGCAGGAGAAGCCCCTCGGCGCCGCCGCGGCCTTACCCGCCCCCGTGGAGGAAGTCGACGTGCTCATCTGCGGCAGCGGCTCCGCCGGCCTCAGCGCCGCCGTCTGGCTGGCCCGGACCGGCATCAACTACCGCATGCTCGAACGCCGCGCGGGGCCCTCAAGCACGGCCAGGCCGACGGCGTGCAGTGCCGCACCGTCGAGGTCATGGAGAGCTTCGGCCTGTCCGAGCCCGTCCTGCGCGAGGCCTACCACGTCCTCGAGGTCGCGTTCTGGGGAGACGACGGCAACGGCGGCATCGCGCGGGGTAACATTGCGCCCGATACGCAGGTTGGGCTCACGCACTTGCCTCACGTTATTCTCAGCCAGGGCCGCATGAACGACCTCTTGATCCAGGAAACCGTCCGTGCTGGCGGCGAGTCGAGGATACGCTACGACACCGAGGTCAAGGACATTCACGTCGACCCCGCCACCGCCAACGACCCTAATGCGCACTGCGTCACCGTCAGCGCTGTCCAGGACGGCGTCGAGCGTCAGTACCGCGCGAAATACGTCTTGGTATGGTCTCCTCTAGCCTTTTTCTTTCTCGTGTTTTTCCCTTGCGCTTTCTTGTCTTTCTTTTTGGCGGAAAGTAAACCCTGCTAACTCAGTCTGTCTAGGGTTGCGACGGTGCGCACAGCCAAGTGCGCAAGTCCCTCGGCTTCAAGATGGTCGGCGACAGCTCCGACGCGGTCTGGGCCGTCATGGACATCCACCCCAAGACCAACTTCCCCGACATCCGCAAAAAGGCCATCCTCCACTCCAAGGCCGGCAACATCATGATCATCCCCGCGAGGGCGACTCCATGGTCCGCTTCTACATGGAGCTGCCCGGCGCCAAGGTCGCGTCCGACGTCAAGCTCGAGAGCCTCGTCCCCACCATCCAGGACATCTTCTACCCCTATACCATGGAGATCGCCGAGACAGTTTGGTTCTCCGCCTACCTCATCGGCCAGCGCCGCGCCGACTACTTTACGCAGAACAACCGCGTTTTCCTCACCGGCGACGCCTGCCACACCCACTCCCCAAGGCTGGTCAGGGCATGAATGTCAGCCTCCAGGACGGCTACAACATTGGCTGGAAGCTGGCCGGCGTGCTCCGCGGCGAGTTCCGCCCCGAGATCCTGGACACGTACGTCAGCGAGCGGGAGAAGACGGCCACCGAGCTCATCGAGTTCGATCGCTACTACACCAAGCTCTTCAACACGCAATACCGCAAGGAGAACAACATCTCCGAGGACGACTTCTCCAAGGAGTTCGTCAAGGCTGGTCTTTACACCACCGGCCTCGCCACCCAGTACCTCCTCTCCCCTCACCGTCCCCTCCGAGGCCGATAAGGAGTTTGCCTCTGGCATCGAGGTCGGCAAGAGGATCACCAGCTCCCTGCTCATGCGATTCTCCGACGCGAAGCCCCTGCAGCTCGTCAAGGCCATGCCGTCCGACTCTCGGTGGAATGTCGTGGTCTTCCCCGGCGACCTGAACAAGAAGGAATCCGCCGAGCGGTTCGAAAAGGTAACAGCGACCCTCTTACTTGTCTCTCCACCCTCCAAAGGGTTTCATTAATGTCCTCTTTTACTCACACGCCATTCTCTAGGCCACCATCGAACTCATCAAGACCGCGAACGCCTTCACGCCCGCAGACAAGGACATCAACAGCGTCATCAACCCCGTCGTGGTCCTTTCCACGGAGCGCAAGGATCTATCGCAAAACCAAATTCCCGAATTCTATACCCCCTACTGTGGCCCGCGCAACGTGCGGTGTAAGTCTTGTTCCCTTTTTCCTTTTCTCTCCTCCCACCTAGATATCTCGACTGACCCATTTCTTTTCGTAGGGCTCCACAATGTCTTTACCGACGAGGCCGGTCCTTACTCTCCCCACGGCCACGCCTATGAGAAGTACGGCATTGACCCCAACCGTGGCGCTCTCGTAATTGTTAGGCCCGATCACTGTAAGCATTTATTCCCGCCCCCAAGGCATCTTTCGTTTTAAAGCAGCACTTCGGTCTTGCTGACACGCCCCGCCATGTAGATATTTCCAAGGTCCTTCCTCTCGAGCAGGCCGCCGAGGTCAAGACCTTCCTCGAGGGATTCATGATCCCCATCAGCCAGAGGGGCTCGCACAAGAACGGAAAGTTGTAGATGCTATCTCCAGGAGAGGTAGATGGGGGTTGAAAGTGATTTTTACCCGATTCTCTTGTACATTATGAATTATGAGCTTCGAAGCAATTAGATATCTGACCCTGTTAATTGAGAAGGAAAGAAAAGAAAATGCCTCCCTCGTCTCTCAAGGACATTTGATGTTCCGATCCGTACAGCTATCCACTCACGAGTCGCAATTTCATTTTCGCAGACCGGCCAGCCCTTGGAAAAAGATTGTCGGTCTTCCGAATGGCGTATCCTCGAGCTTGAAAACAAATACGCAGAGGAACCACGTCTCTGAGGGGACGGATGAAATGAGCGCTCTTCGCGTTTCGTCCAGGGAAAATGAGATTTTGATCACATAATTTGCTTCGTTTAGAGCCAACAATACGTTAATAATCACTAAATTTCTTGAAGGGGCGAGCTGTCTTCACGTCATCCACATGGACGATTGACCCCTGCACAGCCACGTTCGGCAGCTTGGAGCTCAACCAATGAACCGGTCGTTGGGCGCACGCTCTCCAGTTCTGAAGAACGCCTTGTCATGCCCCCATTTCCCCTGGGTTACACCCGCCATGGAGCGGGACTTGCTCGTTAACGCTAGCATTCGGGGCTTTTGCCGAGCACGACTAGGGGTTTTAATGTTCATCTAGCAACTACTTCGTACCATTGCACTGGAGAAGAGATCATTCGATTACTCTCGAGTTGTGAGCGGAAACGAATTGGGGGCTTGAATGGACTACAAAGTCCGACTTGGTTCACAAAGGGAGAGAGCTCAATTCTCCCTGCGTCATGCCGCGCCCCAAAAATTGGTCTCACAAGTGCTACCGGCGAGTGGTGACATGGGACATCTTCGTGGTACCTGAGACACCATGTATTTTTCGCGTGGACTCGGGGTACCTCGTATCAATCAATCGTTTGATAAGGGAGAGCTCGAAGGATTCGAAGCCCTCGACTAAATTAATATCCCAGGAGATCTCGCAGCCAGCAAAATCTGCCCAATTTTTTGGGACAAGGTCGGCCGCCCAAAGAGCACACAGATCGCCCGTCAGCAGCTGCGTCGAGTCCTGCTCCTGCCCTGTGCGTGCTCTGCTCCAGATGCTTTCCTTTTTCTTGGAATTCAATTTTTTTCTCTTCCCCTCCATCCCGCCCCCTTTTTTTCTCCCCAAAGCACCCGTGCCATCTCGAATTTCTGTCACCAGTCATGCCACGATGATGTTTAATCGCACGCTTCTCCGCTACGGGAAGCTCGCCGTGGGATTTGCCACCGCCGTCTTCCTCGTCCTCTTCTTCCACTATGCGAATTTCGAGGCCTACGGCTTCGGCGAGCCGGCTAGCGCCCTCGAGGTAACGCTCCACCCAGGAGCACCGCCCGCGCCCAACGCCTGGGGCGGCGTCGAGGGGACCCATCCCGCCCGCTTCCGCAACGACTCCTACGACCCCGACATCCCCCACATCGTGCACTTTGTCTACCTGCTGCAGGACGGCGTGCGCGACTTCAAATTCGAGTTCAAGGAGGCCCTCGCCGTGTACTCGGCCGCCGTCTTCACCGACCCGGACGTCATCTATCTCCACACCAACGCCGACGACGCCGCCATCGAGCGCGCCCGCTCGGGGCAGCTGGGCAAGTGGAACTCGGTCATCCTCAACGCGCCCCAGCTCGTGACCCGACGCGTCGAATCCCCACCGTGGCCGCCAACGGGGTCGAAATCGTCTTCCCTCAGCACAAGAGCGACTTTGTCCGCGTCGCCGCCCTCGAGGAGTTTGGCGGCATCTACCTCGACGTGGATGCGATCCCGCTCCGCGATCTCCGGCCCCTCTTGTCCAAGGGGTACAATGCGGTGGTGGGAAAGCAGGCCGACGATGACATCATGAGCGGCAACTTCATCGGCAAGGCGCACTGCGCTTTCTTTACCCAGTGGAAGGAGCAGATGCACCAGGTGTTTAATCAAGAGTGGATTCGTCATTCCAACCATTTGATGGCAGAGTTGGCAGGACCGCTGTCCAAGCTCGACCACGAGATCCTTGTCTTGGACTACCATGCCATGGGCCCCATCCATTGGAACGGTTTCGGAACGCAAGCACTGTACCGGGTGCATTACGACGTCGAATCGAATCTCGAGGGCTTGTCGGACGGGGCCCCGCTCAAAGCCTTTGACGATAATTCTGGCGCCCTCCGCGAGGGCTTCCGTCGTGGCAAAAGGATTATTCGAATACCTGGATCCTCCACTCCTGGCGTGAAAAGCGGAACCTCCTCCTACCCCAAGGCTTCAGTCACGTCACCCCCGATATGTGCTGGAGCGAAAGAGCGATTTCTCCAGGGCTGTTTACCACATCGCAAAGCACATGTACGACCGCGGCTTCTTCTCCTTTGATGACCCGTGGAGATATTCAGTGGCTGAGGTGTGAACTGTTGGTCATTCTATTATCGATGCTCTGGGCCCCAGCTGCATCGGTCTCCTGCAATACCTCTCTATATATATATTATCCTTCCATGAAACACACCTCTACCCCCATCCCCTACACTGCCAAGCCCGCTACATTACAAGGTACCCCCTTCCTCCTCACCTTGAGCGTACATATATTCTGTTACGCTTGCGCCGTGGCAGGAACTGCAGCCTTTTCGCCGCCATTCTCAACCAGCGTACGTCTGCGCGAACGCTCTACCCAAACCATCAACCCCACGAGCGCAAGGCCAACAACGCCTGCCAGGACAGAATACGCAATGGTACCGGCTTTGCTATAGGCGGGCGTCCCCCTCGACAGGTGCAAGCCGAGTCCTCCATTCACGATGCCCAACAAGATCAGCACGCGGCCGTACCAGACGTGGATGTGGGACCAGATGGTGCGCTGCTGGGTAGCCTTGAATCGGCGGTGATGGAGGAAGCCAAAGATGGGCTGCAGGATGAGAGCGGCGATGACGACGGTTCCCAATATCGTATGGGCGTTGTTATGGAGCTATAACAAGCACATGGTTAGTCGAGGGTCCTTGGGGGTGTCCAATACGAGCTGCCTCGAGAGGGAGACAATAAGAAAAAGCAGTCACCTACCCTATCCAGGATTTTGGCCATCTTGATTCCGGTGGCCAAACCGCCAAACATCAGGATCCAGCCCACCAGCTGGAACGCGACGTGCGCCCATACAGACTTCTTGGAATTGGATGCCCGGATCAGAAAGGAGCCGAGAGGGAGGATCACCACGAACACGAGGCCCATGATGGTGCCGTGTGACGTGGCGAGGGCCGGTATCTTGGGCAAGTCTGCAAAGATAATCTTGGGGTTTACGCCCGGCGGCAGCTGGCCACCGGGACCTCCGGTCGGAGCGGACATGACGGATATATTGTCTGGGGGCGAAGTGAGATATGGGGGTGCGAAAGACGGATGGAGATGGGATATGGGTTGTTATCTCTGGAGGAAGCTAGTCATGGAACATTGAAGACTATGGAACATTGAAGACTATAGACCGTTTGACTCGAAAGAAACAGAGACAGACTGCAGTGTAGTGCGGTCGGGCGTTGTTAAATACTCATGGGTCCTCGACGGTGACGTGCGGGAGCACTGCTCCGTCATGGAGTCGCGGATCCCCGAGCTCTCTCACAGGACTCGCATTTCTAAGCCACCGGAGGAACAAAGCCTGCCGGCCACGTATCGATGACTGTAACCTACGTAAAATTCGAGATTAAGAACGAACACTGAACCCTTTTTTCCTTCCCCCTTCCTACTATGCATTTTCCAGTTTTTCCACCGTGCCAAGCGCGAGTGTGCAAATCGCATCGAGTCTTGGCCGTCGATGGATTCCGGACGCTCCCTATCCCGGGCCCCGCCAGCGAATGCGCCGTCCCGTGCCTGGCCAAAGAAACGAGGTCGTCGTCGCCGCCGGCCAGGGCCATGAGAACCCCGAGATTTGCGAGATTTCCGGACGAATGAGCGCCGGCCCGTTACCAAGCGCGGTGGCTTGGTCCACACACCTCCCCTTGTCCAAGGGGGAGCTTCGATCCTTCGGGACAATGCTGACCAGTGACGGACACGGCCCAATTCCAACCCCGCCCTGACGTTTCCCTTCGCGCGCGCCGTCGTAACCTTTTTGCACGGAGCTTTAATCCAAGTGGAACTTCACTCGTGCTTTGTGTTTCCTGCCCTTCCCCCTAATACCGACGAATCGAACCTCAGGCATTATCTTCTAACCATTCGCCTTTCGTTGAAAGTTGGCCGCACACCCCCTCCCCGTCGCCATTCTCGGGCTGGACTCTCTCCATACGCCCAATTTCGATCTACTTGCAAGAGGGCCGAGTTTCCCGAAAACAGAAAAAAAAAAATGATGCCTGGCTTCCAGCAGCCCGAACCACCCTCTGGTGTCTCGCGCGCCCCGGTTCTCAAACCCAAAGCCTGCGTCGCCTGTCGCACGAGAAAGGTCAAGTGCGACCGGGGGTCCCGTGCCATCACTGCTCGCGATGGTCCCTCGACTGCCAGTATCCCTCCCCCATCAGGAGGTGTAGGCGGGTTCGAACCGCCGACAGCCCTGCCACCACGGCCTCCCGTAGCGAAAAGGGGCCTGATGAAGGTGGTGATTTGGCGGAAGGGTCCGTCCTCCCCCAACACATCCTCCAAAAGATAGGGCACGTCCGCCATAGTCTGCAGGCGCTCAGCAAGGATTATCCTGCTGCGTCGTCGGGGGTCTTCGGGGGTCGAGTCTTCAACCGCTTCCCGGGAACGGGAATCGTGCCACTCTGCAGAGTCTTGATCTACAGCTCGCAGGCATCGCAGACTGGCTTAAAACGCTGGATCCGCAAGGGGCCAGCGCAGCCGTGGTGGAGCGTGCTTTCTCAGAAACGGCTGCCACGGCGTCTGGCGGCGGGCCCCCGTTGATGTTTAGCCTCTTGGGGACGCCGCCGCCTACCACGTTTCCCATTGATACATTCTCGCTTGACGCCCGCTGGTTCCTGCCCCCGTACCCGACGCCATGGTCTGCTGGGATACATTTACCCTGAAAGTCGACCCCATGGCCAAAGTCGTGCACATCCCCAGCGCACGCAAATTTTGGGATACCTCGCTGCATGACATGACGTGTCTGAATGACGGGGAGATTGCCATGATCTTCACCATCTACTCCTCTTCGCTCGGCTCCATGACGGATGCCGAAGTGGAGCGTCTCTTCAAGGCGTCCAAGCAAACCGTCGTTTCGTCGTTCCAATCGGCAGCCGAACACGCCTTGATGAGGTGCGACCTTGTCAATACGACCGACCTTGTCACACTCCAGGCCTTTGTCCTCTTCATCGTGTTGGCGGCGTTTGCCGACGAAACTCGGAAATCCTGGGTGCTCACGGGCATGGCCCACCGACTGACCTACTCGCCGCCGGACGAAAGTTCGCCATTCCGCGCCGAAATCACGAGGCGCCTCCGCTGGAGGCTCTGGTACTTGGACCACCGCAGGTACGAGGACGGCGGCGTCCGCACGACGTCCTGCAACATCGGCGGCCTCGAAACCCTCCCGCTCAACGTTCGCGACGTCGACCTCGACCCGGACATGACCGCGCTCCCGCTCCCTTACCACGGCTGGACGGAAATCAGCTTCTCTCTCGCCCGGCTCAACATCGCGCTCACCTGGCACAGGGTGAAATGTCTGCCGTCCGTCACGCAGCGACTAGCGGCCATTGATGCGTGCGAAGCGCAGCTCAAGCATGCATACCTCCAATTTTGTGACGGGATGCTACCCATCCATTGGCTAGCCAACCACGTGTCCTACGTGCAGCTCATGGAAATGCGCTTCAAAACCATCCAGGTTGCGCCATTCCCCGTCACCGCGCACGAGCACGGTATACATCACGGCGGCGAACTGTGGGCCACGTCCAAGAAGCGCGACGAGCTCTTCCTCGCCGCCATCGACATTGCGGATATCCCGCGCCGCTTGTCCATGGAACCCGGGGCGCGCCAGTGGCTCTGGACCCTGAAGGGCTACATGCAATTCGTGCCCCTGTCGTTTTTGCTCGCCGAGCTCCGCTACCGCCAGGCTTCGGAGGTCGTGGAACGGGGGTGGGAGGTGGCGAGGAAGGCGCTTTCGCGGCAGAAGAATCCCCGGGAGGAATCCAAGGAGGCTTTCCGGTACCTGAGCAGTCTCATGCGCGAGGCCCAGCAGGAACGGCACGCGAGAGAGGAAAAGTACCAGCAGTTGGAAATGATGAACGTGTTGGGCGGGGTGAACCTTTACCAGCTCCCGCAGGAACTCGGCCCATTCCATGTAGATCCCGCGGGAATCCAAATCCAAACGCCCATATGCCCCTTGTGGCCGGCGCAGGACTCTCCTGCCCCACCGCCTCCGGCCGAATCCGGCGAAGAGAACCTCTTTATTGTATCCACCTTTGACCAACCGGGTCCTACTAACTCAACACTGAGATGAAGCTGTAGTGATTGTATATGCGAGGAGTATGGATTTTACATATCATGATCAAGATTAATTAGATAGCAAGCGAACGGGATGCGTCACTCGAGTTCATGACTTTTTCAAGACAATAAAAGGTATCAATTGTACTGTTTAAATAAAGATTGGTATCACAAGCTCAATAGACCCCCGAGAAGTTCGTGTGGACGTGACAATTCCCAAAATCGCTCTGGCGTCCTAGCTCCCCAACTGTCCGGCAAGAACCAAATTAATACAACACGCGAGCCAGCATCTTACTCTCGTAATCGCGCCGCGGATCGTCGTTTATTCGACGGTACTTAGGTAGTCTTTTTCGTAGCGGTGATGGGTCGACCTTGTCGCTGTTGCGAGTTGAGATAAAGGTAGCCACCGGCAGCGATGATGCCAAGGATGACGATGTTTCCTATTCCTCGCCGTTAGTAACGCGAAGAAACCGCTGATGCGCAATGCCCGATTTTCCCACTTACCGAGGACGAACTGGCCGACACCGCCCACGACGTCGACGAGTCCGCGTACCACATCGACCACCATGTTGGCGAGTCCGGTGAAGAAGCCGATGACGGCTGTCAAGAACGTCTGAATGATGCGCGCCGATCCGCCAATGACGGAGGCGAAGAGCTCGTAGATGGACTTGATCAAGTCCTCGAATGCTTTGGCGATAGACATGATGGCGGTTTTTTTAACGAAGATTTTCAGCGTCGCTGTTCTAGTTTGATAGGTTTGAATATGGCGAATTTTTAAAGGTATTGATGTATGAAGGACAATATCGAGGTAGTATTCATGTCCCGAAGGAATGGTCGATCGTCAAGGTAAGCTTTATATCTCGCGAGGCCTTCACATCTCACCCAGAACGTCGTGATGACGTCACGGCCACGTCCCGTTCGTCCACGACAATCTACCTTCCACAATACACAACCAGATTGTTGTTTCATGGGCAGCGATCGCTTAGTCTCCTGCTGTGATGTCAATTCGTGTCAATGGCCGATTTGCGCCACGATCGTAGGTGCTTCCTCATAGGTTGGTATTTTACCCAACCTGGGCAACCTGCGTACTTTTCGCCCAGCAACCCGTCGCTCATTTTGTCAGGGGCAAATAAACGCGTCACAATGAGGCATTCTGGCAAAAGCCAACTAAAACTTTGCAATCATAATTTCTGACCTAATCTTCTACGAAGCAAGGTTAACGATTGTTCACGCGAAACATGGAGCAGCGATGGACGCGACGCGCCCGCCCATATCGTGGCCAAGCATATTCCCGACCGCAGCACCAATAATAATCCGAAGTAGGATGCTCCGACGAGAGAAAGCCTATTCGAAAATTGGCTATTGCCGGTGTCTAAGCATTGGCCGAAGCCGTAGTCTTCGCCGGCCCTTGACGTTGCACTTGTTCCTGCCGAGTGGGGGTCCTCGTCAAGCCGAAGGTGAATGACGTGCTCACACTAAACCCATCCCCCAATCCAATCCTCCAGCAAATCGAGGGGTGGTCGCCATGTCAATGTAATTTTTCGGTGGTGGTTAGGATCTATTCTATGTCTACATATATTTGATGGACGTGGACTCGTGACAAGCGAGGCCTCTGTCCGAGCTCGGGTCCATTGCTGCGCCTAGTGCTCAGAGACGGCGGGAATCTCCGTCCATCGTAGCCCTCCGCTCCGGAAATGACTTGTGTTTCGTGGATTTCGGCACCGGTAGCCGATGCCGCAGTCATCCCCCTCCCGAGTGGAAACCCATTGTCCCCGGTCGAATCGATCCAAGCGTCGGCTGAAGACGAGCTGATTGGCCATCACGCCAGATGATACCATTCACTAGTTTTCTGTCCACACTGCCGTGACCCCTGTTGTGAGGTTTTTGTTGTCCATCTCTCGCTGCTTCCTTCGGATGCCGGCATGAATAAAAGGCAGAGAGGGACGATGTGAGTGATGATTGTTCACCTGTCCCTGTATCCGCACCCTTGACCACGATAGGGCGTCCCCATCCATTCTCTCGTCTATCACCTCGCCTTTTCGCGCGTGAGAAAACCATCGCAATGACGCGGTATAGCCAGATATTTCTGGCTTTCAGCAGCCTAGCCTCCATCGCCCAGGCAGACTGGCGATTCCGCTCACGGCCCGAATTCGCCGTGCCCCGGCTCAACATCACGGTGCCCGCCGACAAAACCGCCGTGGAAGAGGGCTACATCTTCATCGCCCCCTACGAGGGGTTCGGCGAAGGCCATACGGGGCCCGTGCAGGCCGGCGCCTACATCTATCGAGACGACGGCGAACTGGTATGGTCCGGGCTAGGCTACCACGCGGGTTGGGTGGCCAACTTCCGTCCCGTCACGTGGAACGGGCAACCGCACCTCCGCGCGTTCCAGGGCCGGCTGGATCATGTGCAGGGGCGCATGTTTGGCTTCCACACTTTGCTGGGAAGCGACTACGAGGTCGCCAAGGTGGTGACGGTGGGGTCTCACCGGCTGGTCTCAGCCCACGAGTTCCACGTCGTGGATGAAAAGACGGCGCTGATCGAGACACCGATTCCCCGAACCGTGTCGTTGAAGCCCTGGGGCGGCGACGAGGGGCAAAACTGGGTAGTGTCGGGGGTTTCAAGGTTCGTTTCGGCGATGTTCTAATTTCTTTTTTTGGGCCGCTGCGCAGGGTCAATTCCCGACTTGACTGACTCTTATTTTCTGTGCCATCTTGTAGAGATTGATATCGCCACCGGAGAGGTGCTGTTCGAGTGGGAAAGCTTTGACCACGTTGACCCAAAGTGTGAGCCCATCCACTCCGCTCCTATTTGCTTCCCTCCCCACACAGCTTTCATGGCCGAGCAGAGTAGCCTTGTCTTGAGTGCTCTCATCTTATATATACGACAGATTCTAACCCTTCACCACAGACAGCGCTTTCCCTCTAGACTTTGGTCCGGGCCTGCCAGGGGACGGCCGCACTGAGACGGAGGCCTGGAATTACTTTCACATCAACAGCATCGACAAGGACGACGAGGGCAACTATCTCCTCTCAGCCCGCAACGTCGCCGCGGTTTTCAAGATCAACGGCACGAGCGGCGAGGTCATCTGGCAGCTGGGCGGGTTCCACGGCGGGTCCTCATTCAAGCTATCCGAGGCAGACCGTTTCGGCTACCAGCACGACGCGCGCTTCCACGGACGCTCCGAGGACGGCACGCTCGAGTTCATCTCTCTTCGACAACGGAGCCCATTCCGCCGACGTCAAGACCCACCCTCACTCCCGCGCTCGCTTCTACGAGCTGAACCGCGCGACGGGCGAGGCCCGGAACATCCGCTCCCTGGACGCGCCCGACGCCTTGTCGGCGCGCACGCAGGGCAACGTGCAGCTGCTCCCCGGCGGCAACGTCTTCGTCAACTGGGGCCAGGCCGGCGCGATAACCGAGTTCTCCCGCGACGGCGCCGTCGTGTTCCACAGCTACCTCGACTCGGCACCCGCGGGGTCCTCGTGCAGAGCTACCGTGGCTTCAGGGCCAACTGGACGGGTACCCCCACCGAGGAGCCGGCTGTCGTCGCCGTGCGCGACGAGCAGGGGGCACAGGGGGCGCTCGACGTGTACGTCTCGTGGAACGGCGATACCGAAACGAGAACTTGGCGCTTCTTTGGCAGCGACGCCGCCGACGGCGCCGCGACGCGGTTCGTCCTGTTGGGCGAGGCCCGGCGCCTTGGCTTCGAAACGCATGTGGCACTCGCAGGGGCACAGGGCGCGTCGCGATCCATCTCGCACGTCTCCGCCGTTGCGCTCGACGCCCAGGGCAAGGTATTGAGACGCTCAAGGTCGTCGCCGTCTCCCTCGATGACGCACAGCCTCCCCACCGCACTGGCCAGGAGGAGCTTGAGCAGTGGGTTGGTGAACTGTAGATTAAAAAAGGGGGAGACGAATGGACGGAAAACTATCTTGTTTTTTCTTTGCTTTCTTTCCTACTTCCTATCGCCGGTTGTGTTCAATAGTTTCCAGGATGTACCCCGGTCCGACCAGGATGGCATGAGCCGTCGTGGGCACGCTGGCCCGTCCTCTCAAAAAAGGTGACGGCTCGTGAATACACCGTCATTGCTCATAGGCCGAGTCCGAAACAGAGTTCCACAGCGTTTGATGATAATTGCTCTACACTAGTGGTTGCGCGGAAAAACCAAGCAGGCCCCAAATGGATAACCCATCTTCTCATATTGACGCAGTCTATAGCCACTAGTCGTGGCGAAGGAACCTTCCGTGCCTGGTGAAAAGATTTCGAATAAGCAATGTGCTTCCAGGGCTCCCTTCCTCTCTGCACGCACGCACAACCCGTCTTCGTAGATCTCCCCATACTATGGATGGATATGCATGCGCCGCAGATGCAGAGATTCTGGACGGTTTGCTTGGGTCCACCGCTGGGGAGGGCGCGCCGGGGCGCCGGGGCACCGCTTGCATCATATCTCCCTCTCTCCACTGATCCATGGCAAATGGGATCCATTCGATCGGCGCGGTCCAGCCCTGAAGCCACGAGGGTCCACCAGCGCGGAAACTAGCAGCCAGACCCCGAGAGCAATTGGACAACGGCTCACCGCAAACCGACATTGAACCGAGGCGGAAAAGACACAAGCCAGTGACAGTGATTGACCAAGCCAGCTCTTGCCGCCGCCGCCGCCCCCAGGAAACAAGAAAAGAAAAATGAAAGAAGAAAAATGAGTGGGATGCGGCTTAAGGGGAGGGCAATAAATGAGGGAATATCCAAAAGGAAAAAGGAAAGTCTGTCATTTTTGGGCGCGGGGAATTTCTGGGCCAGTCAATCATGGCCATGGGAGCGAGCAACCACCTGAAGCCTCACTTTTTGTTTTCTGTATTGTGCGGGGTTTCCAGCTCCTTGATTGTTCCCTGGTCACACTGCCCCTCCGATGGCTGGCGCCGGTTGCGACAATGACCCAAGATCCAGCGCGACCAGGGTCAAGTAATTGTTCAAATCAGGCAACATGGGCATCGATCAATCGACGTTGGAACTCGCCGGGATTTTTACTCGCACACTTTTTGTTTTGTTCACATTGAACCCTGCAAATCGGGGCTGTCATGCCCTGTTTGCTAGCTGCGAGCCTTTTTTCCCACTCAGTGCTCCTTTAGCCCAGCTGAGCCAGCTTCCGGGATCTCGATCAATGGATGCCCTCGCTGACGGGACCCCGCCCCGGCGATTGGTGACGGAAGGCAACCCCCAGTCCAGTTCCCCCTCTCCTCCCTAACCCCAACCACCCAACCCAGGAGCGGTTCCTCGAGTAGGGGCCTTCGTTCTCCCGTCCCGCCGTCGTCGTCTGTTTGTCGGTCACGTTGGAAAATCAAGCGCGCTGCGCCGTGCATGTACGCAAGCAAACGAGCCACCGCTCAGTTGGCGCGGACATAGCTTGCATACGATCGACCTACCGAGTCGATCTTCCCCTCCTTCCCCCGCCTGCGTGATTTTTCCTTTCTACATTCCATAACGCCTTGTTTTCCTTTCTTTTTTTCTTTTTTTTGTTTCTTTTCTTTGAGCCTCAATGCGTACGTGGGAACACAGCAGCAGGAGCAGCATGGCACCCTGCCAGGCGGAGGCGACGGGATCCGCCAGCTCGAGGGTTTGGGCTTCACGCACCAGCCAATGAGCCCGACGTTACGCCCACATATCGCCAGAAAATGACGCCTCAACGCACCGCTTGCACCCACCACTCAACACCCCGGCATCGGAGCGCCAGCAGGTTTTTTATGTGTTTGTTTCTGCATGAACAGGGCAGGGCCGCCGCGGTGGGCTGCGAACCACCCCTACGCTTGGAGTGCATGCAGCGCGTGCGAGCGCGCGCCTGGCCCGCCGTTTCTTGGGGCGCAGCAGTAGCGGCAAGCAGCAGCGCAGCCTTCCTCTCTGGGAATCGCGGACGCGCAAGTGTTCATCGCCAGATCGAACGGGCTCTTTTTGATCAAAAGTCCCCTCGGCCTTGGAGACCTGTCTCGAGGTCTTCCAGTTCAGGAGATGATGGGCAAAGACCGGCCGGTGGAAGCTGAGATTGGTTGCGGAAGGGCAAAGGGGCGTGACTTATCCTGAACAAAGATATTTTGTTGGGAGGCTTGCGCGGGTTGGCAGCACTGCACTGCATCAAGTGCATGTGGTGAGGTCAGGCCAAGAATGGCCGTTTTACCTGCTCCCTTGCTCCCTCCCTTGTCAGCCTTGGGCTGTTCTACTATTGGCCGAACTCAGAGATTTTTTTTTTTGACAGCGTGAATGCGGCGGGCCCATCCATGATCGACATCGAGCTAGGACCAACTTTGAAGGATCTGGAAGCCCTTTATCAGCACATTTTCTTCTCGGCGGTGTTTTTGCGCGAACAAGACTCGGTCTCAGCATCCCCGTCGTTTCGGGGTCGAGGTTATCGTCGCCGAGTCAATAGTTGGCAGGTCCCCTGTAATTGACTGAGATATGAGGGGTTTTCTCACTGTTTCTCTTTCTTTTTCTTTTTTTCTCTTTCTTTTTGCTTTAGAGGAAAAAAAAGCCTGGACCCTCTTACCTCTAGACAACATCGTTGGTTGGGATGAGGGGAAGGAGTGAAAAAGGGTTTAAACGTCTCCATTGATCGTCCATGCCTCCCCACGCGTTCATACCGAAAATCTTGGAACAGTCACAAACACGGACAAGGCATGCACACCCAAAACTATTAAGACCGAGGCCAACGATCCGAGACCAACCGCCATTTCGGGATACGCTTGGCCAAAAGCGATGTAGCGTCGTCCCTTTTCAGTCTGCCTGTCCTCTGACGCCGGCACCTACACGCGCCGATCAAAGGAAAAGAGGAGGGGGAGGGGTTGACGGGGTTGACGGGGTTGACGGGGTGGAGAAGACTGATGCAACTTGGGCCGATATGGATCGCTGCTTTCGGAATCCGCATGGGTGATGGATAGGCTTTGGGAGGGGATATCACTTCGGCTGAGCCACCTTGAGAGATGCTGTCGAAGATGGTCTCAGCCGGGAAAATGTGTGTTCTTGACCGGCCCTTCTGTATATTCGCCTCGGTCCGTGATGGATGGACGCCAAGCATCCTATTTCTACGTATCCGTGGGCAAGGTCCGTAGTTTTTGGAGGGTGTCTAGGTGAAAGACGTCCGCTCCCATCTAACCCTATCTGATGATCTACACAATAATACCATCCACGAACGGGAACAAGGTGGCCACATTGGGGGTCAACGGCGCAGCCTGGCCCCGCCTTGCAGAAACAGGATGTGACGTGACAGCTACGAGTAGAAGACGAAAGTACCGCAGACCCCCTCCCCCATCCATCATTGTACTCCGCTCGGGTCGGAGAATGACATATGACACGGGTCTAAATCAGGCCCAACGCACTAATAGTTGACTTACAAACAAGGGAAGGGACGAGAGAGAGAGGGGGACAGCCATTCATGTGGGCCGGGGTCCTTAGCGAACAGCGTAGGCAGGGCTACGTAGGGAAAAACATGCCTTTCCTTTTGAAAACTGGTTGCGGGCGTTGTTTGGCCGGCTAATGGCTCAAGATGATTCGATGCCTCGAAGCGGCACGGTCAAATCACGCAGATACGTCCCACTCTTCTCATCATCTCGATCGGAGCTGGGCTGTTAGCCCACCGGAGGCAAAGAGGCAAAGCGGGGGGAACAAACAAACAAACAAAAAGAAAGAACAAGACCCATCTCTCGCTTTGCTGCCAAGCGAAGACCTTGCACTCGTATAGCTGTGCCGTATAGCTCATGCGCTAGGGGCTTCAGGCTGGGAGGAACGGTGCGGTATTGATCACATTTTTTTCTTTTCCTTCTCACTTTTTTTTGGGTTAATTGACCGAACGGCTGCTGGATCAGGACTTGGGAAAAAAGGGCATTTTTGCTTCTGGTTTACGATGGAGAGAGTCAAACCTAGCCAAAAAGGTGTGCATGTAGGCGCCGAGACCACTCCTAGACTTGACTCAAATGCCATGTTGTTGCAAGACAACGATTTCGTTCGTGGTAGCCAATCTCTCCGCGGATGACGGAGGGCGTCAGCCTACAAGCCAGAAAAAGCAAACCCCTTTGGGTCCTTCTTCACTGGCGAGGGACCAACAAGTACCGAGAGAAAGGAACAGCCCCAGCGAAGCTGAGCCCTGAGCTCTCAAGTGCCTTCCCCCGTCCTCATCATCGAATAACCCGACAGGCTGCATCGTTCGGAGGCGTCCTGCAACCACGATTCCTTTTTATTTTTTGTTTTTCCTTGCCTCTCACTTGCATGTACGGCAAGTGGGACGTGGAGACAAGGTGGCGGCAACGGTAATTTACCAAATGTCAGTGCGAGCGTGCAGGCATTTTCGTTTCTTTTTTCCTTTTTTCTTTTTTATTTTGTCTTTTCTTTCTTCTTGGGGGTGGGACACACTCACACACTCACACACACAAACACACACGCTCGCATACGCCCTAGCCGAGATCCGCGCTAGTCGTTGGAGATCGGGGACTCGGAAGCACAACGCCTCGACAAGGGGAGCCCGCCACCACAAGCTGGGACCCGGCTTCCTGTTTCGTACTTGTGGACAAAGGCCATTTCCCGATTGGGGCCGGGCAGGTTGTTAGCCTGCGCCGCCAATACGGAACCTGTCACCACTTTTGTGACCACACGAACGAAAAGAAAGAAGACCCCCGTCCCCCTTCCCCCTCCCGGTCCCCGCTCCCAGTGCAGAATGAGAACCACAGCACCCCCGACCCCACCGATCGCCTATCTCATCTATCTCCTTGGTATCGGCCCGGAGCCGCCGGCACTGGGAGAAGAGGCGCCGGATCGGCATGCCACGTCACGAAGAAGGCGAGGGAAAAAGAAAGGAGAAAAGAAGGAGAAAAAAGAAAAAGAAACTCTAGCAAAGCGAACGAGTATACGCCCTTTACACCTGACTTGCATCAGGCGGAGCAGTCATGAGCACCTCTTGGTTCCGGAATGGGGTCGGGGTTCCAAGTTGGGAGCCCCCGAAGCCAGGGCTTGGCGCCAGATCTTCACGGAGCTACACTCCTCTGGGTCCGTGGATTGACGCCGCATGAAGCCCTCTCTCTCCCCGCCCCCAAAAAAAAAAAAAACACCACAGACGCAGACAGACAAACGCCCCGGTGCCTTGGTCGGGTTCCATGAATAATCCTCCTCCTCAAACTGGTGTTTGGAAGACTCGAGCACGACAAGACATTGTCCCCCAAGCGGCCTGGGCCAACTGAAACTCGACTCGTCAACCCAATACTTTTTCGCCCAAATTGGAAGTGCGGTTGGCCCCCGTTCAGCTCAATGGTTCCGGTTGTCCCTTGAGATGGTGGTCCCCCTTGCCATCTGCCAATTCTTTGCAAGTCTCCCGAGGGCGTGCACCCCTCGACAGAAATGTTAATATAAAATGTTCGGTCTACCCGACTGTTTCTCTTCTCTCTCTCTTGAATTCCTTTCCATGACAAGCAAGCAAACGAGTGTGCCCATCTCATCTCCTCCTCCCTTCCCTCCCCTCTTCACCATGGTCACTTCCATCTTTCCCCTTCCCGGGCGGTCATGCCCCGAAAAGACTTCACCGACGGCCCTACCGCTTCACCGGCGTTCCCAACGGTTGTTGCTGCCATATTACACCACATCATCTCCACACCGACAGCTATCGCCGCTGTCGATCACTCCACACCGGAGCCCGAGTCCATCACCTACAATGAGCTGGGGACTCGAGCCATCCGCCTCGCCAAACTCCTCAAAAGCGCGGGCGTCCGCCCCGGCGACCGTGTCCCCCTCGTCGTCAGGCGGGGATTGACATGATTGTCGGCATCGTGGGCGTCCTCTGCTGCGGAGCCCAGTATATCCCCCTCGACGGCAACGTGGTCGCCACAGAGGCGCTTCGAACCGTGGTCCAGCAGTCCCAGTCCGCCGCCATACTATGTCTCACGTCGACCAAGGGCCGCTTCACCGACCTTGACGTTGGCGGCCGGGCCCTGATCGCCATCGACACCGTCCCTCTGGGGACGGACGTCAGTCTCATCGGCATCATCAGCGAAGCCCTCCAGCTTGTCACACCGGATAGCGGCTGCTACGTTATCTACACATCAGGTATGGCGATCTGAACCCGCCCCCTTCGATCTGAGGGCACCACGGCGCAGGGTCTCACATTAGTTTTTCTGTTTTGTTTTTAGGAACCACGGGAAAACCCAAAGGAGTTGACGTGACTCACGGAAATGTCGTCAACCTGGTTTGCCTGAGTCCGGGAAACCTCACCATCGGGCCCGGCGTCCGTGTGGGGCAAGTGTTAAACATCAGTTTCGACATGGGTATGTTGTGCACCCTTCCACATCCTGGCTGGCTCACACACCACACACACATACCGTCCACACATCCCATACACAAACACACACAAACACACAGATGCATGTGCTAACAGTTCACCATCAGCGGCGTGGGAGATTTTAGGTTGCCTCTGCAACGGGGGTACGCTCGTCCTAAGGGGATCTGATTGGAAGAAAACTCTCCAAGACGTAAGTCTGCAGGATGCGTGCCAACACACGCCCCCCACGCCCCCCGTCCCCTTTCTCCCAACGGCGAGTGGAGTGTGCGCCAAGCTAACATCCAGGATTCTCCAGATTGACGTTTTGATATGCACTCCCTCCATTCTGGGCAAATATGCACCCCATGAACTCCCAATCTGCAAGTAGTGGCTACCGCCGGCGAGCCCATCTCGGTCCAGTAGGTCCCTCCCCCGTCTACACTAAGAAAAAAACTTTGCCACAGTAACCATCCCGCTCACAAAGGACTCATGACAGGTTGGCGGACAAGTGGGCGTCGTGCCTAGCGTATTACAACTGCTGTGGGCCTACCGAGACCACCATTGTCAACACCATGCACAGACATGTGGCTGGCGAGCCCCTGTCCATCGGGAGGCCTACCCCCAACAACCGAGTCTATATCCTAGACGACCGTCTAGAACCTGTACCAATCGGCGTGCAGGGCGTTGTCTGGGGCGGTGGCAAAGGAATTTCCAAGGGGTATATCGGTCTTCCGGAGTTAACCCAGGCCAAGTACCTGGCTGACAAGTTTGCCAAGGATGGGTGTGTTGCTCCCATTCAGCTGGAATCCCCAAAAGATGAACTGATGGCTAATATGAGGGGCAGGACGCTGATGTACAACACTGGGGACGTCGGGATTTGGCAAGCCAACGGCACGATTCAGCTGCTGGGTCGGTGCGACGACCAGGTGAAGATCAAGGTACATGACTCGCGCTTGAGAAAAGCAACGAAAACCGAAAAACCCAAGAGGGGGAGACGGGGAGAGGGGGAGAAAAATGTCATGCAGCTTCTAACAGGGTTCTTTTTGTAGGGATTTCGGGTCGAACTAGATGGAATTACGGCGAGCCTTGCTTCTGCCCCCGCCGTCGCCAAAGCCGCAGTTCTTTTGATCGAAGAGGAGCTGCATGCTTTTGTGCAGCCGAGCGCCGCCGGCGGCTTGCACCTACCCACCATCGAAGAGGCGATCGCTTCCAGTCTCCCGTACTACGCACGGCCGGCCCATTACCACGTTCTCGATTGCTTTCCCCTCACGCCCAATGGCAAGGTCGACAAAGGCGCTCTGCGACAACTCGTTCAAGACAATAATGACTCGGACACTGCTGAATCGTTCTCCGACGCGTCATCTACCCAATGCGCCACTAGCTGTGCCGGCTCCATCACCTCCAAGCGATTCAAATTGGGCACCTCCATTGACGAGGAGAAGGGCGGGCTCGACAACCAAGTGCCGGACAAGTCCCTCCCCCAGCCCCTCCGAGGACTGGTCTACCGCATTCTCATCCCCTATCGCTTCCTCTTCTCCGTCGTCTGGCTCGCCAACGTGGCCGCGCTCGTCGTCGTCTGCGCAAATGGCAGCCGCCGCGACTGGCTCGGCAACATGGTGGCCGTCAACCTCGTCGTCGCCGTTCTCATACGGCAAGACTTTGTCATCAACGCCCTCTACACGATTTTCTGCTCGGTGCCCAAAACGTGGCCGCTGTGGATTCGGGCGTCCTGCGCCAAGATCTACCATCTGGGCGGCGTCCACTCGAGCGCGGCCTCGTGCGCGGGTATCTGGCTTCTGGCCGCCAACATCAGTGACGCGGCCTGCGCGTCCCTGGCCACATGCCCCAATTATCCCCCGCAATCTGTGGCTTCCATGACGTTGTCGTGGATGCTGTCCGCCCTCTTCGTGAGCATGATTGGTCTCGCCTCGCCCTCGTTTCGAAAGACGCATCACGACTTCTTTGAGCGATGGCACCGCTTTGTGGGCTGGACGATGCTCGCCCTCTTCTGGGCGCAGAACTTTGTCACTATCCACGATACCGCCCGGCTGCGATCTGTCCCCTACGGATCCGTCCTGGTCTCGTCAATTCCGTTCTGGCTTCTGGTTGGCGCGACAATAAGCATCGCCCTATCCTGGTGCTGGCTGCGCCGGGTGCGCGTCATATCCGAGGTGCTTTCCGATCACGCGGTTCGGCTCCACTTCGACTACACGGTCCCCGTCAACGGAAGTTTCACGAGGGTATCCTTTAGGCCTCTTATTGAGTGGCACTCCTTTGCGACGATCCCGGCCCCACAGGCACACGGCCCCGCTCACGACCCGACCCAATTTCCCGCCGGCCATTCTCTCTTGGTGTCCAACGCGGGCGACTGGACAAAGGCTTGCATCAAGAACCCGCCCACGCATCTGTGGGTAAGAGGAGTTCCCACGTGCGGGGTCATGCGCATCGCGACCCTCTTCAATCGCGTCGTCGTCGTCGCCACGGGTTCCGGCATCGGGCCTTGTCTTGGCCATATCCAGCAGCCGAGTTGTGCTACCCAAGTTTTGTGGAGCACCCGAGATCCGGAGAAGAGCTTCGGCGCTCCCCTTATCAACGAGATCAAGGAAAAGGTTCCCGGCGCGGTGATCTGGGACACCAACGAGCTCGGGCGGCCTGACATGGTGGCCTTGAGCTACAATATGGCCAAGGACTTTGGGGCCGAAGCGGTGATTGTTATCGCCAATGAGAAGATCACTAAGAAGATTGTTTACGGTTTGGAAACACGGGGCGTACATGCCTACGGGGCCATCTGGGATAGCTGATGGTGATACCCACCGCGGCATTTTCCTTTTCTATTTTTACTTTCTTTCCTCTTTCCTTTGTTCTTTTTTCTTTTACATTCAGCAAGCGGGCCATGGGTGGTGCTTTGACTTACAAAGATTGTTCTGTATTTATTCCGTTGTGGGCGGTTTTCTTTTCTATTCTTTCTCATCTGGGTGCGGGATCTGGTCGGCTCTCTTCTGTTTAGCTTGCAAATCGAATTTCTTCCTATTCATACTACTCCGGAGGCAATGGCTGCGCTCGTGATGAGTCCCCTTTAGGCAATGCTTACGGCCGTAGGTAGCTCTAGAAAAACGATCGTCGTGTCGTTTGGGGCTGGCGATTCGTCTCTCAGTATCTTCTTCCCCACATTCGGGCCAGCGCTCTAGTCCATAAAGTGCTGTCGGGAAGGTGGGGGCTAGAGTGAAAGAGCTTTCACCTCGATCGAATAATCTTTCTGCTTTTAATGTTGTTCCTGGTTGCGTGCAATGCCGAGAACTCGCGCCGAAGCTAGACACTTAATATTCGCGAACAGCCTATATCCGGCTGCGCCAATGGGCGGGCGGGACCCCTCACCCGCTATGTTGGGGTGACGAAAGCCCCTTCAGCAGTTCGCTGACGCGGACAGAGCAGAGGACTAATTACAGCTCTGACATTTCGAATCAAGCTGAGAAACGGGGGTAATACCTCGAGAATCGAGATGAGAAACCAAAGAAAGCCTGCATCTTAGGTGGCGTGCCGGAGATATAAAAATGGGCGCAGTCCTCGGCGTGTCTTGGCGAAATAGATAGCACGCAACCGCTCTCGACTTCCTTTCCCACGGTCTGCTGTTCTACGAATCCGAACCCGGTAAAATATCCCTTCGTTCCACACAGCATGAAGGCAAGGCAGGCTCTTTCCGCCCTGGCCCTCGTCGGCCAGGCTCTTGGCCACGGCTACGTGTATCGCATCACCGCCGACAACACCGTGTAAGTTCCCCGCAAAGATCTAGCGAGCATATGATTGGATATGGTAGTATATCGATGTAGCGGGCATCGGACTGACAAGCTTCTAGGTATCCTGGTTGGGACGTTCGTCTTGACCGAGGTCAGAGCCCGGCCCCCGCCCGTATTGCCTTTGGCGGCGGTGATGTTGGCCCTGTGACGGACGCCAACAGCCCCGACATTGCCTGCAACAGGGGTCACAGCCCAGCTCCCGGCGCTATCGCGGAAGTCCGCGCCGGTAGCGATATCACCTTCCACTGGTCCCACTGGCTCTACAGCCACAAGGGGCCAATCACGGCCTGGATGGCGCCCTACGAAGGAGACATTGCCGACGTGGACGTGAATGAGCTCGAGTTCTTCAAGTTTGCGGAAGACACCATTGCCGACGACGGAAGGTGGGGGACGGTCCGCATGATGGATGACACCGACGGCGCCTGGACCGCCACTGTTCCAGCGGACATCAAGCCAGGGAAATATGTCGTGCGTCAGGAGGTATGTGCCTTGCCAAATTTTCCTCGGAAGAGAGAAGCCAGAGTCCTCAAATTGAACATGTTTTGCTAACATTTCTGTTTAGATCATCGCCCTTCATTTCGCCGTCCGCGCATCCCCGGATTTGAGGGCTTCCCGATCGGACCCCAGTTCTACATGACGTGCTTCAATATCGAGGTTACCGGTGACGGCGAGGCTACCCCGCAGGGCGCGACTTTCCCCGGCGCGTACGACATGGAAGCGCCAGGCCTCAACTTTGACCTGAACTCGACCGACCCGTACCCGGCTGTCGGGCCCGCGCTGTACGAGAGCGAGTACGCAGTGGATCTGGAGCCTCTGGAGAGCGTCATCGTGAGCCCCACGGGCGAGGGCGAGGAAGCGGATGAGGAATATTACGCTGCTCAGTATGAAGTGTTGCGGCAGCAGGGGAGACCGTTTCGTACTTTGACTCCATTGGAGGCTGAGTGGTGGTGGACCGGGCTCATGTCAACATCTATAGATCAATTGCCGAAGACGTCGTCATTCGTGACGAGAAAATGCCAGGAGTCTAACCCCTTTGAGTTGGCTTTGCCACGCAACCTTCTGTATCCGTGCAACTTCTTTCAATTTCATCAAGCAGTCAAAACTTGAGAATGCTTGATTGATTCAACGAAGGAGGTGGGTGGTCTCCCGATATTTTATACAAGTCAGGATGGTTTTGATTATTGATGCAATGGATGAAATGAAACGCCCATCCCGGGGGCACCTTGGCATCCAATGAAGACGCGTGGGTTTGTAAAGACAAATACAGGGAATCAGTAGCTTCCTTTTCGTGTTGCATAAACTCCGTGAAGGACGAGAGCAGGACAGAGAGCGAGAGTGTGGGGAAGGCATTAGGCTTGGCCAGTGGCTGCTGGGGATTATTCAGCACCGACGTTCCCCAGTGTCCAGTTTGCCAGTACCAGCACTAACCGTGGGGAAATGCCGAGGGCGGAATATCCAGATTGCAGTGTGGGTGGGGAAATCCCGTCCAAAAGGGAGGTCATGGATCCGAGACCAGGATCAAAACCACATGCTTTCCCCATTCCCCACGTCCCCAAGAGGTGCCGAAGCGAAACCAGAAAGTATCAGTGATCACGCTCCTGCCGTTCGAAGAGCTGCACGTTTGCCGCGAGCCGCGTTTAGCATATCAATTTCAACGGCCCAATGGACAAGTCCGGGACTCCCGGCGGAGGCAAGAGCGCGCGGAATTTCCACTGCACCATCTGCCAGCGCAAATACACGAAAAAGAGCATCTTCAGGTAAGCCCATCCCCTACCCCCGTCGAGCTACGCAGACAAGAAAAACTATGAGAAATGACGGCTAATTCCTTTTTCCTCCCCCTGTCAGAGACATGTTAGGTCACGTAGGTCTACTCTCGCTCTTTTCGGAACGCGGCGCTTTTAACGGAATGGAAGAAGAGGGAGGGAGCAGAAGCGCTGACCGTTCTCACCTCACGTAGATACCGGGCATAAGCCCTACAAATGTAATCTGTGCGACCAGAGTTTCTCGCGAGGCGATGTCTTGACCCGCCACCTCAAGGTCACGCACCAAGCCGGTCAGGTCTCAGAGCCGTCTCTCACTCCTTCGGAGCACGGCACGTTCTATCCTCCCCACAGGAGTATCACGTCGCCGACGGGCCCGCTCCCGCAGCCGATGCTACCCGAGCAGAAGGGCATCCCGTTCAGATTCACGATGGCCAGGGAGGCCATGTACCAGCGCACGATGAAAGTTCGGCGGCTGAGCGGGCGACGGTGCAACACGGCGTCCCCGTACAGCACGGCGTTTCTTCGCTCCTCTGGCCGGACACGCAAGACTTCTATCAGAGTTTGGCCTATCTCGATGACGTCGCGTGGGACAACCCTATCCCAGCCGGGCTTTTCCAGGGTCCTTACGTTCCGGGCGAGCTTCCGCATTGGACCGTCCATCAGCAAACCGACCGCCCAAGATCGGCCGAGTATGGCGCCGCCGAAGACGGCCGTAGGGCTGTCCAGGCTGTCAACGGGCTGATCAACGACACGGTTCGCCTCTCCCCCACCCACCCACCATAAGCGCATATATAAGCTAATTTGTTGCATAGCTATCGAGCGTTACTTCGCCTACCGGGATGGCGGATCTGACCCCGGGTTTCTTGATAGTAGCATACACATGTTCTTCACAAAATTCGTCCCAATCTTCCCCGTCATCCACCGCCCCACCTTTGTTTTCAGAGATTGCTCTGCCCCATTGCTGCTAAACGCGGTAGCGCTAGGTCTCTATTCCTGGGAAGCAAGGAAGCACTCTCCAACGTGTGTCATATCCAATGTTGGCCTGCGTCAACTGTCGCGTTTGCGTTACTGACACTCGGTCTAGGGCGAAGCGCTATGGAGGCTAGCCTACACGGCCATTGCGACATCTTGGCCTCGAATGATTAACCAAAGAGAGAGCACGACGTCTGTGTCGGGGTCGAGCTCGTTCTCACATCCCTTCTCAGCCAAACTTACGCAGCACTTTCACGGGTAAACCACACCTCTTTTCCAACGCGCATCCGGCCTCCCAACCACCGATGCCTTTCCACTGAGGCATTGATGCTAATCATTCATCCGCCCTTTAGAACCGGACGCTGAGAAAGACCAGCCAGACCTTTTACGGACTGAGCATGCATTGGGCGCAGTATTGCGGCATGTACGACCTTTCCACCATCGACGCCGCCGACGTCCCCCGCTCCACGAATCCCCAGAAGTCAAAACAAACGCGTGGAAGGCGTGGGTCGCGCGCGAAACCCAGCTCCGAACCCTTCTCGGCCTTTGCGTCATCGACGGCGTCGTATCCCAGTACAGCGGGAGCCTCGTCAACACGTGGTCGGCCACCAACACCCTGCCCCTATCCGCCGACGACGAAACTTTCCACGCCGCCACCGCCGACGACTGGATCCGAGCCATGGCCCTGCGCGGGCCCAGGAGGACCCGGTACTGCGAGATCCACCACTTTCTCTTTTCCCCGCCGGGCCAGATCCCCGGCCGCCTGGGGTACAGGTTCTTGCTGTTCGACGTGCGGATCCTGCTCGAGATTTTGAACGCGCTGTCGGCGGAGTCTGTACGCATCGAGCCCGCGCCGTCCGGCATCCGTTCCAAGGCGAAGCTCCTCCAGGCCCTGGATGCCCTCCGCCACTACATCTGCAACGGCGAAAGTCTCAGTGTGCTCGACCGGTCCATCGCTCTCCTCCGGTGGCATGCCGTCTGCCTAGACATTGTCGTAAGCAGCGCGCGGGGAGCGCGGAGGATGTGCAAGCGGTTCAACATCTCCCAAGACATATTTGGTGGCGAGAGAAGGGACGAGTCGCCCATCAACCCCCAGGCCTGGGTGGAGAGCCCCAAGTCGCGGAGATGCCTCTTGCACGCTTACCAGATCCAGGCCATCGCCAGCCAGATGCCGCTCGGCGTCGCGCACGACGTTTACCTCCCCGGTGCCATATTTGCCGCCGCCACAACCTACAGCTCCATCGCTCTGGCCGGCGTGTCCAAGATGGTCATCCCCTCGGCGGTGGACTGGAGCGTCGTCCTGTACCACGGCGTCGAAGGCGCGCCCGAGGACGCCGTCCAGTTTGAAAGCGAAGAGGCCCGCATCACGGCCGAATTCCTCGCGGGGAACCTGACGGGCCTCGGCAAGGGCTGCGAAACGCGCAACCTGTCGTACGACCTGACTTCGCTAAAGATCATGCTGCGCGGCTTGTCTTTCCAGTGGGGCGTCACTCAGGAAATGGAACAGGTTGTCGAGTCTTTTGTGGCCTTGTGTTCTTGAACAGGGGCAGTACCGCTTCATGAACTCAGTGAAACAAGCAGGATTGATCATGGATTGATATCTCCGGGGGTGGCAGGTGGGGAAAAGCACCGCCTAGGGGCCCATTCACCCCCGTACTGTCGCAGTACAACTCCAACAACACCCCCTGGGATAATTTTCCCCACCAGATGACCCTCCACGAGGCTGACTCGTTCCCACCCTTCCCCACCATCACGAACTCGCCCCTTCCAATTCCCCACTACGCTCGACCCTTCCACTGCTATCCCCTATCCCCAACGTCGCTCTGGGGTTCACTTCAGCCTTGACTTCCCCACTTTGTTCTTGTCGCCGCCTGTTCCGTGACAGGTTCATGTGATAGACGCGCAGTGTAAGGAACTTGGATGGCCGGATGTTCTCCAGTCTAACCTCAGCTATATAAAGGTTCTCAAGCGCCTCGTCTGAAAGCTCTTCCTGCACACCACTTCTTCAACACTCACTATCAAATAGACACACTCACAGAGCCCATCTTTAAATCATCAACCTCGACAACATGGCCACTCTATCCGACTTCACACTCGTCAAAGATGACAACCCGCTTGACGTCCACGCGCAGTTTGACGACTTACGATCCCGCTGCCCCATGGCGTTCACGTCTGATAACGGCGGCTTCTGGATGCTGTCGAAATACGAAGATGTCAAGCGGTGCGCCTCCGACCACAAGTTCTTCGTGTCATCCGTAAAAGCCGTGATCCCCAGCGACCCGCGCGGCATTCGTCGCCCTCCCTGAACACAGACCCCCAGCCCACACGCCGTACCGCACGGCCTTGGATCGAACCCTGAAGCCCGCCCGTATCCTGAAGCTCGAGTCCGTCCTGACGGAGCACGCGACGCGAGAGTTCGCCAACATGGTCAAGGCGGGCGGCGGAGACATGTGCGGCGATTTTGGCGCGTCTTACGCTGCTTGGGTCGAGGTTAGCTGGCTGAACCTAGCCGATGACACCGCGCCGGAACTTGCGCGGACGGCAACGGCGTGGATCAATGCGTGGCGGCAACAAAATGGGGCGGAGACCACAATCCAGTCCGAGAAGCTCTACACGATAGCTCGGCAGCTGTTTACCCAACGTCGCGCCAACCCGATGGATCCGGAGCAAGATCCTTGTTCGTCGCTTTTGTTGGAAAAGGGGCCTGATGGGGAACCTCTATCTGACGAACTCTTGGTGTATGATTGCGACCCCATTCTTAAAAGTAAAACTTGTGTGGTTAAAGATACTAACTCAAGGTTGGAATGCCTTTTGATAGCGCAACACTCCGTCAATCGCTCGTCGTTGGCATGGTAGCCCCTCCCATCATCATCGGCAGCATTTGCAACCACCTCTCGGGGGATAAGGAGTTGCAACAAAAGCTACGCCAGGAGCCGTCGCTCGTGGATGCCGCAGTGGAAGAGTTTCTTAGGCTCTACGTTCCTTATAGGGGTTTCTGCCGAACACCAAAGGAGAACTTTGAGCTTCATGGCCGGGTGATAGAAGCCAATCAACCCATTTCCATGACGTACGCTGCGGCCAACAGAGACCCCGAGGTGTTTGAGGACCCCCACAAGTTTATACTAAACCGACCCAATGCAACCTCTCATTTGGGGTTCGGCCGGGGCCGCCACCGCTGCGCCGGCATGCCCTTGGCCAGAATGTGAGACTAGAGAAGGTCCCTCCTCGTTTCGTCGGTGACTAACTATATACCCACAGGGCATTACGGGTAGCATTGAGGGTCATCCTCCGCGATTCTGCCGATATTGAGGTTTCCGGCTCATTAAGCTACGCAAAAATGCCCGAGATGGGCATCACCAAATGCCCCGTAATCATTAAGGGTGCTGGCGATAACTAAGGTGGAAGCTACGGGCAAAGGCCTGTGGCAGCCGGGTGTACACGTAGTCACAAGTCACACGTTTATAGGTCAGGATATCTGTCAAGGTTAAAAGAAATAGATCAATAAACAAATTACAAGGACGCTCCTTTCCTATATACTCCTTTTTAAATGCTTTCCTTACCCGTTACAAATCAATACACCACCCTGCCGATGGCCAGATCCGCTTCAGCGACGGGGACAAACTTGGTGCGGCACACCACTTTATACACGACGTACAAAACCACCCACAGCATGAGACTGACGTAGCAAGAAAAGAAATCGCTCGTGTTCCAAGAGATGAAGACGGTGAAGCCGGATGTAATGACGATCAAAGAGTTCATAAACATGCCATACCACGACAGCCACGGCTGAAGGGGGCTCGCCAAGGCAGCGTCACGCGATCAATCGACTGCGCCTTCAAGATGCTGAGGAATCGGATATGGCACCCATTGATACCGGCCCAGGTGATGAGGGCGCTCGTGGAGCTGATGTTGAGCAACCAGTTGAACACTTGCGTACCATTTTGCGAGAGGTTGAGGAGGCCGAGCAAGCCGAGTATGGAGCACAATGCCACGGCGATGTATGGGGTACCATATCGGTTGGTGCGGCTGACGAATTTAGGAGCCAGTCCCTCTTCGGCGAGGGCAACGAGTATACGGCTGCAGGAGTACACGTTGGAGTTTGCGGCAGAGAGGACGGCGGTGAGGAGGACGGCATTCAGGATATGCGCCAACACGGGCACGCCGGCTCGTTGAGCGATGATGACGAGGGGCGAGGCGGACGCGTCGGACTTGTCGCTCGTGAGTTCGGGGAGGTCGAAGGGCAAGTTGATGCTCACGAAGAAAACAGTGGCGACAAACAGCACGAAAATTCCCCAAAACGTCCAGCGGATGGCCGAGGGAATGCTCTTGCCCGGGTTCTTGGTCTCGCCCGCGCCGACACCCACCAGCTCCGCACCCTGGAAGGTGAAGGCCGCGGTGACAAGCACGGCCCAAAACCCGACGAATTTGCCAGTGGCGCCCTCTACCATGTACTCGGCAAAGGGGCCGGGGTGCTGCCAGTACTTGAAGCCGATGTAGCCTTCGTCGCCGACGCCGGCGTTGACGCAGATGGCGAAGATGATGAATCCCATGACGGTGACCACCTTGATGCTCGAGAACCACATTTCGATTTCTCCAAACCAGCGGACGGGCATGAAGTTGAGCCCGGTGAAGACGACCCAGAAGACCATGATCCAAACGGCGATGCTCAAGGTATCCAGCCAGTACTGAATGATGAGACCGGCAGCTGTGAGTTCGAGGGCGAACGTGATGTTCCAACTGAACCAGTACATCCAGCCGAGCGAGAAGCCGAGGGCCGGGTCCAGGAGACGGTTGGCGTACACGGTAAAGGAGCCGGCCACCGGCATGTAGGCGGCCATTTCACCAAGGCTGACCATGACGGAGTAGACCACGGTTCCGATGAAAATAAAGGCGATGACGAGAGACACGGGCCCGGCAGTCGCAAGAGCGTTGCCCAGCCCCAGGAAGAGACCGGTGCCGATCGTTCCACCGATGGCGATGAACTGGAGATGGCGGCTCGACAATGCCCGTTCAAGACCGGCATCGCCCACTTCGAGGTCGCTTCGATATTTTTCCGAGTCAGAAAACTCGCCAACCTCGAGCCCCGTCCCCTTCATCTCGGAGATTTGGTGACCGTCGGCGGTCGGCGATCGAGCGTTTGCGGTAGACACGGTGTCGGACATTGCGCCGGGTGTGCAAACGAGCCAAGCGAGGCTCGAGTCCCGTTGCGGCAGGAAGCGTTCAATGCTACGGGGTAGGAACCTGGGGATGACGAATAACACGGTTGCGGTCAAAAAGTGAAAGCAGAGGGAGGCCAAGGCTTGATTTTTATTACATATGTACCAGTACCCTAAGCCACGAAGAAATCGTCCATGGGTGGGCGAATGGGCGAGTGAAGAAAAAATTCACCTCGGCCGTCGTAGTCCATACAGGGCCGTTATCTTGATCCACATATCACCAGAGGGACTGACAAAAAAACTGGGATCGCCTGGTGGCGACTTGCAAAATTTTTTATTTTCGCCGAGGGATGCCCGCCAGCGCCTCCACCGGGGTCCCCGCCCCCTTGAGATTGACCTCTGGCGCGGAGAACGGCGCTGGCTAGGGCGAGATTAGGATTAGGGAAGGATTGATAGGAGAAGGGAAAGAATTCCCCGCCTCGTACCGGGCGAACGGATTATGGCTGCCGAGTTGCTGATGGCACTGGCACCGAGAGACCTAACCTCATAAAGGCACCTTCCGTCTCTTTGATTTCGGGCCCGCCCGAGTCAAGCAACCATTTCGGGTACATTTTACCACTTCGCCCGTCTCGACTGTTCTTTCCTCGCAAATGAGTCCGGCAATAGCCGAAACTTGAAATATTTTGTCTGCCTTTAATGCTATCAACCCTAAACCTTTGCTACCAGACCGTGGTTCATTCAAAATCACATCTCTCTCCGATTCGATACGAACATTGCCGGCTTCCGTGATCAAAAACCCCGGAGTTGCATTTAGGTCCCAAGTATTGATCTGTGCCACCAGATCACGCTCTCAATTGAAAATTTCTGTATCTGGTTGCATCAATTGCGGAGTAATCCCCGATACGAATTTCTACAAATCATGATTCATCCTCGCCTTCTTTTGCCCTTTCGTTTTCGCGATTTTTAAAGAGTATGAGGAGCCCGATATCATAGCACGCGCGAAGGCTTCCTGCGCAGACGAATGATATCCAGAATAAATCCCGTTCCGCCAACATTCCCGTCACCAAGGGGCCAAGGGTTTGGCTCGTTGTCCTCACCACGTTCACCATCCCCATCAGCGCCGTTCGCTCTTCCGGCAGCACCATGGCGGCGATAAACGCTGATCGGGGAGCGATGCTCATGGACTGAAGACAAGACCGTAAAAGAAGAAACGTGATCGATAGGTGCACGTCGCTCGGGATGGGGATAAGCGCGAGGAACAAGGCAGATGGCAAGTGGGTGAAAACCATGGTCTTTGGCCCGAGCAGTCCTGGTAAGTATTTCGAAAGGAACAGCGACGGGGAGACTAATAAGACGTAAACGCACCTTTACATTGCCAAAGCGCTTCGCTAAGGAAGAGGCAAGAATCATGGAAATGGCTGCTAGGGTTCTCAAAGTAAAGAACAACGTGCCGAGAGCACCCTCGTCGAGCCCATGGTATGTCCGGAAATAAAGGTTATCCAGGTCCTAGTCGACCCAATATGAGCTTCAGTTGATAGCAAAGAATGGCAGGATAGAGAAGGAGAGAAATACGCACAAGGGAGAAAGACCGGTAGCAAATGCGTCGAGAGCAAACAGCAGGCACAGGACAGTCATGATCCGGACGCTTTCGGGGCTGATGGATGGCAGCGAAAGGCCCCTTTTCACGTCTCCAACTACCTCATCTTCCCCGCCACGAGACACATTACCGCCCAGCAACGGCGCCGCCTCGGCGACAGTCGAGCCCGACGACGACCGCGCCGACTCGCGCGGTCCAGCCCGGAGCTCCACTTCTTGGGTGAGCCTGGAGACAAGAAAGATCTTGACCACGCCGATCGCGGCATAGCCGCAAAACATCACCCTGTAGCTGTCGAGTAAAGGCCAACCCAGGGAAACGCGGAGGTACTGGATAACCCAGCCGCAGGTTATCATGCCGATCGCCGATCCGATGGTCCCCGACACATTATACCAGGCGTAAATATCGCTTCGTTTGGAGGAATCCGTTAGATGCGCTACCGTACTTTCCTCGATCGCTCGGAAAGGCCCCGTCTCGCCGCCACTAAAATGTAGAGTTAGCTCCCATGGTCAAATTCGTCACGGGTCGCCAGGTGTCATGAACGTACTTGGGACTCAGAATGCCAAGGATAGCCGCGCCTAGGAGCACCCAGTAATTACTAGAAAGTGCAAAGGCCACGCCGCTGACGATGATGAGGCTAGCGCCAAACCCCAGAACAGCCCGCCGACCCAAACTATCGGCAAATAACGCGAGGAAAAAGCTAAGAATCACATCGCCGGTCAAGGTCAGGGTCATGAAGAAGCCGATCCCGGTGGGGGATATGTGCAGTTCTCGTAAAAACGTGGCTAAAACCAGGGTCAAGGCCCCGTAGCCAAACATTCGGGTCGACCGTAGGAGGCATATTAACTTGACGTCCCGCGTGGTGTGGTAGAAGGATGTCAGCCCGACCTCGTTGACGCACGACCTTGCGGCGGCGCCAAGCTTCGATGTCCAACTCCCTGAGCCATCGCTTATGAGCTTTGACCCGGGTTGTATGTCTGTATCGAATGTCTGCGACGGGGCAGGGACGAAGTCGATGGAACAATACCCCCTTGATATTGAACTGTGTTAAAACAGAGGTCAAGCAAGGAGGCGTATTTCATTCATTCACCGTTTCTCCCCGCGAGGCGGGGTTCAAATTCGCCGTCGTCACGTCACGTAAATGCCGAGTTCCGTCATCACAGGAATCACAGGGGTCAAGTCTCCACAATCTGTTAACTCCGAGCCCCCACGCCTCAGAACCCTGAGTGAGTGGTGAGTGGCGCACCACTGCAGTGCTATTCCCAAAGCCATGCAAGAAGGGGAGGGGACACAACGGCCTTCGGATGTTATTTTACTTTAGGTTTACCGTCATCCGTTGGGTTGGAGCGGAATATCTAGAGACGATAAATTGAATGAATGGCGGCGGAAACCTTTAATATTTCGCTTTTCTGCGGATCGGTTCGGTGCCGGAATGCACCAGCGCCGCCCGGTCGCATCCCACACAGAACACTGAACCGAGGAAAGCCTATTCCCTTGAGTCTTCAATGTTTCCGTCTAACAAAACGCATCACCCGCTATGCTCACACTTGTCGAATGTTCAAATGTTCTCCCAAGTCAAGACTTGAATGATCCTATCCCATCGAGAAGCAGGATGGGAAAGGTGAGGTATTTCCCAAGGAACAAACACGAGATGGGAATAACCTATTCGCACAGTTCAGTCGGGTACTCCCCACCGGGAGAAAAGATTTTCTTTGTCCTTGATTTCTTTTTCTTTTCCTGGCGGGGGTTTTCGCCCTTTGTCGATCACGGCAAATAATATTTTCTCTGCCCATGGATGGAACCGCGTTACATTTGAAGGATCGGCGTCACTTTTTCTGTTAGGAAGGGGCCCTAGCCTATATTCGAGTGCGCTGCTTGAAGAGGGGCCACCGTTGGTGATGGTAGCGGAAAATTAGATTATCTTATCAGATTGACCCTTTGAAAGTTGTGGGAACTGCCGGGTGTTTTACCCTATTGAGGAGCGCGGGAGTTTGGAGGAGCCTGCGAGGATCCTTCGTCCAACCTCTCATCCACTCAAAAAGCGCCAAGACGTAGGTCAGTCACGCTCGTTGGGCAATCCTTGCCGAAGGAGGAAGCAGCCTGCCCCGTTCGGAGACTCTCTCGAGGCAAGAAATGCCGAGTCCTCGAGCCCAAGACACCTAGGACTGAGTTGCAATGGCAGCTGTAGCCGGCGACAGAGATTTGTTTTTGGTGACAGAGTACCCTTGCCGTTGGCTTGGAGTTCCTAAACCGGGCCTGACGCGACCGTCTGCGGGATCAAGTATATAACTAGACATGTCTCGATTTTGCGTCGAACCGTGTGCCGCTCCGCAATCGGGTTGCCTTGTTCAAACAAGTGAGTGCATGTGGCAGCGTCTTCAACCTTGTTCTTTGAACGCTTTTCTGCATCAAAGGACGCGGTAGGTCAGGTTCGTCAAGGAGTAGAAGACCAAACAAAAGAGAAAAAATGGCTGCAGAAGTGGCGGAACGGCCCTCCTCCCCGCCCAGGGGCGCAGAACGCGCCGATGCCGTTGAGGATACCACTCTCGGGGCTGAAGACAAGGAGACGCCAACGCCAAAAAATCTCCGGTAGGTCGCGACCGGGTTTTCCCCGCCCCCGACGTCCTCGATAGATCTAACAAAGAAAATAAAAAAACTATAGCGTTTCTTGCAACAATTCGGCACCTTTATCCATCTTTTGTTCGCCGCGAATCCGACATGGCTCGACATCACCCTCATCGTCCTCGGCACCGTTTTAGCTGCGGCGGCCGGGGCCCCATTCCCTCTCATCGCCATTGTCTTTGGCCAGCTCGTCGACGACATGAACGGCGCGACCTGCGCCGCCCAGGAACCCTCCGGCAACGCGCTGGATTTCGCCCCCGCCATCAACAGCAAAATCGCCCTGATGGCCTACATAGCAATCGGCGCCTTTGTCTTGATTTACGCCTACATCACAACGTGGGGCGTCATCTCCCAGCGACTCGCGCAGCGCATGCGAGTCGTCTACATCCGCGCCCTTCTTCGCCAGCCGCCCTCCTTCTTTGATACCCGTTCCAGCGCAGGCGACGTGTCTTCGCGACTTCACGGCGACATCGGCGCCATTCAGGCCGGCACTTCGGAGAAAGTGGGCATTTTGATCTGCAGCATTTCCTTCTTCGTCACGTCCTTCGTCATTGCGTTCATCAAGCAGCCCAAGATCGCCGGCATGCTCTTCTCCATGATACCCGCCTTTCTCCTCATGTCCATCGGAGGAGGCCATCTCTTTGGGAAATACGCCACCCGCATGGCCAAGTCTCTCTCTACGGCCTCGTCCCTGGCCAGCGAGTGCCTCTCCAATATTTCCGTCGTGCAAGCTTTCAGCGCCGAAGCGCGGCTCGAGGCCAAGTTTTCCGCCCAGGCTTCCCAGGCGAGCAAAGACGGCATCAAGAAGGCCACGGTGGCCGCGACACAGGCCGGGTTCCTTTACTTCATCGCGTATGCCGGCAATGCTCTGGCCTTTTGGCAGGGAAGCAAATTTATTGCGCGCACGGCAGAAGGGAATGGCGACGGCACTTCGGTAGGAACCATCTACACGGTTATCCTGATTCTCGTAGATGGTACGTACCCTTCATCTTTCTCTATATACAATAATCTTTCCAGCTAACTTTTGACAAGCTGGCGTCATGCTCGGAAACACCGCCCCGATCCTCCCTTTGCTTGGCGGCGCCGTGGCTGCTTATAAGCGCCTTCAAGAGGACATCCAAGAGCCCTCTCTCATCGATGGCACATCGGACAGCGGCGAGCAGCTCGATGCTTCGGCTGCCGAGTCCTTGGATATCGAATTTCAACACGTTTCTTTCGCGTACCCCAGCCGGCTCGAACAGCCCGCGTTAAACGACGTCAGCGTCACGTTCCCAGCGCGAAGTTACACTGCCATCGTCGGCCTATCCGGTAGCGGCAAGTCTACGGTCGCCGCTCTTCTCGGAAGACTCTATGACCCCACCAGTGGCCGAATCACCATTGCGGGGCGCGATATGAAGGATCTAAACGTTCGAAACCTGAGAAGCTACATGAGTTTCGTGCAGCAAGAGCCCTCGCTATTGAGCGGCTCCATCTTCGAAAACATTGCCCGTGGCCTAGTCAACTCTCCCAATCCTTCTCATCAACGGCTCAAGGCATTCTTGCAGAGCCCTCAGATGGAAGAAGTCGCCGCAAAGGGCGGGATATCCCTTCAGCCATCAAGGGCTTCGGCCCCGAAGCGGAGGAAGTTCTCCGGTTGGTCCAAGACGCGGCGAATCAGGCAGATGCCGCCTCCTTCATCGAGAGGCTCGACAACGGCTACGGCACAATCGCGGGAGCCAAGGGTAGCAAGCTGAGCGGCGGCCAGCGCCAGCGTGTCGCTCTGGCGCAGGCTCTGATCAGGGACCCCCGCATTCTTGTGCTGGACGAGGCCACCTCGGCCCTGGACTCGGCAAGCGAACGCCGCATCCAAGAGGCGGTCGAGCGTGCCGCTCATCACCGAACCGTCATCTGTGTCGCCCATCGTCTCTCCACGATCCGTAACGCGGGAACCATTATCGTGATGGAGGCCGGCCAAGTCGTTGAGCAGGGCAGCTACGCAGACCTCATGGCCATAGAGGGCGGCGTTTTCGCTCGCATGGCTAGTCTCCAATCCATCGGTACCGCAGACCCCCGCGAACGGGGGTCCATCGCCGGAGATTCCATGGAAGCACCCACCTTGCAGACCGACGAACCCGACCCCGAGGATGGCAAGGAAAAGCTTGGCGAAGCCGTCGGGCGAGGAGTAACCAAGGACGGAGAGCTGGCCCCCGCTAGCCTCGAAGAATCCCGCCCCTTCCGCTCCATGACGCGTAGCCTCGGCCAGCTCATCCGCCCGTCGCTACCCTGGCTCCTGGCCGCCATCGTAGCCGCGATTCTCGTTGGTTGCACTTTCCCTAGTTCCGGTACCATTCTCGGTTTCACCATTGGCGACTTGAATCCTTGCAGCAACACGCCCGATGAGATACGGTCAAGCGGCAACCTCTACTCGGGTCTCATGTTTATGCTCGCCGCGATCGAGCTCTTTGCAAACTTCGCCGCTTGGTCCTGCTTCGGAGTGGTCTCCGAGCGCCTTCTTTACCTCGTTCGCCTGCTGTGCTTCAGGTCGTTGATGGAGCAGGATATCCAATGGCACCAAGCCGAAAGCCCCTCCAAGCTCCTGGCCATCATCACAAGAGATAGCGCGTCCATCGGCGGATTTAGCGGATCCACAATGGGCACCATCTTTGCCATTCTCGTCAACTTCACCATCGCCATCATCCTCTCTCACATCGTGGCGTGGAAAATTGCCGTTGTTTGTTTGGCCACCGTCCCCATCCTCTTCGGCACCGGCTTCATGCAATTGCGCATGCTGGCCCGCTACGAAGAGCGTACGGCCGATGCCTTCTCCAACGCCACCGCCATGGCCGTCGAAGCCGTGCAATCCATCCGCACCGTAGCCGTCCTTTCTCTCGAAAAGGACATCATCACATCCTTTTCCCGCCTTCTTCAGGGCCCGCAGAAACAGATCCTCCGAGCATCCGCGTCCACCAATATTTGGCTCGCCATGACGCACAGCACCGGAAAACTCGTCTACTGTTTATCCTACTGGTGGGGATCAAGCTCATTATGAGGGGCGAATATACTCAGACCCAGTTCTTCATCGTGCTCATCACCATGCTCGTCAGCGCACAGCTTTGGGCTACCATGTTCAATTTGGCCCCAGAGTTCTCGCGAGCACGTACGGCTCTAGCTCGCACAATCAACGTCATAGCCTTGGGCTCTACCAAAGATCTAGCAAAGACGTGGAAGGCCGCCGGGTCAAACCGTGCTGGCGGCGGGGCTGCGGGGCCCGAGATTGACGTTGAGTCGGGCGAGAAGAGTGTCCAGCCATCAGCAACAATGACGACGACTGAAAACCGCGGCATGTCTATCAAATTCGACAAAGTATGCTTCGCGTATCCCAGTAGCCCAGACATCAATGTTTTGGATAGCGTGTCTTTCAATATCCAGCCAGGGCAATTCATCGGGCTCGTCGGTCCCTCGGGCGCCGGCAAGTCCACAATTATGAATCTGGTGCAACGCCTCTACAACCCAAGCTCCGGTACGATTTCCTTGGACGGCCGCGATATCAGCTCCATCAGCACATCGGCGTTCCGGGACAATGTCGCGCTTGTTCCTCAGGACCCCACCTTATTTAGCGGCACGGTCCGTTTCAACATTTCCCTCGGTGCCGTTCCCGGACACGAAGCCACGGATGCGGAGATCGAGGAAGCCTGTCGCGTTGCCAACATTCACGATGTGATCATGGCGCTTCCCGACGGCTACGATACGGAGTGCGGTCCGGGGGCGAGCCGGCTATCCGGCGGACAGCGACAGCGTCTCGCCATCGCCCGGGCTTTGGTGCGTAAACCCCGCCTGCTACTCCTTGACGAGAGCACGAGCGCGCTTGACGCGACAAGCGAGGCGGCTCTTCAGGAGGACTAGAACGCGCCTCGAGAGGCACCACGGTGCTGGCCATCACTCACCGTCTCCATACGGTGCAAAAGGCAAACGTCATCTTTGTCGTTGAGGAGGGTCGAGTGGTGGATAGCGGACCCCATTCGGAGCTGATGCAGCGCCGTGAAAGCTACCGGCTAAATGCTATGCAGCAGATGCTGCAGTAAGGGGTAATAATAGTAGAATCAACCTTGACATTCACAGACAATGATAAAAGCGTCTGTTCCCTTTGTAAAAACAAAATTTCGCATAATAGCTATGAATACCAAAATCCTGCCGAGCCTGGCGGGTTTGTTTGCTTCCAGACCACTTTCGAATTTCCCATGATTTTTTTCTTCTTTGGTTGAGTGCAGTGGAGTGCGCCATCTCCGACAAAATCAGCAGATTCGGGGAATTGCCCGACGGCGCGGAGATGGACGGCCGTGTTAGTCATCCTCGCAATACGAGTACGAGCTCGTTCTTCGTCCGACGATGCGAGATGTTGGGGGTAGATCGAGGTGGGGCAAATGCAGGTGGTGCGGATACGATTGTGATTGGGAGCATCGTCAAACCCCTCGCGGGTGTCGACCGTTCCGGATGAGCCCAGAAAGAATGAAATGAATGTCGAGAGCCCCTCTAATTGGCTGGGATGGCTTGCTGTTGAACGATTGTTGGGTTGGTCGGGCCGGAGATAAGATTGCGTCGCACCACTCTTCCTGCCCCAAATCCCAGGCATGAACTTTTGTGTGGAAAGGGGAGAAAGATTGGTGAAAAAAAAGGAGCGGGCGATATTAATCGCTCCCCTCCAACCCACATAGCACTTTGTGTTCACTGCGCTACCTTTTCTCGCTGGCCGACATTCGTAATTCGCAACGCCAGGACGCGCCGGTTTCATCATGGACGTCGCTCTCGAAATTCTGGACCCTTTGGTCTTCGACAAGGCGTATGCCTACTTTGTCCCGGCTCTCACAGCGTCCGCCAACGCGACTGGATATTCCAATCTCGAGCTTCCGACCTCTCCGCTAGCATATGGGTCGGCTTGGGCGCGAGATGACATTCTTCGCCAATGCATCTCCATCCTCATAGTTACGCAGGTCGGCGCCACCTCCCTGTACTGGGTTTTCAGCGCCTTTTCCTACTTCTGGGTTTTTGACCGTCGCCTCGAATACCACCCGCGTTTCCTCAAGAATCAAGTGCGACAGGAGATGATCTCATCAATGAAGGCCGTCCCATGGATCAACATCATGACGCTTCCCTTCTTCCTTGCCGAGGTTCGCGGGAAGAGTCTGCTGTATACAAACGTCGACGATTACGGCTGGTCTTGGATGGTGGCCTCAACCGTCATTTTTATGATCTGGAACGACATTCTAATCTACTGGATTCATCGCCTCGAACATCATCCCAGCATCTACAAATACGTACACAAGCCTCACCACAAATGGATTGGTAAGCGCCTACCCCTCGCCTTCTTCCCCCCCTCAACCAGCGGAACACCTACTGACGCGTCGACACTCTAGTCCCGACTCCTTGGGCCGCCTTGGCTTTCCACCCCGTTGATGGTTATGTCCAGTCTCTCCCTTATCAGTAAGTCTCCCTCGCTCACCCTAGTGCCTTGCCAAAACTCGGCGCGTCTCACCGCATTTGGTCTAACTCTCTTGCGCGTAGCATCTTCGTTTTCATCTGCCCCGTGCAAAAATATCTCTACTTCATCTTGTTCGCACTTGTTCAGATCTGGACCATCTTCATCCACGACGGCGACATGATCACCGGCCACTGGCTAGAAAAGTACATCAATAGCCCCGCCCACCACACCCTTCACCACATGTATTTTACCGTCAACTACGGCCAATACTTCACGTGGGCCGACAGCTTTTTCGACTCGCACCGCGCTCCTGCCCCGAGCTTGATCCCTCCACGAAGCTTTGAGGGTCATGAAGGAGAAGGGCCTGGTGGACGAGAACGGCAACCCAATCAATCAGAAGCCAAAGGCGGAGTAGTTTGCCAGATGGGAAGAGTCGATCCGATCCGGGGATGGGGAAAGATGATGCACAGGATCAAACTAGCCTGGTGCGATGAATCGAGGGGAGTGTCCATTTCTCATGGACGTAAATAATTCAGTTGATGGTTGCCGGAGCAGCCTCCGTAAAAAGCGCCCAGATAGTTCGCGCCATCCAAATCATTCGAATGGTTGGATTATAGATGTATGAATGTTCTTGGTGCTCTCGAAGCACTAGGAGGGCTTCTCCTAAAAGGATGAAAGCAAACAGCCCTCCGTGTACATAAAAACTAATACTAATAATACGATTGACGAGTATGACGAGTATGATGAGTATAACGAGCTTGGATTCATGATTCATATGCTGTGAGATGGTGATGCAGCTGGCGATGCGTCATTCAGCATCTTCACAAGCGGAACGTTCGGTCCGATTATCGGAGGCCTTAAATTTTTACCGTCCAAGTCCCGTCACCGTCACCAAGGAGGATCCAGAGCTCAAGGCAACGCTAATTGTGGGCCGTAGACTTCGTCGCTCTGTCCAGGATTGTGGCCAGAGCTTTTCTGACGTTTCTTCTTTTCTTCTTGGTCTCTCTCCTTTTAATCCTTCTGCAGGAATCTTCCGATGGCTGAAAAGGACGGCCAAAGGTAGGGGTTGAGTGGTCCCGCCCGATGCTCGGAAGTGTTCCTGGCTCAGCGGGCGTACCCCACAGTCACGGGTAGTGGCGCAAAGGTGGTTGTCAAAAGTGAACACGAAAGGGACCAGGGCACTCAGACATCGAACCATCAAATCTTAGACGTGATCCCTCAAGCCTCCACAGCGAGTAGGCATCACCTGAGCCCTAGAGAGGCTGCCGACAAGAGAAAAGACATGTGATGGGCCATCGTTGTATCTTTCTCCAAGACTGATTTGAGAGATGATACATCTCAGGGACCGAGCCTTGCCTTGGTGCTGATACATCTATTGCTCCTTGAGCTACACACGTTTAGGCCAGCCGAAGTAATAAAATGCGACTTGAGGCCAAGGACGGTTCACAACTGGGTGAGACGATTTACTGGTATTACACGAGTATATTTCTATCCTTTCCACTATATACTGTATGCACGATATGTAGAGTGCCACGTTCCTTCCATATGTTCCCACAACGCAGGATGATTATGTAGTCAATAGGAGCGATGCAGGCGGAATGGTGGCGGCCTGGAAATAACAATTTGATTCCAAGACGCCGAGGTCTACTCTCCTACATGACCCTATATGTATTAACGCTTGTGATTACTTTGAAAAGCTATTATGCTCTTAGTCAAGGTGCATTGGCTATTCCATGCATCTCAAGCGCCAAGGGCATTCAAGAGGTCCCCCGACGAAGGTGCACCTGGTTTGAGCCCTGCGACTACGGATAATGGGGTGGTATGGTATGATTCCAATGTTGCCAGGAACGCATCCATAGGTGTCAATATCGCGCTTTTTATTATTATTATTATTTTCCGTTACGTCCTTTCTTCTTTGTCACTTCCACATCATGGCCAGATTGTCACGTCAGCGAAGTAGTCTAGTCCGGTACATCCTGGCCATGTGGCAAATGGAACCGCTGGGTTGTTTGAATGTTTTCCACCAAGATGCACGAACACCACTTGAATCCTTCCCGCCAGATCTCCCTCTCCACACGGCAACTGGGTGGATACGCACAGCGTTGTATAAATAGGATATGCCATCTTAAGCTCGATAACAACCTTGCTTTTCGGACAGCCGTCGTGCTGATCAACTAGTGTACCGAGGTACATGTCACCCATTCACCAAACAACCGCGCCGGACAAAGAAGCTCGAAACCCCGCCGGTATCCACGTCGTGAACCAAGCTATGGGGCCTTGCATCACCCTTGGCGGCGAGAATGGCGTACAGGTGGGCCGCTTGGTGACTCCCCGCGACAACAAGGTTCTTGAGCAAGGGCGGTTCACCACGCTCGGTCTCGCGGGGTGCTGGTGCTATTTGGTCGTCTACGCCGCAAACGGATATATCTTCCCCAGCTTCAAGGACCTCGAGGGCAGGGTGAATCTGGGGAAGCCAGCTTTGGATTGGACACTTTGCGTCGAGCGGCGGCTCCCCGGCCGTGGTCTTGGGAAAAGCGCCCGTTCAGCAAGGTGAGGCGACCCGGCTTGGCAACTATTCGGAGACGGAATAGGAAACGTGGCCGAGGAGCAACACTAGCGCCTCGAGCACCAACAGCGAGACTGGCCAATGGAAAACTTGCGGGGAGATAAGTCGCGCTGCACAGCTTGTCCGTGGGCTTGTGGGGAACGCCTGTTGCCACCACTGAACGCTAGATGTTAAGGGGCATTTCAAGGCAGCCCCCGGTTCCCCTCATGTTGTGATGATAAATCTTACAGGCCCGTGACAAACGGGGAACTGCTCAGGATTGATTGGCTCGCCAGGGATCGAGGAACACCCATGACACGACGAAATTGGGAAGAAAAAGTGCGTTTTCCGGCGCTAGACCACATGGCAGGCGGAAGCCCCGAATAACTAAGAACGCTGGCGGCATCTCAAATGTTCCTCACAAGGTCACCGCAAGTCCCGAGTTCTTCGCTGCTGCTTGGGGAGTCATGGCTCGAGTTTGGAGTGATCATCTTTGACCTTAGGCAAAAATTCAAAGAAAAAGCTGCACACTGCGGTGGCAGAATTCTACTCTCATCTACGAAGGATTGGAAAAAGAATTCTCTGTAAATCCCCTTCCGAGCTAATTTCACCTTACCTATCCATTGAAAATCCTTCAATGTTCTCGCTTGTATTTTTCTTCTTCTGTGGGCCTTTTGGTTGTGCAGTTTGGTGGCAATACGGGTTTCTTTTTCCCGCACTATTGGTGCTGGGGTAATCCCACTCTCCGCATTCTCCCGCAATTTCCCCAAGGTCCCACCCAAATTGGTCCAACAAAACGAGAGAAATGCCTCGGTTTCCTCTCAAGGGCCGCTCAACTTGGCTTAGTTTCCTGAGAGTCTGCCACACTCTGCGGAGTAAGGCATGGGGAACACAGTCGGCACTGAAAACCGGGAGGAGGTACACCGGGGTAAGGGAACAAACCGGGCTAGGGCCAGAAAGGAGAAAAATAGGAGGGTAAGCAAGGCAAAACATAAAGGCCGTTGTTCCCTCACGACGAAATATTTTCTGTTTCTTTCTTTGTAGCAGGACGTCTCATCAATATCCTTTTGTGTACGCCTCGCTCCAGTTCGTGCAGCGGACAGACACAGTCGGCAGGTTCTTCTTATTCGCAAGCAACGGGACACCATGAGTCCCCGTACCTCCAACGACCACCAGAATGAGGTGAAGGAGAAGGAGTCGGCCCTCGAGGAGGTTGCCTCGAACCATGAGGGTATCGTGATCGATGACGCGACCCAGAAGAGGATTGTGAGGAAGATCGATTGGTATCTCATGCCAGTGGTAAGACTAGCCAACCAACCTTTATGTTCCAACTACCAACTTGCACTACTCCCGTGTCAAATTCGTTCCAAATAAGCTGACCAATCGGTTCGTTTAGCTCTGCTTCACGTATGCGATCCAATACTACGACAAGGCCGTCATTTCACAAGCCGCCATTTTCGGTCTTCGAGATGACCTTGATCTGCAGTCCGGCCTCCGCTACTCGTGGGTCGGCCTCGTCTTCTACTTTGGCCACATGGTTGGCATGTACCCTTGCTCTATCCTCGCCCAGCGCTTCCGACCTAAGAGGGTCTGCTCGATCCTCACTATCGTATGGGGCATCATCGTGCTCCTCACGCCCACCTGCAAGTCTTTCGCTGGTATTCTGGCCAACCGGTTTTTCCTTGGCCTCGTAGAATCCGGTGTCAGCCCCATCTTCATGCTTGTCGTCGGTCTTTGGTACACGCAGAAGGAGCAGTCCTTCCGCAGTGCCATCTGGTACTCTTGCAGCGGTGGCAGCATGCTCATCAGCCCCTGATCAGCTACGGTCTCGCGCACATCGCCCCGGGCGTTCTCAACCCCTGGCAATACATGTTCCTTGTCGCCGGCGCCATCACTTTCCTCTGGGGTGTTGCCCTTTTGTGGATCTTCCCGGACACGCCCCAAAACGCCAAGGGATGGACTGAGGAGGAGAGGGTCATTCTTCTGGAGAGAGTCAAGCGCGACAACGTGGGTGGCGAGCACCCCAACTTCAAGCTGAACCAGGCTATTGAGGCTGTGTGCGATGTCCAGTTTTGGGTTCTCTTCGTCATGGCTCTCCTGTCGACCACTGGCGCCGCGGTCATGACCATCTTTTCATCCGTCGTCTTCGCCGGCATGGGTTTCGATGCCTATACCTCGATTTTGCTCAACCTCCCCACCGGCGTGATGGCTTTCATCGCCATTCTCGGCTCGGGCTGGCTCGGAAGCACCAAGTTTGGCAGGCTCAACACTCTATCCGTGGCTTGCCTTCCAGTCATCCTTGGCTGTGCTCTTTTGTAAGACCCCCTTATTACAAATTCCCTACCTATCTGTATCATTCACTAACAGTTCTCGTCGCGCAGGTGGAGATTGCCCAACAATATGCGTGCCGGACGCATTGTTGGCTTGTACTTGATCAACTTCTTCTCCTCGGCCTGGATTCAGTGCATCGCCCTCGGCACCTCGAACGTGGCCGGGTACACGAAGAAGGGTGCCTACGCCGCTGGCGTATGGATTGGGTATTGTGTCGGAAACATTATGGGTCCTCTCCTGTTTAGCGCGTAAGCCATCCCCTTAGCTCTCCCACGACGGGTCATCATGACCCTTCCCTTCCCGTCTCTGTCCTACTTACTAACACTGTGGATTAGTAAATACGCACCCCGGTATAACGAGAGTTTCACCGGCATTCTCATCTGCTTCGCGACTCTCTCCGTCATTTCTCTCGGTCTGAGAGTTTTCTCTCCCGGAAGAATAAGAAGCGGAATGAGAAGTATGGCGTCCCTCAATTCCAACATGGTCTTGAAGATATGACGGACAAGGAGAACAAGTCGTTCCGATGGATCATATAGAGAGGCATTGGGTAAAATTAGTGCGCTTATTTAGGTTTGGTTAACTCATGAAATTCACATTTTTCTTCATCTGAACAAACGCTCCGCGGCCCCAATTTTTGTCACGTGTTGTCAATGCATCCATGAAATGTCTCATCGCCACATGCACTCAGAATTGCTTGCCCAGCCCAGCCGTCTTCTCACCGGCCTGATGGTAGCCATCTTTTCTCAGGATACGCTTCGTGGGTTGGCCTTGGGAGTTGCACCGAAATAGGAAAGGGTGAGGAGTAGTTGTGTGGTGCTTAAAGATAGCTCTAAGGGATTGCTAAGGGCCCTGATCCACACATGACTTATGAGATTGCTAACGCAATTCCATCACTACTCTTTCCGGGAACTAGCAGCCCTGTGGGTGACAAAAGATGGAGAGGTAAGGCTCCCGAGGCGAGGATGAAAGGGAACGATATCAGGGTCTATGGCGTGGGGGCCGGGCAAGGGTTCGTTTTCTAGTTTGCGTTGCCGGTTCATAAGTGCGTGTCTTGTCTCAGAGCTTATCTGTATCATGATGTGGCGGTCAGGAATCCTCCGACTACAAGGTTTTGGGCGTACACGGATAAAAACTTACTGAAGAAGTCTTCCCTGTTCCTCAAATCTGGGGCTTTTTATTCGAGGCAATTTGCTGGCGTTCAAGCCGGGTAGGCAAGGTAGTGACGTCAATTTCTAAGAGCGAGCGTAAAGGCTAGTCATGGTTTGCACTTGTTCCCCTTCCCGAGGGTAGTAAAGGACCTGGCATACCAACCTTAATCTCATAGTACCCGCTATCTTTTGCATCCGAAGTAGGCCTCGTGTTTCAGTCCCTGATGTCTAGATCAGGCCCTTATGGCCGTATACGCCGTGAGTGGAGAATCATGTCTACAAAGGCTGGCTTGAGGTAATGAAGAACTGTTACAAGTCGGCGAGTACACGAGAATAGACTCCATGAGACTTATTCGGATCGCATGTACGTGGTGCCCCTGCCCAAAGGGTCAAGACTAGGGTCCGTTTTAGATTAAGGCGGACCCTCACGGCTAGCTAATTCGCCCAGTACGCAAGTTCACAGTGACTGCCAGAAAATGCCCACGTGCGGCTCTCCCCGCGAGTGTCCTTGCCAGGTCAACATATCTAGAGGCTGGAGTAAGAGAGTTCATGACGTTCATATTTGGTTGGCCCTAGATCTGCATCTTTCCGCGTGCCAAACATTGTGCCTTGGGCTACGAGAGAACCAAGCTATGGCGAAGTCTAATCGTTGCTGGTTCATGACTTTACTTTGAGTGACTATTCTCTCTCTAAGGAGCTACGCCGATGAGATCATGACGACTGAATCCTTGCCTTTAAGTTACGTGCCTTGGTTTATCGTTGTCATATCGACAGCATTTAACGGTCCCAGGGTCCCACATGGTTTGCACATTCTACTTCTTCTCATCAATCGCATCCCCTCACCCTTGTCTATCAGGTCCCAAGCCTATCTCACCTCGTTCTTGCTTAAGTTCACTAAGATAATCTATCCTACACCATGGAAATTCGCGATATGAATGATATCGAGGCTGCCCCGATACGCAGTGCTCAAGACCATCTGCTTGTGGAGTTCTGCTCTGAACTTGGCCGCCAAGGTATTTCCCCTACTTATCCTCCCTTGAAAGGTTCGAAGGATATCGGCATGACTGCGAGCCCTCACTTACACATCGCTCATAGTGGGCGGTATATACACTGTCATCAAGTCCAAAGCGCCCTTTACCAAGCGACAATACGGGGATAAGTATCTTCTGGTTGGTCCCTTGGTCCGCCAGTCGGTATGATGTTCTCAGGTCAGGAGGCTTTGGGATATTCTGTTGATATGTGCTCTTATAGGCGTCTCTCGAGGTCGTTCCTCTCCCTCCCTCGACTCCTGAGCTGGCAACTGCCATTGAAAATCTAAAACGGCGTGGAGTCGATACACTGTATGGTCGATGGCAGGTGGAGGGCTCACCTCGGGTGCTTCTCATTGATACTGTCTCGAATGCTCAGCATTTGGAGACCTGGAAGGCTGATTTTGCACGACGCCTCTGCATCTCGCCTCCTCTGCCAGAAGGAGACGTCTTAATTGACGAGTCAATTGCCTTTGGATACTTGTCATATTGGTTTTTGGAAGAGGTAGGCGACGCTGGTTGAACTCCGAGTTGGCAATCGTGATGGATGCTAACACGTGTGTTCCTCCATATTAGTTGGTCAAGGCAGAACAGAACAAAGTCATCTTGGCCCATTTCCATGAATGGCCGGCTGGCCTAGCCCTACCTCTCATCCAGCAGAACAAACTTGACGTCGTCTCAATATTTACAGCACACGCTACTGTTTTGGGAAGGGAACTCTGCAAGGCCGGCACGGACTGGTACGACATCCTTGACACCCTCGACGTCGATCGAGAAGCGAAGGGGATCGAACATTTCCATTGGCATTGCCTTGAGAGAGCGGCTGCCCATGCCGCCGATATATTCACGACAGTCTCCGACATCACGGCGCAAGAGAGCGAATTTCTCCTGCAAAGAAAGCCACACTGGATCTTGCCCAATGGACTTAATGTCAGTCAAATGATTGCTTTCAACGAGGCCGAAAACCTGCGGAGATCGTCGTCGAAGCGCAAATTGGAAGACTTTGTGCGCAGTCATTTTTATGGTCATCTTGATTTCGATTTAGAAGACACTCTTTTCTTCTTTACTGCGGGACGATACGAATTTCGAAACAAAGGCGCCGACCTGTACATTGACTCGCTGGCACTCTTAAACAACCGACTCAAAGCTCAGGAAAGCGCTACAACCGTTGTGGCTTTCATCATCATGCCAGCTAAGAGTACATCCATCACGACGGAAACGCTTAAAGGAAAAGCTGCTGTTAAATCGCTAAAAGATTATATCACGGATATGAATCGGAGCCTTGGTGCCAAGCTCCTTGAGAAAAGCTTAAGCTGGAAAGAAGGCGATGCCCTGCCAACGAAACTCAATCTAGTCACAGAGGAGGAGAATATCGATCTCCAAAGGCACCTTCAAGCCATGCAGAGGCACGACATGCCTTCTGTCTGCACTCACAATCTGGTCGAGGCGGATAGCGATCCCATACTGAAACGGCTCGCCGAGGCTGGGCTACAAAACCAGTCCACTGACAGGGTAAAAGTCATCTTCTTTCCTAGCTTCTTGAACCCGTCCGATCCGGTGCTTCCGATGAACTATTATGAATTCATCCGGGGCATTCACTTGGGGGTTTTCCCATCCGTCTACGAGCCGTGGGGCTATACCGCCGCGGAGTGTGTTGCGATGGGGATACCCAGCATCACCTCTAATGTCACCGGCTTTGGGTTGTATATGGAACAATTACTTGGCGAATCGACCGTCGATCACGGGGTGTATATTGTGGACCGCCGAACCCAGAGCTTCGAGAAGGCCGTCTCACAGACCTCGGACTTTATGCACGAACTCTGTAGCATGACGCCCCGAGAACGGAAAGCGCTTCGCCATTACACGGAGGAGCTAAGTGAAGTTCTCGACTGGGAGCATATGGATCTTGAATATCACAAAGCGAGACGTTTTGCCCTTCGCTCTATATATCCAGATCAGATTTCGGAAGAGGAGGATGAGGACACCGCTTGGCCCGGGAGGATTCCGAACTCGTGGCAAAACTCAAGGTACCCCTCGGATTCATCGTCGCCTTCCCGGTCCAGCCGGAGATCCTCGTCCATGTTTTCGGCATCTCCCGCAAGCTATTCACGCAGGACTTCGTCCTCCTTTTCGTCACTTTCGCTGGGGATGCCGAATACCTGTCGATGTGGCGATGTCACTAAAGGTGCTTCCCCAGTGAGATCGCCTCCCATGCAGTGGCAGAGCTCGGCAGCCCCTTTGGCAGACATCACCCCAGCCTCATCGGCAGGAATGTGTTCGAAATAAGGGATTTTATTAGAGGGGATAGAACTCAATCAAATGCATGATATGTTGGGGTAATGCTTTTATACTAGGCTTTTTAATGAATTAATTAATTACACATGCATCAGCGAGGCACGTCCATGCAACCCACCCAGTCGTTATTCGTTAGTTGAAAATAAACTCCACCTACCTCGGCCGTTGTCTCAGTGTCGTTTACCTCGAATTCTAGAAACATTGGAAACTTCACGAGCAAGACCTATTCTGAGTAGGGACTCTTCTCCCTCAGCCTCGGGCCAAACTTCCAGAGCAACAGGGGTGCCGGTGTTAGGACCGTGGCTATACACCCCAGCAGCGTCAACGCCCAATGAACACCGATACCCTCGTACATTGGCCTTGACGCGATTGACATACTACCCGCCACCAAGTACCGAACCGTCGTGATACTAGCCAAAGCGATGGCGGAGTGCTCCCCATAGCTGTCAATGATGTACTCGTAAGCACTGACATATATCGCAATTAGAGCGACACCGAAGCCAAAACAGGCACCAAGACCAGACCAAATGGAGATGGAGGAGTAATTTGTCCACCCGAGCCAAAAAGACACACGGGCAGCAATGGGGCCGTGAATATTGCAGGCCAGAGTCTAAACTCGGGCTCAAGAGAGGCTCGGCGAACGTAGTTCGTATGCCTACGAGCGAATCCATATAGAATAGGAGAACATAGTGGAAATGCGGTGGCGCCCGCAGCAACCGCGGCAAAGCAGGAACCGGTCAATTCGGGGGACAGGTGATATGTTTCTTTGAAAATGTAGTCGAAGCCGGACTGGAAAGTAAAGAGCAAAACGTATAGCAAGACCAAATAGGTCCCTAGAACAATGATGGGGGGCTCAGTCCTGAAAAATGAGAGGGGCATGGGCAATGTCTCTTTTAGCCGTGCAAATAGAGACTGTTTCTGAGAATATTTCGACGTGTACCGTGTGTCTCCTGTAACCCTGCGCAGCTCCTTGGCCTTCCAGTCTAAGAGAAGAGGGAGGTATGTTTCAGGGAGGAAGAAAAACGCCACCAGGAATGCGAAACCGGATATAATTAGGGTTATCCAGTGAGTCCAGCGCCAGCCAAGATGCGGATTCGAGACGAGCCAGCCGCCCGCAATTGGGGCGATTACGGGCGCTGTTGAGAAATGAAAATTAGCGAACTGTTTCATTGGCCTGGGGTAAATTTGCACAAGCTCTTACACGCGACGTTGGCCCAGGCAATGATAGGAAATGCCCACGCCCTTTTCACCGGGTGGAATTGGTCCTTACGCTAGCCCCGTTGATCCCCAACGTGGCGCTAGAGAAGAGCCCGACAAAATATCGGCAGACGACTTGGCCTCCAAAGGATGGGGTGAGAGCAGTCCCAAGGACGAAGCAAAGATAGCAAAACGTCGATACAAGATACGTTGGGTTCCTTCCAACTGACTCCGAGAGCGGACCAGCGAAAATAGCACCGCTTCCGACACCAAACAGGTACATGGCGGTCGAGAGACTCTGGGCAACCTTGCTCACCCCGAACTCCTCGCTCGCCTTGGAGTTGGCCATGGAATCCGCCGCGCCTGCCCATCCCTGAACAAATATCAGCAACGATAATATCGCGATGTTTTTGCAGCGATGGGCCAAGGGCCAATTTCGCGGATCGAACGGGTCTGCCTCCCCGGTTGTATGGACCACTATCTTTTCATCACCATGACTTTCGGACTTTTGCTGGCGACATGGTTGTGAGCCCACTTGACTGTTAGTATCCGGCACGTCTGAGCTGTTTGACATCGCGTGCGCGGATGGAGGCCCTCGGGCTCGTGTTGATTCATCGTCTTTGAATTTCTCGCCCTTTTCGAACGACGTGGGATTCGCGTATTGGGCTCGGACGGACTGCCGAATGTTTCGGCGCTGAATGAGAGACCACATTGCAATAGAGTTTTGCCCGATGGGTCCATAGAATGTGGTGCATCTCGCGAGTAGAGATGCTTACATGTATTTTAAAGTTTTCTGCTGCTCTTTATTCAAACTGGGTTTTTTCCAACCCTTCGCGCTGGGCCAAGCCCTGTTCATTACTTGACGTCACAATCTTCGCTTCGCTAATCACGGGTCGTGAGAACTGCTGCGCGTTTTTGGGCCTAGCATTACACAGGAAACTAACCCGGGTTTAAGGGCATTGATGTGACGACATTATTGCGGCTCCCTCGCACTAAGCGACGCACAATCAATCCACGCGGATTGCGCGCTTGTGGTAGAAAGAATTCATTCGAAGTCAGGTCTGATAAATATCTTGCCCATGAGATCAATCGTGATCGGGCAACGACTTTGTGGTTTGAAATGCTATTCGTCAACTTGTGACTTATTATGAAAATGAGCAGTTCCATTTCGTATTTGACCTCTAACTCGCTCCTGCGAGCGTTAGGTCGCTCCCAGCGCCCACTTTGACTTACACGGAGAATAAAAGCAAGCTGTCTTGTCTGGATATACTGCGTTGCTGCTGCCCAGGATGTGAGTGAGCGTTTAGCAGACCATTACCAGAAATATTCTTGGTGCAATTCTCACAGCGGGTGATCAGAGCGTTATAGCAAAAGAAGCCAACTAGGCTCGCGTACTCAGTCTTTTCTTCGTTCCACAGACCCATCAATTGATGTGCACCTCCCTGAAAAGAATAAGAGTTCAAGGCGTGTGCACCCGCAAAATCTTGCCTCGGTATTCCGGGTAGTAGTTGAGCTTCTTCTATCGATGCATGTAGCACTGGAAGGGAAAATCTGTGACCATGAAGACAAGATAATTGGTTACACTATCTCAAAGCTCCAGATCACGTCGCCCAATAGTCAGGAACCGCCCGCCCTGAATTCTCGGCGGAGTGCTCCATATCAGAAGGCTCGCTCGGAGACTACGACATCAATGTAAAATTACGATATACATATAAAATGAGAATTAAATGGATCAAGAACGATGTACCAAGCGAGCTTGATTCTAAGCGAAAAGAAGATGACATGACCTTCTTCAGATAAAAATTGTCGAGCTGCTTGCACCATTGTTAACGGCATATACTCACTTCGGAGAGGATGCTCTGTAGCTCTTGACGCTGAGAGTGGGGCGCAAAATATGTAACATATCATGGGCATTGAACCGTATGAGCCTAACTTTCATCATGAATTCAGAGAGGTAACCGGGGTGATATGGTCCGATCAGTTCGCCTCCAGATAGCAAGGGACTTGCAGGGTTGGGGATTCGGCCTGGTCTGACATCCTTCCTCCGATCCACGAGGACCCTGACCCAAGAAAAGTTGGAAAACGGCCAAACTGCCCATCGTGTGAGTTTGAGGATCCTTAAGTTCGATTCTTTCCAAATTTTGGTTTCCAGGCCCTCTCAGCTTCCCATGCTAAGTGGAAGGAGAAGCTGACGGTATAACTGAAGGAACAATAGGATAAATTCTATTTGCCACCGAAATTCCAGGAATCGCAAAGCCCTGTCCAAGTTTGAAGGAGTAAGGCCCGCATGGTTGGTGAATGGAATTTAGACAAAGAGCATTGTCTCGAAGAACCCTGAGATTGGAGCCCCTGGACCCTGGTCTGCATTGACCCGATTGATCGTCATCCTAATCGCAGGGCTCGAGTTTTGTGTTGAGGTCTATGCAAATCCAAAGTTACTCCTTGATTGCCGGTCCCGGGTGATATCGGCTGGCCCCTGCAAATCTTTTCCGGGGGCTATCCCTGCCCGACAACGAAACCGATATTGGATCGGATGAGCACAGGTAGCTATTTTTATTCATGCTCCACTCTGGTAACCTCCAAGTTGTCATTTTCTCGAATCACGCTTATCGTGCCGTGAGCACAACGACAACATACCAAAAATTCCGCAGCTTGGGCAAGGCTTGATTCCGCAAACGGCCGAGAAAGAATGGGCCGCTATAGATGCAATGCAATGTATATAACATGGGCTACTCGCGTTGCGTGGGGAATCAGTTGATATCATCGCCGGCTGACCGGCATTGTTGAGTCCACCCAAGATCCGGCTGTACTTGATGAGAGTGCATGCTGGCTATCCGTTGTACCCGCCGGGCATTCGTCCCTCTTGATCGTACTCCTCAATCTTTGTGGCAAGCTGCACCTTGCTCGGGGAAAGGGCAAGGCTATTGTGCGACCGACCCACCCCCATGCCAGAGTTTTCTTCCTTCCCGGTGAATGACAGGTTAACAATAGCGTACCGGTCCCGGCATGGCGGTAACCCCGCCTAGCGGAAGCAACGGTGATTGGAAGTGCGGCAATTCCCATGCTCACTTGGGCAAGCTGAATTACGTGGCTTCGCAAGGAACGATCATTAATCGCAGCTGCCGAGCCGGGGGACCAGGCTAACGTCGACGGGGAAAAGAAAAATGCAGTATCACCTGCATGTTTTCGATAGTTCCAATGCTATTTGAGCCACTTAACATGCTGTGCCGCCCCCCTCGATTCTTTCAAAGTATGACAAGTGTGAAAGCTGGCTCGAAAATAGGTGATGGTCCAGAGCCTGATGGCCCTGACCCGAAATCCATGGTCAAAATCGCGGGCGCCTGCTTAATTATATTGTGCTCATAGCATTACATCTTGCTGCCAACGGAAACTCTAGAACGTGCTGCCAATCAATGCCGTCGGGCGGTATCTGAGCCGTATCGGGCAATCAGGTTTCCTTGCAAGATCCCCTCTCCTTTCAAGGTGGCATGGCACCGTGTTCTTCCACCAACGGGAGACGACGAGAAAGAGCTAGTGATGGAGGAGCCTGATTCCGATCCTGAGGGAGCGCGATGTCGGGAGAAACGAGGCGGTAAAGAGGGCGAAGCTTGTCGCTTTCATAAATACCTTCGCTAGTGCGATCGCATAGCCCTCGTCGCTAGATCACCATTGATTATATAATCTGGCTATCTCAGGTGGGATTTGAGGCGGGGATTGGTCTTCGTGATGGGGTTTAAACCTGCACAGGCAGGTGGACCCAAAAATCCTCCTTTGACACCAAAATAATGATACCTCATTGATCCTCCCAATGTAGCGAGGTACTCTCAGTCTCTGGCCACTACATGTACCAACTTTCGGTCGATTCGTCGCCCTTGCCCAACCCCCAAAGATCTCGATCCTCTATACATTGAACATCTTGAAACGAGCGATGAAGGTGGATGAAATAGTCTAGAGTAATGCGATCAGGAGTTAGTTTAGCCGGGCGCACATTCTCTTTTGGAACCAGGCCGACTGCCACGCTGTTCAAACTGCCTGCCCTCGAAAAATATCGTCGGAAAGGAAAAAAAAAAAGCTTCCTTCTTGTTGAATACAGGTTACATCTATGCAGGGCAAAATCGTCTGGCTTCAGTTTTGCACGTGTTTCGGGGGAATATCATCGTCTGCAAGATGATGTGTTGGTGCTGAAGTAATTGGGTCGTTTCCGACGTGGGAGGTCAGACGACCGTTACATCGGGTTGGTGGCTTGCTCAGCCTGGCAGGGATTCCGGAGCCCGAAACGCGGGAAATCAACAGGGGTCGGGGAAGGCATCAACAGATCCGCCCCAAAGCTGCACGAGCTGAGCTTCCGAGACCCGAACCTGGAGATGCGTGCTGCTCTTGCCCACTGATATGATATTCCTCGTCAAGAATACCCTTTGATCACCCCCTCCGTCTATCACAAGACTTTTGAGATATTCCAAAGTGGATTCGACTCCAACCCAGGAACGTAATATTTAGACTTTGGTGCGGGACGACGTTCATGCAAAATGGCCATGGTAAACCCGTGTCTAAGTGATCATTCGAATGGGACACAGGAGTACGATGTTGAGAGCATTCGGAGGTCTGAATACCCTCTCCTACAAGGTAAGCAACCATATACTGTTCATTAACTTCCAGCGGCGTTGACTTATAGCATCCTATAGGACCGGACGTGTATCTCGACCATACCGGAACCACGCTATTTCCCAAGTCAGCCCTTGACGACTTCGTCCAAGATGTGACGTCTAACCTCTATGGAAACCCACACTCAGAGTCCAAGTCCTCTCGTCGATCGACGACAAAGATAGAAGATATTCGCAAGGAGGCTTTGCAGTTCTTCAATGCCGACCCCAAAGATTTCGATCTCGTCTTTGTTCAAAATGCGACGGCCGCGATAAAGCTGGTCGTGGAGATTTTGCAGTCGGACTCGGGTGCCCGTGGAGGCTTTTGGTATGGGTACCATGCAGACTCTCACACCAGTCTAGTTGGAGTACGAGAGGTAGCAGGTGCCGGCTTCTCCTACTTTGCAAGCGATGCCGAGGTAGAGGATTGGATCACTACAGGAAACGTAAGCCGCGGCCAATCAAGCGTGGTCCAAGGAAGTAGGCTCTTCGCCTATCCGGGTCAGTCAAACATGACAGGAGGCGGCTGCCGCTTTCTTGGCCGGGCAAACTAAGACAATCGGGACTTTCCGCTCACGAAAACACCTACACCCTTTTGGACGCAGCTGCGTTAGCGGCAACTTCAGAACTCGATCTTTCCAATGTGGATGAGGCGCCCGATTTTGTCGCCCTCAGCTTTTACAAGATTTTTGGCTTCCCAGATCTTGGGGCTCTTCTTGTTCGGCGCGCGCTATCTCCTATGCTGCAAAGGAGGAAGTACTTTGGTGGTGGAACTGTTGAAATGGTAGTGAACGACGTCGTTTGGCAATCCACAAATGCTGGTGAGCCTCACGAGTACCTGGAAGATGGTACACTACCTTTCCATAACATCATTGCTCTTGGCCACGCGCTTAACACGCATAGACGGCTATACACATCTCAGAAGTTGGTATCTCGTCACACAGCACGGCTTGCCAGATACATGTATGATGAGATGTCAGCGCTACAACACTGGGACGGCAGTCCAATTTGCGTCATTTACAAGGAACCTGACGTCGAGTACGGTAATACCACGAGTGCGGGATCAACAATTGCTTTCAACCTCCGATATATCGATGGAACATGGGTTAACCTGTCTGACGTGGAACTGAAGGCTAACAAGTACAGCATTCACCTCCGCACAGGCGGTGTGTGTAACCCAGGCGGCATCGCCGGCTCTCTGAAGCTCTCCTCATGGGAGCTGATGCGGAATTATGTTGCAGGAGTCGAGTGCGGACATGGACCAGCCATTCTCGGCGGAAAGCCTTCCGGGATTGTGAGGGTAAGCCTTGGAGCGATGAGCAATAAACATGACATTGACAGACTTGTCGATTTTATTCGATCTCAATTCCGGAATCTCCGCTCCGCCGGTACCCCAGACTGGGAGTGTGGGGTACGCACGCCCATCTCCCAGATAATGATCTATCCGCTAGCAGGCGCTCGTGCCTGGAGAACCCCGCAGAGTCCCCGTGGCCCATGTGTCCTCGCGGACTTACATGGGATAGGGGATTCTTTCTCATAGACTTGGTCACACTAGAGGTCCTAACTCGCGAGGTTACGCCACAATTGATGCTCTTATATCCAAAAATCGACATGGCAACGAGACAGCTCAAGATCAGCCTTCATCGGTCACTGCGGCATCGTTTAAAACTTGGATTAGACCATATCTGTCTTCCCCTGGAGCGATTAGGCGCCAGAAACGCAGTCGATCCCGTGGGTTGCCATATCTGCAGCTCGAAAAAGCACTACCTCTCAACACACGTTGTTAAATACCAACACACTTCCACATCCGCTCAAATGTTCTTCTCTGACGATATTGTCGGCTTTTTCTCATTCGCCATCGGGAGACCCTGCACTGTGGCAAGAATGTCTGACCTTGGATTAGGTGGAGAGGAAGACATCAAGTTTCCGCAAGAGGGATTGCATCGCACAGTGGTTGTAGAAGAAGGCAACTCTCCACCAGTCGATTTCAACAACGCGATCGATACCCCCGCCGTCCCCGAGCCTCGGCCTGAGTCTGACAATATGGAGTGGCAACCGAGTCCGTACGAAGGGCTAGCAGAGAGCTTAGAAGCCAACGTCGTTTTATCCGAGACACCACATTCCACAGGCGTTAAAGATGTACGGGAGTGGTTGTTCATGAGAATTGGAAGACGCTTCTTCATAGTATGGCTCTGATTACCCTTTTACGCAGGTCCCTGACTAGACATTCGTAGTGGCGCTAACTTATTTTTCTAGTCCGATACGAAAGGGAACTCAAGTCCGTATCACCTTGCGGTGACTGCAGACGCAGAAGCCACGGGTATGCTCTCGTTTGACTCAACAGAGACAGGGTTCCGGTATTTCAAGCTCGCCAACGGGGTCATAGAGGCTAGTGGAAACGCCGCAACGGATATATCACAAGTGCATCAAAAACAAAAGTTTATTCTGATATAGTTTAATTTATAGTGGGTGTTCTGATATGGGGAACACTAGTACTTTCGAGAAACAGCCGTGATTACCAGGAGAGCCTGGTCTCGCACTGATGAGAAGATAAGAATGACCGGGCTGCCTTCTTACTAGCGTTCTGTATTTACTTTCCAGGCAGCCTATAGCGTACCTCTAGGAATGCCGGTATGCTTTATTGGGACTCCTTTACTTCTTCAATATTCTGAGCTACCAATTTATTCAAAGTCAACAGTAATACTTCGAGTAGTACCCGTCTTCTCAGGCTGCATAAACGGCGGGCTCCTTCCGTTATATGAAGGTTTTGAACAAAGGCCGCCAATGTAAGAATTGGCTAATAAAGGCTTTAGAATGACATTTGGAACCGAGGAGGCAGACCATTTATACCAAGGACCAGGGTACTCTGGGACAGAGGCTATACTGCGGAAAGTCATATTCGATCCTTAGATCGGCGTAACATCAACCCAGAAACGGGTATCATCAGACCTGTACTTTTGCTGAGAATCAATTTGCTGTTGGATCCATTCAACAGAGGTTCTGTAAAATCTGATATCGTCCGTATTTGGATTATTCAACCCGGTTGCGCCATTACGGTGACCAGCAAACCACTTTTCGTACCCATAGTAATTCTGGCAATCCCATCTGGCTGCGACGTCCGCGTAGATGTCCCAGCTGTTCCATACCAGGCGTTAGTTCTATCGTTCTTCCAAGTGACAATATTAGCATTCCAGCATCCACGTACTTGAGTCGATTGCCATTATTCCACTGGCTTTCACTCTGGCCCTTGAAGCCACCGCGGGATCCGCACACGCGGAGCATACCCCAATTCTGCTTGAAGAGACCAAAGTTGGCTGCATCGTTGGACTTGTTATCTCCTGCAATCCCTGTTAGAAATTTTCGCAGGTGGTAACCTTGTGCAGGAGATCGCAGCCCCTCCTGCGTAGTGTTAACAGAATCCTCACATACCGTACGCGTAATCGGTGCTGAGTCTCTCGGTTTCTAGCATGGCAATGGCGATATCCAAGGTGTTTCCCCAGCATTGAGAATGGCCTGCTTGCGGCTACCAAGACCAGAAACAGTGTAGCTTCCCGGTCACCAGGCGCAGCAGATGCAATGGCAGCCAAGCTAAGGAGGGCAAGATGTGAAAATTGCATTTTGGGAGAGGGTTCCAGGGTTCTTGCAGTCGTGTGAAGAAATAGGAATTCAAGGCTCGGTGCTGGTAGATGGAGATATGTTAACAAGCAGGGCGGACTACGTCTCATTTATATGATCTCTTGTCGGCGCCTTTGTCGACTATATTTCCAGCCTCGTACAGTTTCCAATCCAGGGAATTTTGTTTAACGTGAAATGGTCACGGAAGCAATGCCCCGGCAATCAGACCTCTCTCCGCAGCATTCGGAGCTAGTATCAGATCATCTGAGCTACCTTGCACCTCCAACTACGCATTTCTATCAGAAATGTGACACACCGACGACAGAACCAGAGTGTAGGTAACACTCGGATCGTAACAGGCCGAGGCGCCTTCACAAGCCATAACGGGAAGGATTTTCCGCGTTTTGGGGCACGCGGAGCTGATTAGATAGGGGACAATGGGACCAGGAACTTAAATCCCGGGTGGGGATAGGAAGAGTCCGGCCTCACCGGGATGCAAACTCCACAGTGCACCTCTTGGGAGGGTTAACAACCGCTGCGGCGAGCCCTGCAACTTTGTTGCTGAAGCTAAATGAAGCGTTGATCTCCAGGTGGAATGCGAACTTCGGGTAACAACTGTGGGGTATTACGACTCTACCTCGGTACATGAGATATTATCCCTGTCACTCGGAACCTCCAGCAGCTGATTTAAGTGTTACGATTAGGGAAGACGGAGCTTGTGGGTCCGTAGGTATGCTCAAAGTCGACAACATTGTTGGTGAAGAGGTTGGTTGAGCGGCAGGTAACAGAACTTTCAATTCATAAAGGGTCTGTGATCAAGGGAAGACTGGAAGTAGAAGGAAAAAGGGTCGTATAGCAAATGAGGTTGATATGCATACTTTCAAAACCTTGTAGTGTGCTTCCATACAGCGGGAGTCCAAGTGTCGGCGCAGTGTGCGTGCTTTGATTGTCTTCTATTAGATCTTTAACTCTTATTGCTACATAGAACATAGACCTACAGTGTTCAATGAGGAAAAGTGTGCGGTTCTTTATGTAAATTGTACGAAGCCGTGGCACAACCTGCGCCACACCCGATCGCCGTAGTCGTAAAGACAAGTGCAATAAGACCCTTTTCAAGGCAACCACAAAGTTAACGGTTTTCAGTGGAAACCATAGATGGTGGCATTTCTAGTACTTCTCACTCATAATGCCAAGCGTTCTACTCTACAACGTGTGGCCGAGGCGATTCATACGTTCAGGGGCCAAACGCTGGCACCACCCAGTTAGCTGAGAAATTAAGGCAGCACATCGTCGTTATATACTACGTGTTAGACTTCCTATCCATGCCTGGGAACACCCTCTCTCCCGGGGCCGAAAGACTCACGTTGTGACCCCGCGGCGGGTATCGCGATCTCCTATGGCTCAGCCAGGGTAGACTGTAGCATGTCCGTTGAAAGATTTATACACGCCCTTCCAAAAGAAAACCTTTGATATCCACATCGTCGCAATGTAAATGTATGTGATGTTCTCTAGAATGTAGGGCTGTGAAGTGTATATTGTCTATATCAAGAGATGGTAACTATGGATGAGTATAATCGCTCCTCGCTCTATCTACAAACGCGATTTAGAGGGTGCCAATGAAATAAAATGCCGACCAATTATAATAAAGGACAGCCACGGTTTTTAAAGGTAATTTGCCCTCCCCGAGCCGCGGAGCTGAGGGTCTAGGACCTGTACGTTGTCCCATACCTAGACTTTCCTGCAATCACTTTGACGAACTCGTCGGCGAAGATTTCCTCTGTATAGGTAAGAATTACGTGAGCATATATCTGGGGGTGTCGGTGCTACTTACCCATTCTCTCTGATGGATGCAGGTCATCAAACCACATGAAACTGTCGGGGACTCTTCGCTATCAATACAATCTTCGGTGATGCGAGGGTCCGGGTTGGTGCAAAAGTGGTAAACGCCGGTAGTGTTCGCAGGAGCCTCCAGGTACTCCTGAGGGTTGTCGAGGACGTCTGTCATTAACTTGTGGACATCGAATATGTAGACTGTTGCGCCGGGCCAGCGCTTTTCGACGAGGAGTTGAAATGGGACACCGTAGGCGAACATGGTATTGATGCTGGTCGAGTACTCTATCAGTTTGTGGTAGTACTGAGTCGCGTTGGTCGTAGCCTTATCGGGCCAGAACGAGGGCGCTTCTAGACCGCCTCGCTCCTGCGGGTTATAAAGGGGCGACTGGTCGAGTGGGAAGACCTTTGAGAGCACAAAGTGTCGACCGCCGGTTTTGTAGACGGCATCAAACACTTCCCAATTGCAGTCCACATAGTCGGACAAGGTTGTTCCTGGAACATTTTTGTCCTTCATAAACCCGCCCTCACCAATGTCGTTCGTTCCAACCCATAGGGTATAGACAGTATTATCAGCGTGGCGGCCACCATTGTAGAGGTCGAAGTCGAGATCAGCTAGGAACGGGGGATCTGGTCCTGGATGACAGCGGGCAGAGGCCCATCACCGAAGAATTCAATAACGCGATGAACGACATCGCTGTCACAGACAGAACCTGATATGGCGTAGTTCAAACTCTTAGCGCCTGTCTTTTGTTGGACGAAGCGTGGCCACGAGTAGCCACCACTGGCTGTCTCGCGGCTCTCGGGAAGGAGGGTCCCAGGAGGTGGCAGCTTGCCATTGGTAACGATGTAGTTGAGGCGGCCTTCGTCTGTGATGCTATCGCCGAACGTGACGAGATTCTGGAGCTTGACGCCACAATAGGCAGTAGCTATAGAAGCAGAAGATAGTACATAGATGAACTTCATGGTATTGGGTCGGCTTGGGTGAAGAAAAACGGGACGAGTAGCAGTTGGCGTGGTGGAAGACTTGTGTGGCAAGAGATTCAACAGAGAGAGAGATTCTGGGCCAAATATATACCTTGCGCAGACGAGAATGTTGACTCAATTCCTTATGCTTCGCCACAAGCCCTTACTCTGGCTAGAGCTTGCTGAAGATCGGGTGATGCTGACGAGAAGCTCTCCTTAATCTCGCTTTGCCCAAAATTACAACCAAAACCACTTCAATGTGGGTCATATTGGAAAGAGACATGGGCTCCTCATGCCCCGATATCCTATAGACGCAAGAGGACATTCCTTTGTCATCCTTGGCGGCTGTGCTATTCGCGCGTGTTGCGTCTACTTCCGGAAATCAGAGGCCGGCGATGAAGGATCGATTGTGATGGGAGGGAGCAACGCCGCGCTGGTCTTGGGTGAGAACATCCCCTGCTTACTTAATGAGCCAAGACCGGAGTCCGTCCACACCTCGTCGCTCAATTGGCCAGCTTAATTTCCATCTTGTGTGCTTCCTTCGTGCCAAGGCAAACGCTAAGCCGAATCAGGAAGAAACTTGCGCGACCAGCCCATCCCTCTACTCTCTCCGAGATCTTATCCTAGGCTTAGCAAGAGCACACAAGCAAGGGAAGGTCGAGGGAGGTATCGGCACGCAATCTTGCCGCATATGTTATTACAGCCGAATGGGAATACGGCCGACATGGGATATGATGCATTCGATGTCATTCTTCTCTCCCAGTATTTCTGGCGCAACCTGGTCGGCATAGATCTTTGACTGGGCGCAGGCATTGTTGGCGCTGATACAAGCCGGCTCCTATTGAAGAGAGAGAGGAACTTTGTTACCAAATTAAGACAAAAACTAAACACAATGCGAGTAAGCATGCTAAATTAGGCTTTCAAAGGCCTTCCGAGTCCAAGTCTTCTAAAACTCAAGACCGTATTCATGGATTGAAGGCTTAATGATTGGTGCGGCGGTCGGAGATTGCCTTGTTTTAGTTAATAAGTGCGCGGCTCAGCCCTCTGTCAGACTCTTCTTACCTTACAGGAATCCCGACATTAACGAAGACGCGGTAATGAACTGGAAGACACGTAAAGCGCTTGTTAGTGAAAGAAGCGCAGCAGTTACCGGGTCTCGGTAAACTCAGCCAAGCCTGCATTCAGCTACAGCCGAATCTATAAGAGAAGTTGGCTTCCCAGACTTGCTCGGGATTTAGTACTTTGCAAATCCAGCATACCTCGATTCTACCTCAAGGACGTTACCGTGCGCAATCGAAAATAAAGGCTCATTAGGTCCCGCTCCCGTCTTCTTTTCTTTTCAGGAGGATAAGATGGCATCGCTTCGTGCCATCTTAAGTTTGATGCTGTTTGGCCCTGGGCTAGTATCCAGTTTCAAGCCCCTGCCAGAGTTTGTCTCCCCAGCTAAGACTTATCGTCCAAAGTTCAGGTACTGGTAAGTTACATCTTTTTCCCTTATCTATTGATATGCTAAATAGCTCACCGTATCTAGGCTTCCCGATGCCAGCATTGATGAGGGAGAATTGATTAAGGATATCCAAGCTGTCGACGCGGTGGGGGAGGAGGAATCGAGTTCATCCCGTTTTATAATTTTGGCTTCAGCGACCCGTCCTTTCCTCCATGGGATGTGTTTGGATTCGGCAGCCAACGCTTCAAGGAGGTATTTTTGACTGCTCTGAAAGCAGCCGAAGAAGCCGGTCTGACCTTTGACTTTTCTATTGGCGCAAACCAAGGACAAGGCATACCCGCAGAGCCCCTTACGCCGGGCCTTGCTATGCAGCTGGTGTACGGCGAAACGACAGTTCCCGGGGCGGGATCTTCGAAGCAGCGCTGCCCACTGCCAATATGCATTACAACTTCGAGCTGTCCCCCTTGCACCGTTCATGCATAAACACGAGGAATGGGGTGCCGAAAGACTTGTTGCAGTTGTCGCAGCGGGCGTGCAGTCTAGTGAGTAATCTGCATCAGCTCAATGGCCTAGAGCAGGATCTAATTAAACCTTAGGTAAAATTGTGGATATTCCAGAATTACCCGAGTATGAGTTCGTTGATACTATCTTAGATGAAGAATCGCTGGTAGATATCACTGACTCTGTCGTCAACAACACACTCAGGTGGACTGCCCCCACCAAGTTTGCTAACTATACACTGTTCGCGGTTTATGAGAAATTCACTTTGCAGCGGTCAGTAGACCCTATCGACCATGCTGCGGAGCTTATCGGCAACGGATCCTGGATCACCGACCACTTTAGTGCTTCAGGGGCGAATCTCGTAATAGATTTTTGGGATGAGCATATTCTAGGCGGTGAGGTGAATGAGTTGATTAAGAAAGTTGGTGAACATGGTAAGATGTCCATATGGCGACGTGTTACAAGCCGATGTATTATTTTACTAACCTTGGAAGTACATGTAGCCTGGGAAGACAGTATGGAGATGTCGTCAGCCCTGTGGTGGTCTCATGGCTTTCTTGAGCGGTTCGAGGCCAACCGGGGCTATAGTCCCAGGAAATATCTCCCCCTTCTCTTCCACCAGTCGAATACGCTACGCGCCCAATATCGCCCGTATAACACTACCTACCTACTTGGCAGCACCGACCATGGCCAGCATAAAGCGTTACAAGATTACCGCCTCACCCTAAGTGAGGGGTATCATGAGTATATAGCTACTCTGGAGAGCTGGGCACAAACCCTTGGGCTAAGCTATTCTACACAAGTTGGCTATAATCTCCCAATAGACATGGTGAGTCGTGGGCTTGGAATTATTGACATTTCAAATCGTTAACGACTTTTAGGCGGCGAGTGTACCTTTGTTGGGGGACCCGAGTTAGAAACACTCGCCTTTCCCAGCATCGATCATTACCTCCAATATGTAGGTGGAGCTCATATTTCCGGTCGAAAACTCATTTCCTCAGAGGTCGGGGCAGTTCAATCCGGCGCATACAGCGTATCGGCAAAAGAGCTCGTCAACCTCTTTCAGGAATCCTTCGCCGCAGGTGTAAATGTCATGGTTGTGCATGGCATGCCGTACGGCGGGGAGTTTATGTCAACGTGGCCAGGCTACACACCTTTATTGTACTCGTTTGATTACAATGCAGGCCCGAGGCTCCCAGACTGGAACTATATGGACGACCACATGGCCTATGCGGCAAGAAACCAACTTGTTTTACAAACAGGGACGACTAAACGAGATATTGCATTTTACCACTACGACGAACCACGATCTGTTACAGAGGGTTACAACTTTAGCGATCTGCGGGCTGCTGGTGGGTACCCCATACTTAAAAGATCCATTCGATAATTATTCTGCTACGGTGCTAACAATCCGTAGGCTTTTCATACGAGTATCTCGTGTCGGCAAACCTCGCCTCTGGTAGAGCGGCAATATCTAATGGCGTAATTGCCCCTGATGGCCCGGCATATCGTGCTCTCGTCTTCAACGAGCAGACGTACATTAGCGCTGCAGCAGCCTCTAGAGTTCTCACGTATGCAGAAGCAGGACTCCCAATTATCGTGGTTGGCAACCTTCCCAACATCACTATCGGGAGCAGTGGGCAAGATATTGTCTCAGAAGCAATGGCTAGGGTCGCCGCATGCTCAAATAACGTCAAGTTTCTTGACAAGGCAGGCTCGGTCGCTGACTCCTTACTGCAATTGAACGTGAAGCCACGAGTCTCAATCGACTCCAGTAGTACCGATTTATACTCCGTTTTCCAATCCGACGAAAGTGCGGATTATGTTTTCCTCTATAACCGAGGGGAAGCAGCCACCTTTGAGTTAACATTTGATGTTCCTGAAGGGCGCACACCTTACAAACTTGACTCATGGACTGGTGAACAGTTAGAGGTGGTAAACTTCCGACGTACTCGCAAAGGATTAACGTTGCCGCTTATCCTTGCTTCTCAACAAACTGCTATCATATCATTGGTCTCAGCGTCCGACTCCCAGCTCTCAGTGGAATCCTTTTCCGAAAACATCGAGAAAGTAGAGAGGGGGCGCATGGCGAGCTAGTCGCGTTCGTTCGTGATGCAAGGCCTGCATCCCTCCGTCTCTCTGATAACCGCAACGTTTCAGTTCATGCCACGAAGTGTGGCACTGGCCCTTCGCCCTTTACTATTGAGGAATGGAATGTCCAAATCCAGTCATGGGTGCCTGACGTCAATAAGTCAAGCTCGCGCTCGATGATTCAAACCATCGAGCTCGGTACCTTGCCCGAACTTAAGCCGTGGTCGGAAATCAGCCATGTTCGGAACGTCTCGGGAGTTGGTGTCTATCAGGCGACCTTTTCGATGCCTAAGAATTACTCTCGAAATATGTATGCGTCTGCTACAATGATCCATTTCGGGCCAATTCTCAACACGCTCCGTGCCTGGGTCAACGACAGGTTACTTCCGCCTATTGATCTGGCTGATGCAGAGGTTGAGATTTCGAAATATTTAGTTGAAGGGGAAAACACAATCCGTATCGAGGTTTCTTCCACCCTCTTCAATGCTGTAAAAGCGAGGGTCGACTCATTGGCCACGATGGGGAGTCCGGTTATGTTTCCGAGCTCCTATAGTGATGACGTTCCATTCCAGGAGTTTGGGCTGGTAGGCCCTGTTATGATACGACAGCTGAGGAAGGTCACCATTCGCCATCCGGATCAGTAATAGGGTGGAGAACCAGGAGATAACACTGCGTCTGTGATCAAAGGCCATGATAAGAACGTCACAAGACGAAATGGCTAGGCCCCAGAGGAGTGGGAAGTACCGCGAAAAGATTTTATCTACGTAAGAGCTTATTATGGAAGGTAATGGGTTATTTAGACTAAACCCATCAATATTTGAACATATGCGAATATGCTCTTGCTCTTGTCTTCGCTCAGCGAGATCACTTAACAGTGGCCCATATCAAGAGCTTCATATCTGTCGTATTTGCCGAGGTTTCACTACAAGAACATGAATATCTGCTTACCAACCGTTTTCGTATCAATCCTACTCCCCGATCTCCTCAGGGCCTAGAGTCAGTGGTGCCGGGATGGTTGGAAGAGCCGTCCCCCACGCTACCTCATCATAAAGGATAGCACGGCAATATCCTGGTTCCGAAGACGGAGGCGAAATAGTGTTGCCTGTTCACATTATAACGCGCAAGACTAACAACACCTCGAGGATAAGAGGGGATTAGTATTACAATTACAATACAAATCAAAAATTGAGGATTTCCCGGACCGAAGGCACGACCAAGATTCTTGTTGCGGGGATAGATTAGCCAATAGGACGGGCAAATGTTGCATACTGAAAGGAACCGTTCGTGCGCTAGCTCGATTGCATCATCTGTTCAGTAATTACCACACAGAACTAGCCATCTATGGGCGATTCCGCAATCTAGATGAATATTGTGTGCTCCGGGATTGTAGAATACCAGGATAGCAAATTCGGTAAGCTGGACCAACATGAGCTATATATACCAAGTGGCTACGGTCACTTAAGCGAGTCCCAGTTGGTTGGAGCAGTGTGCCAACCGCGTCGAAATCCAGTCTTACCTCCCGATCCTACCACATTAATCCCGGTCTCTACATTAAACATGACAACCACTATCACTCAATCTGAGGTTGTCATTAGGACACAGCCCTTGAGAAGGCAACACCCGGAGCCGTTAAAACCTTCCGGGGCGCTCGATCAGTTCAACCATGTTGAGGTAACGCCTGTCATTGGACGTGAGTATCCTCATGTTAATGTGGTCGATGATCTTCTCAACGCGGGGAATTCCGACGAGCTACTCCGCGACCTTGCCATCACAAGTAGGTCTATAGTCTAGTTCCTGCTATCATTTCCTCATTAATGTGATATTAGTATCCCAGCGAGGTGTGGTTTTTTCCGTGCCCAGGACAATCTTACAGATGACCTCCAGAAGACGCTCGTGCATCGACTCGGCCAGCTCTCGGTAAACCCACAGACTCGACCCTCCATATTCATCCACTCCTGAATGGCAGCCATGAATTTGGTGTCGAAGACGACGAAGTTAGCACTATATCATCGGCAGCTTTCAAACTATACCCTGGCCAACCCCAGAAACGGGATAGGGATGATAAAAAGGAGGTGCGGCATCCTGGCATAGCGATATCCAATTCGAGGAGTACCCTGCAGATTACACAAGTCTCCGGTTGACCGAGCTTCCGGTCACCGGCGGAGATACACTCTGGGCCTCCGGATATGAACTCTACGATAGATTTAGCGACCCGTACCGCAGGTTCCTTGAGGGCTTGACTGCCACCTACAAGGGAGAAGGGTTTAAGAGGGCTGCCTCTGCTAACCCAGAGAGGTTCCAAATTTACGAGAAGCCTCGGGGCAACCCTGCTAACATTGGCGGCGGGCTTACCGCTGTCCATCCCGTTGTCCGAACCAACCCGGTTACTGGGTGGAAGTCGATCTTCGCGGTTGAAACTTCCCTGAGCGCATCAATGAGTTGAGCGCGCGTGAGAGTAGGGACCTCTTGGACGTTTTAAGGAAGCGGATCGAGGAGAATCACGACTTGCAAGTGCGATTCAAGTGGACGAGTAAAAATGACCTTGGTACGTAACCCTTCAATTATGATTCAACTGTAACTGTCGAGACTAACCAAGGTTTCAATAGCAATCTGGGATAACCGTAGCGCATTTCACAGCGCTACTAATGATTTTGATCACCTTGGCGAGCGTGTAGGACATCGTACCGTAGGAATCGGTGAGAAGCCGTACTATGATGCTCAAAGCGTGTCTAGGAGCGAGGCTCTTGGTTTAAATTAAAAAGTTATAACGTGAATAGTTTTGTCTGGAACTGGTAGAAGGGTAGAAAAATGCCAGACTCTATTCTAAATTTCTTCCCGACTTTCAGTGAAATATCATCACGCGCTATCATTTCTCTCATTTGCTGGTCTTCCATTTCCACGTCACCTCTGACCGCCCTGGTGATTGAGGCTTTCTGCCTAACATAATGCGAGGTGATCGGTAGTAAACATAGTTTAAATCGACATTAGTAAAGAACTAATAGTAAAAATGTTGATCATCTCTATAATGTCATGCTAGTAAAGGCTTAAAGAATCGGGACAGGCTGCTAATGAGAATTACGCGGGCCATGGGAACCGACAGCCCTGCCTCAGGGCCATCAGGACGTTATGATTAATTCACTAGAACTCGAGGTTTAGCCCGACGTTGTAGGATGCAGAGATTTTCCCGAGGCGTCTGTTTAGTGGCTGATGGCGCATGGAGTTGCCCTTAGACTGTGATCTATCTACCCCACATAATCGCAGTGTTCGAATCCAAACCTACATTACCTTTACTATCGGCTATACCAGCGTGATAGGAACTCTAGATGTCAACCTTTTCGCGATTGTGTAGTGGGTGAGAGGTATCTTAGTCGCGGTTACCACGGCACATGTCACAGTATTACCTTGTTGTTGAGTTTTCATAAGCTATGTGGACTTCAAGCCAGTTACAGGAAAGCTGCGTCTCCAGCAGCGAGCATCAGCCTCTCCCCCATTAGCAAAAAGGTCTAGATTTTCAGGCGATAAGTCAGGGAGTAGGATTATAGAGAAATGAGCTCTAAGCTTTTCCATTGTCTTTGACACGAGTGTGGCGATAAGGTACTCCTTCTCTACTGCTGCGGTGAGTAACAAGGACCTCGGTCTACCGATTTATTCGCCCTCTGAAAAGAGCTGAGATGGACCAGTTGACCAGCTAGGCAAAACTTCCCATCTACATTAAGTCCTTGGCGGTTCCGCCAGTACCAGGAACATGACGGAGGGCGAGAGGGGTGTTAAATCGAGTGGGACCCAAGGGACCCTCGATGATGACTGAAGAAACCGGGGTTTGAAGCAACTTCCCCGCTCAGCATCGCTTAATACAAAGGGCACCACTCATCTAACAATAAAGCGCTTACATAAGCACAACAAGTCCTTTTTCTGAAGGATGCCGCTGCTACCAAATGGCGGGGCGCCTCGTCTAGTGATGCCAGATAGTAGCGCGTTATGCTAGCTTCGGGTGATCTGGAACGTTATCTCGAGTCACATCCGGAAAGATTATCTCGTTCTCGAGAGTCCCGTTGTGTCTAAGCTGCGTGGAGCAGGGCCAGACGCCCTGAAACTAACGATGGGGATCAATTCCACGCCCGAGGTTGGTGCGACCAGCTCTCTCCAAGTTCATTTTTCATCGTCTACATGTGGCTGACGCGAGGCACTGAAGGTGTTCAAGTATCAACCCCTTGACCCTGATAGGAATCAGATCAGACTCCTTCGCATCTTGAAGTCTAGTCCTGTGCCACCACCTGCGATTGCAAGTATTCGCTGCGAAATCTTTCACATAAACCTCGATGAATTTCCCATATATAATGCCCTGTCCTATACATGGGGGTCGCCGACGTCGCCTAAGACTTCAATCCTCCTCGATGACAAGCTGTTCCTTGTCCGAGAGAATCTATGGATGGCGTTAAAGCGCCTCGAGTCGGCTGCTGAGGAAATGGTCATATGGATTGATGCTATCTGTATCAACCAGGAAAGCATTCCAGAACGCAACTCACAGGTCCCAAAAATGACGCAGATCTATAGACAAGCTCATCAAGTAGTTTCCTGGCTAGGCGTGGGAAATCGGGCCAGCGCTCTCGCATTCAAGTTCGTTGAGGAGTTTGGTAGGCCAGACGTTACGCAGGAGTGGGCTCTAGAGAGGCTTGGGAGCCAACGGCTTCAACTCCAGGCTCTTTCGCAATTGTTTCAACACGAGTACTGGAATCGGATGTGGGTGCTACAGGAACTCACCGTCGCAAAGTCAATCATCATCTATTGCGGCACAGACTCGATCAACGGCGAGACTGTGATCCGAGTGCAGAGGCTCTTGATAAACATCCGAGGCTCTGGACTGACTTACGGCACCCTCCTTGCGGCCATGGATAACGATATGATAGCCATGGATATAGTGGGCGACCAAGGCCTGGCCAAACTCCAAGATTGGACTCAATCAGCCGCTAAGAAAAACCTTAGTTTTCTCGAATGTCTGCTTCTCCACAGTGATCGAGCCGCGACAGACGCCAGGGACATGATTTACGGGCTAGCCAATATCGCTAACGAGAAGAGCAAATATAAAGTAGCTGTCGATTACGCCCTGTCGACCCCGCAGCTCTATACTGACTTTGCCAGAACAGAAATTGAGGCATCAGAAACGCTGCTGATTCTTACAAGGGCTCGTTTGACCCACAATACACATTCGCTTCCATCTTGGGTCCCGGATTGGTCCGCCATTGAACAGAGCCATGCCTTTCTTTTAGACGCTCGTCAACCACAATTTTATTTCAAGGCCGGAGGAAGTAGTAAGCCTGAGGTAACCTTTAGCTCGGCTGGTCTAGTTATGACTACGAAAGCCATTGTGTTAGGATCTATCAAAACGCTTGGGAAGCCAACCAACATGACGTCGGATAAGGATTTAGACAAATCTGCTCTCGCATTCTGGAATTGGTGGTCCTTAATTGATAGTAGCGATCCGCAGCAACACGAAACTTTCGCACACACGATCTTGGCTAGGAAACCTGATAACACCAACCAACCCAGCAGGCTTTTGCATATCCTAGGCATGTTTAGTGACTATGTTAAAGAGCTTTACCCAGATAAGGTAATCGAACCTCTGGAACAATACTGGCAAGCCTTTATCGAGAGCTCGATGAACCGGAGAGGAGGTTTACTTGGGAGATCATACGACATGAAAATCAAGGAGCTAGAAAGAGATAAACAGATTATCCGGTCGTGGCGCCGTATCTTTGCTGCGTATTGCTGGGATCGGAGATTTTTTATCAGCAGCAGCGGAAGGATGGGCCTTGCGCCTGATGCAGCGGAGGAGGGTGATGTTATCTGCATCCCCTAGGCTGCTCTTGTCCGCTCATTTTAAGGGCAAAACAGGGATTCTGGATTGTCGTAGGAGAGGCTTATGTCGAGGGATTTATGCGTGGGGAGGCGCTAGAGATGAGGGACAATGGCTCCTTGAAATCGGATATATTCGAACTTCATTAGGTGTCCTAGAATCACACTTAGTATCGGTGGCCTTTTCGCAGTTAACAAAGCTATAGATCCCAATAGTCCAGCGAAGACGTGTGATAGCCGAGGTAGAGACCATCAATTAGCGTAAATACCAGGACTTCCATATCCAAACAGCCTCAATCTTTGCTGACATATGGCGCCTCAGGCGTTCTGTAGCCTTCGTCGTATACTTCAAGAGCCTAGGCCTAGACAGTTGAAAACTTGATGCGCCCTAAGTTGAGCCAACACCGATCATAGTGAATGAGTGGACATGAATAGTTAACTAAATGCGTTAAAAACGGAAAGAGACTTTAGTTTCGGGCTATCTTATGAACCGAGTCGTCCAGGGGCTCCGAGCTTTCAATGTGCGTACTTGGAATAAATTGGAAAATATTTGGCAGGCTGTATATATATTGAACCCTGTTCCCGAGAGGTTAGGGTACCGTTTCTCCCATAACGGATATTGAGAGTTCCGGTGGGCCGAGGGTTGGCCCCTCGTAGAAATTATAGTATGATCGGGACCTTGGGGGTAGGGTCCGGCGGCCGGGGGAGAGTTTCTTGTGCTATGAATACATGGCAGGTTTATGACGGAACGAGCAAGAGTGTATTGAAGTCTTTTCCTGTTCTACCCTTAGACTAGGGACAGCTCGGATCGGTGAGGAAACCGGTTCGAGGAACCTCCCCGACCCTCGTCTAGCCACAGCATTTGTGCGGCAATAAGCATTTAGTCAAGTGCCGAGGCATTCGTGTCTACCCGCATATCTTTAAAAAGCAGGCCATGGTCTAGAACGCTTGTTGCCGAAGAGGGAGTGAGTGTGATTTCTTAACTATCGAGGATATCTAAAAGACGGCAAAATGGCTTCTGGGGTAATGTACACGAGGAAGCGGAATCCGGGGTACATCCCTCCCCCACATGTGGCATCCACTAATTTGTGGGTCCACGTCCGAGCCGAGCTGGGCCCTGCCGAGCCGAATTCGGTTCGCCTCGGCGACCATCAGCTAACTATTTGGTCTCTTGTCATTTGCTATAGCCCATAATAGAAGGAGAGAAATGGATTTATTCGAGGAGGGTGTATAAAAATGGGCGTCTTCACGCTAAGTTGCATCCGAGACGACTCTAATCATCAACAGCATCACTAGCCCAAGATCCTCATTTCCTTCAGTCATTGCGACTATTATTCTTACAAACTCCTTATCTTTGGCCTCGGAAGGGAACGAACCACCTCTGACCCGCATAATGGCGACCGCTACCATTGTTCAGGCAGCTTCTGCCACTACTGTCCCCGTCTCTACCAGCGTCCGCATGAAGGTGGACGGCACTGACCCCATCTTTGGCGATTGGCGCGACGACCTCGCTCGGGATGGCTACGCTGTGGTGAAAGGTGCCATCCCGCAGGAGAGGGCTCTTGATTACGCCAACAAGATGTACTCTCTGATCGAATCTTTGTAAGTTGTCCTTAGCTATCTTATCAAGTGTATCTCCAGATTCTTCCTATGAAAGAACCTCAATCTTTGCAACTTTTCACGATAGATGGATAAGATTCCTCCCTTATTTTTCTCTGACCTGCCATTTGCCGATACCCTGGCATGCCTACACAACCAAACAATTACTAACACCATCCCAGTGGTCTTGGCTACGACCGTAACGACCCATCTACGGTCCACCCCAAGAACCTTCCCTGATCAATGAAAAGGGCATGCTTCTCCCCTACGGCGCCTGTCACGAGGACTTCGTATGGGCCATCCGCGGCGAGCCTGGCGTTGTCAATGCCTTCGAGAAGGTTTATGATGATGAAGATCTCATCGTCTCTTTCGACACTATCAACTACGGCTTCGCCAACCGCACAAATCTCCCCGCCAATAAGCCCTGGCCCCACCAGGACCAAGATCCTGACAGGCCCGGATTCCGTTGTCTCCAAGGTCTCGTTAACCTCCTCCCCAACGGCCCCAACGATGGTGGTCTCATCGTGTGTAAGGGCTCGCACGCTCTCTCCGAAAAGTTTCACGATGCCATGCGTGGCGAGGAAAGAATACCTGCGTGGACTAAGGAGTGGTACGGGTTTACCGACGCTGGTATGAAATGGCTAGCGGATAACGGCTGCGAGTGGATTAAGGTTGAGGCAGGACCTGGTGACCTCCTCCTATGTATGGCTTCCTCCCTACATATAAAGACTACAGGCATCCGCAGTGGGTTTCGGCCCCATGAGACTAACAAGAGAGGTAGGGGACTCCCGAACGGCTCACTATAACGTCCCTGCTACTGGCACCCAGGACAGGTTGGCTATCTATACATGCTACATGCCTGTTGCCGAGGCCTCACAGGATGACCTCATTCGTAAGAAGGCCGCTTGGGAGGGTAAGCTCTAACCCTAGTATATTAACCAAATGGATGGGACTTCGCTAATCAACGGTTACTCTATTATAGCGAGGGTTGGCACCACCCACTGGCCCAACGCTCTTCACTCCGGGACGAACGTCGCCATGAAGGACGGCAAGCCTTTTGGCATCCAGCGCGATAGACCCCTCAATGATGCCGTTCTGAACGAACGCACCTTTAAGCTAACCGGCATTCCTTATATAAAGGCGAACTAGAATGGCTATGTGAGAGATGTATCAACGATAACGCGGAGTCTAGGAGGTGATGCGGAGAAATTGTCCATTGAGATTGAATGTTAGATTGCGATGTATTTTTTCCACTCTTAAGAGATACGGGGGTATACGATGAAAGATAGTACTCCGGGACCGCCACTCCTTTAACTTGTTACTCTGGTTGTGCATTAAACCCGTTGCTTAGGCTCCTCGATAACGTGAGTGCCGTGAGGCATCTTTTAGACCTTCGTTAGAAGCTGTCATCTCCGAAGTTTTGACTTTCGCTAAAATGACAACATTGAGTAGATAGAATTAAACTGATCTATGTTACGGGCTAGTCCAGCTATTCATAAAAACAATGGGTCCGTATCAGTAGCATATACGGTAAACCCTCGGATATAATTCAGACCGGTTAGTTAGCTTTCACCACCTAAGATTCGTAGCTGTCAAAGAGACATGTATAAGCAGTATATATATACCGAGGTATATACAAAGCCTTACGCGTCTGCAATCTCCTGAATAGTCTTGAAGAATTGCGCGGGATCATGGCCAAACCTTCCCAAGAACAAGCCGTCGAGTCCCCCGTTCTTAAGCTGCTTGAATAGCCCTGGCCCGGCGCTTCCTCCGTAGATTATCCTCGTAATTCCTGGTCTCTTTTCGACACATTGCAGCCCTCGTATCGCCAACGTAACTTCTACGACGTAGTCCACGGCCGCCGGTTGCGCCGCTCCAATCGCCCAAACGGGCTCATACGCCAGCAAAACCTCGGCGTCACTAGGGACAAGTGCCAGGACCGATTCCACCTGACGCTGACACTCCTCTGCCGCCGAGTGCCACGTTTCGCCCCTCGTCTTCTCCCCGATACAGATGAGCGGTACCATGCCATTTCTTGCCACCGCCGCTGCCTTCCTGGCGGTGACCTCGTCCGTCTCGCCGAAGTACTGCCGTCTTTCGGCATGACCAACTTCGACCAGACGGCAGCCTAATTCCGCCAGAACGGACGCTGATACTTCGCCTGTAAACGCACCGCTATCGTGGTCGGAAGCATCCTGGGCGCCGCACCAGATATTGGTGCTTCGGAGCTGGTCAATTACGGGGATATTGATAGGTAGTCTGGTATAAGAAAGATGTCGATTGAATCAAGGAGAGGAGGCGAGGCAGTGGAAAGGAGATTGGTGAGTTGGTGGGTGTATTCTTTAGTGCGGGCTGCGGAAAAGTACATTTTTGTCGACATCCCGACGATACGTCGCGCTGGTGACCTAGGAGGTGTCATTGTGACCAAGGCTACCGGTAAGGATAATCAACTCTAGATAATATGTATGAGGTAGCGTGATATGTGTTGATTTCTTCCAACAAAAAGAAACACGAAAAAGGAAAATAATTGGAAGAGGGTTGGCACCGTTAAGTAGTACGGATAACCTCATAGCATATTGCTTCCTCGGCGTACCGTGTGGTGGTCGCCGTGAATTGAATGTATCTTTTCGCTTATTCGAACTTAGCTCGGCACATGGCCAAACCGCTTACCGTCTTTTGCATTTTCGCGCATAGTCTGATTAGCTGCTCCGAAGCGAGCGGATATGGAGCCGAATTAAACTAGCCGGGGATCTTGCCTCCTCCGAACTCGGTACAAGCAAAATAAGGGAACGAGTGGGGATCGGCCCCAACTCAACTCCGCATTGGGTGACAAAAGCTGGATAACTGCGGGTTCGTTTGACATACCCTATACAGAGCTCCTAGAAATGTGCCTGGGCGTGAAGGCGCGCATATCAATGCGCCAGTGAACGGAAATAACACTCGCAGTTTGATAAGTAAGTCGATAAATCGATTTGATCTATATAGGAAACCGTGTTGTGTATTACTATATCTTAAAACTCGTAATATAGCTACTGGTATATATCGATATATATCCACATATTCCTCGTCTCGTGCCCCAACTTGTGCACTGCTATGCAGCCCAAACCTTGACAGCCATAGCCTGTGGCATGTCTGGTAGCTCTTTGGGCTTGTGCTGCAATGCCAACCTCATGATATTCAGGGCTTGGTTGCCCAGGAGTAAAGGGACTCTCAACCTGTGGGCCTCGTCCACCACCTCGCGGACTTCCTGTACAAGCTCAACAAGCCCAAAGACAGAGGGCCTATTGCCGCGTAGGATGCTGACCAGATCTCCGCCAAACTCCTTCAACATAGCGCTTCCCCCGGCCGCATTTACACAGAGCTCTAATGTTTGATCTAGGGGTAATCCCAACCGATGCGCAAAAGCGAGGCATTCAGAAGCGGAGCAAAGGTGAATCCCCTTTAGGAGGCTCGTGACGAGCTTTATCTTCTTCTTGGTAATCTCACTGCTCTCATTCGCGTTCGTTTGTGCCGCCACGACGTCGGCGGTGACCTGTCGCCGCCCTTCGGTGTATAAGCGGATCAAACCCGCATCATCATCCGCGCCGAAACCTCGACCTAGGCCTAGGAAATAGCCCTGCTCGGCGGTGCTCACCATCGGAGTCGGGAATCCGCATCGACGGGCCTCTGAAGTGATGATCATGGTGTCCTTGAGTATGATGGTGACTGCGCTGAGGAGAGGCTGGAATTCTGGATGTAAAATTCTTGGCAGTCTATTTTGTAACATCCAACTCCAGCCCTCTGACTCCAAAATTTCTTGCCCAGTTGAGGGTAGGTGTAGGCCAAGGTGGGCTGCGAAACCCATGGCCTCGCTTGCTGCTAATATCTGAACGCTGGCAAGGACCTGGTGGCACATCTTCATGTTGCTACCTGCGCCAGTTCCCCTGCCACAATGTAAAGCTTTTCGGGGGCGGACATAGCCTGGAGGAGACCTAGGCCTTGAGTTATCGCGGCTGAATTGCTGGCCCCGGCCATTATGGACAGAGTACCGTCGGCGGCTCGGAGTGCTCCACCGGACACGGGGCAGTCGACAAGCAGAATATCTGAAAACCCCTATCAACGAGTTGCTGTTCTAGGTCTTGGACGTAGCCGCAAGGCACGGTGGAGCAGAGGAGAACCACGGCACCCTTTTGAGGGAGGGAACAGCCGGCTGAGGCCCATCAAGAAGGGCTTCTTGAGCTTGTTGGGCCGTAGCAACCATGCACACGCAAAAGCTTTTACCTTTTGCGGCTTCGGCAGGGCTTGAAGCACATTCGCCGCCGGCCTGCTTGAACTTCTCCAGGGTGGGGGCCATGAATCGGAGCCGGTGACTTTGTAGCCTTGATTGAGTAGTTGGGTGGCCATGCCAAAGCCCATGGCGCCGAGGCCGATGAACGCGATTGGTAGTTTGGAGTTGGCCATTTAAGATCTTTTATTTTCGGTTGTGTATAGGCAATAAAATGAGCATTATTGAAGGGCGGCGCAATGGGGTGTAAGGTAACACGATTTATTAATAAGGGTGCTGAATGCGTATCTTTTGCATCATCCCAGACTGGCTACGTTTGCATGGGACAGTGAAAACAGTGCATTAGCTCCACTCACCCCCGAACCTCGGATCCTTTTACGGCATGCAGCACTATCTGACATCAATACACCGAAAGGTGGTCCACCGGACGCGGGTGGAGAGGTCGGCGTCTAAGCTATCAACATGCTTGAATATATTCATGACCTCCTGATCCCAACGGCGGACCTTCCTTCGCTGACCGAACCGAGCCGATTTTCTCGGGCAGTGTTTTGCACCAGCCCGAAGGTATCGCTGGGTGCACTAGTCTCAAATAGCTATAGCTGGCAACCCTGTGGTAAGTCACTTTTATCAACTAAATGGAGCCCCTGATCATGATTGCCGAATTACTCGGGACAGGAACCGGGCCCCGGCCGCATCATGAGAATGGCCCGCCCGTGGCGCTGGCAAAATTAACATCTACTTCCGGTTACACTCCATTTTCTCTAGGCCACATATTTACCTCAACAAGAACTCAACTAGTCTATTGACATTAGTGGGTCATTCACCAACGGCCAACTGGTATTTATTATACCCTTTCTCTATTTCTCTATCCAACATTGTTCTTCAGCCAAGCGACGAAAATACAAGCCACCAACTAGCCATCAAACCATCACGGTATTCTACTCCCGAGTGAGCAGGGAGACGATAAGTTAGAGGTTTATAAAGGGAAGAAAGAAAAGACGAAGCCACCACAATGACCTACCCCCACCTTTCCAACAACAAGACCATCCGTATCCTCGATGCCGCCCGAGCTGGAGGTTATGCTGTCCCCGCCCTTTGCACCTACAATTTTGAAGGTGTTCTCGCCACCATCCGTGCAGCCGAAGCCCAGCAGTCACCCGCCATGGTGCTTTTCTTTCCCTGGGTGATGGAGTATTCCGGGGCGACGCTGATACGCGCCGCTGCTGATGCCTGCCGTAGCGCAAGCGTACCCGTGTCTCTGCACTTGGACCACTGCCAGACGCCCGAGCTGGTAAGACGCGCAGCCGACATCGCCGGTGGCTTCGACAGCATCATGTGTGACATGAGTCATTATGAGCGTGACGAAAGTCTAGCCCTCACGCGCGAGCTAACCGAATACTGCCACGCGAGGGGCATAACAACCGAAGCGGAGCCTGGGAGGATTGAGGGCGGAGAGGACGGCGTAGCGGAGACCGTGGACTTGGAGGGCGTGTTAACTACGCCGGAGGAGGCACTTGAGTTTGTAGACCTAGGTATCGAGCTTCTAGCACCAGCGTTCGGCAATGTGCATGGCGAGTATGGTCCGAGGGGTATCCAGCTTGAGTATGAACGGCTGCGCTCTATCAAGGAAGCTGTTGGGGACCGCGTCCATCTTGTGTTGCACGGAGCCGATCCATTTGACGAGGAGATCTTCGGGATATGTATTGAGGCAGGAGTAACAAAGGTGAACATCAACAGGGGTATGAACGACCAGTACGTAAGGATCCAGAAGGAAATGGAGGGGAAGCCCTTGACTACAATCATCGAGAAGGCGACGGATGCGATGCAGGGAGCTGTTGAGAAATACATGAAGTGGCTGGGGAGCGCTGGAAAGGCGCAGACGCTTGAGGCTCTATCCCAACTATAGAATTAGAATCAATATGTCCTATTCTTATATTTTAGTGCTAAAGCAACAGTCGCAGCAGTCTGCTCTATCATACGCGTTATATATTGGGAAAAAATGGCCCGGCCCTGCAAATGCAACGATGACCTCGATAGGCACTACCTCTCGGGCTCTCACAAGGACGTATAGACATGTATACGGAGAGAAAGTAAAGGACATCTTGAGATGAATATTGAAGCTCAATTCCCGAGCTGAGTATACGTGGAATTACGCTATAAGTGAAGAGCCTGAAATAATACAGGTTGATGATTCCCTGGCTGATTGAAACAGAGACGTCTCTATACCTATCAAGATACGTTCATACCCCTCTGTAAACCCTTGATTGCCTCCATGGCTGCCCAAGCGCCTGGATCCGGCGGGAGTTCAGTCTCGTTGCTCAGACCTCCAATATACGTCGCTCTTCCCAGTTTCGGCGCCATCCTTTTCGTCGCTTCGGCACCTTGTATCGCTGCCTCCACTGCTGCGTCGAAATCCCCACCACGTAAAGCCTGCGAAAATGGGATAAGTGTATCCATCACCGTCCGGTCCCCGACCTTAGCCAAGGTATATCGCCCAAGGTTCTCCACAGCCTCGGCTAAAGCTGTGCCCCAAAGTAGTGGTAACGACGCTAAATCCTTCGTGTTGGTGAAATTGTTCGTCATAGCGGCCTGGAGTGAGACGAAGAGTATCCCCAGGATTCCACCTAAAGTTCCGCCCATCTGACTTTCGACCAAGTCTCCAATTGTTCTCAAGACTTGGCCAATGGAACCAGACGAAGCGAGGTTGTTATTCAAGGCGTTAAGTAAGAAGGTAGCACCCGTTTTGACAGTTTCGCCACAATCTCCGTCGCCCATCGCGGTGTCCCATCGGGTGAGATCTGGTTCGGCTGAGATCACGGCATCACAAACACATCGCAACATCTTTTCCAACAGGTCCGGGTCAACTGTCAAGCTATCGAGCGGTGTAGGTAGCCTCTGCGTTATCTCTTGTTTCGAATTGATGAACTGCTGATTCCGGGACCTGCGATGAGCTCTTTGATTGCCTGCCATGGATTCCCAGTGGGTGTCCGTCTTGACGTCCGCAAACTCCTTCATCTGGTGTACGCTGTAGGCACAAGTCTTGGCTGCCGCGGTCATATTGATTAGAGATAGGGAGAATGCAGGCGCATTGAGGGATGTTTCGATAGGGCCGGAATATATCCTCGAGGGTACCATATTGTAGCTAGCTTCGAGCTGACAGAGGACCTCATCAGTCAGCGCGCCCATCTCGAGATAGGACATGCCTCCAAAATTGCTGATAAGTAGAAGAGTCTCATCCCCAGGCTCGAAACGCACGTAGCTACGTGCTGGGTCGCTCGCGTCAAGGCAGTAAGCGAGTAACTGGCGGATGACTTCTTCAGCAGCTGGCATCGTATCAAGTTTCTTATAGCCTGGTTCGTTATGAGGCCCGGTCCCGATCTCGATGCCATTATCAGGTACTGTGGTATGTTCGCCCTGTCTTCCTGGAACGTGGCAATGATCGAGAGTAGCCGCAATAGACACTGTCTGCTTTGCGAGTGCCAGACCCAAGTCGTACACGTCGTCGAGGGACCCGCCAGTGCCAGAAGCGCCACCCATGAGCTTCAACACGCCAATCTGGCCTGCTAGTCCCCTGCGACCAACGAGGCCTCCCTTATTAGTTCCCACAGAGACGTCATCGCCGCAGATGATCAGCCGACATTCGACGCCATTAGAAAGGGCCATTTCCCTAGCAAGGCCAAAGTGCAGGCAGTCTCCTGTATAGTTCCCCACAACGATGATGACGCCTTTTCCCGAGGGGACCCTCTCTATGGCTGAAAGGACCTGTTTCGTCCGGGGGCTGGCAAAGATATCTCCAGAAACTGAAGCTGCAAGCATGTTACTCCCCACGTAGCCCGACCAGGCAGGTTCATGGCCGGAGCCACCGCCGCTGATTAGACTAACCTGGCTGCTGTCGTGTGCCGTGTCGAAGATGACTCTGTTCGTTTCATCCAGACATAAAGCGGAATTGTAGGCCACGAGGCCGCGGAGGGACTTGACGACCAGGCCGTCCGATGACTTGAAAAGGTGACGTGTGGACATGATGTGCGCTGTAGGCACAATGCTAGCGAATGAATGGAGGATCTTGTTCACTTAAAAATGAGAGACTATATGCCAAAGTCTTGAGAAGCCGGCAATTTGGAGTACTTAGTGGTAACAGCTCCGTCACAGCGCCTGGGGTTCAAGACGGATATAACCTCTACACACCAATTGTCGCGACCAATTCTGCGTACTACCCATCATCTATGCATTTCTAACTCCTAATCAGTCCTTGGTGGTACTTTGAAGTCACAACGCGGGAAGCTCTAGCGCATCGTTGGTTTGAAATATTTCTTAGTATCACCGAGCCGAACCTCGGGTTGCCCCCGACCCGAGCCCGATCCGCAAGATCATCCTTCGCGGCTCTCTGCACACAGATGCCATGAAGCTAGATAAGATGTGAATTAATAGCGGTTCCTACGATGGAGGGCCATCTAGGGAAGGAATAAAATATAGAACATACGTATTCCATTTTGGCAAATTAGCCTCGTGCCTACAGTCCAACGGCGGCTAGAACTTCAATCATTTCCGCCCGATTAGAAACTCTCAATTTTCCTGACAGAGTCTAACTACCACCTCCATATTTACTCAAACGTTGAAGATGGCGCCACGGAGATGGAAGATTGCTGTAGGTTGCGATGTACGTATCTCTGGCTGTCCCTGTTCCTCGGGCCCGTCCCACCACACGCCCATATACGCGCATTCAACGGCAGCCGATAACTCAACAACAACCGGCAGGAGCAACGGGGCAATGGACCCGGTAGAAATGAAAATCAGCAAACTAACTTTCCTTGGTTTGGATATTAGGACGCAGGTGTATCCTACAAGGACGCCATAAAAGCTGACTTGGAATCCGATCCACGCGTTTCATCCGTCCAAGACGTGGGCACCCATACGCGCGACGATAAGACCCCGTACCCCTCCGCGCGGCAACGGCGGCGAAGCTTGTAGCCGATGGCACGGTCGACCGCGCCATTCTCATCTGCGGCACGGGGCTAGGAGTGGCCATTGCCGCTAACAAGATTAAGGGCATCCGTGCTGTCACTGCTCACGATAGCTTTTCGGTGGAAAGGGCGGTATTGAGCAACAACGCACAAGTATTGTGCTTAGGGAGCGGGTGGTGGGGCTGGAGGTTGCGAAGCGGTTGGTGAGGGAGTGGATTGGGTACGATTTTGACCCAGCGAGTCCTAGCAAGGAAAAGGTGGATGTTATATTGGATCTCGAGGACAAGTTTGACGATTAATACAGTAGCTACTCCCTATACCTATTCACTGTTCCAAAAGTCCGGAGAGCTCTATAGCTGTGGCATCGTTAAACACGCTCAAGTTTGAAGGAATTCCTCGTTAACTCACCTTCGCTAGGCGGGGGAGCTGGCATCATTCTACGTGAGCTCCGCCGTGAATAAAATCATTGAAGACCTCATCGCCACCTATTGCCGTGAGGAACTCCTTGAAGGGCACAACACCTCCCCACCCAGCGGCCGGATCCTCAAAGTTCAGTAGATTCATATCGAAGTCCATACCGGCCTCATCTAGAACGGGTAACCCGGCAAATCCGCTTCCAACCGGCAACCGGCCATTCTGTAGCCCATCATTTGCAAGCCAAGGAGAGAAGGACCCGGCACTAGATGATGAAGACGCTGTCCCATTATTCTGCCGTCCAACTAGTGGTGGGGTTGTCATTTTCATCTGGAGAACGTCACGGACTCGTTCATACAGCAAAGAAGAGCCCCGGATGAAATCGGGATCTTGGCCGACCCTTTGGAACATTTCCGAGCAATGCTCCGTGGCTGCGGCCAGTAGCTCTAGGTCAGACTTTGCCAGGCGTTTCCCGGGGTTTTTAACAATGTTCAAGGCTAGCACGCTGGCTGCTAGAAATATTTGAGTTGGCGTGAGGATCTGTGTGTGCATGTTCTTATCCGCGAGCTCTAGGACCACTTTGACTGTGGCTCTAGCGGCGTTAACACAAAGATTTTGACTTTGCAACAGCCGATTTCCCGATGGCAGGCTACTACCATGCGCTTTAATCTTTGCAATGTATGATTGCGAAGGAAAGATTAGAGATGCCCTAAAAGCGTGGCTTGCGCCTTTAACGTCCGGTGATTTAGTATGGATTGAAGAAATGGTGGCCTAATATACGCCACGATAGGAGTCCAACTAACCTGATAATACTGTAATGATAGAAAGCATAATATCCCGTAGGGGGCGGTATTTGCGTATTCCCATCGTCGGGAAATATCTCCGATCCGGGCTTAAAGTTCTCAGGAACCAGGTTCGCCCATTCTTCTAATGCAACATCCAGCTTTCCAACTTCATACAGCAGAGCGAAGGCGCTGGCAGGCCTGCCGTAAACAATATGGCATATCCGGCCTATTACCCGAGCCAGGGCTACCCAGATGGCCAAATAATGCGTCTTTTCTCCTGCTGGTGTTGGCGCTGGGGGAAATTCCGGGAACGGCAGGTCCGTATCGCGATCTAAGATTGCGGATGGCCTTCCGCTTTCAAGCTGAACCATTTTTCTAGCGCAAAGCATGACCACCAAACGCGCGACCTGACGGAATCATCCGGTCGCCGGTCACTGGCACGAAGCCTCGGCACACTTTCGTTGGCTGGTTTAGCTGCTATGTCCCTATGTAGCCCGATTGATTGCGCTATTCGAATGGCCTGACCGAGGACATGCCACGCCTGACCCTCTTTACCGCGGCTCCGGAGAGCCAAACACAACAAAAAGAGTGCCTGTACACTAGGTAGATGTGGCATCGCGACAAGGTGCCCGTAGAGGCTATACGCGGCCGTCAAGAGTGGCGTTCCTAGCTCAGAGACACCGCCCGCGAGTTCATCAGAACCGATCGTGAGGACAATAAAAGCCATAACTACACGAGGGGCATCCGAGGAGGCCAAAGCTTGATGTAGACCACCCGGCTTTGATGCCTGTAATGCGTAAAGCTTGGCTAAGTCTGCTTTGAAGGTCTCATAGTCCAAAACGGGGAAGAGAGGCCACACCCGGGCAAAGAAGGTATCCACGCATAATTCTGACCTACCAACTGGTGGCAAGTTTGGAATCTGCACGGTAAGAGGGAGATCGAATTCTTCAACATGCCTCATTCCATGGCGGAAACGTGAGCTCAGAGGCTCGAGACCATGCTTTTAAGGTACAAGTCCACGAATATCACCAGACTCTGCAGACTACTACCCCCATATACTAAAGAGGTTTCGGCAATTATTAGCTATCGCTACTACCTATGACGTGCATTACAAACAGCAATGGACATAAAGGGTAGGGTAAAGGAACGGACGCAATTACCCCTACATATGATAGGTATGTGCCGCATACCCACGATACCAAACAGAAGCGGGAGGGAGAAGAAAGGACACAATCCACGTACCTTGATTTTGTAGGTGTTATCATCCGTGTTCACAACAAGATCCGGACTCTCGGCATTCTCGGCCGCGTGGCTACTGGGGTCTTTTAGGGGCCATCCACATGCGTACCCGCTTCCTGGTACGCCCTGGAAAGCCAAGACACGGAGTCTTGCGACTCCTCGACAACCGGCTGGTTGGGTATGTTGATGGGTATGGATCCGGACCTTCCCCGCCGACGAAGACTAGGAGCTGGGGACGGCGCAGTGATCCGGGTGTCCGAACCGGCATTGCTCTGTCTCCGATTGGGAGGGGAGGGCGCGTCACCCCCGCTAGGCTTTCTCCTCACCGGGGCGCCCGTACTGAGCCCGCGAGGATCAGTAGTCTCGCAAACTTCATTTCTCAGATAGCAGTTGCGACACCGAGGAGTTTCAGCATCGCATCGAACTTTGCGCTTTCGACACTGATTGCAGGCCAGGGACATGCGCATTCGCTTCGCGCCTGGGGGTGCTGTGAATGGGTCGTCACCGACAGACAACTGCTCGGCTGAGACAGTGGGGGTTGGGGGATGCATTCATTTGATCGAGGCGACACAGATGTGGGACGTACGTGGGATGTTTGGGCTGGGGCAGCGCCGGTTCGGAAAAGAAATTGGAGATTCCGCTCAAGTGAGTGATGTAGTCTGCAAGGTAATGCAGTGCCCTGGGACCTTCGGGAAACACTGCTGTATCTAAGGGTTTCTCTTCCGGTGCTCGGTACCGGATTTGCGTGCCGAATTAAGGGGTGGCAGGGTGAGCTGAAGGTCTTCTCAGGGGAGGAGAGGGGTATTTGGAAACCCGGGTTGTGGATAACCCTTCACTTCGAGCCGAGTGGGCCGTCGGGATGGAGTGCTGCATTTTTGGGCGAAGTACTATTATTTACCTCGCTGAAGCTGGAAAGTGTGGGGAAGGTGTCCCTCATTTGGGGAAGGCCTAGAAACCGTGCGGGGCTGGAAATTGTCAATTCCTAGACAACGAGAGGCTAAAAAGGCAGACATCGAAGGGCAGGCAGGATCAATTGATCTAGTTAAATTGCCACCGCCTAAGATTTGTTAAGAGTAAAAACGTATGAAATATCAATAAAATTTTTGAAATCGTATAGTAAAATTTAATGGTTCAAGGGCGGGTTTTACTACTCTCTTAGTACCGCTATTCTCGCATTCTATTCACTATAATGAAACCCTCAGGCTAAAATCTACGTTTATATTTTCCATACCTCACATTTACACTATCATACTAAAGGCTTCCTTCCTATCAAATAGATCAATTCCCGCCCCTTTTAATAAATTAGATTCCCTATCCCGTGTTATCCTAAGGGAACTCCATGTCGCTCAATAGAATAGCGATACTAAGCCTTTTCGGGCAAACACATCAAGGGATCTGGTCTAGATCACACCTTGTGCAGCGATCGGCTTTCAACTTCTCGAGCAGCCAAAATTTGCTTTCTATTAAAACCCGTACTAATGAATATAGAGCTTTCAAGGGTTAGGTAATCTTAGCTCGTTAAATAATCCCTACGTATCAAGATACTCGAGTCATCAAGAGAAAGATTAAAGAGTGGATGGGTTATATTGAAAGTATTGTAAGCTAAGAGCAAACATCCGACCCGCGTGCCTGTTTGAACCCATGCTCCCGGACCTCATCTCGTTAACCAAAACTGACCTAATTAATCGAAAACTTCAAAGATAAGTCTTCAGCAGCGGTGAGTAACAGTCAAACTAATCCGAGGTAGTGATACCCTTCTTCTGCTCCCTCTTGGCCATATACTGGCGCCACTTCGGATTCAGGAAGTAGACCGGGATCCCCAGGAGGAAAATAGCACCATACACGCCAGTGAGGACGCCAAAGGTCCACGAGTATCCACCCTTTTCAACCATGGGTGTCATTGCGTATGCGACACCAAACGAAACAATGTTCTTAGTGCCGACAACCATGACAAGCGCCGGGCCAGGGTGTTTAGGACTAGCCTCTGAAGCAAAGGTTGTAGTCACAATAAGCACACTGATCCAAGCCGTTTGGAAGAAGGCCCAGCCGAGCAAGGGAGTCCAAAATGAACCTCCAGTGCCATTCATACCTCTCTCCGCCCCGAACCCATAGACGAGGAGCATTGCAGCGCCAAGGATCGCCATCGGGACGAGGACGATGAGTCGGTGTTCTGGCTTGTGGATTCCGTGATTGCGCTTGGCCATCCACAGGACGAAGGGCTCACCAAGCAGAGTGCAGTACGCGGAACCGAGGAGTCCACCAATGATAGAGGCCACGTTGATCAGGCCAATATCTTTAGCAGCCCAGCCATAAGCCTGCAAGACCGCATCGTATGTCAAAGATATGCATACAACGAGGCCAAGCACGGCCGAGCTAGACAGCACAGCAAACAGGATAGCGGGGGATGTCAAGCTCTGCAACATGTGGACCCACGAGCCAACCATAACTTTCCAAGGCGTAGGATGAGGCTTTGACCAGGGCTTCAGCATCTGGCCGTACGACAGTTTAGGCGCGTTATCGTCGTCGGAGACTGTTTCGGCACCATGTTGCTCAAAATATTCCTGCGCCTCATCATCGGCAATGATACGAGTGACACCGTACTCATCGGTGACGATGAGACGGCCGTCAAGGTTGACCGCGGGCCGCGCAAATCGCGTTTCGAAACCAAAAATATGGTTAGCGCCAGACCGAGAGCAATCGCAATGGCGAAGACCCAGTAGTAGGATCTCCAGCCGAGAGCGGCGACCTCATAGCTACTCGCTAGGGCGAAACAGCTTCCGAGAATGGTCTGGGCCGTCCAGTATAGTCCAAAGATCTTGCCACGCTCATGAAGGAAGGTGACCTCGGTGATCATGAGCGGAAGCAACGACTCTGAAGCACCCGTTGCGAACCCTTGCACAATACGAGTCGCCAGATGGGCCTCGTACGAGTTTGAAACAGCCGATCCAATGGTAAACGCGAGAAGGATCACACTAGATACCAAAAACACGGGCCGGCGTCCATACGCGAGTGATACGGGAAGGATGATATAGTTGCCTATTTGCCAATAAAATTGTTAGACTTAATAGAGCATTTTACGGGGCTCCTGAGAGACTTACCTAGACCAATGCATAGAGACGGGAGCGTCAATAAAGAGGCGACGTCGTGGCTGCTGTATCCTTGGGGCAGGTAGAGCCCAAAAATACTCCCAGGACGGCACCAAGTCCACTTACGAGGGCCAACGAGAAAATCGCTACAGGCGGGTTCATATCAGTGTCTGGACGATATCGGGGTGGAGAGGAAAGGCAACCGAATTCAATGCCACTTCAAGGTATTGCGCGGAATTAAACTTACAGAACCAACAGCAAGTAACAATGACGGCCCACTTCTCCCACGGCTTGAAATTCAGCGGGTCATTGGGGTTGTTAGACGGCACAGGGACCCTGCGGACAGCGCCATGCTTATCAACTAGGAAAGCATTCCCTTCAGCGTGCTCAGCGGAATCGGCCAAAGTCTTGACATTGTCAATCTCGGCGGCCGAGGCCTTGTTCGCCTCGATGTCAGCAGTCATCGTAAGCTTTTAGCTGTTATTGTGAAAGGTTGAACTTAAAAAGGCGTCGGACAAAGTATATCCTTCAGAGATTTCTTTCTTCTTTCTTAAAGAGGACTAACGAGGGTTGTGGAACCTCAAGTCTTGAACTTGATGGCGCCACCCGGGGAGAAAGTGTTGCTTGATGAGAAAATATAAATTGTTCAAAGGAGGAAGGGGCCCGGCTCAAGGCACCCTTTATGCTTTCAGATTCATCCTCTCAGCCCTTCTGGGGAAGCGGAGAAAAGTGGGGACTGGGGTAAGCTTGTTCCACCGATATAGCTTAGTTCTCCGATATATGGGCTTCCGGGGTAGGGAGAGCATCTAAGGGATGTGGAGAAATGCAAGGCCTCGTGCATCAAGACAGGCACCACACGCTACGTCTGAACATTATTCTTCATCTCCAAGTTATTCCGTGATCAATCCTGCTTCACCGAGTGTTTATTCGGCTCCACACTCTCCCCTCGCCGCTGCATAGCAACCCGGTTCGGGAAAAGAAAACCCCGCAAAGAAACCCCGGATTGCTGAGTGCACGGGCCTAAAGCAAGCATATTGTCCTGGTCTTGCGTTATCCACTCTGTCGGGTCACAGCCGAGCCGAACTGTCGGTTCGTGCCGAAGTATTATCATATTGGAAATGATCGGCTCCTCAATTAGAGACAGTAGAAGTGTAGAAAAAGTGAAGAGAAAAAAGCCCATATAATCTACGACGACCTTACTAGAAAAATAGTCAAATTCATCTAAATATATAATATTCTCTTCATATCGTTTAAATTTGTAGAGTCTTACATTTCCTATCACCGCATCTCCGAAGCAGACTATTCTCTGACAGCACCCTTGCAAAGAAACAATATATTTACGATGAGTTCTGACACAGTTGCCGCCCTCGAGGCCCGCGTTCTAGCTGCGGAAAAGCTTGCCCAGCGAGTAAGTGTACTTTAAACCAACCGAAATGCGATACAATAGTTATGCTAATAATATTTCCCAAGGCTTATGACCGTGGTGCGGTAGAGAATGTCTTTAGCAGGTATATGCACTTGCATAACGTCTTCGAGGATGAAAAAGTCAAGGATCTTTGGGTCAAGCGTGGGACTCCCGGTATCCACGCTCAATATACCAACGCTGGGGTCTACACTGACTACGACAGCGTCATGGCCTATCATAGCGGTCGCCCCTCTCCCGCCGGCAAGCTAATCCTCCACGAGACCACCACCCCCTCATCGAAGTTGCTCAGGACGGTGAGACTGCTAAGGGCTTCTGGCTCATGGCCGGGGTTGAGAGCGGTCTTTCGGAACCTAATAACATTGGTGCTATGCCGGAGTTCCTCTACGAGCCGGAGTCTAAAAACGTTAACGGAAGGCGGGTTTGGACGCATTGGGTTTGGTGCCAGTATGCTCTTGATTTCCTTAAGCAAGATGGCGAGTGGAAGATTTGGCACTTTAGGTGCCTCGAGGTTACCCGGGCTCCCTTCAGCGAGAACTGGATTACCTTTGCTGAGAAGAATCAAGTTGCCTTTGATAAGGACCTTGCTTACTTTGGAGACGATGGTAAAGCCGTCTTTATGCCAACACCTGACGAACCCGCAGTAAAGGTAAGCCTCATTCACAACTATTGGGGGAATGTACAGGTATCAAATGAGGAAGATACTAACGAAATGCCTTAGCGAGCCGACGTTTACGGACCTACTCGTTCTCGGAAGCTTGATGTTCCCCTTCCCTCCCCGTACGAGACTTTCAGCCAAGTTGAAGAATACTAGAGACATTAGGTACATTTATTGTTGGCAAGCCACTAGTTAGGCGGTATTAGTTTATAGATCCTCTAGGATCTTCAATAAAGGCACCTACCTGCTTTCCTTTAGTCCTTTTGCAGTTACATATGATCTCGTCCACGTGTATTTGATTGATAGTAAATCTAGGTTAGAGTAGTTAGGAGCTATGTCTTACCAAGCTAGAGATAGGGATGGATTCTTAGGCTAAGTCTATCAGTCTAACACTTTAGAGTAAGAAGATTTTTATGAGGTTATAGGGTTTATTTGCGGTGACCGCCTTATTAATTCATAGACGAAAACTTTACACGACTATTAGAGCCTAAAATGGTGAGGGGAAGGATCAATAGTAGAGACCGGTGGGGTTGAGGAACCTCCGGGGAACACTTCCACAACAGTTCCTTTTTATAGGTTATATTTCTTCAAGGCCAGCATTGTTAGGACGAAACGTAGTTCTAAACGAGGAACAGTTCCACCTTAGAGGAACTTTTAAAAGCCCATCTAATTAAGCGAGATTCCCTATAGCTCTCTTTCGATGTCGAGAAAGATCATTATTCATTTGCAACTCGGAGACCTACTTCTATCTAATAGTCTTTCCGTTGCATCGCATCATACGCAACTATCCGGGCCCGAAGCCTATGTTAGGTGCGATAATATCACTAGATTAGACTCTTTAGCCAAGCCTACGCCACGACACGCTTACATGATCCCTCCACTATCTCCCGGGTAGAGCTCGTGGGGAATTATCAAGAAAGGAAGGCGTTTCTTACATTAGACATCAACTGCCGGCCGAGCTGTGCCGGTTCGGTTCGGGGCGGCTCGGGCTACAGACTGGCCACCGTAGGATATAGTGGGGTTTCTAATATGCCCCACATCTCCCCGCACTAGTGAACCAGGTGGAGATATACGCCGAAACTCAGCGAGCTATTAGAGCCCGTGCGACGATGGCTTTCACCAGAATCTCTTGTATTACCTTGTCCGCGCCCACCAGGCACACTTAGATCGTAAGGAGTTCATGCTCGATGAAGGGATAACAACCTTTGATCCTCAGTCACCAAATCGCCTCAATCTTTTAAAGTACTATATACCGTCAATAAGCTCAAGCGAAAATGTGTGCAGCAGAAAGCTTCCATATTACTATCGTCGGTGGTGGGATCGCCGGTCTAATAACTGTTCGTCCTCATAATTCTTTTTCCCCTTATTCCCCTTTGTAACTGAGACTTTTTCAAGGGTTAGACACTAACGGTGGAAAAACGAAATCAAACAGGCGATCGCGTTACGCGGCGAAAACCGCCACATCACAATCCTAGAACGATCGCGTATGCTTCACGAGACTGGTGCCCTCATCTCCCTTCAGCCCAATGCCTCCAAAATTATCACCTCTTGGGGCATCGACAAGTTCCTTGAATTCGCAGAGCCTATGAACGACCGATGTTTCCGTATGATTAGCACAGCGGGGAAGTCGTTAATGAGATCCGCCTCGATCCCTCCATGTTCGGTGCCGACCGGGTCTTGTACCATAGACAGGACCTTCATTCAGGCCTGAAGAATGCTGCGACAAGCACCGCCCTTCCTGGAAAGCCTGTCAACATCCGTACCTCGGCCGCGGTGAAGTCATGCGATGCTGACGCTGGGTCTGTGACGCTGGAGGACGGCGAGACCATTACAGCCGATCTCGTGATTGGTGCTGATGGTATTCACTCCAAAATTCGCGAAGCGGTGATCGGCGAGTATAGGGAGGCGATTCCCACGGGGATCTCTGCCTATCGTATGCTTATTCCCATCGAATCCCTCCAAGATATCAATATTCCCGCAACAGCTCTCCAGCCTGCCGATCCTGTCACTACAATGGTTATTGGCCATGAAAAGCGTGTGATCATGGGACCCGGAAGGGGGCAAGCTCTTTGGCATCGTCGCGTTGGTACCAGACGAAAAGATGCATGAGAAGTCGTCCACCAGCTCTTGGGCTGAGGAAGGGTCCAGGGATAAACTCCTCGAGGCCTACTCGGACTTCCCTCAATGGGTTAAGCAAATCTTTGATAAAGCCCCGAAATCGGTCTATGGCAGCTCCGAGATTTAGACCCGCTACCAACTTGGGTTAAAGGCCGGACCATCTTAATTGGAGACGCGGCGCATCCCATGCTGCCCACTCAGGGCCAAGGTGCAAGCCAGAGCGTCGAGGATGCTGAGGCGCTCAAGGCATTCTTTTCAACTGCTCAGAGTAAACCAAGCCTTACACAGATTGACGATGCCCTTCTTAAAGTCATCCGGGCAAGAAAGGAGAGAGCCAGCTTGATTCAGACGTATAGTCGGCAGCAGGCCAAGCCTGGAACGTCAGCCGGATCACAGAACGTGACATTAAACCCCGGACAATTCATGAAGTATAACTGCGATTATCACGGTGCACAAGATTGGCTAGATAGGCAGGATCAGGTTAATGCTTAACATATACGCCATCAGGGTAATAAGCAATATCCACATAAAATTGGGCTAAAGTATGAAGTACTTACTGGCCTATTCTGATATCAGAGGTGAAGATTACCCCTTTCAAACATTATACGTTCATATACGGTAGTCTTAGCTGTTATGCTTAAGTATATTTTAGCTATCATTTTTGCTGTTAGTTAGGATCTATTTTAGTAGATAATGCTATTTTACTATTCCTCAATAACCGGGCGGCTAGCATATCATTCAAATTCACACTCAGTATATATATCGATACGCTGTCGTTGAGGTGATAAGCCGCCGCTAAAACCTGTTGAAGCCGAACGTAACGTGAACAGAGTAAGAAATGGAACGGCTACTGCAGACCGGACCAGATCTACTCCTACCTCTTATTACCCGCCGTCATCGTCACCACGTACTAGCTTGACTATAGCTCGCTTATAAAACCTCGGAATATATCATCAAGCTACTTATTTACCCGTAGTCGTAGATATAGTATCCCGTCGCAATGTGAGGTGAAATGGATCTTCAACGTCATCGATTCAGTAGTAGTCACCAACCTAATTACTAGGATAAGTCCCTAAAGTTTAACGAAGTAAGGATGATAGTCTGTTTTCTCTCAGCTACGATTATCTATATAAGATACCGACCCAGACATCCATCGTTGTGGCGCGCTTTATTCCACCAATACGCTCAATCGCAGCCTTCACCGCATCGCTCTCTGACCTAATAAGCGTTGCCACTCTGGGGTCTTTAATGGTGGCCTCGATCTCGCTAACAAAACTCTGACTAGCCACGGCACCAGCCTCCCAAAACCCATCAAAGAGGCCTTGATCCGGAAGTATATAGTCCTCCCGCTTCAAAGACCAGCCGACTTTCCGAGCAATCCGACTAATCTCACTTGGGCTGACCATCGTGCGAATATTTTCCTCACTCTTCTCCTTGTGAATTTCCATCGACGCCCTCGCCATAGCGGCGAGGACGTGAGGAGCGCAGTGTCCTTGCTAGCGCGTAGAGCATACTCAGCGATGAAAACCCTATCCACCCGACCTATCAACGAAAGAAGCAGGTCTTCCAGGACCTTCGGCGTCTCAAAATACCAAATACAATGGGATAGAATAGCGCAATCCCACTTTTCCGTGCCTGCGGCCAAGATGTCCAAGGGGTGAGCTCGGTGCCAGGTAATCCTGTCGCCGATCGGGCTTGCGCTTATATACTGCTGTGCCTGATCTAAGGTAAAGGGAGCCCCATAGTCCCCTGGCGCGGGGTCAACAGCGTCGACATGGCCACTTGGCCCAACGGCCTCGGCAAGAACTGCTGTGCAATTTCCTTGGCCGCAGCCAATCTCTAGAATGCGGCTCCCAGGCCACACCTCCCAAGCATTAACGAGATCGATGCGGTGCTTAGCTTGTCCTAGCTCTATCTCGGGGCTATTTGGGTCTTGTAGGCAGTATGAGGCCACCGTTTCTCCCGAAGATATAGGGATTGGACTGAAATCCACAGGTTGTGACATGGTATCTGGTGATAGGTAAATGGTAGGGCGTTTCTTTCGCTGTCGAATGATGCTTATAATTGCGGTCCAGCCGACTAAGTTTGGCTCACTGTGGGAGGTGAGAGGACTGTCGAAGAATATCCTCGTGGGGAAGACGCTATGAGTCATACCAAAGGAGGTTTAGTGGGGAGAATACCGAGGTACTCTCGCCTCTTATTAGAGGTTTCACCGGTTAAGATATTTACCTCGATATCAGGTAAGTCGTTCTTCGTGAGCAAGTAAACTCGATGTAAATATACATCATCCTACCTTAAAACTCGACACTTATATTCCCTCTAATCCTAAGAGTCTTACTATATCTTAGTTTTATATTTATGATTAATTTATACCTTCGCTAAGCTAATACTATATATCATAGTATCAGTTTCCTAAGCTATTATTCTCAGCTTCAGGTCCGTTATTTCTAAGTGTGTATATACGCGTAACATGTATCAAAACATGATGCCCCTTTTTTAGCGCCCCGTCTGGCAAATAGCCCACCCCTCTTTGCAAAATAAGGTTGGCGTATTCTCGAACGCCCTAGGGAATATTATTGTAAATAAACAACGGAAATACTCTAACTCAGGCAGACTCAAAAGATGCACGTGCAAGGGGACGTCGAAAGGGCGATATCAAGCATCCACAAGCTTAAGGCGGCGTGGGTGTTAGAGGAGCAGGAGAGACGGCACGACCATGCCTTCAAGAGCAGCCTCTTACCTGTGGAGCGTCAGGCCGCAGGCATTCTGCGGAGACTTTGTCGCGATATCAAGATCGGAGACCAGATTACTCAAGAAAATGGCAACACGAGTGCTTTCCGCACTGACATGCCGTTCTTCGAAGCAAGGGAGCTCATGGAAAAGAGTTCACTCTGGCCAGTATTGTCGAAAATGCCCAAGGGATGTCTTCTTCACGCTCATGGGGATGCTATGCTGGATCCGGAGTGGATAATTACACAAGCATTGGAAATTCCCGGCTATTATGCCTCAAGTCCAATAACCCTCAACCCCTACGACGACGAAACACCTGCACCTATTCAGTTCGGCTACGCACCTGATAGCCCTAGCCTCAAGTCACAGAACATATGGTCCTCGGCCTATATCCCGCATACTCCCGTACCTCTCACTAGCATTGCAGCCTACCACCCTTCTAGTGTAGTCGGTTTCAAGAGGTGGGCTAAGGCCCAGATGAGCCTTACGCCGAGGGAGTGCCGTGTCTTCAATGAAGGCCAGGATGCGATCTGGAACAAGTTTGCATCGTGCTTCATCGTCTCCAACGGCCTATTCTACACTGAGCCCGTTTTCCGGCGCTGTATCCGCGAGATCCTGCGCAACCTGCATGCCAACGGCATCCGATACGTCGAACTACGACTCTCAATCTCGCCAAATTTTCATTATCTTAATATGTTCGAGTGTTTCAATCAAGAGCTTAACGCTCACATGTCCTCCCCAATGGGTCGAGGTTTCTGGGGCGCTCGCATCATCTGGATTAGTCTCCGAAGTGACCCGAATGACCATATTCTTGGCGAGATGCGCTCGTGCATAGACTGCAAGAAGAGGTACCCTAACCTACTAGCAGGTTTTGATCTCGTGGGACACGAGGACAAGGGTCGATCTCTTGAGGAGCTCACACCCCTATGTCTTTGGTTCCAAAAGCAGTGTGAGGCGGGCGGCCTCCACATACCGTTTTTCTTCCATGCTGGAGAGTGCCTAGGTGATGGCGATAGCACTGACTGGAACCTCGCATCGGCGGTTTTGCTCAAGTCTCGAAGAATTGGACACGCGTTCTCGCTCTATAAACACCCGGTCCTTTTGGAAAAGGTGAAGCAGAACCAGATTCTGATTGAATCGTGCCCCATTTCGAACCAAATCTTACGTCTTACCCCTTGGCCCGCAACGCACACTTTGCCGGGGCTCTTGTCGCATGGGGTCGCGGTCTCTATCAATAACGACGACCCTGGAGTGTTAGGACACGGCGAGTGCGGCCTTACTCATGATCTCTTCCAGGTTTTGGCTTCGTTTGACAATGTCGGCCTAGGAGGCCTAGCAGACATGGTTCAGAACAGCATCCTGTGGGCGGCTTTTGACGACCAAAACCACGAAGACTGGGTACGGGATATTAATATGAATGGACGCCTGAGCGGCACAAAATCGGAGAGGGTGGCAGTTTGGAGGCAGGAATGTACGGCATGGTGCCAATGGGTCGTAGACAACTATAGCTAGTTATTCACGATCACCTAACAGCAACCATCGTACAAGTTCCAAGAGTAAAGCGGCCCGGGCATACAGTGTCATCTATGTACGTACATGTACATTTTACGTAGTTAAATGAATATCTCATAACTTAGAAACTCCTTAATTACGCGGGAAAGGCTATGAATCACGCGGAAGTAAGTTAAAGTGGTCTAGAACAACAGCAGTCAGTTGTAGAACAGTGACCACCTCCCGGACTACTAGATATGAAGTGCTAAACACCTTCGTTTTTCCTTATTAGTAGACTCGGCACATCGACAGCCATGACACGAATAACATAAGAAATAGCTCTAAATTAAGCTAAGAGCTCATCACTTAATTTAGACTATAACCTATTTTAAATTCACTAATGGATTCGACGATGAGATCGTAATGTCTCTAAGTACTAGATATACTACCTAATCTATCGACCTATATACTCTTACGCTTACACCTCCCTTATCACTAGTGAGGTGACTTCTAATCAGTATACTTAGATTATAGATTAATACGAGTAGTGTAGAGAGGAGGTGAACATTCAAGGTATTGACATCTCCCCGTATACGGATAAACATTATATATTCACCTATTCTACCTTTCTACCTATGAAATCCACACCGTCTCCAGTTTAGATTTGTTATATGCCTCTCCGTACATGATGCCGTGGAGATAGCAGTCGCTTTGGAGCTTCCAGCTATTGCCATGAGCTCGAAGCACGAGTGGAACCTTCCCACCTTTTGGAACCGCAATACGATCTCCAAAGGCTACGCGTACATTGCAAAGACCAATGTATCCTCTCTTAGTCCTGAACACTGTTCTGTCGGCAAGTGGACAGGTCGATACTCCGAAGGCGTAGGCAATAGAGGATTGAGGTACTTGTAACACCTTCGCTAAGAATTGCACAATATACTTCTCGGTTCGCTCCGGGATTAAAGGATTCAATCGCTTCACATAGCGTAGGAGACGTGCCTGACGCTCAATAATACCATACTGCTGCCTCAAGAAGGACATTTCGAGGTGAGGGGCGCTCCCACGAGCGTCTGGATAAAAGCATCTACGATTGGTTCCCCGGTGGGATATGCGTGGCCATCCACAACCCCAGTTACGCGACGCCATTCGTCTAGCATATAGGCAAGCTTTGGCAGTCTTAGGATACCAGGGAAGCCGTGCGGGATCTCGTCCACGATCATCGGAGTGCCCACCATCTCAACCGTGTCAACCCAAGCGCATTCCAGGCCGAGAAGGGAACCATCCTCGCCGAATTGAACTGCCGGCTTAGAATTGCCACTAGCCTTATAGCGAACTTCATAGATGTCGTCCTGGTTTTTAAGCCCACCACTGGCGATTGTCGTATCACCCTCCAGTCGGGGGTCCAACTCGGTAGCCCTAAGGGATGGTCTTTGTCGAGGCCTCTAGGCAATGATAGGATGCTTAAATCTAAGCCACGTCTTAACAGCTCGGTTGCGACCCGGCGATAGAGAATAAACGGCTGGACTGTGTAGTCCACTTGGGATACTATAAGTTTGGCAAGGGGACAGCTAGCCATTCCCGCGACACCATAAATCTTATCCCTAGGGTCGGTAGCCTCGAACAGTCGATGACGATACATGACGGCTAAGAGATCTCGTTCGTTTCCGTTTTGGTAGTCTTCGCGGGTCTGAATGAGCATCAGAGGGGGCACGTTGCGGTCGTGTATGCTCGTGTAAAGATCAAGTTGATTTAGGAGAACCGCGGCATATGTAAAGTCTTCCCAAGCCATTGTGGAATTTCCACAATAAATTGTAATTTTTGCGGCGACGGCAACCTCCTGCACGACCCAAGTTCTGGAAAACCAGTTCCGATCAATGATTTTTGATAAAGCGTCAAACCTAGCCCACTGCTCCCTCTGCTTGAAAGGTCCAAACGTCGAGATGACCAAGGGATCATCGTGGGGCAGGTCTTCGAGCGTGTCGCGTTGCTTCAGGTACTGTCGCCCGGCATTTGCGAGGTCCTGTGCAGCCTGCATACCGATGGCGCTATTATCGGCCTCTTCACCTAGCCAAATCATGACCTCCCTTGCACGCCGGAAGATGTCTTTCATGAGACTAACCTGCCGACCTCGTTCTTCAAGATCTTCCTGATTGATGCATATTGCATCCGCCCATAGGGTGATGGGGTTTTCGGGATGGCGGTGTTGAAGCAAGGCGGTGAATAGGTTATGTCTAATTGAGAGCTTTTGGCCGTTGCAAAGGATAAGGTGTTGCGGTTGCGGCGCATCCCAGCAGTAGGAAAGGGCGGCGTATGACGGGTCTTCCTTAAGCGAGGTGTGGACAAGCTCGCATTCGACGGGGTGGTCGTCAACCCCAGGATGTAGACTAAGCGCTCGGTTTAGGTTGAGAATTCGAAACATTTCTCCGATGAGCCTAGGGCCTAGTTTAAGGTAATTAAGGGGCTAAAATCCATCCTGACTTGAGACACGAGCTTTAGCCTAGAGTAAAATTGAGATGCGGAGCTCTTGTGGGGAACCGGCCACGGAACCGCTAGCAAATATCGGTTTAGTTAGAATTGACGTGACCTAAGTGGCTGGCGGAAACGAACTAAAAGTAAGCTTAAGAGCGAAGACGGTAAGGATGTGTTGACATTTACCCTTTATGACGATTCCGAAACGTGTAAGCTCTAGACAAGCTGACTTTCTTTCGCCCTTTTCTATCATATTGAAGCTTAAGGGGTAGGAGATCAAAGTCAAGTGCGTCCCGCCCTTTATTATTATATTTTGATAAACGCCCCTCTTTTCCCGCATCGTTCGTGCGGTGCGAAATGTAATCGTTGCCACGTCAAGAAGTAGCCAAGAGGTAGCCATCCGGGCCCCTGGTTGAAGACCGTTCATTGCATATATCCATGGATGAACCGCCAATCACCCTACCGTGGTATAGCCAGCGAGGCGAAGGAACGGTTGTGCTGCGACCCCATTGGTAGCGGGTGCTTTGTCAACTTGCAGGGACCGGGGCGGCCGCCAAGGTGGTTCGTTCCCCAACGCCCCATGCTGTGTTGGTGGTGTGTCCTAATATGTGACTTTGTGCATCCATTATTCTCGCCTTCCTCAATGTTGGCGCATGCGCAGCGTAGTGAGTTAAAGGTATGATAAAAAAATCCATATTCCGAGGCTCTAGGCGAATGCCACCTTCGCTCAACTTGAGCTTCGTCAGAGTTCAATTTAACTTATATACGTCGGTACTAGTCCTGAACCTGACACTGAATCTACATTGTCTTCGATATGGCCTTATGCCTTACCTCTCACCATCCCCTGTCAGAACGATTACCTGCAGCTACTTTGCAGAAACCTCCTCGCCGAAAGACTCGATAATTCGTTGAAATAACTCCCGATCTGACGTTCTATCCAACGTTTGAATCGTGAGCGAGGGTGTCATTCGCATTACTAATATCTTTCTAATTGTAGGGCACGAAGTAGCTGCTGATGCCTAATAGCTATTATGACCTAGCGATATTATCAGTTCTATAAATTAGCGGTCATCCTTAATAACTTACTAGATGAATATTTGTTAGCACTTATTTCACCTTATTACCTCTCTCATCGCCATCCCCTTGAATTCGATAATAGATGCTCTCGACTTATCACTTACTGGCCATATTGTTAGACGCCCCTAGCCCCACACTATATGTTTTTCAGCGCATGGCTCTAGGCGACCTTAAGCGACCTCTATATTCCGATACTATATCCGCATCTTTATCGACTCATTGTTATGCTAACAAAGTTTGCTAACTGGCTGATAGTGTAAGAGGACCCTAAAACCTGATGAGCCGACGATTCTAACCCATCAGGAATCATGACTATAGCACCAGCTCGTAATCTTAGTTTAGTTAGAAAACACGAATAAAGAAGTAAGAGCTGACTTTGATAGCGAGCTGTCTAACTTAGATAATGATCACAGGCGGAAATTAAAGGTAAGCGAGAAAGGGATTATAAGTAGTAAAGTAAGGATATGCTAGATATGAAAACTGAAGGAATGCTTTACTAGCTAGAGAGAAAACTAACCCTTTTCGTACCTTATATTAGACACTACAGCTTCTATTATCATTACTATATCTTATATAGCCATCGGCTAGAATATTATATAAGATTATGTTACCTTAGTAGTGGGGGCGCGGAATAAACACTAATTTTAATAGAGCTCTGAGGCTAGAAATTAGTGGTTTTTCCGCACCCCACTAGATTCTAATACGATATATAAAATAAACCTCTACATATATTATATCTCGGTCATTTCTCACTTGATCAAACTACTGAAATCAGCAGCTACTCTTCAGCGTAATAAATGAATAACCTTCAATAGGGATACGCCTCGCAAACCGGAGGATATCTGTTATGCTAACAGAGGCCGCCACTTGGCTAGCAGTGCAAAGAGATGATGGACCCCACAAGTCGACGATTCCAACCCGCCAGGAACCACGACCTTAGCACCAGCTTATAATCCTAGCTTAGTCAGTTAACACTGATAAGTAAGTAAGAGCTACCCTTACTAGTGAGCTATCCTCTTCGATAGTGATCATAAGTAGAATAAAAGGTAAGCGAGAAAGGGATTATGAGTAATAGATAAGGGTATACTAGATATAAAAGGGAAGGAATCCTTTACTAGCTAGAGAGAAGAAAGTAACCTTTTTACTACCTTATATTAGATACTATAGCTTCCATCATGACTATTATATCTTATAAGAAAGTGATACCTAGCGACCCTTAAGGATTAGTAACCCTTGCAGCGACCGAGTGATCACTAGATCACTCTAGAGATACTACTATCTCTCTAATGGCTTCCTGACAGCTTAGCTGTCAGCAAGCCAGTTGGCCTGACCTTTTGTCGTAACAATATCAGTACCTCTCTAAAGAGATCGTATCTAGCCTGATTAAAAATAGTATTAGAGCCCCCTCACTGTAAACAACTTTACTATACTCTATATGTCCTCTTACTTGCTAATCATATCTAAAAAAGAAATTCAAAAGCTTAGCTAAACTGATCATCTAGGCACTATAGGCTTAGAGCGGTAGTGATATAAGGATACTATTCGGCGATGACCGCGAGAATGGTAGGTTTTGGCCCCCGCCTATCACCTTAAAAGCCGACAGCTAGTTGACTCCCGAGCCGGCGGCCGACCTTAGCCTGCTTCGCAACCGCCCCCGAGCACCGCCTCGCAACCGTGGACCGGCAGTAACATAAGCCACACCTAAAAATATCATACTTTACATCTCGTCACGATTGAAGAAGGTATAAATACCAAGGTCTATCCCTTAGACTGTCGATATTATCTTATTATTACCTATCAATTTATCATATAACAACTTCCTCATTATATTTATCGATTACCCGTCTTAAAATCTTTAGTAGTGGCTTAATATAAGCTATATCACGACGATACTCTAGGGCCTTGTGGGATATCAATCATAAGACCGCAGGTTAAACTTCGACATTTACGATGGATAAACCACGACCTTCTTTCAGCTCGACTATCCTTCAGGCTATTTCGCTTATCCTCCAGATCAGTATCATGATACTCCTCGCCCTCTTACTTATCGAAATCAAGCAACTACGCAACACAGATAGTGACCCGGTTATAGTGGCCATACAAAGGCTTCCTAGTACACCACCGATTGATGTCACTATCAGGAATTCTATCGGCAGTCCAATTCCTATCGAATTCCCACCTACCGCTACGCCAACCGTGGTCGTGACCAACAGCGCTTCCAGCCCGCTCCATGTTCTCTAAATAACTGCTCATTGATAGAGGCCTGCATCTCTTAGCGATGGCTGGAAAGAATCTATAAACGCCTATCTCAATGCTGGGATCACTTCGTTTCGACATATTACTACTTTGGCCTTACGTGTGTGTTCAGGCTGCCGGATTTCTGAGAACAAACGATTCTTAGACACCCTAGAAAGGGAGAATTATGAAATGCCTTTTATACTTCGCACCTCGGGAGTGAATATTACCTTCAACATGACCGAGGAACGAGGACTACCTCGATGAAGCATTGGTTTATATTAATATAGATCCTAAATCTCATATATAACTAGTATATATATCCTGTCAGTCGGTAATGCTGTGATACTATCAGATTATGTGAAGACACGATGCCCAACTTATGGAAGTCTAGAGAAAGTGGCAAGGCGCCACAGAGGCCCGAATAGTGGCGACAATAGTACGTGGCTATAGTAGCCTTACTTCATAAGGGAACTCACGTATATATAAACCATCGTAGATATCGCGATATGTCAGATAGAGGAATAGATAAGAGCATCAATTTCCCAATAGATATAAACGCACACGACTAACGCATGTTTTGGGAATAGTTGCCTCATTTCACAAAAGAGTCTCTGAGACGTATAACTTGACAACGAATCTAATCAGACTCTTCGACCAATGCTTGAAGAACTCGGAGACTTACAACCATAATGCCAAGCCCTATACAGACTAGGATAGAAAGCCCTGCCCCTACCCATCCAAAAGCTATAGCTGCCACCCCCACATGCGCCTTAACACTGCTATATGTTAACGTTTGTACCATGACTGTGGTGGCTGCCGTTGAAAAATGTTGCCACAAGGCAGAAATAAGACCAAAGAACCCGGCCACACTGGCGGTTCCGATTGACAAGTGTAGGACTCCTTTTCTGGGCAATGGTTTGATATATTCTGACTCGCCATCACTATCCTCTGCCTTTTGCCAGCCGGGAAGTGTCAAGAGAAGGCATATGGTCGAAAAAGCGAATACGATGGCGATATATCTGTAACGATGTTAGGCTAGACGATGTTACGCCAGAAGTTTCCAACCTAGAGCTAGAGAGTGGGAGGGAGGAAGGGGTAAAACTAGTTTACTTACATCAGTCCGCTGAAGATCGTTGCATCGCGGAACTGCTTCGCCGTCCATAACAGGTTTAGCGGGTCCTGACCATCTGCCCTTTGCTGCACCGTACTCGCTAAGTTGTCGATAGAGTTGGAGCAAGTCGAAGCACTCGAGTTGAACGTCAAGCAGAACCCAAAGTATGAAGCCCGTACCTCTAGTCCAGAAACGTTCTCTGTAAGATTCATGAAGGCGTCTATCGTGTTTGGACTGACATGATTGTTGTTTTGTGTTGTGGCGGCACCGGTATCGGCATATGATAGAGATAATAGATACACCTTGCTCAGACCATGAGTGGTGCACCCAGCCAGGAGAATAGCTATGACGGAGCCTACGTTAGCTAGGTATAGCTAATGACAGTTATTGGCGCCACGCTACCTTGAAACACTATCGAGACTAAAAGAACTAGTATGAGGGCATGTGAGTAGCTAAACTGGGCAACTAAAACTAGTCGACCCCCTCTAATGTTGAATCTTCGCCCCAGAGCATGTCAAAAACGAAGACGACGCAAGAAATAGTCAATCTTAGACACTTTCCCTGAATCAGAGGGCCGAATTGAGCTTCTATCGGCCTAGCATTGATTTTTCACTATATTAGTCTCAGCCAATTCGGAAACAAAAGAAAGGACAAATGCAGACCTCCTCTGCGACATTTACCACCTCAGATTCGCTTTCCTCTCCTCTTGGCCGATGCTGGGAACTCGTCCCCCTGACCTTTGGCGCCCCGTAGCCGTTTCTCCAGAGTGTGGGCGTTCCAAAGCTGTCTCTTCAGGCCATCCTCTCCAGCCCCAGCGCGGAGCCTTGAAGAAATTATCTACAATGCTCATGGGCCTGCGGCCTAAAGGGAGATATAAAGCGTAGGCAATACGCAGAGCTGTATTTAGAGCCGTCATAGCTTACATCGATGTCAACTCCTGCGTGAGCAATGCACGCTGGCTTGGCCAGGGCAAGAATGAAGATTGATGATAATTGCGGAGGCTGGGAACTTTGGTGAGGGGTTCCTGATCCCCCTGTTCCTCTCTGCTGAGGAAGATAGGAGGCCAGCTGGCGGGAGATAATTGGTAGGATATAGTTGTTGATGAGGAACGCCTGACGACCCCTGTGCCTGCACACATTTTAAATCCAATAATAACCTTGCTCGCCGCTGACTAGATGAGGAGCTCTTACCCCCTCCTGAGACCCTAAGAGAAAAACCACAAAAAACCACGATATTAGGTTACCTCGAATTTCCAGTTTTGAAGGACACTACTATATCAATTAGACTGCTTATGTAGACTGCTTTCCGGCATTAGCGCATTTTATGGCGAGCTTGGTCGAGAATGAGGGTGCCACTTCTGGCAACAAACTCGAGCCTCTTCAGTTTGAAAAACAAGACAGCAGCGCCAAGCGAATTCGGGATGCTATCCAGGCAGGCTCTGAGGATATTATCGGCGAACTCTTGAACAAACACCCTAGAAATATTGAAGAACTGGACTCGGAAGGCCGCACACTTTTGCATATCGCCGTCGAAAATAACAAGCCGTTCATCATTCCCCTGCTCCTAGACCATGGCGCCAACATCGAGGGGCACGATGGCGACGGCAGGACTGTCCTTCACCGAGCCGCTATGCAAGGAACAGTCAACGTCACTCGCATACTGCTGGAACGCGGAGCCAACGTTGAAGCCGTTTCCAAAAAGGCGAGAAACCGTTATGGCTTGCGGTAAGGAAAGGACATGAGTTTGTTGCGAGGCTTCTCTTAGACTGCACCGCCAACGTGGAGTCTATTAATCCGGTAACAAGCACTACAGCCCTGTACGAAGCTGTGCGACGCAGTGATATTACTCTGACGCAACTGCTACTCGACAACGGCGCGGATGCCGATGCCACGCCCGGCGCGACAGACCAGCAGCAACCACGAATTCCCTTGCCGCTTAGAGGTGGCGGACGGCTTCCAGGTATGGGCCATGGAGTGAGACTTTCTCAACCTAGACTTTCGTCTACTCTTCCGAAAAATCAAAGAAACAGTCGGGAACAGGCATCCTGGGAGAATGGGTAAGCGGGAAAGAAACGAGCAAGGCGGACTTGGAGAAGAGAAGGAAGAAGAAGAAAAAGACGGATCTGGACATATCGGATGAGTTCATACGAATTCCCGCGTATCCATCACCACCACCTTTCCAGCAGCAATACCCATCCTCAGCTCCCCCACCGGGTGTTCCTCCTTTCGTTAGCCGTCCGCCCCCAGCTACAGGTGTGACAAGCCCTCCTCCACACTTTTTAAACAGGGTCCTTTTAAACCAGGGCCTACCCAAGGTGGGCCTAGTAGCCCCGAGCCGATTAGGTTTTGCGATGCTGTAGGGAGAGTCTTTAGGTTTCCCTTCCACCTTTACAGCAGTTAGGGAGGAATGGAAAAGCTTATCCACCAAGCGTTTATGAACATCGACGTTCTTGGCTCACAGGTCCGCCACGGCCATTATGACATCATCGGTCCTGGTGTTGATGGGGGTATAATTCTACCCTCTGTTTGGGAAAGTACAATACAGCCAGGGTGGCACGTATATATGTATATGTGGCCCCTAGAAAGTGTCCCCTTGAGGAAGGGGATGCCAGTCAGACCGATGCCCCCGGAACATTCTCAAGCACCCACTCCATTGTCTGAGGCAATGAGCCGAGGCAATCTAGAAATTGTCAAACTGCTCCTCCAACGCGGTGCCGACAAGGGGTTGCAAGACAGCCAAAATCGGCTAGCTCTCGGTCAGTTATCCAAAGAAAAGCAAAAAGAGTTCGCCGATTTGCTTAGCTCTGGTCCTTTGCACTACGGACCGGCTATTGAAAAATCAAGTCAAAAACACGCAGAGGCTAGGCCAACGCTCCCCGTGCCCTTCCACCCCCACGTGATGATCCGTTTAAGATGGCTGCCTGTCAAATCTTCGACGTAACCATGATGGAGTTCCATCTATATGGCCATGAGAATGAGAAGCGCTACTCTAAGTCCGCCTCCATATACGAGCTTCTCTATGGAATTGGGCCTCAGGCTACCCGTGAATCAGAAAGACCAAAGGAGCTAATGGGCCGGAGACCTGACTTCACGTGGTACCACATCCCTGCTAATAACGTATGCAAATCTTCTCCCACAGTTAAACACACATATATATATGTCCAGTTACGTTGCATAGACTAATCTTGTGAGACATTCAAATAGATGGAATGGGTTGAGGTAGATATTACATGTAATCTCTAATGGTCTTTGCTAGATTCATCTAATACTAGTGCTAGGGATTAATGACTAGGATATTATCGGATCAGCAGTCCGGCCACCGAATTATTGAGACCGGATTTAAGGAAGAACTTGGAGTTCTTCGCGCAACCGCTAGCCACGTTAGCCAATCGATTGGACATGCTTTCATCAGACATTCGTGCAGAGTAGTCCAAGTATGTCCTAGTCCCATTGATATGGAGTCGAGCTTCAATGGCGGATGTCATAGAGACTAACAGCACCTTATAGGAGGAGGTTGAAGAGATTGGAACATTTCAGACACCAGAACTGTCCCTGGCATCATTCGTACGTTAAGTGAACTTGGAAATATAGACGTTCTCGAATCTAGCTAATGCCGTCGTAGATCCCATACCTCAATTTTGAAACTTTTCAGGGCCACCGCATAGCATCCGACTATTACGCAAGACCGTTAGGACCTCCCCTCCTCCACCAACCCTAACGCCTCCCTTCTCGAGTGTAAAAGACCACAGTCCAAGAGTGGTCCTACCCCGACACAGCCTGATGGTACCTCGACTTTCCAGCCGGTAGTAAGTTGAACCCTACTGTGTTATAAAATTGAGTCCTTGCTGAGCTTTTAAAGCAAACAGAAAAACCGGCAACTGCCGGTGCTGAAACTACAAATCCTGGTGCAAGTAATGATCTAAAAGAATCACTTACTGACCCAATTCCGAGTACTGAGGATAAAACTGAGATCAAGGAAAATCCAATAGACTCTCAAGAGGCCGCCGCTACTAATGACCAGTCAACCGCAGAGCTGCCATGCCTCCAACCAGAACAATCAACAGAGACCAAAAACCAACGAGTTTCGCAATTCATCTTAGTGACCTAAGTTCTAAGAAAGGCCGCAAACCGCCTAGCGGACCGCTCGTAGACATGGCCCATCCACTTGAGCGTCTTATTAATGGTTATCTCAAGGTCAAAAAGCCATCCGACACCCCCTCACTGCAGCCACGGCGCACGCTAGATCAGTATTTCTATAGCCGTTTAGAGGGCACAACCCAGCGAGATGCCAATCAAGTGATATACCGATATACAAAAAGATACCATGGGCAAGCGGTTAAGATATTTATGGTTGACCAGCTGTGGGTGTGGATATTAAACAAAGGTCAGATATTTGATAATCTATAGGTAGCCCCATCGCTAGTTGCGTTGTGTTAGACCTGTATCTCATACTAATAGGAATCCGATCGTTCATTACACTAACTTAATATAATAACCTTATAGAAACCATCATCACATGTTGCCCGCTAAATTGGGGGTCCTGGAAACCAGGGCCACATATTGTGGACAAAAGATATAACATCCATATCATAGCCCGAGATGACCCTCTCAACATTCATCAACTCATTCTTCGGCACCTGAAGAAAACTTCTCGGGCCGCAGTCGCCTCGGTATATGATATGGCAAAGTTGGTTGTGGACACATGTGTTGGACTCTTCGAGTCACATTTCCTACGTGATGACCTTCAGTTCTTCGACTTCTTTGAACATGAGGTTGCAAGGGTGGTAAGTTCTCTAGGTTCCCCTTTATACTCCTCTAGTATATTCGTTTCCATCATTGATATTTTGCTCCCACAGGGGCTGAAGACAAGAGTGATGCCCTTAATACACTCTTAATCCGATCACGTTCATTATCCTGCTACTATATACACTTCTCTTTCTTCGTTTCTTTTCTTTTTCTTTTCTCTTATAAGAGTTAGCAATATAATGCTACTAGTATAACTCACAACTTCCACTCCTCTAACTTATGTGATTTTATGCTTTTGCTGACGGATTGTATATAGAGCGACATTACAACACGACGACTCCAAAAGTTTAAAGATGGTCTCGATAAACCTTCTCTGTCAAAAGACGATCTCGATATTCGTTCGGATATTGCTCTCCTTATTGAAGTCTAGGACATAAGAGATGAGCTTGACATTCTTAGGATGGTGCTCAAACATCAAAGCGAGACCGTGGCGAAGATGAAAGAAGTGTTTCTCAAAAACGGGATGAAGAGATGGGATCACGACAAGGTATCTTCTGCCCATGAGCACAGGCTCAGTACAATGGAACGGATAGCCAAGGATACCAAGGAGTCTGTAGGTATAACCCTTTAAAATTTCACTAGGCCTAATAGACGAAACTGACGAGTTGTTTCATGACCTTACAGCTCATCAACCTTCTAGATCTCAAACAAATGCAAGCCAATTTCTTGGAGGCCCTTTTAGCACGTCGCCAAGCCGAAAACACAGCGGAACAAGTTAAAGCTTCCACCAAGATTCAAAGTATGATGGCCGAGCAAGCTTTGGAGTCCGGTAAACAGGGTAAAACCCTGATGGTATTTACCGTAGTAACCATCATCTTTGTAAGTGACTATCCCATCCCAGATCCGATCCCAATGTTCAGCTACTTATTCTACGGTCCACAGCTCCCGTCGTCCTTTTAGCCGCCGTGTTCGCAATCAATCTTGATAGTCTTCCACAATCCGACGACGGAAGACTTCCGACAGGATACTTTCTGACATATCTATGTGAGTGTTGGTCCTTAGCTGACCTTAGTTTGGGGATGATGTCTGGAAATCGTCACTAAGCATATATAAATTTGAAAACTAGTTACCATGAGCGCTGCCTTATCTATACCCCTTATCATCGTCGCCTTTAACCTTGACAGGTCTGTTAGAGTCCTGCGCCAAATGTACGAGGGCGTCGTGAACCTTTGGAGAGAAGATAAAGCAATCATAATTGTGGGGGTTTACTACCTTTTGGGTTCATAGCCCTTGGCGTGGTTTCAATCGTCCCTATTTGGACAACTTCACTAGCTTCGGGGGTGAAGGCAGCTGTAACGGCCTGTATCGTGGTAGTACTAGGCTTTGGGATGCTTATTAGTATTGGGTGGGCCTTAGTGAAGTTCGTTCGGATGAGGAAAAGCCGGCCTTCGTCTGTGTCTTACTACGACTCGGACAGTGACTCCACATCCTCGTCTTCATCGGTATCTTCTTCTTCAGTGGTATCCTTTTGACATTAATAAATTCATCATATCAAGCTGTAGATCAGTTTTCAAGTCAGCAATTAGGGTAGCAGAATTGTAAATTCCTAAGATAGTGAGTTTAGATAATTGAAAAAGAACGAGAAGAAAGAGAAGAAAGGGAATAATAAAGGGAACAGGTATTAGAGACATAATAGAAAAAGTATTATCTTAAGTTATAGGCGTGCGGGACTATCAACTATCTTTCCTCAATATATACATAAACAATATGGTGTCCTAAAGAGGTATTCTTATATATCAGTCTCCCTCTCTCTATTTACTATCCTATAATAGATATCGCTGTAAGAATAACCTTGTCTAATTTTAGGTATGATAGATATAGCTTAGATTTAGAGCAACTTTTGGAAAATCAGATTACATCAATAGTTACTCTAATATGTGAGTGAAGGGAGTCGAGCTCTCCTCACTAATAAGGAGTAAGAGGACTATAGTAGAGAAGAAAAAGGTATAGCTATATAACTAGGTGTGGGTAGCGAATTGTCACGGTTTGAATAGTCTAGAATAGAGGCCTATGGCTACTATAGATAAGGTGTGAGGAGTGTTCCCCATTTCCTCGATTATATTCGCTAGCATAGAACTATAGCTGCTGTGAAGCTCAAAAGTATTAAGACTATCCATTGAAATGAGTCCCTGACCCGGACAGCTACACTCGGACATTTTTCCTTCGTGATCTGCCACTCCCCCTCCTCACACCCAAAAATCCCATTGAGAATCCTCTTCGACACATTCCCAGCCACCTCTTCCGCAAATACACTAAGCACATCGCACCTACTATCACTCTCAATAGCCTCCAGCCACCCACAGCTGTCGCCAGATTTGTCGGCATATACAGCAGAAGACTGGTATCCACAGCGCGCAACGGCCTCAGCGATATCAGGGACCTTGCCACGCGGCCCAATGCTGAACTCGAGGACCTGAGGTCCCGAACTCCACCTATCTCCTTCAGGATCTTCCTCAGCAAGCCTTCGATATACGCTGCAGTTGTCTAAAGAGGTAGACCATTCGAGAATGAACGGAGTGTGGTCATCAGTTCGGTTTGTCATATTCGTGACAGTTGCAATGAAGAAGAACGGGTCTTCAGGCGCGGGAATACCCTGCCAACCAGGTAAAAGAGGAATTCCAAACGCAGTCATATCGTACCAATCTGCTTCCGAGAGATTGCCGTAGCCGAGGTTAGAACGTCTCAAGGAGCCGTCAAATTCTAGCTGTAGTGATTTAGCAATCCAAGAGCCCCGAATTGCATAGACCACTGGGAACCACGCCGTCGGCGCGTAGGTCTCATTCTTAGGGAAGATTAAGTCAAACTGGACCTCGCCGCTCGAGGCTTGGGCCTTAGCGGATGAGGCGCCGATAATACTTGCGTAGAGGAAAGTTGAGATCAAGAACATAGTATGTGAGAGAAGCTGAAAAAGAAAAAGAAAAAGATGGATATAGAGAAGAACGTCAAGACGAGGAACTCGGGGGTTGTGCTAGCGAGAGATGATATGCAGGGAGCGAACTTGGTGCTTATGATAGCAGGTTCCACGGTTATGTTCCGATAGTGGCAGAGCTGTAGGGAACAGATGTAAAGGATCAAAGGTTAGAATTAAATGTGCTGGTCGGCCGGGTGCTCTCGTCGTACATTATGTGCGATATTATATACCTCAACGAAATAGCCTAAGACACGACGCGGCATCGGCATTTCTACCGAGATAACCCTAAAAGCATCCCGAGAACTATGGGCGTTAGCTGCAATGTTTTAGGGCTTTCGCATACTGGAGAAGGGCCGAGTATATAACCGGGCGTATAGTTTCAGCGTTGGCTGCTTTCTGCCGGTACCATTGTGTCGGGAAGTGACGCAAGGCAGACACGCAATAATCCTACCTCTGGTTGCAGGTATATATAAATCCATAATACACGTGCGGTTAAGGGTCTATGCGATTCGGTCAAAGGGATAACCTTAGCCTGGCCGTAATGGGATTACTGCGGCCCGGTGAGTCTACTCAGAAATCATCGCCTCGTTACCCTCTCCTCTTCCTATCCGCTGCGGAGGGCCACCCGATAGTTTAGCCGCACGTGTTGTCTTCATGTTGGCCTGCATTTTCCAGTACCACAATGTCGGGTCGAGCGGTCTAGGGTGCAAGCTGATGAAGCTTGTGTGGCGCGTGTAAAATCCTCGCTCGCTGGGAATCGATTGTCGTTGCAACCTGATAAGGAGGTCCTTCCATGTATCACATCCACAGTTTTCCAGGCTGCTTCGTTGGCACTTTTCCGAAGCTGTCTCTTTGCTGGTATAGTTATTTGGAGACTATGTAAATAGGTTCTCGCTAAGGACATGGGATGCTGGGTTGTATAAAGTGCCAGTCCTTGCCTATAATCAAAAGCTAGTTAAAAAGCTATTCTCATCTCAAGTAAAGGCTTCCTGGCTCTGTCTATATCGAACTAGCACTAAGTTTGTCGTTATAGTCACTATGATCATCAAGCTCCGGTTGGTCCATCTCATCGGAGTCTCGCTGTGTCTATTTATAGATCCAGGCTTGTGCTTCCGTTCCGGCTTGAACTTGATCCCCGGAGAGAGGTTCCCTAGTGTTTGCCCTCGCACTTGTCGCGATGCTGGCCTAGACCCATGGGGGTGAGACGTCTTCGGCAGCAGGAGCAACTCCGGAACCGCCAGCAACCTATACACTTTGACTTTGCCATCAATGGGCCTCTCATCCCAAGCCCCGCCATGTTATGGCGTGTACGATGTGGGCAAATGACTTTGCCCATAATTCGTCAAACGCAACTCAACTAAACATGGGCCCAGACTCCAACACCTCATCCACACCACTAACAGTCAATGTCGAGCTCGCCTAGTGGGGCAACGCATCGAATCCAAATAGTCTCGATGACCCTAATTCTGTTGTCGCTAAATCGGCCCTTCGGGTCATTCGAGACTATCTTAGGGCTATTCCTGCCTCACATGACCCAGCCATTGTCTTCGCCTCGGTTGGACCGAGTGTAGTTGGAGCCTATATTGGCTTGATTGGCCAGGGCCTCTCAGGCCCCAAAGTTGCTGCCAGCGTCCTTCTTGATTCTCTCACGCGACACATCCTGAGGCAAGGTCTTCCCGACCTCGCGGTTCGTCAACGCTGTGGCCCGGGGGTTCCATCCGGCCAGGTCTTAGGTGTCGCCACCAGCATCGACATCACGCGAGTCTAAAAGGCCCTTCAGGGGTGGACTTAGGGTTAGGGTTAGGGTTAGGGTTAGGGTTAGGGTTAGGGTTAGGGTTAGGGTTAGGGTTAGGGTTAGGGTTAGGGTTAGGGTTAGGGTTAGGGTTAGGGTTAGGGTTAGGGTTAGGGTTAGGGTTAGGGTTAGGGTTAGGGTTAGGGTTAGGGTTAGGGTTAGGGTTAGGGTTAGGGTTAGGGTTAGGGTTAGGGTTAGGGTTAGGGTTA